CCCCCCCCTCCCCGCTCACTCACTAACCCCTCAGTGCCCACCACCCTCTTCATCAACAACGAATTCACCCCCGCCTCCACTAACACCCTCACCGTCGAGAACCCCTCGACTGGCACTCCCCTCGCGACCGTCTCCACCGCCAGCCCATCCGACGTCAACCACGCTGTCACCTGCGCCCTCCGGGCCCTCCCAGCCTGGAAATCCACCCCGGGGGCCACCCGCGGAGCCCTCCTCCACAAACTCGCCGATCTAATCGAGCGCGACGCCGAGGACTTTGCTTCCCTGGAAGCGCTGGAAGGCGGCATCCTCTACACCGACAGCAAGAATATCAATATCCCCCAAGCCATCTCCACCCTACGCTACTTCGCCGGCTGGGCGGATAAAATCGACGGCAAGACACTGCATCTCCCGGATGGCGGCGTGGGGTATACCTTCCGAGAGCCATTGGGAGTCTGCGCGGCGATTGTCCCTTGGAATGCACCTTTGTATCCCCCCCTCCCTTTTACAACCTACCACCTCCTACCTACCATGTAACCCTCACTAACAACCCCAGAATGATAACAATCTGGAAACTCGCCCCCGCTCTCACAACCGGCAACGCCCTACTGATCAAACCCTCCGAACTAACCCCCCTCTACGCCCTCAAACTCGCCCTCCTCATCCGCGAAGCCGGTTTCCCACCGGGCCTCATCGCCATTCTCCCCGGCGACGGGCCCACCACCGGCCACGCCCTCTCCACGCACCCTGCCATCCGAAAACTCTCCTTCACGGGATCGACCCTCGCCGGACGCGCCATCATGGCCGCCGCAGCAACGAGTAACCTGAAACAAGTCGCCCTGGAATTAGGTGGAAAGGGTCCCTCGATTGTCTTCGCGGACTGCGATCTGGAGAATGCGCTCCTGTGGACGCGGGTCGGGATTACGGCGAATAATGGGCAGATATGTGCGGCGGGGTCGAGGGTGTATGTTCAGCGGGGGATTTATGAGCGGTTTCTGGAGGAGTATGTGCGGGTAGCGAGGGAGGGGGAGTCCGTGGTGGGGGATGCGTTGGAGGAGGGGACGACGAAGGGGCCGGTGGCGAGTTGGGCGCAGTTGGACAAGATTCTGGGGTTTGTGGAGGAGGGGAAGAAAGCCGGGGCGCGGTTGTTGTTTGGTGGGGAGAGGATTGGGGAAAAGGGGTATTTTGTCCAGAATACGGCGTTTGCGGATGTGAGGCAGGGGGAGCGGATCATGAGGGAGGAGGTTTTTGGACCGGTCGTGGTGAGCTTTTTTTTCCTTGCTTTGCTTGTTGTTTGGTTTTTTTTTGGGGGTTGGGGGGTGGTTGGTATGGGGGATGGCTAATGAGGATAGTGTATCGCGCCATTCGACACGGAAGAAGAGGCTATTGCCTTGGCAAATGACTCAGCGCATGGATTGAGTGCCGCCGTGTTTACGAATGATATTAATCGTGCGCATCGCGTCACGGCCGGTATTGAGTCCGGACAGGTCACGGTCAATGCGTGGTCGATGCTGGCGGCAAATGCACCGTTTGGGGGTGTCAAGGAGAGTGGGTTTGGACGGGAATTGGGCGAGGAGGCGCTGGAGGGGTGGACGACCCTGAAGACGGTCAAGTATCATATTTTGCCGAAGCTGTGATTATCCTGGCAGGTTTCAATAAAATGATATTTTCTCCCGATGTGGGATCCTAAAACGATAGTTCTCGTTGGACTGAGTCAATAACATCTTTCTTAAGGGAGTGATGGGACATGACATAAACTGACTGACTTTGAGTTAAAGGGATAGACAGAAACCATCCAATGAACCCGGCATACAGCACTCCTGCCCGAGGTATCATTTATACTGACATCCTCCAATGCACCATGCATTGAATGACATGGTGGCATATCATAAGACCAGGATCACCGCATCATCCGGGAGCAGTCAGAACTACACCATCATACGACGTCCCATTCCAGCGTTGAAGCTAGAGCTTCGCTTTTTCGTAAAGCCGTACTCCATTCAGCGACATGTCTCAACCATCTGACCATCACCACCAACCAAGTGACTCAGAGCCAGCAGGATCCAACCGTCTAGACCACGCACGGATATCATAGCGCCTGGAACGCGATAGGTGGAGATTGAAGCTCCAGGGGAGGTTAAGAGCACCGGAGCTCCCGGACCACATAACCGTCGACGGTCCGATTAACCGTACCCAAACCGGCAGCCAGGAGGAGGGGTTGAAACGGCGCCATTTGCCGGTGGAGGGGCTCCATTGCCGAGAGGTGTCGTTCCTTGGCTGCTCCTGCTGGATGGGAATTGATGGATAGCTCTGATTCATGGGAGTGGAGGGGAGAGGATGTTATGAATCAGGGTGGTTCTTTGCTGTTTCAGATGGATGATGCTCGAGTCGAGTCACTGATCTTGCAGAAGAGAGTATGCATGTTGATCAGACAGGTATTTACATCGATAATCAACTGAATTCATTTTTGGCGGATAATACAGACATCTAGGGATTGCTTGGCTTATCAGATATAATTACCCTGCGACATCCACACCAACCTCAGTTGATTCCTCTGGCGGGTGCCAAGCAAGGGACGTCCTGGAGAACCGAATGGACCGACGGATAGTTCCACTGCACAGCCACGATGACCCAAACACCGCTCGCTTGGCAGTCTCGCTGAAACGCCAATCCCCTTGGTGGAAGCCGGTCGGTCCCAGTTCTAATCAACCTGGTCTGGACGAACTCTTGGCTTTACTCACGGGTTCGTTTTCCGCCATCCGACTGGTGCGGTTGCGCAGTCGCGCGGTGGTGACCGTATCTTGGCGTCGCAGCATCCGTCTTCCGTAGACGCTGAACACACCATTCGATGCTGGTCGAGTCCACTATGTATCCAGCCAAGCATGGAGACGGTCCTGGTTTTGATATCAATTTACTGGCCGTATGCTGCCATCCGGCCATATAAAGGGACGACATCTCCCAAGAAGATCCCCCCCCCCCATCAAGCCTCTCATTCCTTTTCTTTGTCCTTATCCAACTACATTTTCATTCTTTCTTTCGATTCAACATGACCAACTTCAAGTGGGTCATTGCGGCAGTCACCCTCCTGTCTGGACAGGTCCTGGCTGCCCCTACTGCCACTATTGCTAAGCGCGCCACTGTCAGCGATGTACGTTCCCTAAGATACCCCTGCAGGTTGCCCCGGACTGACAGATGCAGGCTGCGTTCGGCTACGCCAGCTTGAACGGTGGAACCACCGGTGGATCCGGCGGTACTACCACCACCGTCTCGTCCTATGCGGCCTTCACCTCGGCGGTCTCGGGCGATGATGCCAAGGTCGTCTACGTCGATGGCACCATCAAGAAGGCCGCCGACCAGGTGAAGGTGGGCAGCAACACCTCCATCATCGGCAAGGATGCCAACGCCATCCTGGAGGGATTCGGACTGTACGTGATTCAACCGGTTTCCTGATCCTAACTAACAAGAAACAGTCTCGTCAAGAAGAAGGAGAACGTGATCATCCGTAACCTGGGTGTCAAGAAGGTCCTGGCTGACAATGGCGATGCCATTGGCGTTCGTACGTACCTCATCCCCCCTACTCTACAATCCCATTAACCGTCAATAGAATACTCCAACAACGTCTGGATCGACCACTGCGATGTTTCCTCTGACAAGGACCACGACAAGGACTACTACGACGGACTGATTGATGTATGCCCTTCCTGCCTCCTCCTATAAACCCTATACTACCTGTGATCCCTACAATCCCCTATATCCTCTAACTTGAAATAGATCACCCACGGCTCCGACTACGTCACCGTCTCCAACACCTTCTTCCACGACCACTGGAAGGCCTCTCTGATCGGCCACTCCGACAGCAACGAATCCCAAGACAAGGGCCACCTCACCGTCACCTACGCCAACAACTACTGGTACAACATCAACTCCCGCGGCCCGTCCTTCCGGTTCGGTACCGGCCACATCTACAACAGCTACTACCTGGACGTGAGCGACGGCATCAACACCCGTGATGGCGCCCAGCTGCTCGTCGAGTCCAACCAGTTCGTCGACTCCAAGAAGGCTCTTTACTCCACTAAGTCGGGATACGCGGTGTCGAAGGATAATGACTTTGGAGGTGCTAAGAATGATGCTGATGAGGGTACCCTCACCTCTATGCCTTATGATTATACTCTTTTGGGGTCGGCGAATGTTAAGGCCGCGGTGGTGGGTACCGCTGGTCAGACGCTTACTTTTTAAGTGGTGAGGTGACAGCGGCAGCAGCAGCAGCAGTGGTAGTATGTCACTCTTTGACTGCAGGACAGTATTATATTTGTTGATACTGTATTCGAGAATAATTGTGTAAGTGGTGTAGAAGTATATCTTGAAATCCCACAATCCCACAATAAACAACAAGTATACAGTAGATAAATCCTTCAGCTACGGAGTAAATGTCATCCCAATATCTCCCATCGCTCAAAGCTCTTCACAGCCCTAATCAACCATATACTTACCTAGTATCCCCCCGAAGTAAACCTAGTCATATCATTACTCCGGAAGACACTTAAATCCGCTCCTTCTGATCCACCGATCCCGGAACCATCACAAGCCATCCTACTTGGATCCGATTGATCCTCAACCGGACTATTCTTCCGAATTTCGGCAATATCATTCTCATAATCATCCCTGCTGCATGCTGCATGATGCATACTCCTATTTCCAAAGCATCCCTGCCAAAGATAAATCGAACAAACAAGGTACAAATTAGAAGGGTACTGCGAGTCAGTGAATGAATATTATTACCTCAGTAATAATTAAGTAAAATCTCCGCTAAGAAATATCCTATCGGGGTTGAGGAATGCCTTGAATTCTGGGAACTTATACTTCTCTCCCATCTTTTTTCTTCCTTTATGACTTGCCTACCATAACAACTAAACTAGGCCAATCGAGTAATTGATGAGATAAGAGGAAGTAAGAGAAATTGAAAGTGAGAGAGTGTGTAGCATGCATGCAGACAGAGTCATCCGATGTGGTAACTGATCCGGAAGGTATAACATGGACATAGCAAGAAATGATATCATTCGGAAAAATACGGGATGATATCACCACTCCCCCCTATTCCGTAGTAAAATTTTTGAGTTCATAATCATGATCTAATACTTCTTACTGAGTAGTAGATGAATGTGAAGGTAGATGAGTGCGTGCCGCGGCTCGGCGATAGATGGACGGACAGTGGAGTTCAGTGGAATTTAGCTTTGCGGTGATTATTATACCAATCGGAATAGACCGTCTAGTCAATTAGATGGATGTGGAGGATGGATGCACAAGTACCAGACAACTCCGAGCCAAGGCATTGCTGCTTACCGGTTCGCCTGGGCGAAGTTTAGCCGGTAGGGTTATCCGATAGGCAATGATCTATCTATCTACACTGCACTGTGCTCTGTACAGATAAGAGCGCAGGATGCAGATTATTGCTGTGCAGACATAGCGCGAGGGACGTGCGTATCCCCCCCCCCCCTGCCTCACGGCACGGCGGCTATACTAACTAGCCTTTCCCGATCTCTCCCGATCATATCGCATTACACATATCGTCGGCCAAACCTGTAGAAGAAACGCCCCCGCCATCATACATCCAGCGAATATCTGTGCACGCAAAAAGTCTGCTGCGATAAGATCCACCAACGCGCCGGCTACCGGCGTGCCGACTAAGGATCCGACGGAACTGATCCCCCACATCATGCCCATGCGGGTACCGAGATAGTCGCTATCGGGGCAAAAGGCCTTGTGTGCGACGATGGATGTTGGCGCGGTGACCAGCACCCCGCTGACAAATCCCCAGTAGCAGGCCCAGACGATGTATCCGGCTGTGTTGGTTGTGGCGATCCAGGTGAACATGGCGAGGGCGGCGGCCGCGACGCAGGTGATGAGGATGAAGATGGGTTTGATGCGCGCGCCGAGGAGGTAGGGCATGGTGCGGCCGAAGGCGGAGGCGCCGTTGGTGATGGAGACGAGGTAGAAGGAGAGGCTGGTCGGGGTGTGCAGGGCGGAGCGGGCGTAGGTGGCGATGTAGAAGATGGGGACGTAGTAGGCGAGCATGACGCAGGTCATGGAGAGGGAGAGGAGCATGAAGGGGAGGTGGGTTAGGGCTTGCCATTCGATGAGGCTGCGGGTGCGGGTTCGTTTGCCGGGACGGCGGCAGAGGATGGTGCAGGTGATGAGGGCTAGGAAGAGGTTGATGAAGGCGATGCAGCGGACGCTCCAGGGGAAGTGGATGATGGGTTGCAGTCGACGGAACATGATGGGGAAAATGACGCTGCCGACGCTAGATCCGATGGCAGCGCAACCGATGGCGATCGGGCGCTTGGTGGTAAAGTGTGAGGAGACCACCACCATGGCGGGGATGTAGGTGATGCCGCCCCCCATGCCGACGCAGAAGCCTTGGGCGAGGAGGACCTGGTAGTATTCGGTCGCGAGGCTGAGCATCATCATGCCAAATACCACCAGCACAGAGCCGCAAATGATCAGCGGACGAAGGTATCCCGAGTCGACCAACGGACCGGTCACCATGCCGACCATGACGATCAGCGTGGCTTGGATGCTGCCAATCCAGGAGATGGTCGAGGGGGACTCGTCCGGGAGGAGCACCGTTTGGTAGAATTCTTGAAAGGCGCCATAGCAGCTGATCAGGCCCCTGAGGGGGGTTAACATCGATGAGGCAGTAATGGAGGGGGGGGGCATACCAGGAGTTCACAAACACACAGAAGCCTGCGAGAACGCTGAGCCAGCCCTCTAGCCCTCCCTCCGGCATCGGCTTGTGCTCCGCCGTAACCTCGGCTGTCGGTTGGTGTTCGTTGGACACTTCATCTGGAGCTTCATTCTGTACCCCCATATCCTCTGTCTATCTCTAATAAGAATGGTACATGAAGCATACACAAGTTGAAAGAAAGAAAAAAAAAAAAACATCGACTGAACAGCCGACATCCGGGGTAAGCTCGGGTAGCAATGATACCCCAAATTTCGGTTCCCCGCAACGGCAAGTGTCCGTGTGGGGAATTACTCGTAGATTGGGGTCAAACCCTTGGGGTCAGCCTGATGATGGCCAAGGGTTCTGCCGAAACAAAAGCTGGTTTCGGATAAGGGAATAGCCGATCATTGACCTCCTCAACCTGTATGTTTAGAACCCTGCGCTTTGCGTTGCTTTTATCGCGAGATTTGGTATGCTGTAGTTTGGCCTCCTTGCTCAAGGTGCACCCACAGAAAGAGTACTGCATATAGTGGCCCCATGGGGCTATAATACCCATAATACAAATATGCCTTCCTCTCCACAAAAGCATGCATCTTCATCGGCGCCACGGGAACCGATTTCAGATTCCGTTGGGAGCACTGATGAAGGGGCCAAATCTATATAAAGAGGAATTCCGAACCTCAGGGATTCTCCTGCTGCACACTCTTATAGGCCGACCAGCAATCATGACACTCGTTTGGGTACCACAAATAAAAATCCTCCCTTGTTCATTTGGAATAGCCAGAGAGAAAGCTTCATAGTGAAGTAAGGAGCGATTGTGTGGCGTTGGACTTGCCTCGTCTCGAGCCATCGCTTCGGACGAGACTGTACGGGGAGTGAAACGCCTTGGCATTATGCGGTGGTCTATTGGGATCAGAAAGTGTATATTACATTCTGGAAGAGAGCCGCTTGTAATAATCATAAGGGGAGTTTTAGTTCCGTATGTGATTATTATGATGATACGTCGGAGGTCAGTGTCTTTAGTTTTAAGCCACTGTCGTTCCGGGTCTATTCGGGTTGTCATCATTCGTATGGTTGGGGGATAGCTGGTCGGAGCATACTTTGTGAGAATCGGGAGTTGTATATTGGGAGATGTCAGTCATGGGGTTGTGTTGAGGGGGTATCTACCTTGAAATTAGGGTTGTCGGTCAGGATGCTATTGCTTTGTTTTGCTTCATGAGAAGATCGGATTACATGTCTTTTTGTTTGTGTTCTTCCTATAATATAGACCTTTTGTCTTCTCCCTTATTCCATGTGATAGATATTGCCTTCTATTAATTTTGAATCTAATTATTTTCAGTACTCTTCCTAGTCCGTTTATAGCTACGAGTTGAATAGACGTGAGGTTCGAATGAGAGATGGGTGAAATACGAAAGAGATATACATGCAGGTAAATAAGATACAAATGAGGTACTGATAAGGTGTGTATAAAGATGGAAATGAGATGCCAACTAAGATGAATGAGATACAAAACTGAAAGAGATGAATAAGATGCAGTGAGTTATAAATGAGGCACAAATGAAGCATCCTCCATTGATCTGATGTTTATCCAGCCGCGCTCTACCAGTAGATAACAGACCAGTCACTATGATTAATCACGCCATACTAAGATCTAAGCCACACTAAAATCCAAGAACAAACAAAATACAACCAATCGATGTATCGGAAAGCATAAACCCTGGTCATGGCACCTGCATCTGACGATCTCCCGACACCCCGTCAGACAAGCGTCTCCCGGCAGCCCCTCATGACAGACCTTAAAGGAGCCCGATAAGCCTTCCGGTGGGGCTGTCGGCCCGGGCCAGGCAGAACTCACCGGCCGCGCGTCCAAATGCCCGGACCTTGGGTTGACATCATGTGAGGGGCAACATCCTCGACCTCCCTTGCCTGTTCCTATCACAGTAAACACACCTCATCAAATGAACATCCTGGACATGCTTCTTCACTTCCCAAGTGAGATCCTGCCATGTATCGCCGAGAAGCTGGAGCTTGAGGATATCAATTCTCTGGCGCAAACCAACAGACATATCTACCACCTGATCAACCCCTATCTTTATCGGTATGATGTACAAGAAGGTGGGAGTTCGGCGTTGCTGTGGGCTGCAGGACAGGGAAACGAAGAGACCGCTCGGAAATCACTAGACGCTGGGGTTCATGGTCAAGCTCAGTCTGAGCCATTGCAGGAAGCGCTATCCGAGGCCGCTAGGAACGGATATGAGGGTATTGTTCGGATGATTCTTGCGAAGGAAAATGTTAAACCCGACTGCAAGGATTTCAAAGAACAGACGCCGTTCATGAAGGCGGCTAAGAAGGGACATGAGAGTATAGTCAGACTGCTGCTGGCTACTGAGGGCGTCAGTCCGGATTGGAAGGATTCGGAAGGGGATACGCCTTTATTGAAAGCAGCCAAGAACGGTCACGAGACTATTGTCAACCTGCTTCTCAACACAGAAGGTGTCAATGCTGACTCTCAGAACCGGAATGGGGAGACACCGCTTTGGTGGGCAGCGTGGGGGGGACATGAAGTAGTGGTAAAGCTGCTGCTGGCTGTGTATGATGTCAACCCTGATCAGAGGAACTCCAAAGGAGAGACGCCACTCCGCTGGGCAGCATGCAACGGACATGAGGCAGTGGTCAAGTTACTGCTCGATACCAAGCGTGTGGACCCTAATTCTCAGGATCGACGAGGAGAGGTGCCGCTATTGAAAGCAGCGCAGAACGGACATGAGCCTGTCGTCAAGTTACTGCTTGCTACAGAAGGTGTTGATCCTGATCCACGGGATTTCAACGGGCGGACACCACTATCATGGGAAGCAAAACATGGACATGAAGCAGTAGTCCAATCTCTCCTTGCTAGGGAGGAAGTCAACCCCGATTCTCGAGATAATTGGGGACGGACTCCATTGTTAGAGGCAGCACAGAATGGACATGCGGCAATAGTCAATCTGCTCCTCGACACCGGCAGGGTTGATCCTGTCAGGTCTTCCGACGGGCAAACACCACTCTGGTACGCGGCATTATCAGGACATGAGGCAGTTGTCAAGATACTTCTTGGTACGCCGGGTGTCAACCCTAACTGTGGGAATATGGATGGCGTGACGCCCCTCTCAGTGGCGGCATCAGGTGGATACGTGACAATAGTCGAACTGTTGCTTGCTGCAGGCGCCAGTCCTGATATCAAAGACGATCTTGGAGAAACGCCATTGTCAAAGGCAGCCCAGGAAGGCAATGATACGGTCGTTGGACTCTTACTTGCCACGGAGGGTATCGACCCAGACGCGCAGGATAATGACGGACGTACACCTCTTTCCAAAGCAGCCGAGAATGGACATGAGACAGTAGTCAAGCTGCTACTTGCTACAGACGCTGTTGATCCCAATGCTCAGGATTTCGAAGGACAAACACCCCTGTCATGGGCGGAGGATTACGGAAACGAGACCGTGGCTGAACTGATCCGAGATCGGCTATCATCCTAGCTGTGGTGGTTAGCCAATAAATCGGTGCAGTATCGTGGCTGCACCTGTGATAGATGTGGAATTCTGATATGAGCGCGTTGTGCGATTTAAATTAGCAATTGTTTTGTGGTCTCTCCGCTCTGCCTGTTGCATGCAAATAACTCATCCTTTAATTCTTTAGAAGTTGTCGGTACCTCACATCTGGAAGTCCGTGTTAATCTCGCTGGAATATCCCACTCGCGAGCTTACCCATGTCTCGGACAATTATCTGTTCCGTTGATCGTACTTTCTTGATGAGAAAATAGTTCACAGAGAATTGTCAGGGTCCTGAGATAAATAACGACCAATGCCACCTACCTATTTGATTCCAGATCGAGCCAGTGACGGTATGTTCGAAAACGGGCTACCACCGTTGTATCTCCACTAGACTACTAATTGAACCTCTTCCTGATCCTCAACGGTTCAACCATGGCTACACCCCGATCTAATCAAGCAACCTAAAGCTTTGCCCAGACAAACCGGTGAGCCGTTTGGATGGAATGATCCCAAACTCCACCCGAGTGGGGCCCGATCTTGCCCGATTGCGGTGATCGTCTCTGATTCTACCCTAACCATGCAAAATCCCGCATGATTGTCCTCAACCAGCGCGGTCCCTGGCATGACATGGGCCAAGACCTGTTCTAGATTGCTGCAGAAAACTTAAAAGCCACAGATCCCCTGTCCAGACTCCAAAGGAAATTCAATCCCGCGCAACCTGCACCTTGCAATGGCACACAATCTCTCCGTCACCGGCCTCGCGGCCAATTACTCGCAGATTCCTGCGGCCTTTGAGTTCTACGACAGTCGATTCTTGAACATCACCGGCCTGGCACCCAAGCTCGAGGTGCTGCTGGAGAATATGACTTTCCGTTTGCGCACGAAGCGAGCGTCTTCATCCCATCTACCGATGAACTCTTTATGACTAGCAACATCTTCACCGATCCCATCACGAATCAATCGACCATCAAGATCTCCAAGGTCTCTCTGAGCGCTAACCCCGTCACCTCGGAAATGATCAACAGCACTATCCCCCTACCCAACGGAGGCGTCAACCACGGCAACGGCATCCTCTTCTGCGGCCAGGGAACCCTCAATGAATCCGGCGGTCTATACCAAATGTCCATTGAGTCTCCGTACGAGGCCGAGCAATTAGTCAGTGGCTTTTACGGTCGGGAATTCAATTCCCTGAATGACGTGGTTGTCCACCGCGATGGCTCCATGTGGTTCACTGATCCAATCTACGGGTCCAAGCAGGGCATTCGGCCCTCGCCGCAATTGCCCAACCAGGTATATCGCTATGATCCTGCGACGGGGAATGTGCGTGTCGTGGCGGATGGATTTGGCCGTCCGAATGGAATCAGCTTCTCTCCGGATGAAAAGACGGTTTATATCACCGATACGGCCTACACAGCTGGTGATGGGACGACGGATCCTACGAAGCCGTCCACGATGTACGCTCCCTTCTTATTTCCCTACCTTCTTCATGCCTGTATGAAACTTGGGACTTGGCTAACTGCACCCAGCTATGCCTTCGACCTCACTACCCTCCACGGCGAGACTTTCTTGACTAACCGCCGCGTGTTTGCCATGGCGGACACTGGTGTTCCCGATGGAATCAAAACCGACACGAACGGCAACGTCTATGCCGGCTGTGGAGATGGCATCAATGTCTGGTCACCCGGTGGGGTCCTGCTCGGCAAGATCCTGATCAAGAACGGGGCAGCCAACTTTTCCTTTGGTCGTAATGGGTTGATGTTTATTATGAACGAGAACAAGCTATGGACTGCGCAGCTCAGCCCATCGGTTCAGGGGGCGCTTTTGGCGGAAATAGACAACTGATAGGGTTTATTCCTGGCACGGGATAGCGGGGAGTTAGATGACATGAGAATTCCATCCTCCCTTCCATCTTTGTCCATCTTCTCTTCTGTCATTCCACAGCTGTTCCCACCGTAAAGTCATCATGCCCGAGAAGCCCACCCGCGCCCAGGCCACCGTGGCCGCAAAGCTCACATGGCTATCCAAGTACAAGGGCCAGTTCCTCAGCCCATCCATCTGTTCGCGAAACAACATCGACTTGCATCATCTAGACCTAGAGGACATTACCCAATCGACAGGTCCGCTTTGCTTCGAGCCACTAACCAAGACCCTCCTGACGCGATATCCGATCGACCAAGATTTCCTGGCCCGCGTGAAGAAAACCAAGCCCGAATTTCTGGACATAGGGGAGTATGAGGCCATGATGGAGGCAGGGAAGAATGATCCCCTGGCCGGAACCCCTCGCCATGTCCTGTGGGGTCTTCCACGGGTGCTATCCCGCCAGATGCACGACGTTGCGCGAAAGCACATCCCACAAGGACAAGGGACGTCCATCTCAGACGTCACTTGCTGGAGTCGAGCTACCTAGTGAGTGGCCATGTTGTTTTGCATATCCCCTTCTGTTCACCATGCTCATGCATCCCCGAAACGTGACTAGCCCGGAGAACCCCGTCGCGGGAGCCTACACCATCGATAGATTCGGATTCACCGATTGGCGGCATAACGTGCACACCATCAATGTCGTCGAGAACGACCTCTATCCGCATGTTACGATGATGGCATATCATGCGTGCCCGGAGTTTTGTCCGGAGGGAGAGCCTCCAGGTCTACGAACTGGCGTATATGCTCAAGGCCATGGAATTCCGCCTTGCGGAGGGCTTGTTTGACAAAGATCAACCCCAGCCAGTAGGTGACCCTGACAGATTTCATCATTCCATGACACTGACATTCGACCGTGTTTCCAAAGGTATTGATGGTTTCCTTTATGGTGCCGCGGCATGGTCGTATCCTCCACGCTCACATCAATCGTGGCATCAAGCTGGTCATTTCCCGTAGCAAAATGTACAGCTTTGAGAACTCCCAAGGAGCGCCTTTTGAGTTGTTTTACCGGTGGTTTCTGGGAATCCCAATGGGGGTTCAGCCGAGAGAGCTGCCTGGTACCAGCAACAGTGAGAAGAGTGGAAGCGATCTGAAGCGCAAACTTGGAGTTGATGAAAATTCTCCGCCCGAGCCGAAGAAAGAATCAAAGAAGGGAAAGAAAAAGAAGCAGTAACTGCCGTGGTGAGCTGGAACTTTGCTTTAGTGTAGTTTACATCTTCAGCCACGCTGGACTAATGACACAACCTACTTCCCTGACGGGCTACCCTTACAAGTATAGTCGTATCCAACTTCACAGGTGGCTTATATTAGAAAATGGGACTGGTGGAACCGGTAATGCGGCAGAAATACACTCTGTATTTTACTTGACTGTGCACTGAGAAGCGGTCGATCATTGACATGAGCTATTAGAGCCACTGTCGGAACCAAGCGATTCATGTTCTCGAGTGTTTGGCCACGATGCCAAGTGCAATATAAATGCCAAATCCTGCGGTTTTAAGCTAATACAGCGAGATAGGACTTACAACCAATCAGAGATGGCAAGAATATAGACTATACCCTGTACAGATTAGTTGAAATGACTAAGCGGAAGCGCCGATCATCTCTGGTAATGTACGGAGTAAAAACGGCTGGAATTGTGGAACGCTGTCTTCCCATCAGACCCTGCAACTCTGCAAGGTACCTACCAGAACAGTGGTGGACGTACGTATGCTCCTCTACCGCTACGTCACCTCGATATCGCCGACTGAATAGGAATTGAGTGAAAATTGAACATATCAGACCGACATCATCATGCCATGTCATTTACAAACCCAGATGTGCCACAGCAAATACCTCGCAAACTTTGGCCACATCCTACGGGTCTCTGATAAGCTACAATAAATTGCGATCATCGGAGTTGCGTGTCCTGGCGAAAAAGACTGAGGGTATGAGTGAGGGTCAAGGCACCTATTCCACCGGTCTGGCCCGGGTTCTGCATTACGGGGTCTTGCGGAGTTCTCTGACACTCTGACGGGACTTAGAACCCTCTCGATAGGGCCTAGGCACTCGACTGGCCAAAATCTCCGGCTGGTGCTGTTGCTAAACAGGGATTTGTTCCCGGTTCGCTCAACTTGATACTGAGCTGACGAAGCCACGACTTGGCGCGAGCACCCATGCATTAGCTCACTTGGCACACGCCTTGACGAGGAACCGAAAGCTTGGCCTGTTGCACTGCATTTTCTGACAGCACCAGGTCCGTTCTCGCCGCTTACTGAGTGTTCTCCCTGCTCAACATCACGAATTTGATCGCCATGTCGACCACCGCCCTCGCCTGGCAAGGCAGACGCCAAGAAGGGTCCTGAAAGCCGAAACCTTAAGCCAGTCCCCTGTTCTCTGCCAAGCCGCCCCACTGCCCCAGAATAGATTAGCCCGACTCCGCCCGGATAAGGTTAATCCCGCCACGGCTTGGCTGCCCCGATTAGATGCGATTAGATGCATCAGGGCTACTCCGTACACTCCTACCGGATTGTTGCATGTGTTATGTGAAGACTGAGAAAGGGTTCAATACAGGAATCAGGCCAAATGAAGAGTATTCTTCTCGGCGGCATGACTAGAAAGTGCCTATTTGCGCTCTTCCATGCAGAATCTTCCTAACTACCTCCTTGCATAGGGCTCAGGTACACCCTGATAGGGCTGATGTCACTTCAACCCATCATGGTGGCCAACCCGGGCCGCGCAAGCCGGTGACGAGTTTCAACACTTGAGTTAATCCTTGCTGCAGAATGTCAAACCAGGTGGGCCCGCGGACCGATAGCGATACTATGTCCATCCGGATCGGACCACAGGCAACATGTTATAAAGTCCAGCAGCCTGCCTGTTACTCACTCCTCCATCAGACACTCCGTCAGTCTTTACAGTCTGCATCTGCATCTGCACCTTCGTTTCTTATTCACCTTCCATTCTTTTGGTGCCTCACCATGCGCCAGTACTCTCGCGCCGCTGTCGCGGCTCTGGCAGCCACCACTGCCCACGCCGCCTCTCTCTCCGATGTCTGCACCGTCTCCAACGTCCAGTCGGCCCTGCCCTCCAACGGCACTCTCCTCGGCATTGACTTGATCCCCTCCGCCGTCACCGCCAACACCGTCACCGATGCCTCCGCCGGCATGGGCAGCTCCGCGACCTACGACTACTGCAACGTCACCATCGCCTACACCCACACCGGCAAGGGTGACAAGGTCGTGGTCAAGTATGCCTTCCCCGCGCCCTCCGACTTCGAGAACCGCTTCTACGTCGCCGGTGGTGGTGGCTTCTCCCTCTCCAGCGACGCCACCGGCGGTCTCGAATACGGTGCCGCCTCCGGGGCCACCGACGCCGGCTACGACGCCTTCTCCTACAGCTACGATGAAGTCGTCCTCTACGGCAACGGCTCTATCAACTGGGACGCCACCTACATGTTCGGCTACCAGGCTCTCGGCGAGATGACCAAGATCGGCAAGCCCCTCACCCAGGGCTTCTACGGCCTCTCCTCCGACCAGAAGATCTACACCTACTACGAAGGTTGCTCCGACGGTGGCCGTGAAGGTATGAGTCAGGTCCAACGCTGGGGCGATGAATACGACGGTGTCATCGCCGGTGCCCCGGCCTTCCGCTTCGCCCAGCAGCAGGTGAACCACGTCTTCCCCGCCACCATCGAACACACCATGGACTACTACCCACCCCCCTGCGAACTCGACAAGATCGTCACCGAGACCATCTCCGCCTGCGACCCTCTCGACGGCCGTACCGATGGCGTCGTCTCCCGTACCGACCTCTGCATGCTGAACTTCAACCTCACCTCCCTCATCGGCACCTCCTACTACTGCGCCGCCCAGAACTACACCTCCCTGGGCTTCGGCTTCAGCAAGCGCCAAGCCGAAGGCAGCACCACCAGCTACCAGCCCGCCCAGAACGGCACCATCACCGCCGAGGGTGTCGCCCTCGCCCAGGCCGTCTACGACGGTCTCCACGACTCCAACGGTAAGCGCGCCTACCTGTCCTGGCAGATCGCCGCCGAGCTCTCCGACGCCGACACCACCTACGACTCGACCACCGACTCCTGGACCCTCGACATCCCCTCCACCGGCGGCGAATACGTCACCAAGTTCGTGCAGCTCCTCAACATCGATAACCTCTCCAACCTCGACAACGTCACCTACGACACCCTCGTCGACTGGATGAACACCGGCATGATCCGCTACATCGACAGTCTGCAAACCACCGTCGTCGATCTCACCGAGTTCCAACAGTCCGGCGGCAAGATGATCCACTACCACGGTGAATCCGACCCCAGTATCCCCACCGCCTCCTCGGTGCACTACTGGCAGGGCGTTCGTCAGGCCATGTACCCGGACGTCTCCTACAATGAGTCCCTCTCTCAGATGTCCGACTGGTACCAGCTGTACCTGGTGCCCGGCGCTGCTCACTGCGGTACCAACTCCCTCCAGCCGGGCCCCTACCCCGAGGATAACATGGAGATCATGATCAACTGGGTTGAGAACGGTGTCAAGCCTTCTCGACTGAATGCGACGGTCTCCTCGGGTACCTATGAGGGTGAGACGCAGATGCTGTGCCAGTGGCCTTCTCGTCCTCTCTGGTCCAGCAACACCACTTTCTCTTGTGTGTATGACCAGCAGTCATTGAACACTTGGGATTACACTTTCGATGCCTTCAAGATGCCTGTCTTTTAAGCACACAACACTCAATGTGACCTGGACAGGTCGTATGTATTATTCGCTTCAACCGTTTCCTCTTCGCTCCTTGTACATGCATGGACATCATTCACTGAGAAGTTTAATTGACAAATATCTTCCATCCTTCCCTCAGCACCACTAAGATAATCACTGCCAGTAGCTTGATACATCCAGCGACTGAATCCGGCACGGACCGTACGTGTGCAACTCTAAGAACCGGGTCGTTCGATCCTGATTCTGCACATATTTCACAATATGCGATTATGATCCCCTTTAACCACCCGCACAGACCATCCACCAGAGCCCGGTACGACTCTTCGATACATAAAATCCCCCGTAAATGAATACCATGCGGGTAGAACCCACATATTGCGCATATCATGCATCTTGATCCTAATTTAATGGCTTTGAGAAACGCCACGGCCGCAAAGATGATCGCTTCATCGTTTCCGGCGATGGGAGACAACAATTTGTTGTTTTTCTTCCAATTGCCAATTTCGATCTCCTGACCCTGTAGTTGGTTGATTCATGTGTCTCAAAGATCCGAGGTTAAATCGATCGTTCGGCCCGTCCTTCGGTGGTTAGGTTGCATTCTGCTGTATGCATTCAAAATATGTTTTTTTTTTTTGGTTTTTGATTTCCGGCAAGTCAATCGTAACCCATAGTAGGACTTCGGGGCTGCGTAGACCCTGTTAGATCCCATCGATCGGCATCGGTGGTCAGAGGGCCGCAGGCAATGAACTGCTCTACGTTGGTTGGAGCCTGACATGAGGATTTCAAGGCTGGCTCGTTTGTTCGAGGTAGATAGTCATTGTCGGCGGTACGGGGGTATCAAGATCGATGAGGATGAGGATGAAGATGAAGATGAAGATTGGTTGGGTTAGGTTAGGTGGTGATAGATGGGGAGAGAAAAGGAGACGCGATCATAGTAATTAAGGTATGTAACTCTGTTAATGTATGTCTTGGTGAATTTTTACATATTCATCCATCTATATGCTCTAGTTGTGAATCATATGTCTAGGACTTGAGGTGTCATGCACTAGGTCACTTGGTGACTACTGGCAACTAGCATTGAATATGATGTCTTTGCTTGTTGTGCTCTCGAGTCGGGCTTTATCTCTTGAGTATCGTTGCTGGATCCTCGGAGCGATTGAGTCCAAGCTAGGCTTTCCTTGGATTCGATGTATGCATCCTACAGACATATCCAATACACGAAAGAATAAAATTCCTATCATAATAATACAAAATTGAAAAGGAATCAGAGCCCTGCTCATCCCATACCAGCCGGGTGAATACCCTAAGAAGAGAACGAAAACTCCGGAATATCAATCGTAGTGACCGTCCAAGTCTTACCACCGTCACTGGTGGACATGTCACCGGTCACGCCGGTACCCTTGGCAAGGGTGTTGATGTAATCAGGGTCCGCCACATCGAGGATGATCTTGGTATCGGTCCAGGCTGGAGAAGGTGTTAAATGTATGAAGCGAGGTATAGGTCAAGAACTTACAGTGAGCGCCAACGGTGCCGCAGTTGTCTTCGGCGCATTCGACCGCGCTACCCCAGCCCTGAGCCTTGCCGTCGCTGGTGGAAAGGGTGGAGACGGTCTTGCCGTTGATGAGGACGGTTTGGGTGTAGTTGCCGGTGGAGTCGTCGAATTTGTCTGCGAGGATAAGTATCTGGACTGTGGATAATGGATTATATAGAAGCCGCTTACAGTGCATGGTGACCTTGTCACCCTTGCTGCCATCAGCCTGGCCGTCACCGTAGATCGGTTCCTGGGTGGTTGCTAGAATCCCAGTTAGTGGATCACTTGGTATTGGTAGATGGATAGGCTCACCGCTGGTGGACTTCAAGGTGTAGGCGTACATGGTCCAGTCGCTCTGCTGCCAGTTGTCGGCAATGGACTGAATCAAGTCACCGTTGGACGTGCCCATACCCACCCACAGGGAGGTGATGGCATCGGAGGAGCCGCCGCTGGGGCCGTTGGGGAGGACGAGAGTCGAGGTGGCTTCACGGATGAAGGAGTTGGAGGAGACCGGGCCAGTGCTGAAGGCGGGACCCATGGCGGCGTTGACGCCGGTGGCGCCGAGGGCGGCGAGAGCGAGAATCTGGTTGCGGGTGTACATTGTGAAGAATTGATTTGGTTGTAGTGGTCAGATGAACACACTGCAAACCGGATTGAATCACTTATATATGTTGGCACACCTACCGAGGCTTCCTGCAAGACCATCCTGGTGACACCTGCAGTGGCAGCTGTTTCAGATAATATCCACCCTGGGTTCTAAATCCGGAAGAATGGTCGATGATAGAGGATATGCGAGATGACCCCCCGAATGGGAGTAGTATACGAAGAATACGGCAGGTGGAATGCGGAAGCCAAGCAGGAGTTAATCTAGATGGATCTCAGGGACCGACGACTGCCGCAGACTGCTACCAAATTTCCCGTCCCGGCCCACTTGGTGTCGGGCGCCTCCACTCAGAGGTTCGGCCCTATAGGAAACCCTGGAAGCCCATCTCCTTTTGCCTACCAAAATAGGCTGATGGATTTCGGGATGGTCTGATTATTCCCTCAATCACGGGCTCCGTGATTCCACATGGATGCTGTTTCGGTTACTTCAAGACGGAGCACACTCCCTGTTTCATTTGGGTCGAGGGAAAGAAGCGCTGCCTGCTTGCGGGGTACACGGGGTCAACCTGGTCAGGGCTGTTACAGCCAATCGGAAGCTAATTGCTTGAAGAGAGCTTGAAGAAGTATTTCAAGTTCCGGTTGACGGGGATGCTGCACACGCCAGACTGACAGGAGAGGCCCACTCGAGCCATGCTAGAAGCTTTCTAGGCTGTACTCTGCTGGCAGGGGAGACTCCGGCGAGTACTCGGAGAAATGAATATCTTTGCCCCCCCCCCGATATTTTATTCAAGACATTGGAGGCGACAGTAGTCGCCTTACGGATGAGCACTATGCTTCAGGCAACACCATTCCCCAGAATGTGACCACCTATCGATAGCTTAACTGCCACACGGCTAAAGATCACCATTCAGCTAATCATGGTGGCGAAGGATTAACCCAGCTTGCACTCCAAATCAAACGGAGTACGATGACTTTCAGGCACACAACTGAGAGTGATCACTATCACCTCGTTCATCCGCCGTTCCACGGGCTATAAGTCTTATTTTGTCGGTATGTGTCTGCTCTATCAAGAGCTTCGAGATCATTTTCACTCAGGATAATCAAAATGATAGTATGAGCTGGGGTTCTGGATGGCTTCGAATGATGAAACAAGCGGGAGGGAGAGAGCCAGCAGGCAAACAAGCATGACATCACCTGATCTGTGCATTGTCCATCATCCGGCTATATATTTAATTGCCTGAAAACCTTGTGCTCCCAGCACTGCTAACCACCACCGACCTTTAGCCGAGTTTCAACCGGCTTGACATCGATACTACCTTTGCAGTAAATAGTGAGTCAAGGCCATTTCCTATACAGACTCATACATTTTATTATTTGCCAAAACGGGAAATAATTCGCTGACCTAGAGCATATGTACGTAGAGACTAATAGGAGGCTAGCTTAGGAGCCAGCCACATATTCTAAGAAAGATGTAGAATAGGCATGGAGAGGTAGTGAATTCCAACGCGTCCTACGTGTCAATTAGACCAGTTCCCATTGGATGACTGCCAATAGTGGATTTTCGCGATTCCTTAGACTTTCCAACCAGGGGATGTTTTTCATTGGTTTCAAGCATCATATCTGATTTATATCGGTCGGGCCGGGCCGGGCCTTGAGATGTGGCTGGACAGGGTATTCACTTCCATGAGGGTGGTGGAAGCTGGCTTGGGACTGTTGAATCGTTTAGCATAGAAAACTGGGGGGGCAGTCCTTGAAGATACCTTATCATGTTTATCTGAAGCTTATATCGAAGTACTGTGGGTTAGGAAATGAGTGTGACTAGATATATCTTGGACTGCTTTGATATACTATATATAATTCCACTTATGCCTCAGTTCGCTAGATTCGAATCGCATGACTGACCAACGATAGTCAAAGTCACAACTAGGAGAAATTTGGTCGTTGTTTGTCAGACGGTTTCTACGCCAGAGTGATCGTCAGATAAATATGTCATCGTGTTGGGGCTCATCACGCAATATGTCAATGGATGGGTTAGATGCCGTCATCACTATATCGAACAAGACAGTTGTACTATAACACTATGATAATCGCACTATTTCGCCCCCTTTGCACACCCGAAATGCTCAGATGTATATAATCCGGGTCTTAAAAACATTACTCATCTATCCTTCCCCCACCTATACAGAAGCCCGCCACAAACACCTCAAGTCACATCCCGGGCCTTATCCTGTACTCAACTCTTGGCATACAAAGCAGAATTATTTGATCGAGCTCAGCAATCGCTCGCATGGCTTAGTTGGTAAAGCGCATGACTAGTAATCATGAGATCCTCGGTTCGAATCCGAGTGTGAGCATTTTTTGGGTCTTTTTTCTCTCGTCGGTAGATGGTGGCCCACATTGCTGCAGGTGGGTCGGGCCTTTTGCCCCGAGTCAGGGAGTCCACATCGTAGTACATGGCCTCAATGATCGGACCTTGATTGCTTCTCGTCGCATAAGAAGACTTCAATACTAACAAGCGTCTATATGATTTCTACTTGAGTTCTACGTTCATATTGAGCCTCTCTGCAGGACCTTTGTCGGTGAAGCTGGATTGGATTCAAAGCTGGTGAAGAACTGATGTGTAGGATCGGTATGGTAGTTGTTCTCCTGTTTTATTGATATCAGACATTAGCATCGCTCCTATATGGCGTACGTAAGGGGAGAATAAACATGGGAGATCTGAGAAGAGTCAGGCGGTAAAGGTGAGCCAGATATACTACAAATTATATGCAAACGAGGAAACTGATGGCACTGAGCTTCGACCTGATTTTAGCCCGGAACTTATAAGATTATAAATCTTGCTGCTCTTTTGTATGCTCACAAAGCTGGTTCATAATGTAAACAATCGGGCATCACCCATCAAACCCTGATTGCTAACCAGAAAGGCATGTAATGCTATATCTTGCCCAAAGGATGAACTGCTGTCTCCTTGATTCTTAGAACAGTGGAGACAAATGTCGGTTTTTCGATGTCTCACCTGCCCAGACCAATGTATTCCTTCAGGTGCAAGCATCTGGTGGCGAATCACAAATATATGCCAGGATCGAACCTACACTGATGCTGTTCCTGACAGGCGTTGTGCGCTTCGTTCCTGCGGCGGCCCGAATACGAGGCTTGGTCTGGAGTCAGCGATCCACCATTGCATATTATCATTGGAGTCCACGTACGACAGTCATGACTCAGGAATGTGTCCTGACTGGGATATAATCTTCAGTCTTCGAACTGAAGCTGGGCATTATCCCTCATCGGACCTGGGTGGTCCGAATATTTCCGCCAAGGGCCGCTGTTCCCCCGCAGCTCCGAACCCCTCATCAGCCCCCGCAATTCCTCCGCCATGCAACCGCTGTTTTTTGCATAATCCCCGGCTGTCATCCATGTCATCCGCCATTGTTGAAGCGATCCCCTAGCCGAGGGTCAAGTGCGTTGTGTTCCTGACTCTAGCCCCAACAGAGTAATTCTCCTGTGGGTTCTCAGCCCTTGCAGGGAGGATGTGGTCATTCTGCATCAATGGGCCCACGTGCGCCCAATCCGGAGTCTGAGTATTGAGGAACAGGCTTAGTTTTGGCATGATGCCGCTCAATGCCTGAATGGCAGATGTATAAATAGAGGATCTCCCAGAAGCAATGAACCATAAGCAAGCTGTATCTCTTTGACTGGCTCATCCACCAGCATGATTTCGTCCGTCTTATCCTACTTGGCCGTGACATGGCTGGCCGGTCAGGCATCGGCCATTGAGCTGACCGTGTCCAAAACTGGCGGCAATTCGTCCAGTTCCCTCCTCTATGGGATCATGTTCGAGGTAAGACCCATCTGATTCTTCCATGCATTGACTCATTCGTCCAGGACATCAACAATTCAGGTAAGACATATACCACTGTAGGGTAGGGAAAGATAAGTGACCCCGACAGGTGACGGCGGTATCCACGGCCAGGTGCTTCGCAACAACGGCTTCCAGGGTGACGATCCTGGTCTCACGGCGTACAGCGCGGTTGGAGATGTCACCATATCCCAAGATACGTCTGAGCCGCTCAGCAGCGCCATCACCTCTTCGCTCAAGGTTTCTGTTCCATCGGGGACCACTGGATACGTTGGTTTTGCGAATGAGGGGTACGATGGGGTTCCAGTTCTGGAGACTACGTATGACAACTACTTCTACGTGAAAGGCGACTACTCGGGCACGGTGAACCTCCGCCTGGTGGGCAATTCCAGCGGAATCGTCTACGCAGATCATAACATCACGGTGGCGAGTACCACCTCCAACTTTACCTACTATGAGACTTCGTTCACCTCGTCCGTCTCGGCCGATGCAAACAATGTGTGGCAGCTGCGGTTTGATGCTTCCAAGGTGGCGGGGAGTTCTTTGAACTTTGGCTTGGTGCAGCTGTTCCCTCCTACCTACAACTCGCGGTGAGTCAGTTGGTCATCATATGAAGAGCAGGCTAACTCGTCTAGGTCCAACGGCCTTCGTAATGATGTTGCCAGTTTCCTGGCCGAGGTCAAGGCGTCCTTTCTCCGGTTCCCGGGAGGCAACAACCTGTAGGTTGCCGTGATCCAATTTTCCGTTCTTGATACTGACTCTGTCTCAGGGAAGGCGCCAGTCCAAGCGATCGCTGGAAGTGGAATGAGACGATCGGTCCTGTGATTGATCGTCCCGGACGAGAGGGTATGAGCATTTCTCTCAACGAAGCGCTCGCTGACGATTGCAGGTGATTGGAGTTATCCGAATACCGACGCCCTTGGTGAGCTACCCTTGAAAGCCATCTGAATGAGCGCTAACTCAGACAGGTCTCGATGAGTACCTCCAGTGGTGCGAGGACATGAACTTGGTTCCTGTTCTTGCTGTGTGGGCCGGTCTGAGCCTGGGTGGCGGTATTGTCTCTGGATCAGACTTGGATCCTTATGTGGACGACATTCTGAACGAGCTCGAGGTAGGACTCTCCTAACTTATCTTATCTTCTCTTAACACTCGTAGTACGTCCTCGGCTCGACAGACACCACCTACGGCGCCCTACGTGCCAAGAACGGGCGCACCGAACCATGGAATGTGCAACACATCGAAGTGGGCAACGAAGACAACCTCAACAGCGGCTGCGGCACCTACGCAGACCGATTCACCCAGATTTACGATGCCGTCCATGCCGCGTATCCCAATATCACCATCGTGGCCTCCACCACTGACACTTCCTGCCTCCCATCCACCATCCCCGACGGCGTCATCACCGACATCCACCACTACCTCACCCCCGACGAATTTGTCGAGCTTTTCGACGAATGGGACAATTGGTCGCGCGACTGGCCCATCCTGGTGGGTGAATATGCCAGCACGACCGGCAACGACGGCAGCACCACCTACTGGTCCTACATGCAAGGGTCCTGCAGTGAAGCGGTCTACATGATTGGCATGGAACGCAACAGCGACATTGTCAAGATGGCCAGTTTTGCTCCCTTGTTGGAGCACTTTGATATGGCCGAGTGGTCGGTGAGTGCATCCTACCAGACTTCGCTTGCATGTATACTGATTGCCTTAGCCCGACCTTTTTGGTCTTGACTCGAGCCCCGATTCCATCACGGGGTCTACATCGTACTACGTGCAGAAGATGTTCTCCACGAACCGCGGCTCCACTATCCTCCCTGTCAACGCAACCGGCGACTTTGACCCGCTGTTTTGGGTTGCGTCGGTGTCGGACGCGGGTACGTACTACGTCAAGCTGGCGAACTACGGGGCTACCTCGCAGAATGTGACGGTGAACATTGAGGGCACGACCTCGGGTGACTTCCAGTTGCTGACTGGTGGGGAGTCGGTGAGCAATTACCCGCATGATGTGTCGATTACCACTACGACGTTGAGTGTGTCGGGGAGTGGAAGCTTCACGGTCGAGCTGCCGGCTTGGGCGGTTGCCGTGTTGGCTGTCTCTTAATGCGGCGAATGTATAGTGTGGACTACTGTATCCTCGATACAGTGCACGATTCACATAGATCATAATCATATCCCATCCATCTCACTCTAATATCTCCCCCAACAACACCCTGGTAGCTACCCACAACCTGGCAGTATCACCAATACGTCGCCCACCGACTCTCCCCCCTGACCACCTTGACAAACTCCTCCGCAATAATCTGATCCGTCCGCTCCGACGGATGCAACTGATCATACCAGAGAAACGAATCCGGACTCGGCAACGTCTGACACTCCGTCCCTGCCACATTACAATGATGTTCATACCCGGTGACATTTGCCGGCGCGGACCCATTCAAATACCCACTGGGATGGTGATAGATATCCGAGACCTGCCACACATAACCCATTAGCCGTACTTCCCCAACCCCAACAAAACCAACCCATGAACATCCATAACCGCCACCCCCACCCCCGGATACCTCCCCTTCACCCTCCACTCCACCGCCGTTCGAAACTCAAACAACGCATTCACCAAACTAACCTGCTCCCCCATCCGATAACTAATCTCCGTAAAATTGCCCCCCTTATCCGGCCAATAATTATTCTTCCCGATCCCGCCATTCTCCGGGGTGGCATACAACGGCGCAAACTGCAATGGCACGACATTCATAATCACAAAGTATTTCACATTGCCCGTGGCGTAGATCCCATCGAGGGAATCATAGACGCAATCTACGTAATCCGGGATCGTCTTACCCCTGACTTGGGAATCGGTGAGGAAGGCGTAGTTGCCGAGATCGTTGGTTCCGATCCAGATGGCGTAGATGGTTTCGTCGGGGGGCAGGGAGAGGAAGTTTTCACCGGTGATGGGGAGGGTGTAGTGGGCGTCGGCGGTGAAGGCCGGGACTTGGTATTCGAGGACCGAGGGGTACAGGCCGAAGGAGGTGCTCCGGGGGGTGATCTGGTTCGAGCAGGAGGCGCCGCTGACGGCGTAGTTATAGCGGTGGGTGAGGGAGGCGTATTGGTGCACGTAGTGGCCCCAGATGTAGCCGCCGGAGGAGGAGGAGTTGGTCTGGTTCTGTTAGTCTTGTTTTGGTATGATTGTAGGGTGAGGGTGGAGGAGGGTTGGTGGGTGATGGGGTAGGGTTAGAAGGGGGAGGGGATAGGGTTAGAAGGGAGGGGGGGGTACGATTGGTTCGACCCATCCGACAGGCGGTGCAGAGCCATTATGATTATAAAAGTAGCTGATTCGCGTATCGTCCGTGTAACTATCGCCGAAGGTGACTAAGGTGGTGAATTTACTCGGCCCCCATGCTTGACTGGCGAGGGTGAGGACCGCGTCTAGCCCTAAGAGGGCGAGGAGGGAATAGAATGCCCGCATGATGATGCGTCAGGTTAGGAGGTAGATTTCTGGAGGGGCATTACTGACATCGACCCCTTTTAAACAGATTCGGTGCAATGACGTTCACCTCTGCATTTATCCGAATGCGGAGGGCGGGTAATCTCAGCAACCCGGTCGATGCTATTCGCGGAAGATCTGCACGGGTGGTCATGCATGTGTTTATCCGTTTGCTGAGTTGCTGCTGTCTTTGGCGGTGGTTGGATTTAGGCTGGATAATGGGATGTTCATTGCTGATTTGTACTTGGCGGTTACTGATGCTAAATCTGGATTCGATCCAACACTTGTGATAATGAGTGTATGCTGCATACGGCCTTTCCTGATCTGAGCAACCTAATTACTGGCAGATAGCCAAGTAAATTTGATTCATGGCTACCAAATCAATCATAACCAAGCAATCACGCATACACAGTAAGGACAAGAAAGAAGGTATGATGCTAGTATGTGGTCTCAACCTGCCCATACGACGCTCCGTTGAACTCCAGCTCGAACTTAATCGTACCCGACAGTGGCGTCATGATCAAGTCGTGTTGAATACTGTAATATTGCTCCCCCTTGGAATTAATCCGTTGCAGAAAGAGACTCGTTGGGATCCCGCGCAGGTCGCTCTTCATTTCACACACCCAGACGGTCTCTGCGCGGAATCAGCATTGCACTGCCATATGTATGAATCTACTTACCATCGTTGAGACGCTCCGGGGCTTCATAGTTGCCGCAAAGATAAAGCCGGTCGTAGAAAATCGGCTCTCTACCATATGGCAGAACCCGCTCAAAAGTCATTCGGATGGGCTGGTTTTCCAAAAGTTCCTCGCCCTACGGCCATAAGTCATAAAGCAGAACCATCCACGGGCCTGGACTTACCTTTTGGATATACCACCGCATCAGATTGTGAACATACCACTTCTCCTTGAACGTGCACCACGTACGTGCAGCGACGGGGTATCTCACCAGATATTCGGGGCAACAGCTGCGATACAGAATCCCATAGTGGCGCCTCGCAATGCGCTTTCCGACTTGGTTGTCCTCAATGCCATGTCGAACCGCGCCACTAGGCCTGTTAGTCCGATGCGCTATTCTGGCCACCTGCACTCACAGCATCACTGCAGACCAGCTACTGGATTTAGCCCGAGAACATCGCAGACATCACAACAGACACTTACGAGTTGGGCGGCTGCATCACAATTATAGGATCGTGGGCTTTCTGGATGCACTGGTAGAGATATTCCGATGACCCGAATCCTCCGACCAAAAGGATCGCCTGCCTCGGTCAGTTGAAGCAAGGTACCGCTGCCGTACGCACCTTGACCGACGTGCCCGAGGCTCGGGCTTTGGTAACCTGGTCGCAAACCAGGGTTTGGACCTCCCCGACGATCGGATCAAAGATGGCCTTGATCTGAGTTCTATTCACGATGGTCAGCTCGGCCCCACATGCGTATCGGGTTGGCACACCCATCCATTTGGAGAAACCCATCTTGTAAGCCAATCTTTGAACAATCTTTCACCCCCGGAAGAGGCACAAAGTGGATCTCCTCCAGAAAGTCCGGGTCGTTCGCAAAGTTGGGCTTGATATTGTCCTGCCAAAATCGCAACGCAATTTCGCGAGCCTTGTCGGGGATTTTCCTGCCCAGCAAGCTCTTGAGGAAATTGGTGAATCCAACATCCAGCATCATGGATCCACAGATGCCACCTAACTCGATTAGCCGGCTTCCACAGGGTCAGGAGATGCATACCTGTGCCCTCGACTGCTTCTTCCAGACGCAGTGGCGAGACCGATTTCACACAATACGAGATGAGATCCTGCCAGGTCAGTCATGGCACAACAGTGATTGCCAGGACACCAACCACAGTACCGCCACCCGCATCACACACTACGACTACATCGCCATCCTGGCCAATATTAGAGCAAGCACCATCACTCTGCAATTCACTCGCCTGGATCGAATTGGGTTGGATGACACCCATACAGTGTAAGGCTGCCGCCTCGGGCTCGGACACCAAAGAGACATTTTGAGGGGAGATACCCGCTTTCAGAGCGGCCTTCAAGGTTGCGTCCTTGGCCTTGTCCGACCAGACGGCCGGCACGGTCAGCACATAACGCATCTCCATGCCTTGTACAGCGGTACCAAATCGCCGTTGGAGAATGGTTTCAGTATGCAACACCAACTGCTCCAGATACTGACCAGCCAAGTCGATGGCCGTTTTCCGGTTCCGTTTAATGAATCCGGCAGATTCCAGAGCCGCCACGTATTTTCGGTCCTGGGACCCGTCGAGGAGGATCTTCACCCCTCGGATATGGTCCCCAAAGAAGCTGGTCTGATAGCCCCACTGAAACCGTCCCCCGCACTTGAATAGCATGGTGCTGGGCACTTTGGGGACCGTTCCTACGGCCGGGTTAACCAGATGCCAGACTAAGAATGGAAGAAACTGACTGTTACCGCTTCCCGGCCATGAGGTAATCACTTCAGACTTGTCAGGGCAGTCACTCAGCGCCCAGGCGACCCTGCCAGATCAGTTTGGATCTCTGACTGGGGGAAGTGCTTACCCGCTATAGGTGGTGCCGAAGTCGAGTCCTATCACGATACGAGGATTTTCCATGGCAACAAAGCTGAACCAAGTGTGGACACTATGGGGAGTATAGAAATAATGAAAGGTTGAGGGATGAGGGAGAAGACACAGAGGAGAAGCATGGGTTTTAAGTCAGGAGAACGGTGCAGTCATTCCGACTATCCCCTCATTATGGTCACAATGACGAGTGCGACAGCCGGACTCATTTCGTCAGAATCGTTCGGCAGGAATCCAACCCCTCACCATGTCGTGATGGCAGACTCACAATGAATCAAATTTTTAACACTTTATTCCCGCCTCTCATCGAATCGTACAGTTGCATCATGGACGGCCTGGCTAGGAGGGATATTTTCCCGCCGGACGAAAGAACGCATGTTGATAACCTCCTGCACGTGAGTCAACCACCTCTGAATCTAGTCGTGCTCTAAGTGTTGTGCGCAGAACAACCCAGAACTCTATAGGGGGCTAGAGAAAGCTGCCATGGCCCCGCTCTTCGCCGAGGAGCAGGCTCGACGCCATCTTCAACGCTTGCAGGAAGTGGAATTGTCCAATGCTTCCGAAGTGGCTCAGTATCGAGCCCAAATCAGATCACTCACGCGGGAAATACAATTATTGAAGTTTCAGCCGGCCACCCTCAGTGACGAGGATGCCACACGAGAGATGAATCGTCTGCAGCAGCGGTTGAATGGCTGGATCAACTCTTGTTTCCGTGATCCACATCTCCTGGAGAAGCTCAAATGGGACCTCGAGGTCCATGGGGCAGCCTTTGTTCCAAACGGACAGCACGAACTACGTGCTTTCATCTCCTCCGCTGTCAGCGGGACGTTTTATGAGCATGTCTTTGGTCGGTTTCTATCAGGATTACCCTGTGAAGAAGTCTTCCAGGCCATTGCGGAAAAGGTGCAGAATTACTGTAAGCCTTGTCTTGCTAGGTCCAGAGGAGCAAGCTGACGGTCAGGTCCCCGGCATGTTGCCCACCACTGGCGCAAGGCCACAAGCATCGCGGCGGAGGAGCTCGGGGATGAACCCGGGATCGTCAATGCGGTGGTAGCGCAGGTGGAGGCGGACTTTTCGCAATACTTCTCGATTGATCCGTCCAGTGGAAGCACCAAGTTGCGCACTCTGGTTCGGGCGTGTCTCCAATTCAAGCGTCGTCTGGATCGCCAGGAAAGCCATTATCGCTTCTTTCGCAGCGCCTTTGGTACTCCCTTTACCTCAGAGACCATGCAGCATGCCCTGATTCCCGAGGATATTGGGGATCACGTTCAATGCGCATTGTGGCCGGGCATATACAAAGAGTCGAGGAACGGATGGCTCGTCATCGAACCGGAAACCGTCTTGGCCAAGAAGATTGTAGTGCCCAGCAAGTCAGTCAGCCTTTGGGACCAAGATGAGCCTATGCTTGGCTTGCTGGGATTTGATAAATGGGATGACTGGGATGGATTGATTCCGTGGCCGTTGACTTGTACTGCAGAACACGGAACGCCTCTCAGCTGTTAGTGAAGATCTAGTGATTCAGTGCTATGGATACTGTCCAGAGCCAGCTGGATAATCCAGTTGATATTCAGTCGTTCATTAGTTAATCACCAATGCAATGAGGATGCAGATGAGTGCACAAGAAGTACTTCGTAATATGGCGGGATGACGGGCTCACCGCCGGGGATCCTGGCTGCCTCGCTGCCTGACTTGGAGTTTCTTCCCCACCTTCTCTCTTCCCCTCCAGCAACCAACCTCCAATCTGCATTCATCCAGCCACATCCTCTCCCTGCCGTCAGCTCATCCTTTGCGAGATCAACCAGCCAATAATGTCTCCCCCAGGGCAATCTCAGGCCACAGTTGGGCCTCCCCGCCTCTGAAATAGGGGAGTGCTGTGATTATTAACCACGGCATCGGCATCGGAGTCGCCTGCCGGGCTCCGAGTCTAGGTCCCAGCTAAGGGCTGCGGGCTCTTTGATCCTTATCGCTGCGATCATGTCTCCCTCTGCCTTCTCCCATCTGGCCTGTGGTCAACAGCACCATTATGAACTTTGCTCACTCCAAGGGAAGCACCTGGGGCCAGCAATGGCGGTCCTCGCCGTTTTTCATCGTCAGCGCCATGGCGATGGCCCTGTTCACTGGTAACCCTCTGGTTTCTGTCTCCTGTTTCAGGTCGCTAACAAGTTCTTCCTCCTTATCTAGACACCTTTCTTTACGCCTTCCTCGTCCCCATCCTCCCCTACGTCCTTGAAAGCCGCCTCGGATTAGATGTCTCCCTCACCCAGCGCATGAGTTTTGCCCTACTGTCGGAAACCGCGGTCGCTGCTCTCGTTACCAGCCCATTTATTGGCCATTATGCCGATCGGCTGTCTTCTAAGCGGATATTGCTCGTCGGATCGCTGTTGGCTGCATTGTTTGGCTCGATCGTCCTGGCTCTGGCGACATCTAGTACGCTGACATACCTTTCTCCCTAGACTCGTACTGACCGTCATGCGCAGCGTTTACTCTCTTTGTCGGACGCCTCATCCAAGCAGTCGCCAGCTCGTTCATTTGGGTGGTCGGATATGCGACGATCGCGGACAATGTACAACCGGAACACCTGGGCAAGACTTATGGAGTAATTTCACTGGTCGTAGCGGCAGGTACCTCAGGAGGCCCTATGGTCGCCGGCATTCTCTTTGAATTGGGCGGGTATTGGACAGCGTGGTCTAGTGCTTTTGTGATTCTGGTCGTCGACATCGTCCTTCGACTGCTCATGCTGGAGAAACCGACCAAAAATGCGGATTATCCCAGCAATGAGAGCGTCGCATCCGACACCGAGAGCGCTCCACTTCTCAGCGATGCACACAGCGATGCACACAGCGTGGTGGAGGGGGAATTGACGGGCTTGAAGTTCTACCTGTACATCATGCGGTATCGTCGCTTCGTTTGCGGGGTGGTCAGCTACTTCTCGTTTGCCGTCCTGGTCTCCAGCTTTGACACCACTTTGCCTTTGCATGTTCGTGATGTGTTCAGCTGGGGTAGTTTTCCTGCCGGCATGATGTTCTTTGCTTTGCAAGGCCCTGGCATCCTCCTGAGTCCCCTCTGCGGGTGGTTGAAAGATCGGGTGGGAACCCGGTGGCCTACGACGGTCGGGTTTTTGCTTCTTGCGCCTGTTATGTGGGTCATTGGTATGCCCGGAGACGAGCGATTCCCCTGGGCAAATGAGGGCGACCGAGGAAAGATTATTTACGCTGTTGGGGTAACTGTGGTGGGATCTGTGTCTTGTCTGCTGAACGGAGCTGGAACGATTGAAGCTACGGGTATGTGCACAAAAGGAGAATGTTTCGAAGTATCTAACATGTGCAGTTACCATCGACGAGGTCGAGGCCAAGCATCCCGGGATCTTTGGTCCAAACGGGGGGTACTCGCGGGCCCTTTCGGTGGCCAGTATGGGCTGGACGTTGGGTGCGTTTATCGGGCCTATTATGTCTGGTTTCATTGCCGAGCAGGTCGGATACTATGAAATGAGCTGCGTGATTGGTTAGTGCCCTGCCTGATGATGCGATTTGACGATGCTAACGAGTCAGCGGCCGTCTGTGCGCTCTCCGGCGTGAATACTTTCTTTAACCTCGACTCCAAAGTCCATTTCGACCGCGTGGCGTCGGCCTAGCTAATACTCCGTATACTCCGTATACTCGGTCCTGGCGATCACTTGGCTGACGGACGGATCCAAAAGTTCTCTTGCATATACGAAGCTCCGTGTGATATATAGCGGATGGGTCTAGATTGTTTGCAGTTAGATGTGCATTGACATAATCGAACGAGTCACCCGTTATGGGGGACGTTATCATCTGGCGAGTTTGATACGAGATAATCATCCGTGCGCGGGTTCTTTGACTTCTAGACCATTGTATCTGATTTGCCACCCTCGCCGAGATAGATGAATCCCACTGTTTACCCGTGCACTGACCGATATCGTCACCTCAATTATCGGTCTAGACTAGGGAATGGTCCCCTTTGCGAGACTGGCCTAAATAGACTTTCTTTTTTTTGTCGGGGACACAGGGATACATCACATTTAATCTATTTGCCATATGCCATCAAGATACCCCAGGGGCGTTATCGGAAATACCCAAAAATAAGACCCTTGATAATAGATAGACAATCGAACTATCCTCCTCCCCTATTACTATCTCCCAATTATGAAGATGTATGATGTGCGTCATATGCGGATATATATCCCGCAACAAACATCATACCGATGGCAATCCTGCATAGTAATACCCATCAAACCCATAATCCAGCCCCCAACCCATGATCATCAGCAGCATCATCCATGCCAATAACAAGCTCACTAAGCCGACGACCCCGAATCTAATCCGGCATCGGCCGGCAGTTATGTCGATCTACATAATCCTGCCGTACGGAGTACTAGGTACACAGTAAGGATTCAGATTCCGCTGTTCCGTCGTTCCGCAAATTTACTATGTAACAGAATGAAGCTAGGCCTGTCGATCGGGCGATAGAGTTTGATGAGAGTGTTGGGTGGGGATGGTGGTGCTATCACTACTCCGTATGGTGGTTGAACTTTGTGAGGAGGTAGTGTATGTGGCGGGTTACGGGTTACGGGTTACGAAGTAACTCCGTACGGAGGAGATATTGTAGATACTTAGATAGTGACAGGGGTTGGGGCTGGGTTGGTTGGGGTGATCGGTCGGAGGGGGTTCCCGTCCACGGTGGCGGATGAAGGTTCCGGTTCCGGGTCCGTGATTACTCAATTTTATGTACATAGTATGTGTGGTGATGAGTTTACGATCGTATCAGTATGAAGATATACTGTTGTTGTACTCCGCAGAATAATTAAGATTGCCATCATTCAGATGGCAGATTAACGAAAACACCTCCAGCCACCTAAATTGAGGGTGACGAAGCAGTGGAGGCGGCCGTTTCGGCAATTCCTCCGAACGAGCTGAAGCTGTCATTCCTCCTCCTCGATGATTCGAGGAGAGTATACTCCGCATAAGGCTGAGGAGTCGTCATGGCCGGAGCTTTCACCCCAGGAGGGCAGTTCCGGACGTATGCTATTGATAGGGGGCCTGGAATTAGAAACACTGGGGGGTGGCCGTTGTGTCACCATGTTGATCCCTGGTGGTGATGGACCGATCGTCAGGAACATGGCTATTCTCGGCGGGGAGTGCATGGGTAGGAAACGGCGCTAGAAAATTCAGATCTGACAGGTCGAATGTAACCGTTTTTGAGTTTAGATACGGAATACTCCGTGCGTTGCTTTGGAGTCGTGATAGGGTTGATTGTTAGTATTGTTTGATGACGTCTGGTTAATATCTACGAAGGATATCCAGAATGTACTGGACTCCGTACATTATTTATTGGTGAGGTACGTCACGCCGAGTGGGGATCCCTGAAGCCACGGGGATTTGGTTGGACGGACAAGTACCGTCGATGGGCGGAGCAAGGACTCCTTAGTTCGCGCCGATGCCCCTATCCTCATAGCGGAGGGGATTGGGCATGGAGCAGCAATGGAGTCGGTTGTCCTGGTCATTTCGGAGCCGGGATCGCGACCGAACACTTGGACCAGCACCGTTCCTGAATTAGTTCGATAGTTTACTACCGTAGGCAGTACTCCGTAGTACTAGGTGAGTTGCAGACCTCCTTTAGTGGATATGTGCGGTGCTATAGATATTAGGATGTAGATTGAAGTGGGAATTATGCTTGAATCCATCGAGCATGTGACGATGCCTCAACCCCGTCGAGTGAATCATTATCCCTCGTCTGCAGCTGGCACTGCAACTGCCAGCTGCAGACGCTGACCCCGGTCGTGGCTAGTGTCTTGGTCACACAACACCTGAATAATCCAAACCACCCCTGCTGGATGCTGCATGGAACCCTTCCGTCGCAAAGTCCCTCTCAACAGATGAACATCTCAATCGGAGCCACACGGACCACCTACTCGGTCGCACCTCGGCATCTGCTTCCTTTCCTCTCATCCAGTCAATCCTGGCCACTCCGGTCTATCACTAACGGGCTCCAGGAGTGCCGAGCCGGACCGTAACGGCTGTGATGGAATGATCCATTTCAGAGTGCCCACGGTCCACTGTGCAGTGTCCACAATCCCCCGTAGTGACAGCTTTTCCACCGGCCTATGGCAACCTGAATCGGCCGGGGCCTCGGAGTCAAAGTGGAGCCGCCACCACTGGTTTGGCGCCGTTCATGCTCGCCTGTCGCCAAAGCCGTCTTAGTCTCTCCCCAGTGGGGAGGCTGCAGACAAATCTCGTTTCTTCTTTGATGATTTTTTTTTTTTTTTAAAAAAAAATTCTTTTTGCACTGTCTGCCAACTTTTCGATCCAGACATGGCAGACCTCCGAACAGTCTCCATTCCGGCCGAACAGGTGGCCAGCAGGCTGTCTGCCTGTCCGCTGCACCCGCCTGATTGGTGTTTATATACAAACTGCAAGGCCCCTAATCAACCCCTGGATCTCTCTAGCACTTCAATTTCGTCTCCGCAGGATTTTCTCGACTAAATCTTCGGTTTTACTTAAGCGATTTGTCCTTCCCCTCTGGTTTGGGTAGCTACGCACACGACACGCACTCCCTATATGGCCGCTCCCCTCCCCAATACTCCATCCTCGCTCATGAATAAAGTCCTTCCGCGCTGTCGCATCGGTTGAATCCTCCCTCCCCAGTTGCAATCATGATGGACGTTGGATATGAGGCCACCCCGCCGCCTTCCGCCGGGAAGGACTGGGTCAACTTCTGGAACTTCGTGGACCGGGCTCCTCCGTTGGAAGCCGAATCGGTACCCCGCGATATCTTGGTGGTGGGCGCCGGCATTGCGGGCATTGCTGTGGCGCTGGCTCTCTCCAAGGAATTGACTCCCTTTGTTCCTGATCTCCGGATTACCGTCTATGAACGACATGATATCCTTTCTACCTCGGGCGGTGCCATCAACCTCACCCCTGTGGCTCAACGGCATCTCGATCGCCTTGGGGTCCTTGCTGAACTGGACAAGTTGGGACCGGAGTCAGGTACCGATGTGGATGCCATTGAGCTGTTCTCCAGCCGGTCTGGCCGATCCCTGGGTGGGATTAATTTCACCGACCAGAATGGCAACGGATTCGGCGGGTACAAGGGTCGCCGTGTGATGCGGATCATCCTGTCGCTGGCCATGTTGAAGGTGGTGGAACGCACGAAGAACGTCAATGTGGTATTTGGCAAGAAGCTGGTCCGCGGCAAGGAAACCAAGGACAAGGCAACCCTGTTGTTCCAGGATGGCACCACTGCCACGGGCGACTTGGTGCTGGGGTGTGACGGGGTCCACTCCAACGTGCGCACCCAATGGGTCGCTCCCGAGTCTCCGTCCGAGTACACGGGCATCTCATTCGTCCAGACCATGATTGACAGCAAAGAAGTCAAGACCCCCATGCATTTCCGCTCCACCTCCATGAACATCTCCCGTCACGGTTCCTTGCTGGCCAGTTATTGCGATCGGGACCACACTCAGATCTTCATGGCGGCTATCGTGCAATTCCGCGAGGAACTGCTCACCCATTACAAGATTGAACCAGGTCAGGACTGGCGCCGGACGGCGGCCATCAAAGATGCGCTGTGTCGCGAGATGCAGGATCGCTTTGGCCGATCGGGCCTGGCGTCCATCCGCGACCTGGTCACCAAGGCCGACGACTGGATGTTGTATCCGGTGTGGCAAGTCCGGCCGGGCGGACGCTGGTATCGCAACCGAGTGTTGCTATTAGGTGATGCCGCGCATGCAGTAAGCCACCTCCTATTGTATTACATTGGGTCATTACTGACAGAAAATAGATGCCTCCCCGCGATGAATCCGCCGCCTACGCCCTCGACGACGCCATCCTCTTCTCCCGCATTCTCTCCAAACACCGCTACGACCCGCTCCCGGTCAGCTTCAAAGCCTACGAAGATCTCCGCCGCGGCACCGTCAACGCAGCCTTCCAAGTCTCCCGACGCATGTGGGAAAAGAACCGCGACCTAGGCTTCTTGGAAGGTCGTCTCAAAGAATGGACGATGCCGATGCAGGTGCGCAACGGGAAGGAATCGCGCGAAGCGGCGTGGGAATTCGATGCCACCAAGGTGCCACTACCGGGGCCGGGCGACTCGACGTCGTCGTTGTATTCGTCTGAACGGGAGTTCTTATAGAGGATTTGCATGGATGGTGTTCCGGATGGTGGGTTGGGTTTGGGTCATGAGCTATGATTTCTGGAGTGGGTTTCGGTTATATACAGTATACAGTATACAGCATACGTAGTATTGGTTTGACTTGTTGCTATAGTTGACATACAGTTGACATTTCGGTTAACATCTCGGTTGACATTACAGAGTAATCAGTGATCTCGCTTACGGAGCCTTTGACCCGAGGTATTAGGATCTATGCCCGGATAGGCAGTAGTCTAATTAATTCGGATGCCAATAATACGATGTAATAACTAACTATCCTATAGTTAGTTAATCATCTAGCTTAATCATCCTCTCTGCTAACTGCATGTCTCAATCGCACAACACTCAGTAATGGGTAACGCAAGTCTACTGACACTGACAAGTGAAAGTACCCCGTGTGCTCGTTTAAATTTACCCAAAGAACCCAAACACGAGCCAGAAAAGACCAGAACGGACCCTCGAAGATTCCACCCCACCTATGTACCCATTTTATTGTAGCCTACTGGAGTACCGTATACGATGACGGCGGCGGATGGTATTGAAACTATTGAATGGATGGATGGAATGGAATATTCCCCAATGCCCCAGTCCCACCACCCCACCCCACTACCACCCACACACCTGTCCCGGAATCCCACATTGACTTGATATTAATTGTTAATCTAAACTTCCATGGAAGAGGAGGGTATGAATCCATGGATTGATTAATTTCTTATCCATATATATTAATTGGGATTGTTCTTGGTTGGTACAGCTACTAGCTCAGACTGTCAGGCGATGATGACGTCGTTTGCGACACTATGAATACTTAGAAAAAAATAGTTTAGGTTGGGTTGGTTAGTTAGTTAGGTAGGGTAGGTAGGTTGTGGTATGATCCCTGCATAGTACTATTCTTCTTTTTCGTCGGGGGGATTAGTAGCTAGCATTTACCATGTCCAGTTAGTTAGGTAGTGGCTGCTTAGGTAGCTGGATTAGTTAATTAGTTCGCTGGCACTAAACGGGTTAGTTTTTGCATGGTGCAGATTTTTTCTCAGGATCTAGCTATCCAGGGGGACATAAGCACGAGACCTTTTTTTTTTTTGTTTTTTGCGTTCTTTCTCGAAGAGAAATCAAATCCAATAATAATTGTGCCATTATTGCTGACTACATTGCTATGCTTATTCCTCGTAGTAAGATTTTAGGGTAGGTGTTGGTAAGGGAGGAATTCGATTTCGCCCCCGACGCGGATCTGAGTTGAGCATGGGGTGAGCTCGGTAGTTGTCTTTTCTTATTATATTATATTATATTATCATAGTAGTATGTGGATGTGCCTACTGCATACATCGTAGATAAATATTTAATAAGTGAAGGAAAATACTAAGTGTTATGGTTGTGCTTACGGTACTGGATCTGGGTGGATGTTTCCATGTGTTTGTGGGGAATTGCATAACTTAACATAAGTATTTAAATTTATCTTAAGTAGACTGGTATCCCGGCAAGAGAGATAATTACCCCAGAAATGGTTTGCCTCGGTTTAACGGTGTGGGGATGAGATGGCATGGTCCGTATGGGGTGATTTTCCACTATGTATATCCGCGGAGATCTGACTTGTTGGCTGTTGCGTCACCGGTGGGTATTAATAACTATGACTGAATTATTCTTAATGCTAGATGGTTGGTTTGCTTCTGGTAGGGTGTGGGGTTCTTTGTGGAGGTGTATCTATGTAGATAGAGCTCTTCAGGGCTAGTGGTTACTGTTACTTCAGTTGCTATGTAAGCAGACGAATCTTATTAAACAAGATTAATTACTATATACCAACTAAACTGAATCCATAATCACAACTAGCATCAAACATCTAACCTCCCCCCACCCAATCCATCCCTATCCCATTACATCCCCCGGGCATGCACTCAGTCATACTGCCACGCCGCCACACTCCCCTCCGTCCCACTCCAACCCACCGCAACCGCCTCAAACCTCAAACAATCCGAGACATTCCCCGTCGGCACCGTTGCATTCGCCATCGCCGCAAACACCTGATACGGGCCCGCATCAGGCACCTCCGCCTCATCATCCGCGGGAATCGGACACGCCATGAACCCCGTCGCTCCGAGGCCGGTATACGTCCAGGATCCGTAGTCGGTACCAGGGGTGTAGCAGAACGTGCTGGTGGATGCGCCACTGGGCATGTAAGTTGTGTGGGCTTCGACGAATTTGACGGCGCCGGTGGGGTCAATGTAGATTTCTTGGACGTAGGCGGAGTCCTGTGTTTATTAGTCTGTTTCTCTCTGTGTATCTAGTTGGTGGGAGGGGGAAGGGGGGGGGAGGGGGGGTACAAGGTAATTGTTGCCGTCGATTACGGTTTGGTTGCCGGGTGGACAGGCATCGTAGGCTGCGATGTCGGATGGACAGGCGGATGAGGTCGTGCCGCCGAGGTAGAAGTTGGTTGAGGCGGCGGTTAGGGAGAGGTATTGGATGGGGGAGCCGGAGCGGACGGACATCACGGTGAAGGGGCTGGTGCTGCAGTTGGTGGTGAGGGCGGGGGTGAGCATGGTAGCTAGGGTGATGAGAATGAGATACATTGTGGTGGTGCTGCTGAGGAGGATGAGATGGTTGTGGATGAGATGGTTGCGGATGAGATGGATGAGGCATGGACATATTTATATCTTTAAAAAGAGAAGTATATCGACAATATCAGTTATAAGGTAGCCGCGTACATGTCAGCGTCATTTGATCAAGATCTATTTCTGACTGAGACCTACATCTTACACTGCCACAAGCTTTACAGTGAGCTGTTCGACCCGTGATGCGGCCGCGTTGAGGGCGAATCACAGATGCGGGTGGCTGCTTACCGGCGGGATGATTGGGCTGATATCAGCGGTATCTTACTGCAGATGCAGCAGCGTGATTTACTTGGCCAAAAAGCTTAGGATAGTGTTATTTGGGGCAACAGTGTCGATATTCAGTTCTCCCACCATTTGGCCATCTTCTGTCTCCTTTCTTCTCTCGCCTATTGCTTTCGCTGTATCGATAGTGATTATTCACCCACTGAAATGATCAGGATGAGGCTCCTGATATAGACAGATACTGGCAACTGTTACAACACGATGATTTCTCACCATGATCATCGCGCCCGGGCCGCTTCGCGTATCTGCAGGCCACGTTTGCATGCTTCTATTTACATTCAGAGGAACAGAGTGAACCGTAAGCAAGCATCTGCAGTCTACTATCAAGTTAGCAAATGAAAATGCTCTGGTATTATCCAGCTCCGAGAACTGTCAGTTCCTGGTACTATTCTCCGAGCTAGGTTGTTTGTGAAGCGCGCTAGCGCTGAGCAACTCTAGGTTACTCCTACTAGATCTGTTGCCAGCCTGTTCGCTTCTTGAAATAATATTTATGTTTCCTGAGTACTGCTAGGAGCATATTCAGAACCACAAACACAGCATACCTTCGCTAATAGTATTCCCTAATCTCTCTATAATGTAAGCATCATCGGTATACAAGCATCGAATAAGCTCGGACGGGACTCGGCCCCGACCGCGGGAAATGGGGTTTCCTCCCAATTCGGAAAACTCCGAGCCCTAGCTGGAAGCCAACATCGATCCGACATCTATATCTTCACGGCCAGTCCAGATGGAGTCCATACTACAGAATCAGCATCATGTCCACCGACACCGAAAAAACCGCAGCCATCCCTTCAGATGCCCTCAAGCCCCCATCCTTCCCCGAGGGCGGCTTCAAAGCATGGATGGCCGTTCTCGCCTGCTGGTGCGTCATGTTCAACACCTTTGGCTACATCAACGCATTCGGGTATGTCTCTTCTCCATTTCTCAGACACCACTAACCAAATCAGAATCTACGAGGCATACTACAAAAACTCCTTTCTCCACCATGAAAGCGACTCCAACATCGCCTGGATCGGCTCCCTCCAAGCCTTCTTCATGTTCTCCGCCGGCCTCATCTCCGGCCCTCTCATGGACCGCTACGGCCCTCGAGTATGCCTCCAGCCCTCCACCTCCAGCTCTCACATCAAACTGACCAACAGCTCATCCTCATCCCCTGCTCCCTCCTCTTCATCCTCTCCGTCATGCTCACCAGCCTCTGCACCCAATACTACCAATTCCTCCTCGCCCAAGGCATCCTCGGCGGCCTCACCAACGGCCTCATCTACACCCCCACCCTCACGGCCGTCAACCAATACTTCTTCCACCGTCGCCCCCTCGCCATGGGCATCGCCTCCTCCGGCTCCTCCCTCGCCGGCATCCTCTTCCCCATCGCCCTGAACCGCATGCTCCACCAATCCCCCCTCGGCTTCGGCTGGTCCGTCCGCATCCTCGGCTTCCTCATGCTCACCCTCAACCTCATCGCCTGTCTCGCCATCTCCTCCCCCGCCCCGAAGCGCACAACCGGATCCCCCTTCTGCCTCGAAGCCTGGCACCACCCCGCCTACGCCTTCCAAATCGCCGGCCTCTTCCTCATCATCTGGGCCCTCTTCGTCCCCTTCTTCTACATCCCCTCCTACGCCCAATCCATCGGCATCAACACCAACCTCGCCAACTACCTCGTCTCCATCTCCAACGCCGGTTCCCTGCTGGGGCGTCTCCTCGGCGGTCTCCTCGCCAACCATATCGGCCGCTTCAATACCCTCATCGGTGCCTCCGCGATCTGCGGCATCTTGATCCTCTCCTGGCTCGCCATTACTTCCCTGCCGGGGATGATCGTCTTCGCTGTCCTGTTTGGGTTCTTCTCCGGTACGACCATCGGTATGTTCACCGCGACTATTGCCATGACCGCTCCTCGACCGAATGTTATCGGTTCGTATCTGGGGATGGCGTTGGGGGTGTTGAGTTTGGCGAGTTTGACGGGCACCCCGATCACCGGGGCGATGATTAGTTCGTATGGGGATTATCGGGCCGCGTTGGTATTTGCGGGCGTTTGTGCGTTGGTGGGCTCGGGGGTCGTGTTTGTGGCGAGGGTGTGTTGGGCGGGGTGGGAGTTGGTTGCGTAGGATTCTAAGCGTGGATAGATTGTGTTAGATTTTTGTTGTTGATTTTAGTTATACTCTCTCCTCTCTTTGTGTATCTTGATAGAATTCTAGATAATTCTCTTGGGGTCTCTGGTATCTGCTGTGATGGTAAGATGGGAACATTGTATCAGGGTCTCGACTCATGTATAAATAGATACTAGTAAACCAATGATCAAAGTCTCATGCCTGCAACACATGAAAGTAATGCTCAAACGCCGCCGTACTCCACTCACATGCTGTCCCGTTGCCAGGGAGGTCTTCACCATCACGCTCACAATCCTCACCCGTGACTTTGTCTGATACCAGACCACTCTCTGAAGACAAGCCAACCCTAACCCCATCCTCATCCTTATCCCCAGTACTCGCTCCCTCCCTAACCCTCCCCGCCCGATCCATCAACTCCTCAATACGCACCCACCTCGGATTCTCCCTCCCCCCCAACTCCCCCCTCCAATACCCAGCCACTTTCTCTACAACCCCCCACATCTCATCCCCCTCCCCATCCTCCCCGCCAAACCCACTAACACAACCCCCCACCAACACCAACGCCAACGCCTCCCACTCCACATCCCTCTGCAACAACCATCCCCATCTCTTTCCCGGTTGATACTCCCTCAACTTGATTGCTTTGCGGAGGACATCCACACATACATCCGTATACCTCCCTACCCGAGTTAACCTTCTCACTGGTTCAGGTATAGGTTTATAAAGCGAAAGGCTCAGAATCACCAGACTCAGTCTCATCGAAGCAGCTATTACAAAATCCAACGGAATAGATGGATCCATGTGCACGAGGTAGGTATTTTCCAGTTCATCGCGGAAGGTGCTTATTTCTCTTTGTTTTTGGGATGTTGTTGTTGGACTTGTGGTGGTGGGGTATAGAATCCGGTGAGATAGGCGGGTTATTTTGAAGTAGAGGATGGTAAACAGGACCGGGGATCTGGTGCCCGGGGGAAGAGGGGTAGGGGGGGTGGTCATCGCCGGGTGGAGGGCTGTATCTGGGATATTGGTGGGTAGATGGGTGGTGAATGATTGGAGTCGGATGTAGGGATGCGTGTTGTGGTCTTTGGCGGTGCGGAGGTCGAGAGTTACCAGGTGCCACCAGAGGAGACGACGGAGTTCGGTGTCGAAAGGGGATAGGGAGAGGGTTGTGCCGTCGTGGTGGAGGTTCAGGCGTTGGGCGGTGGTGATGAGGATGGGGAGGAGGGTGGGGACGGGGGCGCCGTGCGGGTCGGAGCGGGTTGTTGTCTGTAGTTTATTTTGTTAGGTAGGGTTTGGTGGGGGAGATGGGGGGAGGGGAGGGGGTTACGAGGAAGATGGTGGCGGCTTGGAGGACGGTCAGATTGGAGGTAGTGGTGAGGTTAAGATTGGTGAGGGTGGTTTCGAGTCCGGTGCGGTATCTGGGTGGTGGTTAGTGGGGTGACCGAGGGAGGGATATGGGATGTACCGGTGCAGTAGAGTGGGTTTGTCCTCGCCTAGTTCGTCTCGACAGGTGTTGGAGGGCATGCTGATTACGGCAGCGTAGTAGATGGCGAAAAGCAGACATTCGGTGGCTAGATCAGGGCTCGTTCCGTGTCGAGTCATATGCATCACGTCTTTCTGGACGGAGGGAGTGTGGAAGATCTTGAATACCGGATCAACGCTGTCCAGGTACCACTGCCAGAGAAAGGATATCGTGGTGGGTGATGGACGAAGTTCTTTGAAGGAATCCACATTACCACACGTAGCAGTGCATGCCTCCGGTGCACTCCCTTGCAATCCATAATCCGGACTGGGACGATCATAACCAGGAAACTCATCCTCATTGAAGTCTTGCCCGGGGGTAGGAATCTCAGGCCTAGTAGACAAAGGCAAGGACACACCCTGCAACAAGTCCCTAATCTGCGCCACACCCTCCCCCAGCACCCGTAACGTCTCCTCAATCCGCTCAATCCTCCCAATGACATCGGAAGCCCCGACATCCGGACTCCTCAAACGCCGTCGCCCCGATGGATACGCACAGGTAATCTTGACCTTGACGCAATACCCACATGGCCGCGACCGATCACATTTGATTTTCCGACGACTGCATTCGAGACAGGAGCGCCCGGAGGCGATCACTCGGCGCGGCATTTGATGGTATTGCACGAGGGTATAGAAGGGAGATGAAGATGACGAGCGAGAAGGAATCTGGTTGGGTAGAGCGGAGGACGGAGTGCAGGTCCGCATTTCTAAGCAGATGATTAATTGGGTGTAAGCACTAGTTCGATACGAGCGAGTGGAGTTAGGGTTGCGTATAGCATCAGATGCCATATATGGGAGACATAAATAAGATTGACTCGCTTCGACAGTATCATCCAGCTACAACATCACTCAAACACGATCAATCAATCTACAAGTCGATTCTCGCATTATTCACAAAATGACCACACCACTCAAAGTCACCCTCATCGGCGTATGTCCCCCCAAAAAAAGGCTAAACACTACTAATACACGCAGGCAACCGGCTCGATTGGAAAAATCATCCTCAACGCCCTCTCTTCCCAGCCCAACTTCACCGTGACCATCCTCACCCGCCAGGAATCGACCACCACCTTCCCCCCCGGCACCACCATCCACCAAACCGACTACTCGCCCACCAGCCTCGAGGCTCTCCTCCATGGCCAGGACGTACTCATCTCCGCAGTTGGCGCAACCGGCTTCACCGAGCAACAGAAATTCATCGACGCGGCGGTCCGCGCCGGCGTGAAGCGGTTCATCCCGTCGGAGTTCTCGACTAGTAGTGAGGACGATGTGGTACTCAAGATCTTGCCGCTGTTTCAGCAGAAGAGGGACGTGATTAATTATCTGAAGGAGAAGGAGAAGCTGGGGTTGAGTTGGACGGGAATTGCCACTTCGGGGTTGTTTGACTGGGTTGGTTTATCCGGTAGTTATTGTTTCCGGGGATTGACTAATGTGGATAGGGTCTCACGGCCGGCTTCCTCGGCTTTGATCTCCACCAGCGCACCGCTCTGATCTGGGATGGTGGAGTCACGCGGTTCACCATGGTGAATGAAAAACAGCTCGGGGAATCAGTCGTATCGGTGCTGCTCCGGCCCGAGGAAACTAAGAACCGGTTTGTGTATGTTGCCTCTGTGGAGACCACGCAGAAGGAGATTTTGGAGACGATTGAGAAGGTCACTGGTGCCAAGTGGACGGTCACGGACACCACAACGGAGGTGCAGATCGCCGATGGGTTTCAGAAACTCGCTGCAGGGAATTTTGAGGGCGCGTTTGCGCTGGTTCGGGCTACTGCGTTTGGGAATACTCCTGGTTTGAAGGTGAACTATGTCAAGGATCGGGAACTAGCGAATGAGGTGTTGGGGTTGGAGTGGGAGACTGTGAGGGAGACCATTGAGAGGGTGGTTCAGGCGTGATTGGCTGAAGTGGGTTGATTCGGCCAATGGTGCTTAGGTCTTAGGTATATTTAAGTGAAAGTGTTTGTCAGGAATAGCCAGAAATGACTACATACAAAGTCGAGTGTAACAATGCGTAAGAAATATCCTCTTCCGCACAAGGTGCATAATTTCTCCAGTCTGAGCCATCTTACCATTGAATGAAATGAAATACAGCACATCTCACGGCGAATAGCCAGCATGCAAGTCCACAAAATCAATCAGCTCCGCGACCTCCAAAGCAGAAGGATTCGAAGCATTGACGATGTTCAAAAGCACACCTTGAAGGACCGAGCTCGTAATGACCTCTTTAGGTTTCGTCCAGCCCAGCTGCTGGGGCAGACGCTCATGTTCTATACCAGTGTTAATAACTGCCTGCTCAGACTGACTGAAAACCTACCAAAGAAATACTCCACCCACGATCTATTCGCCGTCTGCGAACCCTCTTCAAAAGCAATTATGTAGGCGGCCGTCTCTCCATAGCTGAACGCCAAACCCGTTTCCGACACGCTAAAGGTCGGATTCGTCGCCATGGAGGTGTTCACCCGGGCGATGCGGGCTTGGGCGGCTGCATTCACGTCAATGAGAGGATTGGTCCAATATGATCGGGTCTCGTTGAAGATGGTCTGGTTGAAGTCGTGGTTATTCCCGAAGTAAAAGTCCTGACGGCTGGATGGGTCAGTATGATTGTCTTCACAGTATACGGCTGGCCGGACATACCTCAAACTGGCATCATGTTCCAAGATATTATGGCGACTAAGGTCATTCAGAGAGAACGTGGTAGCGTCTGGATCCGGGTTGGTGGTCAATGCTTCCTGGAATAGGAACTGGGACAGTTCGTCGGCCAGATTCAGGGAATTATTCAAGACCGCTACGACGCGGTCTTCCGTGAGATCTTTGCCGTCGTGTGGGAGGAACCCATGGTTTGCAAGTGTATTCAGCATCGGACAAGGCCCTCGCACTGTTTCCTTTAGATTTTGTCATGTACCAGACAACTAGACTCACCATCGTCCGGCCCGGGAGCCGACCAGGGAAATGGGTGTGATGACACCTGAGCCAACGCCGGGCTCAAAGACGCGGCAAGAAGGAGAGCAGTAGATTTCATGGTGATTGTGATGCTTGTGCTGTATCTAGGGGGCTGGAATCCCCCTATCTATATATGCGGTCGGGGGCAAGACGACAAATACCCCCCTTGCTATTGGTGCATGTGCCGCAGCAATGAGGGGGTAGCAAGTGCGTGACGGCAACCCCGTGGATGCATACTTGGGATACTTCCAGCATTCCAGTGGCTACATTTCAGGGCTTCTCAACGTGTTTTGCTAGATTAGGCAGGTGACCTTCCTATTCGAGCCTCCGAAATATTTCCCGTGGACAGTATTGAATACATCCCATGCCATTCCAAGAGCATCTTTTACGCCTGCACAGGCACCCTTAAATGATGAAGCTGATCACAGTGTAAATTGTCTAGAATATACCCTGCTGGCAATTTCTTGCCTGGTGCAAATCATACCATTTGTAAGTATCCATGCTCTACTCCACATTGCCAATGCGATGGCTAACCTCTTTGGGGCATCACATTCCTCATGGCGTGGGTTGCATCATATTCCGTCGAGCTATTTGGGCCCCTGACCGAGGTATCCTCGTCATATGCTGATTCTCCCGCGTGGTCTGGCCAAGAATGACTTCCGACGATACCAGCCTGATATATAATGGTGCAGGTGTAGAATCACTCATGACACTGCTGAAGGATATCATGTGCATTAATTGTAGTTCTGCAGACTCCACGTGGTGTTCTACATTCATGAACTGTGGCTAAGATGCCGCCCTGCTCTAGGCATTGTGGCAGCCGTGTTCTGCAGCTTATTGAATCAATAGTTTAGAGGTGTTGATAATGGGACGACGGCACGTACCACAGATTAAGTATTTCAACATGATGAGGTTATCCCAGAGATTGAAGGATGTCTGGCCTGTTCACGGATCCATTTCATCTATTCCTTGAGATCCTGTTCCAATAGTATCTCGTTGACCTCCATGTCCAGCCTATTATCATGGTACTTGTTTATTTATTAGTTAGGTGATGTTGCATGCTCCGTTATTAGACTACAGTGTCACATGATGTTACATCGCTATAGGATCACGACTGTCATACCTGAAAGACACTTGACATCTACTTACTATCATCATAATTGTGCACTCTGTATCAATAAGATCTAGAGCACACCGTCCAGAACCCCAACACCAACCGTCACGATTTCCTCGCCTCGCGGTACAATCATCGGGGCCACCGAAAGTGCAAACATCGAAGTCTTCAAAGGCATTCCCTACGCGGAACCTCCCGTACCATCCAACAGCCCGCGTCTCCGACCACCCCAACCCATCACCACCGCCCTAGGCACCGTCCACGCAACTAGCTACCCCCCCAGCATGCCCTCAAATGAACATCCAAGAGACAAAATGCATAACCCCCTACCACCGAACATCGCCTCCCTCCTCAGCCCCACGATCCCAAACCCCGAACAATCCAGCGAAGACTGCCGAACCCTAAACATCTGGCGACCCAAGAATTCCACCCCGGACTCCAACTACCCTGTCATTTTCTGGATCTACGGCGGTGGCTTCCAAGTCGGCAGCTCCATGGACCTTCCCGGCGGCCCGATTGTAAATGATTCCATTACCCTGAAGATGCCCGTCGTGTTTCTGAGCGCTAATTACCGTCTTGGGGTATTTGGATTTCTCGCTGGAAAGCAAGTCAAAGACGACGGATCAGCCAACCTAGGTCTGCAGGATCAGCGACTCGCGCTACACCGGGTAGCCGATAATATCAAATCCTTTGGCGGAGACCCACGCAAGGTGACTCTCTGGGGACAGTCGGCGGGGCGCCATGTCCGTCTTTTCACCAAATGGCTCTCTACAACGGTGACTACACGTACCAGGGGTTCCCTCTATTCCAAAACGCGCCATGATGAATTCAGGTAACACATGGCCTGTTGATCCGGTAGATGGCAACAGAGGCCAAGCGGTCTATGATCAAGTAGTGAGAAACGCCAACTGCTCTACCGCCGATGATACTTTATCCTTGTCTGCGCGAGTTGGATTACGATGCATTCCTCATGGCCTCCAACTCCGTCCCCAGCAGATCGGGCTACTATGGCCTCTCCTTATTCTACCTGCCTCGACCCGATGGCACCGTTGTCACCGCCTCTCCCGAGGATGCCGTGAGCCACGGAACCTATGCCAATGTGCCCTTTCTGATCGGAAATATGGAAGATGAAGGATCGACATTTGTCTTCAACACGACTAATATCTCTACCACGGCTCAGGTCAGCGGTTATCTCTCTCGCAGTACTACTATCGAGATGCGGATAAAGCACAGATCGATACATTGGTGTCCATCTACTCGGATGATGCGACGTTCGGGTCTCCGTTCAACTACCTCGAGCTTGAACTCGCTCTACCCGCAATCCAAACGTCTCGCGGCCATCTTAGGAGGACTTTACGGTTCTCCTAACTCGCCGGATCATCCGGACGGGAACGATGAGCGGTAAGCAGAAGACGCCCTCGTGATCTTCTAATGTCGTCGGTGTTCAACGGCATCCCGTATTTGGGCACCTTTCACGGCAGCGAACTGTACATGCGGGAGGTCTGGGCTATGCTGGTGGAGAACTTTTCCGGATCAGTTCACCGGGGATATTGAGCGGGCGGTGTCGTCGATGTGGTCGTACTATCTCTCGTTTGTGTATTATTTGGATCCGAATAGGGGGGGGGGGAGCAGACGCTGAAGTGGCCGCAGTGGGGAGAAAGGAACAGGTGATGAACTTTGGGCTAAGTAAGGATGAGATTAGGGCGGATGATTTTCGAGACGAGGCTACCCAGTTCCTGGTCGAGAATGTGGGATCTCTTCATATTTGAATTGGGCACCGAGGAAAGTTCACCGCTGTGTTGTACAGAGGGGTGGTCTCAGGGCCGGAATGTCTCGTGTTTTATGGATAGTATCTTTCTCAATCAAACATTCCCCCACGGGTGTCATTTTCTACACGAAGGAGAAAAAGAAAAAAAAAAAGAAAATATATATACGAAGAGGAAGAGAGGTTCCTGTATGTGCACCTGTAGTAGATGGAACAATTACGTTGTCACTAAGCTAATGCTTCCCATTACAAGGTCGGAGGAGCGAACAAGCGATACCCCCCGAAAGCTCTGGAAATGCGTGAGATGCTATGTTCATTACGGCATTTGACTCGCATGTATGCCTTTTCATACATGGTTTACAATGTAGCGTAAATGCGCATCTTGAGACAATAGGCTACTATATATAAACTGCACACAGATTGCCAATGCTTATCCCCTCAATTACCCAGCCCCCTTCCAAACAGCTCCATCCATGAAAGCACTCTAGGGCTGAAACTCAAGCTCCAGCATTCTCACATGGTGGTCCAAATAATCACGCACAATCGATCGGATTTCGTCTCGTACCTCACCGGAAGCCGAAACTGTAGCGGTTAGTGAATTACGGATATCACGAGCCGCAAATCTCACCCATAACTAGAGACTCCCCGGGGTCGTCGGAGGTGGCATCTGTAATAGTTAGCCCATTATTGGCGCTATGGATTGTGGCGATTACCTTTCGTTGCAGAGGTTTGAGGCTTGTTTGGGTCATTAGGAGCTGAATACACACTGACCGAATCTATACTCGTCAGATGATTGTTGGTATGATGGCAGAGGGAAATTACATGTCTCTGTATCCTTAGACACAATAGGCTTCTCATAATCATCGGAACGGGAATCTGTAGCAATTAGCCCATTGTCTCTAGTATCCGACAAGAAAATTTACTGTTCACTGAAGAATGGCCCGAGTCTTCCTGATGTTTGGAATGCTTCTTGGTATAGAACCCCGATGTATATAGCGTGCGCAGTGTAAAGCCATTGGCTTTACATCCTAGTCCTTTTGCTGATAGTGCAGCGGGAAGTACCTGGAATGCGCACCCAGTATGCCCCGTGACAGTAACTATTGTTGGTCACTTGAAATCTTTCTCGAAAGGCGGCATGTCACCAATGAAATCAGTCAGTTCGTCCAAGTTTGCTTCCCTGATGAGCTTCTGAGATGCGCGCTCTTTTCTTCCTCTAGCAATATGCAAGACACAATTTCTGCAAAATTATTTGGCTCCATGGGGCACCGACGTCCTCCAATGGTGGATTGCACAAGTAGTGCTGCTTCAAAGAGGTAAATAGCCTGGGACTGCAAGTAAAATGCCGCATATAATGTTCGGGACATCCTTATGGCTATTGGCTTGCCAGACATGATGACGATCGTGCGTCTGAATGGCTGAATTGTTCTAGACTCATGCTTTGCATTGACTCTGACAGCCAGTAGTTCCTTGTATCAACCTCATTAATGCATCTTATTAGGGGCATAGGTTTAAATTTCGATACTCAACGTTTACTATGGAGTGCTAGAAGCTGCATTAGCTTTTCGCGCGCGAAGACTTAGACACCTTTTAGGCTTAGGTTTTGCATTAGCTCTTCGCGCGCGAAGGCTTAGTAATTTTTTAGGCTTGGTCCTTTCTTGTATGCTACGCCCAACACCATCCTGTAAAATCATTTCCCGCCACATCAACATCAAAAATATTGGTCATGTGATTCTTAACTGGCTTTGATGCATATCCCCATGCGGAGTACACAATGTAGGGGCCGTTTATAGAAATAGTTATAAATATGGCGTCAACCTCTGCTGATACTGTACAAACTGTACAGGCACTGATAGCACAATTTTATCATTACCACCCTTGGAGCAGGTCAAAACTGTCCGGTTAGTATCCTCAGTTAATCGATTTTGGACAATGCTGATAAACGATACAGAAATGTGCTGGCAAAGACGGAAAACCCCAGCAAAATTCCCCGACTGCAAAGGGAAGTCTCAAGGAAACTGTATCCTTTTTGACCCGACCGAAAACCACGTCAAATGGTGTGTCGAGGCCGACCAAAGGGGGAGCGCGTGTCCCAACCCCGTTATAACCACGCAAACGAGTTCTACTCGGCGAAAAGTGGATTGCCCAAGGCATCGCACTCAAATCCCAAAGCCAGACGACCCTACTCCAGGCCCCGGGAATGCAGGTGGTGGTGGTTCGCTTGGTCAAAGTGTTATTGTTGGAGCTTGACGGGTAGGAAACCAATGTCGGTGCTATAACGATGAAAAGCGTCTTCAAGGCAAGATGCCTTAATCCCAAGCAGTAGATAGCAAAACAGAGCCGGCAAGCTTTTTTGACGGTTTGGGTCTCATTTGCGCCTTTATATTCAACATATACTTGGCGATGATCTCTTTGTTACTTTAGTTACTATGCAACTTGGATACATTACTTTGAAAATATAATTTGATTGCTAAATCACGTGCGAAGCGCAACCATAAGTGATCAGGCTAGAATCGTAAAATTGTTGTAACAGCGGTTCAGTTGTTCGTGGATGGAGTCTTGGCAGTTTATCACGTGAATTGCGGGTTTCTCTAGATATAAGAAGGGGGTCAACAAACCAGTGTTTTAAGTTTCCAGCTCTCAGTGACAATACATATTCAGTCCCTCATAAGGGTCTTTTTGAAACTCAAGCCTACAATGGCATCTTCTTTGTTTATGGATCTTGATGGGCAACCTATACCCGACCGCGAAATCCTAGGATATGGAAGGTCAGGTGTTGTCATATTGCGTGATGGGCTAGCCGTCAAAACGCCTTTAAGGCATCCATGGAGTTCCGAGGATGATGTTCAGGTAAATTTGGAGGTCCTTCAGCGAGAGCAAGAAGTCTACCGTCGATTGAATTCCCCTGGGAGCGGAAATGGTCAAATTGATGGTGTTGTGCCTTGTATCGGCTTCTCCACGAAAGCTATTCAACTCGCCTACTTGGAAAATGGCGACCTTCGCGCTTATTTGGAAAAGAATAAGCCTTCACTGGCACTCCAGATGTCTTGGTTTCGTCAAATGGCACGTACACTGGAGGAGATCCATGATAAACGTGTGCTTGTGGCGGATATTGCTACTCGCAACTACCTCCTTGATTCTGATCTCTCCGTCAAACTGTGCGACTTCACCGAAGCATCTGTTCTCCCGCTGGATACAGTAATGGAAGCAGCCGACGATAATGGGTTCTCTGTACAGACAGATATTGGACAACTCGGCGCAGTTATGTACGAAGTTGTAACAGGGTCTAAGTGTGAGTTTGATCTTTTCAAAGATAACGCCCCTGAAGATGGTCGAGCAACTTGGCCCCAGCGAACATTCCTGCCCAGCACAAACGGTCTGTGGATCGGCCCGATAATTGAAAAGTGCTGGACACAGGGAGGGTTTCGGAATGCGCATTCGTTACATCAGGCATTGAGTTCTTTTAACATGGAGAGTGAATCGCCGTCCCTGTTTGATCGTTCTCTAAGGTGTCTCACAGAGAGGAGATCCCTGGGCTTCCTAGCAATTGTTTTTGGCGCCGCAACAGTCCTTGCGACGTGGGCTCGGAACCGGCGCTGACGCAGTGTTTCGTGATTGGCAGGGGGATGCTGGGTATCTTAGTGTAATGAACGCGTACTGTTATGTATTGTACCATCCACAGTTGCCACACTAATATGTATTTCTTACCCTTAATCCATATTTGGATGTAGTCGATCATAATCCCTGTCAGGAAGAAGATTCATGTGATATGTCTATCGCAGTAGACTTCGCTAGGTAACCGGCCTGCTACCCCACTCGCGATGGACGGACAGTCTTCATCTTCCAGCCTGGGTTGCACTTGCACATTAACACAATGGGTATCAATGAGAGCAAGCTACTAGCTACTCATGTTCTTAAGGCTTGTAACAAGGCACAGAAAGAGGGTAAAATTGACCTTGACCCTAGCTTTCTTTGGGCTTCCAAGGTATGCTGCCTAATAAGGAAGCTGATCACTACTAGTGGTAACCAGCATAGGATATCGAGAATATCGCAAGGTCCGTCGTCAGGAGAATACCTGCTCGAATCAGTCGTCGCCAAAACAAAGTTGACCGAGCTGCCCAAATTTATTCACCAATACGTCTTCCTCAAGAACTACAGCCACTCTTAGAGCAGTGGAAAACCCTTCCGCAGGAATTTCGGCTCCGCCTGCCGGAATCGCGAGATGACAGACAAGCGCTGCCAGTTACGTCTCCGGATGAGTTTGTTGCGAAATCATTCTTGTTCCTTTGTGGCATTGAACGGGCTGTGATCATCGAGAAGATACGTTGTCGATTATGCTATGTTGCATTCTATTTGATGAAAGACCAACTTCAACGCGAAGGCTTCCGCCAGGACGCAATAGTTTGTCTCTCTGGCATGATCAAACGTACTGATATGGTCAGCGCTGGAGAACATGAGATTCAAGGAAAGTTGCGTACTTGGGTGGATAAGGGCGAGAGACTTTGGCTGCTGTCAATGGACCTTGAAGGTCCTGGGGTTCTGTTCCTTCTTCCTGAAGATATCGGCGAGAACATGTAAGATCTAGAAAGAGTCAATGATTCTGTTTGCTGACATATTTCTTTAGTTGGCTGCAAGAGCTCCCAAAGGGCAAAGGACCAAGACGGAGTAACATGCTGATGTCCCTTAAGAGAAGGGGTATTACGCAGGAAGCATCAAGAATAGATGCTCATCATACCGCCCACCAAATCCTGTCGTTGTTTTTATTTGCAGTTGGTCTTGTTTCCCATCGGCTAGAGCAGTATTTACGTAAGAATATACCTCATATAAGATGAGCGCATGCTGATAATATAGCTCCCCTCGGAAATTGCTACGAATCACCCCATGCAGGAATAGCGCACGAAACAAGTGTGCAGGAGGCACAAAATCCAGGGATCTCTCAGCAGTCTCCCACACCTCCTAACCCAACCTGTCAACCATCTGATTCCATGCCTTTAAACTTCACCGAGTTCAATCAATCGTCTTCCGGAGATAATATAGAGGCCCAAGCTGCCAGTTTAAACAGAACGGATGCAGGTGGCGAAATATCGACAAACGCAAATAACGGTATATCACACAATACACAGAATCCTTTCGATATGATGACAAGCGCTTGTCGCATGAACGACTACTCAAACCCTTATGACATGATGGAAAGCACAAGCATGTTCTCAAACCCAGATGTATATATGTCAAGCACTGCCCTCCTCTCGGCAATCTTCGGTCCCAATCCTTATGGTACAATGACGAGTACAAGTAAGCTGGGAACCGCTCAAATCTCGGATCCAGAAAGAAGTACTATTCATTAATTCGCATCTTCTGCATGTCATGTCTTTTTCTCGAAACCTAAGACCAAACACACTAAAGTGCCATTACCCTCTGTCACGAGTTTACTATTTCCTTTTATGAGGCTCATAGAAGCCTTTGTATTCTCTAGTCGGACTCTTTGGGACCCAAAGTTATCCGCATATAGTTCCAATGCTGCCGGATTATGTAGAACCATGACAAGATACGCAAGGAATGGCCTCGGGAAAAAAGGCCCTCTCCCGAGCAGGAAAACGTTCGTGCGGTTATCAGCGATTTCTGAGGAGTTCAATACATCTGCTGGAATCTAGTTATGTTAATGCACATCTTTTGCCAAAGTTTTTCTAATAGACATACCCTCGGCAGATGATTCCTCTCAAACTTCTGTATCACGTCGACACACGCTGGTGTGAGATATAACGGTTTGTATGATTGACCTTTCTCAAGCGAGTGACTCTGAGTGATAGTAGTATAATCGGCTGCTGCAATCTCAATGAGATCAAGAAATTCTTTCCCAGGTTCCACAAGATCCGCGAGGTTGCAGGCAATATCACTCTCCCTAGCACTCATTGCTTAGTAGGAGTAGTGCTTCAAGACTATTTTGGACTGCTCAGTCGTAAGCAACTGACGCTATCAAGAATATCAGGATAACTTACTGGGGCACTCCTTACTATCCACCGACAAGTGGCGTGAAAATAAAGCCTCAGTAGCACATGTCATGGCACCATTTCTTCAGTTGAGAGGGGCATGTGTTAATAAGTGGGGGTCGGGTACCATCACATGATTCAATAGCTGGAGTTGGTCATGTGATTGGGCATGATATTATCCTTCCCATGAATATTGGCATAACAATGGGCATAAACTTGATTTCGCCCATCCAGCCGTTTCCACTCAACATGCTAGGTCTATAAGGGGTCAAATTTAAAGTGTAAAGAGGTAGTATAGTCAAAAAATTAAGAAAAAAAGGAGCGATTAGATATTTGTACAAGAAATATGGAACCTTTAAGCTCTTCCCAAGCAAAGGGCATCCAGAATACCCACTACAGATGAAGGTTAAAAGAAGAAAGTTAACGTTAATGATAACTTGGGTGAGTATAAACATGTCAAGCTTAGTAAAACATGTCATACTCCCTCTCCGCAGGCGCTCGACAGGACACGTCAGCAGGATAGGGGTTGAGCGGGGTTACTGGGTGTGGAGTATTGAGGTTCAGGCAGTTCAGCCGAGCTTCAGGTGAAGGAGGGTGAACAGGGTGAAGAGAAAACAGCGAGGGCGCTAAACCCAACAAATCATAAAAAATGGGTGAACACCGACATACAACAGCAGGAATTTGCACCTCAGGGAGACTTCCCCCCAGGGCCATTTTTCCTCGACACTGCAAGTCACAGTACTCCTACTTCCACTTCCCCACCATTGGAGCATATAGTTTGATGATATCTAACCATAGTACCTACCATTATTTATCTATTAGTCATTCTTAGCTCACATATTTAACATAGTACGTGATACGTATGGCACCAAGAAAACAATAAATAGTAAATAAATAAACAACTAATCCTTGTCACAGGGCATACTGGGTGCGCATTCCAGGTACTCCCCGCTGCACTATCAGCAAAAGGACTAGGATGTAAAGCCAATGGCTTTACACTGCGCACGCTATATACGGGTATTCGGGAACAGGATTCAGGCAGGATTCAGGCAACCACACGGGTTCAGGTAGGCAGGCAGGCAGGCAGGCACCGTGACACAGTCCCAGTTACTGGAAGACCAATATAAGGATCGTAAAGGATTATAGATAATTAAATATTATAGGATTGTCGGGATTCATTTATTGATTCTATCTTATCTGGTTGAAAAATAGCAATATAGCACTGTCTGTCGAATATAAGATATCGAGTGTTTGAAACGGAGTGAAGACATTTTCTATTTCGAGGAGATTTTATATGTTGAACCTGGAGTAGTAAGATGTCCGTTTAAATATGGAAAAATCAGCAGACTTTCTAGTATTAAAGTCTGGACAGCCGGGTCAAGGGCACTATTCTGATCATCGAATAGACTGAAATATTGACGGCCCAGGATGGATGCTTAGTACATATTCTGGCCTTGCCTTGATATCCAAACCAATCGAGAAATACCCTGGTGAATTACTTGATAACAAATCACTAAGTACGTAATCAGACCAATTGGACTAGTTACAAGGCAAAAAATTGAATCAAGAATATTGAAAAAAGACAGAAAAAAACAGAAACCATTGCAACAACAACCAGCTTGGCATAGAGGTCAGATAAGTATCAGGACCACATTCAATTCTGTTGAGTAAATTGTCGGCACCGGGACCTCTTTTGGGATCATCTGACTTCAAGCGACCAGTCGTTTCGGGTCGTCAGCATAGCAAGATACCATATACCCAACAATACAGAAAGTTGGCCATGTCCACCAGCCGACCAGGGAATTGGTGAGGCAAGTGCTAATCGGCCGTTTGTTTCTTCCACTCGTTTCACGGCCACAAATTCAGTGTTCGTGAGAATATGTCCATATCGAGCTTTGTGCTGACGAATGTACCAGTTCAATTGTGATAGAACCTGTTTGTATTCAATCATATCTGCCGGAACCGTCGAGCGGCCTATATTAGAGTTCCACTTCTAGGAAACCTTTATGTCGCCGGGACCTCGATTGGGACTGGTGGCATAATCGCCGCCAACAACCACAAATGCTGTGTCTGGCCTGAAATTGTCGACTAGTGCTCCCCTACTCCCACCGTCATATTGTATTGGTGTGAGCTGACCAGCTGCGACAGCCGCATGAAGTTGCCCGAAACCCGCACGAAGTGCGCGTCTGATACGAGGTTGAACCAACTCCTGCCCAGCGATTTTGGAAGAGGGGCTCATCCCTTATAGCGGCGGGTGGAGACATAAAAGGATCTGGGTTCATCCGAACTGTATTCAGAACCGGACCGAATTCTTGGATAATAGAGTTATAGTTGAAGTCAGGCCAATGCATAATCTCGGTGATATCACGATGAAAATAGTGATCATTGGTGGTATTCCGAGAACGAACTACCCGCTGTAGTGGGATCGGTGGTAGAGAGATCAATAGATATTCAAGAAGAGACTGCGTCGCCGTGTCTCTGATCTTTCTTGCTTCTGAACATAAGATGCGTGATTGTAAAAGCTAATCTCACCATGCATCAACACATTATATATACTTATGGATGGAACTGTTCAGACCATGCTTGGACCATACTCAGTCCATGATACAACCATGCTGAGATTATCCCCCTGAATGCTGATACTTGGACAGTGCTTGGACAGTGCTTGAACCATGCAATCATGCTGGATAAGTAAGAAAAGAGAGAGGAGACTAGATCCATGAGCCAGTGAGCCAGCCGATGAGCAAACGGCTGACGTGGCCAGAAACCTAGAAAGCAAGGGATGAATTGTAGCAGGTCGGAATTAACATACAACTAAAAGCAATTAGATAGTTAGTTAACTAAGCACGGCTTTCTTAGTAATTGGCTTCAATCAACTATAAATTACTGCCGCAGGAGCACACTCTTGTGTCAGGGTTTTTCTTGACCCTGTCGCATGTGGGTGCCCATGGTCGCATTATCCTACTGATATTTTGGAGACTATTATCTTCCATAATGCATGCTAACACTGCAAACCCTTTAAGGGTAGACCCTGATATCCTCAAATTTTGTGCATCATTGCAACATTCTGAGGCTTCCTCCATATATAAGGTCATGCTAAACAACAATCATTACTGTCTCAAAGTGGTATGTCTGGTGCATCTCTGATCAATACAGTGCTGAGTCTTTTCAAGTACCACGAAAATGGTGATCCTGGCCATGCTCAAGATGGTCGTGACTTGAATCGGTTCCGCTGCGAGTTGAACGCTTATCGGAATTTGCAAGCTGGTGGAGTGTGCCAAAAGGGTGTGGTTCCACGCTATTTTGGTTACATCGACCAGCTTGACCCGGCGTCTTATCGACCTTATTTGGATAACTTCATGAATGATAAAAATAAGCCGAGAGGCATCTTACTCGAATTGTTGCCTAACACAGACAGTTTGAATTGCGTCAATTATTCCAAAGATCGCTTTGAGATTGCGATGCAAGGGCTGAAAGAAATCCATCAAGTTAAGGTGCTCCATAACGATCCCTATCCTAAGAATATTCTCATCGCTCATGGAGATCCTGAGCGAATTGTTTGGGCTGATTTCGATATTTCTACGTCTTACTCGGATTCTCAACTACAAGACGGTCGGGTGCAAACGTGGTTCGAGGAAGAGTTTATGTGGGCAGAAAGCTTTGGCACTCTTTTGGTATGTTAACCAACAAACTCCTAATCGTTTATCGTTTGGACAGATATCTGATGGAAGGCAGAGGAAGGATCAAGAGCGAGGCGAACCTCCAAACCTCAATTATTATTGATTCGAAGCACAAACTGGCCTTGCCGTGTGGTTTGCTTCAGTGAAGTTGAACATGGGGTGTTGGCTCACTTTTAGCGTTTTAGTGATACCATATTTGTTAGTTAGCGAAAATCTCAAATTAGTCAGGTTGTTGCCGTCTCCATTTCTACTAGATAATTTTCATTCCTCTGGAATGAAACATAATGAGACACGTAGCTGAGCATCGAGTGCGCCACCCTGAATACAGTGGCTTGCTTGTCACACTGCCTATTGATATCATATCTTGCATAGCATAGTCTTCGGAGCTGTCGTCAACATCGAGACGAAAAAGGTCAGAGTTTAGTATTGATCTTGAACGATATTTAGCATACAGTTCTGCTAATACAGTGATCTGCGAAATGAGCCTGCTCCCCAGACACTGTTTTGTTGTTTAAGAAATCCTTGGTTGCCGGCTTACTAAACAATGTCCCTTGCAATGATGGCCTTATCAAAGTATATACTCAATACAATTGGCTTAGCATTCGCGCCAAGAACCCTTTAAACTAATTAACAAGTATATTGCTGGAAGGTGGACTCTCATTCGTATCTCAACCTGCTTGAAACCAGTTGGTTATTCTCGATGAAGGTCGGGCGCCAATCTCCAGTCTCAGTAGGCCACACGTTTCACAGGGAAAACCGTGGCGCTCGGCAGAACTTATTGCTCCCCTCTCCTGCTTCATCCCATGAAGTCCCTCGACTGTCCGTATTATGTTTCTTCCCTTCTCGACGTACACCAAAGAGCACCGGTCTAGAACCTCAGAGCTATTTCCCTGTTTATTAATCGTCATGGAAACTGAAAACCGAGAACTGCGCGTGGGTCCCTTTGATATCATCAGGTGGCCAGACATGCCCGGCATTCCGGGTATTGGTGGGTGTGGCACTCTGATTTTCGGAAGACATGCTAAAACAGGACAGGACGGCATCATATAACCCATGAGGATGTTTTCATCAAAACGTATTGGTCGTCCTCCCTTTCACACGAGGCACACCTTCTTCATGCAGCATCCGGTGGAATGGGGATCCCGCTACTTCACTGGTTCGAAACAGTCCATGGAAGGGAGGTGATGATAACAGATACCTATGGCCCGGTTCTGGAAGAGGCTTTCAATCAATCAGGTCGTTACTTCAGCATGCAGAGCCTCCTTTTGTTTGCCGATCAGTTTCTCTCTCGGTTGGAATTTATTCACTCTCAAAAAAAAAAAAAAAAAAAAAAAAACTAAAAATAAGGACGGCATGGAGAGGTGCAAAAGAGAGAAGAGGTCAGCGGCATCATTGCTGCGCGATTTATGCACGATAGGCCACCTTTTTCGAAGCCCTGCTCTCATCTGTTCCCAATCCGGCACTGCCTGACCTGCTCTGCACCAGCTCTACCCTTCACCATACTCTGCCAGGTAAGATAGAAGCACATGCTGCAGCGTAGGTGTAATCCGAAGTGCGAAATAAGGATACCCTGCACACAGCAGTGTGAAGGTTGACCACGGTCAGCTAAGCCCCGTGCTCTCCAACTTCTCCTTCACCAACCGGTCAAACTCCGATTGTTCCTCGTCACTGAGGAGCTGGATCCGACGTCCCCAGTCTGTTTCCCAATTAGATTCAGGCCCAAAGAAGATTTTATCTAGCCTTTCTCTGAAGATCAAATCAAACCCAAAGCTATGCGTGGCTGCATATACGACCCAAAACTTTCCAGTTTCCCAGCTGTCCTTCATCCGCGTAGACAGCCTCTGCCCTTCATCAAGGCGGCTAAGTCGAATCCATTCATCTTCGCATTCTTGTAACACTTGGAGAAAACGTTCAAGGTGTTTTTCATAGCTCCGAGTCCAGTCGTCTAAGCCTTCTTGCCAGCGGTGCGGCTTCCCAAGGACCAGCCACCAGGGTGGGACATAGGTAAATTCAGCCGGTGCGGCGTACGAGAATTCCCAATCAATAACTCCTGTAATATTCTCATCGTCATCTAGTAGGATGTTGCCAGGCTTAATGTCGTCACACCATAGCCGAAATCCCGCATTGCTTGGAGGTAAAAGACGATCTTCTCTAGCCAGCTTCCGGAATAGTAGCCTGGCCAGGAATTTTTGACGGCAGTCATCCTTGGAGCTAATAGCACCATTTGGTTGATGCACCAGGTGTCTAATATGCAGGTCTGCCAAAGCATTGAGATAAGAGGATGATGTTGCAAATGTATTGGTAGGTAGCTCTGCCACAGGCAACACTGCTGATCGAACGAGCTCCTCCCAGTGTACGGATAAAGGCCGAGCGCCTATCTCCCAAGCCTTGTCGTCGCTGCCATTTGTTTTCGGTACCAATGATCCAATGCTCGACATTGGGGTCATGGCCAACCGAAGTAGAGCATCTGCGATCTGTCGATAAAAGAACGCTAGCTTCTCTGCAGGAAGGTTACGATTCAAGGCAGGTAGGTCTTCCTTCGTCAGACCCGGGGTGTTCAAGACCTCCAAGAGGCTTGTCTGGTGATCGATGTACTCCATCAATATGAAAGGGCCCAGTTGAAGAGGATTCTGCTCACTCGTCCCCCAATGTATGATGGTTGGTACAGGTATCGATGTATTTTCCTTTAGCCACTGCATTACTGCCACTTCCCCCTGCACTTTTTCGTCGGGAAACTGGGTAAAGCCGGGAATAGGAAGTCGAAGCACTACCGAAGACCCGTCCTTGTAGATCAATCGGTAATTAATATTGCCTGAGCCTCCCATACCTTTGAGCTGGATACCCTCGCCCTCACGATAACGTAGGATAAAGTCTCTGATTGCTATGTAGCGGTCCCAGTCGTGTAATGAGTCCAGCCAGGATTGGGCAGTCTCTTCACTTTTGGCCAAGGCGGCATCATCTGCGGTCAAGAATCGAGACATCCTCGTTGGAAACCGCCGCCAAACGTGGTGCGGGGAGAGGTGAACGGGGTATGTTCAGCGTCTGCTGGTCTGCTGGCCTTGACGGGGGACGGTTCACAACTAAGAGGTGTCGAACACCGACTCCTGATCGGATCCTGTGTACGGAGTACGTTTGGGCCATACCGGGCGGGGCTCAGGGCCAATGAAATCCGCTGTCCTGATACCACCTGACCTTGGATGTGGCCTAGTACAAACTAGGACTCGCCCCGAGTGACCATCGAACTCGCCCTCCGGGGTTCCCATCTCCTGTACTGCGTCGGTCGAGGCCATGCAAGTGACCGAATCTGGTCCTTGGAGCGTGGTGATGTGTCCATGCAGGTGGATCGGATCGCTTTGGCCCCCTTTGCCTTCAGGATACCCCTGTGCTCAGCTGATTGACATTCAAACACCTTCCCACCTATTCTCTAAGTCGTGCACTGGACTCAGCATGACAATCCCATCGATTGATAGATTGGCTGTATGCGCGCTAGTCCAAATACGACACACGCTAGACCATTTAGGGTAATTCACTGTTCCCCGCGACTACGGAGTAGTCCAAAGATCGTGAATGATCACCGCCGGCTTGTTCCTGCAGGAGGCTTGCACTGCAGCCACGAGCCAGACAATAAGCTTTTTAGCCAACTGTCAGTCAGCAGCATTGTGTATATCCACGAGGGTCATGATTTGATATGCACTACATTGTCCCCACATCATAACCGGCGGGGAAAGGGGGGGTCCATAGGCTAGCCGCCAACAGTACTCCATTCTCAGTGTATGGAATCGCCATTGTTCGCCAACTCGGCCCTCGGACACACCATTTCGGTTTTCACAACCATGCTTAAATGGAGATGAACCATTCCTATTATTGGGTTACAAACCCTGAAGTGGGGATCAGGAATGGATCTGGAAGAAGCTTAGCCATCATGAACCTTGTATGAAACTCGCTAGGCTAAAATAACCATTCCACTTCAATTACATCAGACTAATCAGAGAATACTAAAATAATTGTCCAGAATGTTCAGTCCCGCTTTTTAGGGACTTTGCTATGGTTCCTCAATTGCCGACGATACACACCCTCCATATAGGTTGATTTAATATCTAGCAGTCAAGTTACTACGTAAGAAAGGTGATTTGTTTCAGGATGTCTGAATTGATCATTTCAGACCTTTAACCCTGTTTGTAAATGATTCCCTGGTATCTCAAAAAAAGGTATTTATTCACGCCGCTGTGACCCTACTACAGCAGGACGCTATCATGGGGAAGCATGGAAACCTACATATGAACGAAAGTCTGTTTAAATCTCCCAGCGGCTATGACTAAGACAAAGCAACTAACTAACCAAGACAGTTGATCCTAGCCAAAACAACAGTCATGTCCACACATCATCTTTCCGATAGCCATCTCCACTCACATTGATCCTCTCTTGGTCATGTGACTACGCCACAACTCACCAGTGGGACTCCCTTCTGCTACACAATCATAACAGACTCACTAATGTTCGCCACAAATCCTATCATAGTGTTAACCTCGCAAACTGAAAATCATCATCGCACAACACGAGCAGCTCGGCTATTATGTCCGATACAAATGCGGGTCGCTTAACGTTACGATATGGAGCACCCAACCACCGATCCAACCCGATGGCTAGACAGCGTGATTGAGAGGATTGAGGCTGGCTGAGCAAGCCGTAGCGCGGTTTGAACTCCTGCTGCCTGCTTAGCTTGATATTTCAGCTGTCCCTGACCAGAACATTACGTGGTCTTCACCTGCGGTCTAGACTCCCACCTACACGTGCTTATGGGGAAAAGTAAATGGCAAAAGTTCCCGAGCAACATGCTATATAGCTGGAACCATGCTGCATCGCTTCCAACACGTCACAACGCACCATGGCACCCACCCCCACATTCCCCCAGAAATACGGAGAAGGCGATCTGCGTCTCAGTGTGCTGAAAGCTCTAGCTGACATCGAACGCCAATGTTCGGGCTACTATGTCTTCATCTGGCAGCACGATGGCCAGCCTAGCCCGGAATGCTCTCACCGTGCGGCGGGGGGTCGATTCGAAGTGGTTGCTTACGGCTCGATGGCTAGTACTTATCGCTATGACTATGTGCTGGTGACCGAGGGACGCGTCGTCTATCGGGGGAATAAACAGTATGCCCCATCTATCTACCTCCATACCAGCATCACTAACGAACCAGTCATAACATGATGGTCCATTCCCAAGGTGCCAACATCACCGACGATGTGATCAACTTCCCGCCGAATCTCTCGTCAGTCCACCCATCCATCAACTGCCTCATCCCATACAACCCTAACAAATCCCAAGAACCCTCACCAAGCCCACCGCTCCCACCATCGACCCCGCCAACTGGATGCGTCATCTCCGCCACCACCACCCCCCGACCTGCACCTCTCCGCCTTCACCATCCCAGGCACCCACAACTCCGCTGCCGGCGTCGGCGCTATCAACTTCCCCCCGGCTTACCTCCCCGACCTCCTCCGCTTCTTCGCCGTCGAAATGGCCGAATGTCAAACCGCCTCGGTCGCTGAACAGCTGGAAATGGGCATTCGGTTTATCGATCTCCGCACCTCCGGTACGGATTTGACATTACGGCACGGACGGGTGGAGCTTCGTCACACGCTACGCGAGATCCTCGATGTAGTGAACGGGTTCCTGGACAGCCATCCAGACGAGACCGTCCGCGTGGCGATTAAACGCGACATGGAATCCATCACGGGGGACCGGCAGCCGGAAACAGACGAGACTCGGCGCGCAGCAGAGGATTGCTTTAGCTCGTATGCCCGAGCATATACCGATGCCGTGGACCCCACGCTCGAGGCCAGTCGCGGGAAAATGGTCCTCCTCTGGGAAGAAGATCACGGCCGACGCGGAATACGTCGCGAATACCGGGGCGGCGGCCCCCAAGGTCGAATGGGAGTACGACGACCGGGAGCGACATTGGCAGGCGGTGCGGGATCTGGCGCAGTGGGTGGCGGGGGTGGGAGGATGTGCGGGATGGACGGTGGTATGGGGTGGGGGTGTAATAGTTATTGGGTGCCGGGGGGGGGTGGGAATTTGGATCGGTTGAAGGCGATTTCGGATCGCAGGTTTCTGAGTCCGAGGCTGCATGCGGAGTATACGAATTGGCGGTTGGGGGTGGTGCAGGTGGACTTTGCGTATCCTTACTTAGCTAAAGAGTTGATATTGACTAACTTCAGCTAGCCTCGATGGATTGTAATATATTATATCATTATTGACTGAGACTGTATTTGCTGTTGATTAAACGAGGTTGAGAGCATCCATAGGCAGAGTTCATTGAACAAACCCAAAGTATCTTCCAACCGTATAACCACCAGCTAAACAAAACATCTATTACCACGAGCAAATACCTCCCCCAACCCAACCCATAGATATATACTATCTAAGCTTCAAACCCCACCCCCGGCCCATGATCCGGCGACTTCAAAACCCGATCATATTCCCGATCAGCGAGGAAATCCTCGCGCGCGATGTCGTCGTTGCTGCGATGCTGCCCGTGGTTGTGGTGTTTGCCTTTTCATTCATCCCCCATTAGCTTTTGTTTATTTGGACTTGTGTATGTATGTATGTATGTAGAGGACTGGGAGGGAAGTATACCTTCACTTCCAGGGGGAGGGGGGCCTTGTGGATGACCTGTTTCTGCTAAGGGAGGAGACTTGGCTTCCGGATGGTCTTTATGCTCGGTATGCTCTTTGTTGTGGTGGTGGTGGTGGTGGAGATGCAGCGCGTCTTCGGCTTTATGGATGAATCCGGACATTTTCAGTATACTCTATATACTATATAATATATCTGTGTTTGGTGTTTGGTGTATTGCTTGTTGGAGGATTCTTTCTTTCTCCGAGAATGAATGCGGGCATGGGATGGATGTTTATATCCCCCACTACTCGTAAATGACGTAGAATCACCATGGATTAGCAGAGGGGGTTGTTTTCTTCCGGGGGGGATGGTGGGGTGACGTCATCGGGGATACTACTATGTGCTATGTACATGGATGGTGGACTGATCAGATTATTACACAGTAGTATAGTTGGGGATAAGAGTAATGGTGGGGGAGATGGGGATAAGACCCCTGACGGTCGGAACGGGCGGCAAGTCATTTGAGGTATGGGTATGGTTTATGCTATAGTATTGGCAGGTTTGGCGGGAATGCTACTGGTGGAAGGTTTATCTGATGTATCAATACATAGTATTAGTCTCTAGGATATTGATGGTAGTGATGCCACGTAAAATGAATATGAAAGGACATAAATATATTTATCTCTTATTCAATTACTACCTGTCTATTGCTTGATTTAATATCAGTATGTTCAATACCCGATGTCCTGATGCCTGCCTCTGTGGTATATATTCAATGATACACTACGCATTCGTATTTATCGGTTTGTATTCTTTTTACTGCATGATGAAGGATAGTATAACTCCTATATTACAGGTATGTAGGTAGCAGGTGACAATATCCACCCTACCTACTACATCCAACGAAGCTCACTCATCCATTCAATCTCTTAGGCAAACGAAACTGGATTACATACAACCCAATTATTCCAATACACCTACTGTAACTCCATCGTATCAATTACATATCTATCATAAGTCATAAATTCCCACAATCCCATTGCTAAACCCCTCCCATCTGCGCCCTCCTCCTCCGAAACAAATAATGCAGATTCAACACCAACGTCAACACCCACGCTGCAGCTGCAAGAGCACAAATGGCCGTGAGACCGTGGATGTACCGTGGGGCGTCGGAGGAGCGGAAGATTTGTGCCCCAGAAATGCCGGACAGGTTGGCCGACATGACGATTAATCTATTCTTATTAGCACCGTTTGGCTTTTGTAGGGGAGGAGGGGGGAGGGGGGGGGGCGGCTTACGCCATGGAGATACTCCGTTCTTGGGGAGTTTTACAGTAAAAGGCGAGCCAGCCGACGTTGAGGACACTAATCCATTAGTATTTGATGCGCGAGGGAGGGGGGGATGGGCATACTGCATGCTGCAATACGCGACGTTGGCAATCGCAATAACGGCATATTTGTGCCATTTGGTTGCATCCGAAGGACTAGTTCGGAGACAGGCATAGGAGATGAGGTTCCAGGTGACACAGAGAAGGACCCCAGGGCCACGGTGACCGGTTTTGTCACTGACATAATTAGCATCGTTACTCCTAGGGTTGAGAATAGGAGCGAGGGATGAGGCATACGAGATATAAGCGAGAATGGTGGTCCAGACAATACTGGCATACACCGGCACAGAGGTTAGGGCATTGGCTCGGACGGCGCTGAATCCAAACGACTTGATCATGCTCGGCGTGTAGGTGTTCAATCCCTGGAAGCCAGACATGGCGACCAACGTGATCATCATATGCTGGAAGGTTGTAGCTTGAGTGACCGTCTTCCAGATATCACGGCCGGTGATTTTGATATGGCCTCGAGTTTTCAGAGGATCATCCAGCAGCACCCGGTCGCGGATGATGTGTTTCTCACGAGGAGTAAAGTAACTCCAACGACCCATGCTGATCAACGGACTTCCATCGCCAGCCTTCTTCGGGATGAACATGATGAACAGGATCGCAGCGAAGATGGTAATCAGGCCCTCCACTATACCATTGTCAGCTGCATGGTCTCAGGAATTTAGAAAAGAAAGGAATACCCAAAAAAATCCACCTCCACCCCGCAAGCCCACACCTCCCATCCAACTTCAACAAACCCGCGGAAATCAAACTCGACGTCGCCCCCGCAAACATCTGCCCATAAAAGAACAGTGTCGTCCGGAAACTCGTCTCGGAGCGTTTATACCACGTCGACAGATAATACAACGCACCTGCACAGTCAGCCCCACCACTATCATCACCAATGGTAGGAGGAAGATGACAAACCAGGAATAAACCCGCCCTCTAACAAGCCTAATAATAGTCTCGTGGCTAGGAATGCCGGATAACTCTGCACGAAGGCCTGGAATGTCCCGACTAATCCCCAGGCCACGAGCTGCGCGGATAGCCATACCTGGGGACCTAAGCGCTGGAGGATGATATTTGAGGGGATTTCTGTGATTACGATCCCGGCGGAGAGTAACTGCGATCCGATGTTCACTTGGTTGGTGGTGATACCGAGATCCTTCGTGATGGTGGAGGTTAGGGCAGCGCTGATGTTGCCGCGGTCGACTTGGAGGCCGAAGAAGGCGAGGGCCAGGATGGGGATGAGGATGATGTCGATCCTAGATTATTAGCATGACACTATACCATAGTACAGGTCTGAGGTGGTGGCAGGGGATAACTCACTTCCTCCGCACCCGTGCCTCCTCCTTCTCATCCCAATCTTTGATAATCTCCATGTCTTCATTCTCGTCCGTGTATACCTCATCCAGAACTTTCTTCTCCGAGGGCACCATACCCTCGTCAAACACAGTACCCATACTAGCCGAGTCCCACAATGCAAATCATGTGGCGTTACTGCGTTCTCAAAGACAAAATCACGCACACACGCACGGGAATGAAAACAATGCTGAGTAACCTACCCATCAAATTGCCGCATGTGGGAACCATATTCTTATATGCAGTGTCCGGTGGAGGCAGACCGTGGAGGCACACTTCGGGTGCTGGATTACCGTGATCCACTATGAGTGACACGGAGGCGTGATGGCGCAATCGCGGCGGGTATTGATGTCAGGCGGCCACGCGTGCTAGTCGGTATCAGTGCCATTGCGTTGGGTTAAGCGATAGGTTCGTGCAGGATGTCGAAGGATCGATGGTGTCGTTAATACCTGTGTTGGTTGGGTTGTGTGCCTGGTGGATCTATGGATGCACCATGGTTTCCAAGGTTATCGGGTGTTTGGTTCGGCTATTAAACTTCCTGATTTAGATATGGCTGATCGGATGTGTCGCTTTATCTGATGCATTATGCATGCTCTATTCGTATCTGGTATCCATCTACACTGTTTATGTACAGATATTCATGACAATCATAACTCGTATTATCAAGTCCACGCCTCCCAGCTCAATCCATCGCGATATTGTAATCCCACCTGCGGTCCTTCGGCCGCAATGAGGTATCCGTTCTCGCATGCTGAATATGATACCTTGGGCTGGTTGGTGTAGAAAGCATCGTACTGCAGATGCAGTGCATCCCTTAGGCTGTCTACCGACCCGTCCGGATGCAGCACTCGCCACGGCTGGATGCAAGTGTGGCCTTGGCATGATTTCAGCACCAGGAGGAGTGCATCAACCCGATCAATCACGCGGGAAAGAGGTCGGCCCAGCAATTGCATGGAGTTTAACTTATAGTAGATGTTGTTCATCTGGTACGGATCCGTCTGCTGCGATTAGCTTCGTCACGAAGATGCTACATAGTACGTACCGACAAATCATACAACTCGTGGTCACCGTCACACCACACCGAGTAGTACAAGTTATACTCTTCCGACAGGATTCTCGCCGACTTGTACGTATTGTTCGGCATGAAGAACGCTCCTCCGTGTCCTGCTTTGTGAGTCTTCGTCCATAACGATGGAAGACAACTCACCAATAGACCCATAATCCCCCTCCAGCACCGCATGTCCCCAAAATTCAACGGTAACATGCTCATGCAGGATGGACTCGGACTTTTTGGTCGACACCGGCATCGGCGTCCCGTCAAAGTCCTCTCGCAAGGGAACCCCAGCCAACTCGAACAGCGTCGGCGCAATATCAATATGAGTGGTGACACGGTCAACGATCTCTCCCTCTGGCACGCCGGGACCGCGAATGTAAAACGGCACGCGGATATCCTCTTCATAACCGGTCGTCTTGCCCGGCGGTAACCGATGGTGGCCAATGTGATAGCCGTTATCGGCACTGTAAATAATATAGGTGTTGTCGATCTGACCGCTACTTCCCAGCCGCGTGATCAACGCATCTACCATTTCATCCACGGCCTGCAAGGCGCGCAGACGCTGTCGATAGAGATGGTCTTCGTAGTCAATGACCGTTTGATTCTGCAGTTCCACCGTCGCGACCCATCCGGCGCCCGAGTCCTACTGTCGTCAGCATCTACCGTTCCCCGACCAGCATACAGTACACACCTTGAGAGGATTGAAATTTGGAGTCCGCGGCACCTTCGCATCAGCAAACAAATGCGCGTGCCTCGGCGCTGGCAGCGGCTCGGTCATCTTCGGGGCGCCCTCGCCCACTCCCTCCACATCGATATTCGTGTGCGGCGCGATCGGCGCGACCGTCAAAAAGAAGGGCGAGTCACTGTCTAGTGCATCCTCCAACAACCCCAACGCCTTTTGCTGCATCACATCCGTAGTGTATTGTCCCTCGTAGCTGCGCGGCGGCTCATGGTTTCGCTGATAAGTCGAGTTCCAATAAGAATACGTATACGGATCGAGAAGAAAATCGGAGCCATTAAACCCATTCACAAACGGCGCATTGTACGTCCACAAACTATGCGCGTTGAACAGCTTCCCCGTGTAGAAAGTGTTGTAACCCGCGGACTGCAGCCACACCGGGAGAAAGTTATCGTTAAACCCTTGCGCGACAAACTTAGGATACCCCCCTAGACAGCATTAGCATTGCAACCCGCCCGGGAATGAGGGATAGATGGAATGGATGTACCATAAGGCGGCTTCACATCCGTAACATTGGTATTATGCGCTTGTCGGCCCGTCCAGAGACTCACGCGCGACGGACAGCACAAAGACGTAGTCACAAAATGATTCTGAAACTCGGTTCCCTTTTCTTTGATTTTCGCCTGCGTGAGCGGCATATACGCCGGCGAGTTCATGCGCAGGTCCTGATCATCCGTCAGGATGAAGAGAAAGTTGGGCTTGCGACCCTCCACCGATGGCTCATCCAGCAGCACTTGCTGCGTGGCGAGGGCGTCGCATCCGGCAACCAGGGCCAGTAGAGCCAGCGAGACGATCATGGTGACTGCCAATCTGTGGTGCCGTCACTTGCGGTGATGTGGTCACCGCACTGATAAAGCTGGTGGTGGTGGTGGTGGTGGTGGTGAGTCGCGATCAAGGCGGTGATGGCGCAGCAACGGGGCGGGATAACGCCATAGCTGGGATGGGGGCCCACCTGTCCACTCTGGAACTGCCGGCCATCCTCGGGAACAAATGCAGCTGTCTAGACTTCCGAGGGTCCTCTCATTCCTCCTCAATCTCATAGCCGACATGCAGGTGGAGCGCATGGCACTGGAAATGGACAGTCCCATTGGCTAGTTGTGATGCCATCAGCCCCTAGACGCAGTGATCCACACCCACGAGGATATTAGAGCGGACAGTCAAGGTCCTCTCAGCATAACACACATTGGCTGGTGGATTTACTCCAGGTTTGGCCATTGGGCTGGGAACTAAAGGTGTCCCCCTGTGGACCTCGGTTACGGATTACGTGCTTGCCTCTAAGATGAGATCATGCCATGCGATAACAACCAAAGCAAGTTGCTATGTATCTATGATTTAGATCAGGCCATGCGTGGCATCCATCAGCAAGGGTTACTTGGGTCAAGCCAGGAACCCGATCTCCTGCAGAAATCACTTAGATTATTCGTATCTCCGATCCGTTGTGCCGACTATCTTCTTCATCACATGACAGACCCTCTGTTACACATCCACCACATAAACACACTCTCTCTACTCGGTACATAGACATCAATCACCGCCAGGTATCATCCACCGTCGCAGTCGATGTGCCACACTCCTGAGGAACAGTGTACTCCCGGTTCGGGTCACTCTCCCATTCCACCGTTCCATCCGACTCAATCCGGATGAACTTGTACTCGAACGACTCGCCCGCGGGCAGGCTCACCGTCACATACCACAGCGGGTCGCTGGAGGTATACTTGTCAGCGCTGAGGGCCACACCATCGCTGGTATCCCAGTCACCCAGCTGCGAGATCGATCCCACCAGGTAGATGTTCTCTCCGTAAGTGGTGGTCGCGGTCAGGTCAAAGGTCACGGCCACAGCGGTCGGGGTGCTGCACGCGGTTGAAGTCGTCGTCTTGCTGGCGGTGGTGGTGGTCTTGCTGCTCGAGGTGGTGGTCACACTGCCCGTGGCCGTGGTAGTGGCAGTGGTGCCACTCGCCACGATAGTCGGCCATGAGGTAACCGTCACACTGCTGTAGGTGCCCGTGGCCGACGTAGCCGCACAGGTTCCAATCACGCTGCTGGCCGAGGTCTCACCCCAGGGAGCGGGCACGACCGAGTTACGACGGTTGTTGGCCGTCAACAGGGCAGCATACGACCAGGTCAGGTCGCGAGCAGAGAGCTCCTCGCCATCCGACTTGCTGAACTGCTCGGACAAGGAGCCGTTGCTGGCCGCATGAGTTTCCTGATTAATTAGCATGCACCTGGAGCAGTAATCTTGCAGTGGACTTACGACAATCGAAACGAATCCATCCGCAAAAGTCTTCACGGCATCCACAATGCTGCTGTAGGTGGCACTAGAGGACGAGTACGTGCCCGTGGCAGCATCACTGTACAGGGCCTGGAAGAAGTCCAGCGACACGTCGGTCACCTCCAATGATCCCTGCTTGTCCCACTGGTAGAGCGCGTCGTACAGCTGCTCTGCAGCGGCCAGGGTGCACAGGAACCACGGGTTACCGTTGTAGTACGAATCCTCAGGGTAGCGACCAACCGCAACAGCCTCGCTGTCCGTGTAGCCATCGTTGATGGTATAGATCGACCGGAACGAATCGACCACCTCCTTGTGGTTGGCAAGCGCACGCGGCGAGCACGGCTGGAAGGTCGTGTCATCACAGCCGGCCTCCGGGTCAAAGGTGTGGATGCTTCCCAGGAGGGTGTTCGCATCCTTGCCAGACCGACTGCTATCAAAGTTGGCCAAAATGTAGCTGCCAGTCCAGAAAGACTGCAGATAGCAGAGGATCTCGGGTGCCTGCGAGTCGCACCAGGAGCAGGACGAGCCGACGCTGGCCGCGAAGGCGCTACCCTCCACCAGGGCGCGGTGCTGCACAGCGATGGTGAAGAACGACGAGCCGTTCACTTCCTCCCAGAGATCTGCATCACTGATTAGCTCTGTATCCTTCTTCCTGGCTGACCGAACGCACCATATCCCGTCTGGTTCCAGTATTGCGCCACATACGACAGGTCGTTCCGAACCAGGGGCCACACAATATCCGTCGCGACACTAGTGTAGCCATTGTCCTGACCAGTCAGCTCTGCCATCTATCACATGCAAGGGATAAACATACAACCAACCACTGCCCAAAGTCGATCAAGGCGGTGGCTCTCAAAGCCGGACCATCCCGCTGAGGCCGTCCCCACGACCCGGTATAGGCTGTCTCGTCGACATTGAACTTGGGCTCACCCAGTCCGCCCGAGGACAGATCTCCCGAAGGGTTGCTAATGCCCTGGACGATGGCCTGAGAGGAAATGTAGTGCTCAATGGTGGAGAGCAGGTCGGAGTCGCCATTGCGGAAGAGATCGACCAGGGTCTTGATGACGAGACCGGAGTCGCGAGTCCAGGTGTAGAAATCTAGACAACGCCCGTCAGCATGGAGCTTCTCCCATCACTAGAGCCACTGTACGTACAGTCCGGGTTATCGGTGCTGGGACTAGCGACGACAATGCCCGAGTCCGCGCCCGACACCCACGCGCCGTCCGCCCCGATGTTATTCAGGATGGCCGTACGTGCCACGGTCGCTTCGCTGCTAAGCCAGGAATCCAGGGTGGCCCGCTTGGGCAGCACCCCGGCGAGTCCCGAGCAGACGAGGCCGCTCACGGTGAGAAGAGATCGCAGCGACATGGTGTGAAGGATGAGGGTCGGTCAGAATCTCCAAGACGAGTCGCGTCTGCGGATCAGCCTTGAAGAACCGACCAGCCCCTTCAATTTATAAACCCCGCGCCGCGAGAGGGGAAGCACATGCAGGACCTGCCGGACCTGCAGCAATGGTGATGATGCAACATCGCTTCGCCTCTCGCCTGGATGCTCGCTGCAGGAGGAGTGGCACGCCAGCTTGTGATCCCGCAGGAACAGGCGATGAATCTCCGGTGGCGTGGGCTGGCCAGCCTATGGTTGTGTCGGGCCGGGCCGGGGGAAATTGCCTCGCCTCCACCGCGTCTGCAATGGTCTGCAATGGTCGGCAACGGTCGGCAACAACTGCTCAGCTCGCCCGCATCCTGGGGTTTTCACCCAATGGTTGGCCTCGCTAAGACGGGCTGCAATTTTACTCAGTCCGGGGATTCGCCGTCCCCGGTCGTGCATGGAAGGATGATTGGTGCAACTGCCAGCCAAGCTGCTATAACACGGAAATTATCATTATGGTACCTGAATCGCTTCCAGTGCAGTACTATATATTAGATTATATATCCTTGCCGAGGCCGAACATGACGATGATGACCCTGGCATCATCCAACCCTCCTCCAATTGCATCCTCCCCCTCAGATATGGAACGACGCCACATTCTGCAGGATCAACTCATACGTCCCGTTGCGGAAATCATCCGTGAGCAGGCTGGCACTGTTGGCTCCGAAATTCATCAGCTGCCGGTTCTCCTTCCATTGCGGCCATTCCATGTACTGCCCGCGGTTGGAGTTCGGGTCCAGCGTATAGACAAAGCTCAGATAGTACGTGTGGGAGGAGCTGGCCGCGTAGTTCGGCTTGATCCCATAAAAGACCTGCAGCAGGTCACTCCCATGGAATGTCCCCAGGATCGGCGTCCCGTAGTCATACGTGGCGAGGTAAGACCAGTTCGGCAGCTCCGGGGATATCTCCGCTGCATAGGAGAGGAAGGCCCGCCGGGTGATGGTAAAGACCAAGTCGCCAAGAATGGCCGCCAGCCGTTTAAACTGTGGATACCAGTTGTTGGCCGCGCCCGTCCGAAATGGGGACCCGTACGTCGTGGTATCGGGGTACTGGGCCACCAGGTCCTGCAGCAGCTCCTTGCTGGCGTCGAAAAAGAAAATGTTGGCCAGGTAGTCAACCACCTCGTCGACGGTCGTGATGTTGGACTGGAACAGGGCAAACAAGGTCCCCTCGTCTTCTTGGTCGCCCACAATAAACGGCACCCGCGCGTACTTGCCGGCCTTGCCCAGAACATCCGGCGATGCCGTCAAGGCGCTGCCGTCCGGACGAGGCACATAAGACAGCGCCACCGAGTTATAGCCGATGATCCCAGGCACGGAGTTTGCCGCATTGAGGAAGTCAGTGTAGTCGAGCTCGCGCAGACAGGCCAGGGTGTCGTTGGCAGAGGAGCAGCCCGCCGTTGACACGACCGTATCATACACCTGCTGTCCTTTCACCCCATCCACGGGATCCGCCGGAACCACACTGCCCGAGTCCATGATGGCACCCCGGAATAGGGGCTTGTCCTTGTACGTGATGTTGCCGTCGTACAGGATCATCTGGTCGAAGACGGAAATGGCGCCTGCTGATTCGCCCCAGATGGTCACCTTCTCCGGGTCTCCACCGAAGGCCGCGATGTTGTCGGCCACCCACTCCAGAGCAAGGCGTTGGTCCAGAAGCCCAAGGTTGGCAGAACCGTCCTCCAGGATCTCCTTCCCGGGAAGGAATCCGAAGCCACCCACGCGATAGTTGATCGCCACGAACACGACCGGCATGTTCGTATTGATGGACGAGGTTACCATAGTGGTTCCATCATACATGGCCTTGGAGCCGAGCTCGAAGCCTCCACCAAAGATCCAGACGAGCACGGGCAGCTTCGAGTCCGCCGTGGTCCCGGCCGGACGCCGGATGTCAAGGCTCAGACAGTCCTCGCCCGCATTGGTGGCCGCCTGGACCAAGGGGTTATCCGCGAGCAGGCCTAGGATGGATGCGGGGAAGGAGTCGTCGTCGGTGGTGAAGTACATCTGCGGACAGGACTGGGAGGCACCAGTGGCCTTGACCGTGCCGAGAGCCGTTTCCAATGGCTGCGGAGGCTTCAGACGCAGAGACCCCGTGGGCGCCTGTGCGAAAGGGATGTTGTTGAAGGTCTCAACGGCGCCGGCCGCCCCAATGATCGTGGCAGATGGCTGCGCAATGGTGACGGTAGGCGCGGCATCCCGTCGGGTCGGGGAGGCCACAACGGCCAGGGAAAGAGAGAGCCAAAGGAGGGCCTTCATGGTGGTCTGGTCAGTACCTGTATGGGTTACCGGTCCTCTCATGGGCCCCCAGGAGCTATATATACAGTTGCATCTTCACACCTCGTTTCAAGTGTCGAATTTCCATCCGGTCTTGGTGCACGGTCCGGAGAACCGGTCCGCCAGGTCCCATGGGTTCAGCATCGCCATGTGCCTCCTCGGTTGTGGATTCCTATCAAACACGCTACATTTTGGGTGCAAGGTCGAGAGACTCGACTTCTGGTGCCAACCAACATAGTCCGGGTTGGTCAGAAGACTGGCCGTCAGGGGGAATCCGGCGTGGTCGGAGAATATCGCGCCAACCGCGTGGCCCAGAAACACGAGAACTCCGTTTCATGCGCCCAAACCGAGGTTGGCATAACGGGGTCGCCGTCAGCCGATCAGCCGGTGTATACCACTGCTCGCATCCTGTTGGTCGCCCCAGCTGATTCGGGATGATCCCAAGCATCTTCCCCGCAGTTCGTAGGCTGCAGAGGCTGCCCTGCGGGGAAAGGAGCCTCGACCGTGACACTTTGGCTCCTCGACTCGGGCATTTCATCCGCGGCATTGAGTCTTCCGATTCGCATGTGTGGTGGTGCAAGGCAGCCACGCCGGGTGCAGCCGTGAGGAATGTGGCATTGATGCAAAGATTGGAATCTGCCCCAAAAAGAGAGAATGGTATCATATGCTGTTCGGGTCGTGGGTCGGCGATCGTCGGCTACCGAACCACACCCAAACTATCGTCTAAAGGATTATGCTTTATGGTACACCCAGCCAAAAATAAACTCCAAGTCCCAAAATCAAGCCAACGCCCCTGTAATTTTACATCCTGAGCCCGCCAAAAATCAGTCGCTTGCCTCTCATTCACTTTTCCCATCCATTCCATCGCTCGAAATCCCCCGTGTCGAGGTCGAACAAATCCAGCATGCGTCCGACACTCTGATCGATAAGTTCCTCAATTCCCCCGGCCTTGATGTAGAACGCCGGCACGGGCGGAAAGATAACGGCTCCAGCCCGTGTCACCTCCAGCATGTTTCGCAGGTGAATCTCGCTCAACGGCGTCTCGCGCGCCACCAGGACCAATCGCCGGCGCTCCTTGAGCATCACATCCGCCGTCCGGGAGATCAGATCGTCGCAGAAGCCGGAATGGATAGCCGCCAGGGTCTTCATGCTGCAGGGTACCACAATCATTCCGTCGGCGCGGAAAGAGCCGCTCGACACCGGGGCCGCCATGTCGTTGATGTTGTGCACGTGGTCGGCCAGTGCACGCACGTTGGAAGGATGGTAGTCGGTCTCGTACTTGATGGTGGCCTCCGCCCATTTGCTGAGCACCAGATGGGTCTCCACGTTCAGGCGACGCAGGGCGATCAGGACTTTGATTCCGAGCATGGCGCCCGTGGCGCCCGTCATTGCTACTACAATGCGACGTCGGCGGGGCGCAGGTCTCGCAACGGCCACTTGATCATGTTCGGCGGCCATTTCGCTGGCAGGAGGGGATGAGCGACCGGAGTTGGGTGTAGCGGTACCGGAGAGGAGTGAGTTAAACATGGGTGCGGGTAGATGTGCTTGGATGTGAAGAACTTATAGACTGTAGGTCGCCTCTCGCACCGGTTTGATGTGGATGAAATGGATTGTGCTGGTGACAGTCGGAGGATAAACTGTCGAATATATACAGAGTCAGTGGCAACCGTTAGCTGCAGAATCATTTAAGGTGATGAGCAAAGCTTTCCCAGAGTTATTTATCTTTCCGGGTCATCCTACCCACCTGCAGATCTCGAGTCCCCGAGGCCCCGAGCCCGAGACTCCGAGTTACGTCATGAGTCGCTCACATAAAGTCCAACTCCTTGGACAAATCAAATACCGGCACTGTTTTTATTAGCTCGGCACCCCGGATCGGTAAACACGGCATACCATTCATGATCGAATCCAGGTAGGTTGCGGGTGAAAAGTCCTGGCCAAAACCGTCCGGGAGGCCGTCCGGCATCCTGCAAGATCAGCATCCATTGCCGCTCTACAAACACGAGTGGGTGCATACCCGTACGCGGGCACAAATGACTCGAGCTGTTCCGCGCGTTCTGCCCCGACATTTCCGTCCTCCTTTTCTCGGTCTACCGCCGTCCGCACCGCGTTGCGCAGGGTAATTAACGCCCGTATGTGTCGTTCAGATAACCATTGGCCGTTCTCCGACGTCGAGCTTTCTGCGGTGCCCCCTGAACCTGCCGCCGAAAAGACCTCAATTACCCTCTGTTGCAAGTCACGGCACTCAGGATCATTCCGCGTCTCCTCCCAAATGCAGAGGAGCAGAGTGGAGCTGAGGACGGTGTGGACCATTGACCAGCTCCGAAGAGGGACCACACTCAGCGCTTGAAAGTCCAAAAAGGCCCTAGACGCGTCCATCAAGCTAAATTTGGCGCGTGTACGTAGAATGTCATAGGATGAGTCGCGAACTGTAGTGCGCTTCAGGGCTGGCCGAGTCAACACGGATATGGCAAGAGACACGTGCATTTTCAACGCCATGTGTTCTAGGTTGTGCTGCAGTGTTTTGCATTCTTGGCGGTCTCGCAAATGTGGCTGGGTGTGTTGATAGAGACTGTCAATACTAGCCAGAATATCTAGCTGCTGCGCAGTTTGCTGTACGTCAGGGCCGTCTGTTGTAATCATACCCAGCGCAATCCGGCAGAGGAAATACATGGCTTCTGTGTAAGACAAGTCAGTCCTGGAAAAGATGGAATAATCTGGAGCCCATCCGGTTATGGAGACAACCCGAGGGCGATCGTAGCATAAGCAGAGCAGGCAATCCTGCCAAACGACAGTGAACCTGACTTGTCAGCCTGCATCTCTTGCGTAAGGTTGGGTACCCACCACAACCGCCGTGCTTTGTACTTTAAATGGTCTGGCAGGTGTGCGACACTCTTTTCAGTGTGGAGACCCAGTGTCTGGGCGAGACGGACCGTCGTTCCTAACATGGCCCATGCTGCATCCGACTGCCCAGTATTCTGAAGCGTATTCCCTATGATGAGAAGCGTTTGGATGATGTCCATCGTCGGGCGGAAAAGGAAGTTGGCGAGTCGAAGGGCCTGGAAAGACCGCCTAGCTTCTCGTTGTGAGTGCAATGTCCACATAATACCATGATGACATACCAAAATCCTGGCATAGTTCTGATCGCTGGACGTATTCCAGATCAGAGTAATGTGCACCAGAAGCCAATGTCGCAAGGAGCAGACTGATGAGACCGACGGACCGATCAGTGGCCCAGCGTTCGGAAATACGAGTGGCGTCCTGCAACTCCCCAGCCGCGAGGGCAGTCAGGTACGAACAGACATCTAGCTCGAAGCGTTCAATATCTATGATTATAGGATTGAACGGGTACGATGATATACGATAGAAATGGAAGAATCTGTCACTGTTAGAGGACCCCACGACTAGCAGGGTATGCTTACTTTAACAACTCCGTGCGCTGCGGCAGGATCCGTAAAAGTTCTTTCCATCGATCTTGAGGTGTCCTAAATTCCATGAATGGGTAACTACCGTAGGTGTTTTGCAGCCCCAGAACAGAGCCCACCTCACGGGCCATGGAACCATTGGCATCTTGAGTGCGATGACGGAGGATGGACACCACCGAGTTGTCGCCCGAATAGACAAGATCATTATCAGGACCATCCGAGGATGGCATCTGGGGAGCATAGTACTGTCTCAGCTGCGACTGGATCTCGGACTGACTGCGAACTGAAGGCTGAGTCTGAGGCTCGAGATCGGGTTCCCCCTGGGCAGCTGGGGTTCGGCTCAAATCATGAGGAGCAGTGGAGCGACGCTGCTGGCTCGCGTTCCGAGCCGGTTTGGAACTAGATAGATCTTGATCATATACACAGATTTGAGGATGGCCACGCCGGCGACAAGTCCGACATGGCACCGTGTTATCGCATTTCACCTTGCGCTGGCGACAAGGATAACACGCCCGCGCCTCGCGCTGGTTGCGTTTCAATCGCAACACGCGGTCGATCTCTTGACGGTCAATGGGGGCAGACATCAGTATCTATGGCCGGTGTATTCTTAGTCCGATTAGCTCATACTCCGCTTTCGACCCTCGGAAAGCGTTCTCAGTCGCGTTGATGCCCAAGGGAAGCGTTGCGCCGCGGATCTGGTCGGCTTCTCGGTTCCGAGATGAGTCAGCAGCGGGCACCCAGCTTTCAGCATTCCAACTGGGGTGGAATAGGGAGGATGAGCTTGGAGGTAAATGGAGTCGCTTTGATGGGCTGGGTGTTGGGCGGATGTGGAAGGTGGATGATATTGTGAAGCTTGCCAAAATGTGGGGAATGGAGAAGGCGCGATATATATATCCAGGGTGGATCGCGATTAATTAAATTCAAGAAACTCTACGGCTACACACCGACTATCACTTGTGGCGTCCGTCCGCCAACGCCTTATTTTGCTTCATACCCTCCGGGTAAGGTAAACTGCTTCCACTTGCCGACGAGTTTTGCATTTTTACCAGTCCCAGATGACTGGAATGGAACTCCGTCTTTGTTCGATAAGTGAGTGATTCGGTTGACATGGATTAGTGTCCCAGGCGATAATCCGAGACAAGGAGGTCTCAAGCAATACGGAAACAGTCATTCTTCATGCCGATGGATTCGTCAAAGAACGGAGCCCTGTTGTTGGTATCGATGCTCGAGGAAAGATAGCAGCGGCTTTGAGATTGGGTTCATTGATATCCATCTCATCGCAATCAACGGTAACCTCGCGAGATTCCACAAAAGAGCGGAACACTAATTGATGGGCTTTGCAGAAGTTTGATTGTTTATCGCTGCTTGCTCAAAGGCATTGGACGGGGAGTCTGAACCTGAGAAGCGCAAATCGAGCAGGCACTGTAGTCCAGTGTTTAGCCATCATATGTCGAGGGATATTCTATGGTAAAGCCTTGGTGTTGATGACTTTCAGGAACTGCAACGCTATGACCGGGGCCATGTCGTTCTTCCGATAGTCTTATAGTAGGCCAGACTGTCCGTCCGAACCCCCGAGCCCGAATGCCCGCACGGGTAGTCACGGAATACACCCAACACCCATGTCTAGTGCCGACCCGTGCCAATTCATATACTAGATGATTAGCGCTGCTTGGCACTATCACTTATATCATCTTGTGTAAATTGCATGCAGTCCCATAACTGGTACACTATGGAAATCAGTTACTATCACACATGACAACCACAACACTAGCGTCTTATGCTAGGCCAGACTTGCCCCAGCACAGATTATAGCAAACCTTGTGCATTATGTACCATGGTAAGTATTTTATGAAGAGCAAGTCTCACCATACATCTCCCTCGAGTCCCTCCTAGGGGCAGACAATATGAACCATCGCTTATTGAAATCAAATAGGTATCTCTGATCGCACACCACACTGGGGAATATGCGATAAATGCAGCGGCTTGCCGAATGCAAACCCCAAATATCACTGAAAGCAGCTGTACTCACAAGCACGTGATCCGTGATGTGCAGTGAATCAAAAGTCGAAAGTAAACCCAGCTGCTCCCAAAGAGTCCTAGCGCCTTCGCTTGTGTTGTTGTTGTGTTCAGAGTCACGTTGGATAGAATGTTCATCATACATCAGATACATCGAATGAGCTCCTGGGATGCGTCTCATATCGCGTCTATTGGCATCGTTCCGAGCAAACATGGCGTCAAAGCTCGACAACAAAGATAACCCTTACATACGGTTTGTCAGAAGCCTATATCAGGCGAAGAAGCAACTGACCGAAACAGCCTGTACTTGAGCCCCGAGGGCAGCGACGTGTCCATCATATGCGGAGACAGCATCTTTCCCGCTCACAAGAAAGTGTTGGTGAATCAGTCGGGCTACTTCAGATGTGCCTGTCACGGGAAGTGGAAGGTATGAACGTGACTCTAGTCAATGCCGGATTCCATCCGGCAGTCTAGTTTGAGTTTGGCTGACTCCATTCAGATCCTGGTGGAAGAAAAAAAGAACATCGTGCTCAATGAAGACCAGCCTGTTCTAATCAGGAAGATGCTTCAATTTCTCTACACCGGAAGCTACACTGTTGACACCTATGGCTTGACCATCCCCGACCTGCCCAATGAGCGTCCCAATACCATGGTCAAGGCCGACTACCCCGACAGAGGCGATTATCCCGACGAGGATATCTATACGCCCTGCTTCCATGCCATGTTGTACGCCGTGGCTGTGTTCTACGAGATCCCCAAGTTGGAAGAGGAGACCATCAAGAACTTCCGGCAGTCTCTTTGGCAGATTCGCGAAAAGGAAGGGTTCCAGGCCGCGGTGATCGAAGTGTATTACGCGACCAACCCCAGTGAGCGGAAGCTGCGAGACTGCTTGGTCGAAATGGTGATTCGCCATCTGGAGTTTTTCTACCGAAAGGGAAATGAGCCTCAGATTCTGGATCATGAAATTCTGGATTACGTGCCGGAATTTTGTCGGGATCTTTGCATTGCGAGCATGATGGCAAATCGCAGATTCGAGTCTGATCTGTTTCAGTACGGATGCGCTCATGTGCAGATGAAAGAAAAGGTGGCCCGGGTTGGCAGAGAGAATAGTGCACTTCGAGCTGAGCTTCGTCAGTACAAGAAGAATGCTGAGGAGTGTGACGAATGATATGCCATGATTGATGCGGATGGGTGGTTTCACAGGTTGTTCACTGCTGGTTTAATATGCTCTGCCGTTCCTCAGTGGTTATTAGCGAAAATAGCTAGAAAGCCTTAATTAATCCCATAATAATCCCATCTCGTTGACAAATGATCGCATAGAACTTTTTATGATAGTATCACATGATGTGCTCTCCACCAGCCATAAGAAAAGTGCTCAGTCTTCCTACTCAACGCCTACTCATACACACGCCTCTCATGACAAGTCTCACTCTCTTGCACCAACCCGTCTCTCTCCTAAGCAACCCGCCAACCACGAAAGCACCTCGTCCATTGCGTATCACTCATGGCAACAGCACCAATAAAAAGACCAAAGACCGGTAAGAAACCCCGAGTCCATCACAGCAGTCAAACAAAAGACACGTCCCTCAATAAAACTAACAACAAAAAGCCACAGAGCCCCCCAAAACAACCATCTCCAGGTACGAATCAAACACTTCCGCCATCCCTACAAATACCTCACACCCATAAAGATTCTTCCTAAGCACCAAACGGAGCGACCTCACAATCGCCTGCGAAGACCAAACCTTCCCCGCCCACCGATGCGTCGTATGTCCACAATCCAGCTACTTCGCCCGAGCCTGTAACGGACATTTCAAAGTACACCCACCCCCCTCTCTTCATACAACACAAAAAGCCAAATCTAACACGTTATCCCGCCCAGGAATCCCATGGAACCATCGAAATCCAAGACCTTAAGCCGATCCTCGTCGAGAAAACGCTTCAGTTCTTATACACGGGCGATTATACCACCAAAAGCGACTTGCCGAGTAACAGTCCCACTGAAAAGTTCGGCCGGACCAGCACACTATCTAGTCCCGTGTCTCAGAGCTTTCCCGTACATCTTGTGACCCAGGCAGACGACCTCTGCACGGCGAGATTCCACGTGCGGATGTACGCACAGGGGAGTTATTTTCAAGTCGATGCATTAAAAGCCAAGGCGAAAGAGCACTTCGCAAAGGCGTTTTTGGAAAATGTGGATCGGGGGGTCTTTGCTGCTATTGTGGAGGAGGTGTATACGTCTACAGTGTCGTCGGATAGGGGGCTACGGGATATTGTGGTGGAGAAGATTATGAAGTTTCTGCCGCTGTTGATGGTGGCGCCTTCGCCGTTGGTGGATGGGTTTGTCTTGGGGTTAGTCCCGGAGTTTGCGGTGGATTTGTGTCTGGCTTCGTTGGCGAGGAATGTTGAGATGGAGCAGAAGGGGGAGGGGAAGTGATGTTAGGGAGAATTATTCCTTTTTTTAATTGGTTGTGTTAGAGGGCGCTTGTGGTTTTGGGTGAAGCGTAAAAGCGACGTTCTTGCAGGTTGTGTGGGAGTGAGGGGATGTATATCTGAGACGTTGGTCTCTCTTACTCTTCCCCCGAAGATGTGATCCGAAAGTATCTGAATTAGCTAGGCCTGTACCTTGACATGAAAAGTATGTGGTTCTACGAGAGTGCAAGTGGATACTCAACCTGCAATATGAACCGCATTGTTGTGCCAGGCCGTTGGTTGGATTGAGGTCAGTGGGGGCAGAAAAAAGTGTATCTACCCTACCCCATCCATGCTCTTGCTCACCCATCATTACCCACCAAACCCAGCCCCCCATCACCCCCCGGAACCCTCTAAAACCACCTCTTCGCCGTCCTCTTCTCCCTCCTTGTGTCCGAAACAAACCTTACCTTCTTCCCTGACTTGGCATTCGTAACTGACATGTCTAACCCATGATTAGCACCACACATCACCCAAAAAAAGAAAAAAAAAGGCAAAATGTACTCACTTGCATAATTCTCATGCAGAATATAAGAATGCCCACACACCTCACACAAAACGGTATCATCCACTGTGCCCGCATCACAGACGCAGGTTCCATCCCTGCAGGCACATTCATACCCCGGGGTTGAGAATTCGCAGCGGCCGAGGTTGAGTGTCTTGGGTTGGGACTTGCGGTGCCTGGAGTATTTGGGACGGGAGTTGATGGGGAAGAGGTGGAAGGGGTTGTTGGATTGGTGGGTGGGCATGGCTGGTGGATTCCTCACTGGTTGGAGGTGGTTCGAGGTTGAATGATCGAGATGTTCGGTTGTGGTGTGGATTCAGGGTTGTTGTTTGGTTGAACAGTGAGTATGGGGCTATTTATGGTAATGAGAACTGCAACAAAGCTTTAATAGGGGAAAGACGAGAATGTAGGGTATAAGTGGAAGGTTTCAGGGAGGACACGTCAGGATGTATTCTGCTTGAACAGAGATAATAGGGAAATGCTGTATGGTGGGTGAGACACCGAGCGATATGCGTTGCTGTCATTCTCCTATTACCACTGTTAAAACCCCAATCTTCCCTTGAAGGTGTGACTTATCGCTGTTCGACACGAGCATTTATTCAAGCATCTGAACCATCCTTGGACCATTTTCAGGCCGCGTGCTGTACATCTTGCTGATAGGTATGTGAGCAGACAACCTCTGCCTACTTGATCTTCAGTGCTGGAAAGAAAGGTGATACTAATCTTGGAGACAAGCTGGGGGATTCAGTCGCATCAGCTTCGATCCATGGGCATGTGTTCATGCTCAGTGGCACTCAACGCCACATCACTGCCTAAAAAAATGCAAACTAACATATCGCAGTCTGGATCCTAGTGAGAGTGGCAAAGTCATTAGGAACTTGTCATGTAATACTCGAGGACAAGGAGAAAATACTCACAGCTGCTGGGGATGGAAAGTTTCCCGAAAAGTGACGAAAAAGACCAGACGTGTCGCTGTATCAGGCTGAATATCTGATATCAGTTAATCTAATCTTTCACGGTATTCTTCCAAAGTATTGACCTTTCGCGTGGATATTCACAAAAATATTGTTTTCAAAGCGGATGGAACCGAGACAACAAAGAACGCATTGACGCGATCCAGATGTAAGGTACAAACCAAGTCATCTTCTTTGAAGGAACCGACATTTCTCAGCTCGGCGCGACCCGTCTCTAGACTTTGGAACTCCAATGAGGTGCTTGTTCAACTGGCATCCTGCATTTCTGGGTCTCGAAGCACTGTCTCCATCTTTCGAGGGACAGCTTAGGTGGAGGTGGGTGATACCTTTTGTGCGGTGATACCGTAAATGCCTAAGAAAGAAGACTAATGGTAGCATGTGCCCAGCAGGATGCCTCACGAAATTATCCTAGAATTGAAGGCAGATGGCAACAGAGTATGGGAATATGTCTCCTAATTTAAACCTCACATTCTATCGACAGGTATAAAGGTCCGTCAAATCCTGGTGATAGTACGTTCACTCAACGAAGTCAGAACCCTCTACTCAAGAAATCGCTCTTGAGGAATTCTTTTCACCCTCACATTCCTCTTACAATTCGACCCAACTCGACCATCCTTGCCAGCAAAATGGCTGCTCCCCAAAAGCTGAACAAGGTCAATATCGCCTTTGAGCTATACATGAACCTCAAGCCCGTCGAAGAACACAAATCATTCGATGAATTTGCCATGTGTCTCACCTCCAAGGATGGCTATAGGTTCGTTAGCCATACCAAAAATCAAGGACTTGCAGCCTGTGTATCTGATTCCGAAGAAAGCGAGGCAAACAAAGCCGACAAGGCCAATGACCCATATGCCAAGGCCTGGATAATGACTCAGCGAGCCGAAACCATGACCCACGGCCGATGTATGTCCCCCCCCCTATGATTGTGAAACGCAATGCTAACTAGTTTCTACAGGGCCGGTTCAGTTTGAAAGTCCTTTATTGGAATACAACCTGGACGGGAAGTCTGGGGGTGACGACTGGAGAAAGGTGGTTACATCTTACTTCAGCCAAATCATGAACTCTAAATCCTTCCACGCCGAATTCGAGGCTTGGCTTGTTCCTGTGTCACCCTTGGAAGGATGGAACTGCGAGTCCTTCAAGGCATTTTGTCTCACGCTTGTCCATTTCGATGAGCAGCTTTTGTACCTGAAGCACACCGTGGGCCTGGAAGAAAGTGACCGGATGAAGCTGTTCGAAGACATTCGAAAAGCCACCATCATGTCGGATATTGGTGACATGATGAACAAACGCACATCGGGTAGCTGGATGTATACTGGAGTCAACCGTCACGCGAGAAATTCTCTCGGTGTTTTGCAACTGACAAAATATGATACTTCAACTGGGGAACTGGTCGACTGGACCGAGTTGCTCTCCCGGCTTGTGGAGGCATCGGCTGGGGTTACTGCCGAGGAGTTGGTGCGGAAGTATCCGCGAAATGGTACTGGGCTGTTGCGGTTTATCCAGGAAAACACCAAGGGGGTTGATCCCGAGTGGTTGATGACGGTTCCTGTACAGGTCATCCCGGGAGAAGAGTAGGCCGATCGTGTGAGGTGCACCAATATTCACTATGCCATAGATAAAGACTATCAATATGACTATACTGCATAGCAACAGTAAATATTCCATTAAATTCTCTGTATACCACCCACACAAAACACTATTCCACAAGCACATCCCGACTACCCGTTCTCGGGATCGCGTCTCGGCCTTCGGGGCCTCGGAGAGCGAACCCATACCCACCGCCCCACATCGGCTTGCCCCTCGCCAGGAACAGCCGGATACTGATTCCTGATAGCCTCCCCGCAGCTGCAGTCGATAAGCCGGGGACATAAAGCTGCAGGGCCCTCCATCGTCTTACTCACCCAGACACATACCCAGTACAGAAGTGCCAGTCAAGATGTTCTACGAACCAGGAAAGACAGACCACGGCCTCCCTCATGATCCGTTCAAGGTATCCCCCCCTGTCCCCCTTATCGCTACTGTACCTGAACCCATGTGTTATCTACCCCGCACCACAATCCACCACCATCCCTATCCCCAACAACCCCTCCCCAGATCTCAACTAAACACAACCATGAAATAAAAACAGGCCTGCGTAATCCCCCGTCCCATCGGCTGGATCTCCACCGTCTCCCCAACCGGAACCGCCAACCTCGCCCCCTACAGCCAATTCACGAACCTAACCTTCGACCCGCCCTACGTCCTCTTCAGCAGCAACCAAACAGTCCACGGCACCCGCAAAGACACCGTCACGAACGCCGAATCAACCGGTTGTTTCGTCTGGAACCTCGCCACCTACCCCCTACGCGAAGCGATGAACATCACCGCGCAACAGTTCCCCTACGGGGTGGATGAATTTGAAAGGGCGGGGTTATCGAAGGAGGAGTCGACGGTGTTGCCGGTCAGCGTGCCGATGGTGAAGGAGAGTCCGGTGAGGTTTGAGTGTGTGTATCATTCGACGATGAGGTTGCCGGGGAATCCGCCGATGGGGACGGTGGATGTCGTGGTGGGACGGGTGGTGGGGGTGCATGTGGATGATGGGGTTATTACGGATGGGTTGTTGGATGTGAGGAAGACGAGGCCGATTGCGAGGTGTGGGTATTTTCAGTATGCGGTTGTGGAGGACACATTTGATATGGTGATTCCGGGGATGAGTGAGGATGTGTTGTATGGGTTGGAGGGGAGTGCGAGGAGGAATGGGGAGAGGGCGAGAGAGTTAAGTAAGGGGGAGGATGGGGAGAAGGAGGGGGGAAAGGTAGAAGAGAAATAGGTGTGGGAATACTGTATATATGGATTGTGTATTGCGTGTCGTTCATAGAGTATACTACCTAGATGCAGAACAGCCAGTCCCCGGTGATATTCCGTACTGTCGTCCCATTGCCAAACTCCAGGATCAGACCCCCATTCGACTGGTTCCCATAGTACGCAGGCCAGCCCACCGTCTCACTAATGCTCGACGAGTCCTTGAGAAACGCGAGGAGAAAGTCCTGCATCGTGGCCGACGTGTCTACTTCCAGCTGGGGAATCTCGCCTACATCCAAGATATATGTGCCGAAGATCATCAACAGGTCAGTCCAGTGGAATGCACCCAGCCACGGTACCGGACTGATATTGGAGAAGTTGCCTGCTCAAGTTAATACTAGCCATTCTCGAGGTAAGGATGACTTGCCCGCCCAGTAGTAGCGATATGTCTCCAAGCCAATCGACGCGCGCAGTGCAGCATCAGTCACTGCCAGACAGTCCGCTTCGCCCTCGTCGACATCAACCGACGTTGTATTCTCGCTGGGGAATTCTCGTGCCGCGTCGGACCGGATCGACGGCCCTCGCGCCACTTTGCGCTCAATGTAGCGTTGCCGTTCGTCGGAGAAGATGTATCGCTCATCGGCTGCGCATCGTTAGTACGAACATAGAAGACTGAAGGGAGACGTACGGATGTAGTTGGTAAAAGCAATAGAGGGAGTGCTGTTGTAGCGGTTAATGTACTCCTCGATCTGGACCCACGAGATCCCCCGCATGCATTCTAGCTCGGCGTCGGCATCATCCCCATAATTGCACCCCAGTCCCTTGGCCACAATGTCAAAGTCTTGGTACACATCCGTCGTAGTTGACAGGTTGATCGTCGCCGAAGCGCCTTGCGAGATGACGCCGAACTTGGCTGCCAGAGGCTCCTCTGGCCATGCGAGGGTATATAGGTGTGTCAAGAGAGCACCTTGTGATTGTCCCCATAGCTGTTACTGTTAGACAGGTCATGTAATCAGTCAATAGACGTACCATGATGTTGTCCGCATCACCTCCAAACGCTTCAATGTTTTCGTGAACCCATTCCACAGCAGCCCTCACATCCATCAGGGTGAGAGAGGTGTCATTCAACGCTCGTGACTTCGGATCTGATTATGTTAGCAGATTACATACAGTGCAGCAATGCACTCACTTCCGAAAATGTTGACCCGGTAGTTGATAGTCACGACGATATGCTCCTGAGACCGCGACACCCAAGCAGACGGCAGCTGGGAAGGGATTTCGATCCCTCCAGTAATCCCACCGCCACCGGTGACAAACAGTGCGACTGGGAGTTTCGATGTGTCATTGGCATAAGAAGGAGTCCACACCGCCAGCGAGAGACAATCTTCCGACGTTGACCACGCGGTCGAACCCTGGTTGAGTTTCTCCCCAACGCTGAGCAGCAGGTTTGCCGGTTCATATTCATTCCAAAACGAACTAGTCGAGGGCACATACTGTGGACAGGCTGTAAAGGTTAGCTGACGCCTACAGAGCGTTGAATGACTCACCTGGCCCGTAGAAAGTGGAGTCGTATTTCCTGCTAGAATTGTCAAGCCTGTGAGGAGGGAGCCATCTAAGATCGCCAACCGGAGGCTGAAATGTCAGATACGTCAAACATAGTTCTCAAATACCTACCTTGGCATATGGTACTCTGAGAAACTGACGCACGTCTGGATAGGTATCATTGAGCATGCCAATGAACGTTCCTGTCCGCGTTTCGACGGTCAGGTTCGACCAGTTAGACAGAGTCCGCGCCGGCTCCCAGGTCAAGTTCGCGTAATACGGTGCATAGGTGCCCAAGGCAGAGGCGGCCAGCCCGAGCAGTCCAAACACTGTAGCTTGTACCATGATGCTGTAGATGCTTGCTTATTGCTTTCAACGACTAAAGGGACGGGCCGCCTTATATAGGATAGTCATGGCACGGACGCCCTCGATGCCACGCTCAGACAGAGCCAGACCATACGATATCGGCGTAGAGGTTCAGACATCCCTCGGCCTTGATGGACGCATTGGGCAAACAAATGTCAATGGCATGATGTTGCAGGAATTAGCCTGCGCGCACGGGAAGAGAAGGGAAGCAAAGTGCCAACCACCGTCAGGTTTTGTGGGGAAATCCGGGGTCCCACCCCCACGCTACCTTTCAGGCAACTAAAGCCCGAGGAGGTCCAGAGCCGAGCAACCGACTCGACTTCTGAAGCCAGTCAATGTGCACTGTCATAAACCAGCATCGGACCACTGCTCTCCGCACGCGCATGTTGTCAAATTAGTGAGGGACGTTTTGACTAATATCGTCATCAAACCGACAATGACTCAACTGTCTGACCGCCGATAAGGTTACCTTCGATACCAGGCAGTCCTCACATCTCAGGTTGGACCTCAAAAGGAACTCCCCTAAGAGCTGGAAATAGCACAAGAGGCGGAGGGATGTACCCAGGATTCTGAGAAGGTATAAATTGATACTATCATAACAGGGAGTATCACAGTCACCCACCACCGTACAGGATAATCGTTGCCAGGAAAAGACAGCTGACCAAACACGGGACAATGACAGATCCAAGCTCGAGCATATCCTCCCTGGCGAGACACGGTTCTATTTAAGGAGGCCCCGGGGGTCCTGGAGGGCCAGGGGGACCATCGTCGCCTCCGCAGCAGCATTCGCAGCATTCAAAACAGCAGAGACCGGCGCATCTGTCTAGTTAGTACCCCACAGAGATGACGGTGGCGCCACTTACACTCCACAGCAGATATCCTCTCCATCACCACCACCGCGGATCTGCAGCTGCATCGACTCTCCAGTGCGCTGTTCCCGTTAGATCTCAGTGAACACCAGAAAGGCAGTCCCGCATACCGGTTGCTCTGTGACAACGTGCTCCGTTGACGGGCCAGCAGACTGCATGGTCAGGGTCGCCGGATCCCATTTGCTTTCACGCACGGTCGCCTCGGAGGGCCGAAGCCACGACATCAAGCCGTTGCCAAACATTTCGAGGTCTGTGTCCGATGACGAAGACAGGTGCAGATGTCAAGGAAAGGGGCTACGCGGGACCAGGCCCCTTAAAAGGAGCTTGAATGAGCTACGCGCCAGGGGTCGCAAGGGACGAGCCGCCGTCGCCGGCCCACTTGGCAGCCGGGTGAGATAGGGCATGAATATCCTCATTATTGATTCGGAATCCGGCTGCCTGACTATCGCTGCTTCTTCAGCCGGGAGCTCCAGCCACGAATCCAAGCATATCGTGTCATTTGGTTGTGGTTGGCAGCAATACCATTGTCATCTCGTTCAGCAGCACATGATGTCTGAAAATAGCTGGCCTGGTAATTGGGCACATTTCCAGCAATTTGCAGTCGCTGCATGATATTCGCCGGTTGACAAGTGGAATGAGCGCTTGGGTGGACCGGAAGGATGGGGCCGGGAGTCAGGAGTAGCTGACCTGGAAACCAGCAGCTCCGGGACGTGTTCCATCGGCTGCGACGGAGTGGCTGAGGGTTGATGGTCGTGCTTCAGCTATTGAGTCGTCCTGGTTGTAGTACAGGTCCTACCTACACTATTGGCTTCTCAGCCTTGCTCGCGGAATATTGAGTGGCTCAGTGGTGCCCGGATAAAGTTTCTGCAGCGACCGGCACCGTCCATGGACCACCAAAGTTTAGGCAGAAGGATTCGTGGCCAGGCACAACCACCCAAGATGAGCACAATACTTGTAGTTATGAAAGTTCAGATGATGTCAAGGCGCTTAGAGATGGGTTAGCCACCCAGGCCGTCTTACTCCCATTTCCGCCCATTCCGGGGCTGTTCCGGACATCGTTGCATGAAACAAGTGCTGGCCACAATCAAGCAAGCCAAGCTTTCTTGCGTGCACCGCCGACGTCACCCAAACATCCACAGCCTCCATCTGGCATCTGGGGATGCGCAATCCGTGGAGGGCCAAGAGATCGGCCCGACTGAAGTGGCGAAGAAGATCGGACAATAAAACCTAGTCGCCGACTTCATTATTCTTCACAACGTGCACCTTCACCATGGTTGCAGTCGCATCTCTCTGGCTGCTGCTGTTGCTGCGGGGGATCCTGCACGTGGGCGCCAAGAGCACGAGCGAAGTCACCTCCATCTCCGATCTCTCCTCCGATTCCTCCTCATCGACCCGTTCCGCAACCGACACCACCGCCTCGATTATCGTGATCACCAGCGAAACCGCAGTAGCCGTTCCCACCGGCAGCTATATCAGCTACACTACCACCATCACTGTCGCCGACAGCATCACCCCGACCACCTTCGCAACCACCACCGCCTCGAATACAACCATATCCACCAATGGCACCACCACGGCGACCACCACCACGGATACCGGGGTCGTGGTGACTGGTACCCGCGTCAGCAACAGCACCTCGACTGCCACTGCGACCACCCCGGCCAACTCACAACCCTGCAATGGCTACACCGAGTTCTGCAGTAGACAATACTCCAACATCACCATGGTGACTGCCCACAACAGTCCATTCGTGAAGAAGAACAATATCGCCGCAAATCAGGTCTACAAGGTCAAGACTCAGCTCGATGATGGAGTGCGCATGCGTAGGATCCCAGGCTCTGTTTGACCATTCGCCTGCGCTGACATGGTTCAGTTTCTTTCGAAGCACACTACTACGAAGACGACATTTATCTCTGCCACAGCTCTTGCGACCTCCTCAACATGGGCACCTTAGAAGCCTACCTCACCACTGTGACCGACTGGATCAAAGACAATCCCTACGACGTGGTCACCATCCTGATCGTCAACTCCGATTACGTCTCTCCATGGAACGTCACCAGCTCTATCCAGAACTCCGGTCTGATCGACTATGTCTACGAGCCGTGGAAGATTCCCATGAGTCTGGACGATTGGCCCACTCTCTCCGAGATGATTTTGGATGGCAAACGCGCCGTCGTATTCATGGACTACCAGGCCAACCAGACCGCCATACCATACATCATGGACGAGTTTACGCAGATGTGGGAAACACCGTTCTCGCCATTGAATACCTCGTTTCCTTGCACTGTGCAACGACCACCGGGTATCACTGCCGCGCAGGCCGAGGATCGGATGTACATGATCAACCACAACCTGAACATCGAGATTGAATTCGAGGGGCTCGATATCTTGGTTCCAGACTCGGCACAGATCAACGAAACTAATGCCGTGTCTGGGTACGGGAGTTTGGGTTTGATGGCGAACAACTGTCGGGGTGAGTGCAACGTCCCCCCCCCCCCCCCCTTTATACTCCGAACTGGTCGAACTCGCCGCCTTCACCGTCCCCCCCCCCCCCCCCACCCTGAACATATCCTTGCTAACGATGTCGTAACAGCCAAATGGGACCGACCGCCCAACTTCCTGCTGGTTGACTACTACAATGATGGCAACTTTCAAGGCTCTGTGTTCGAAGTCGCCGCCGAAATGAACAACGTCACCTACAACGGGAAATGCTGTGGAGGGTCCACGAGTGCGGGATCGAAAACAGTCGATGCAACATATACATGGTTCCCCGTGCTTACTGTTGTCGGAGTTGGACTTTTTACCTTCGCACTGTGATATGGATCTCAGGAGATAGTATATAATTGTCACGTATGATATATTTATATTTAACTACGGTTCACTTATACTTCACATCTTTACAGCCCCACCTTAAATACACCCCCTATGTTCTCTAATATACGTTCATAGCATAAAGCGCACCACTCCCAATTAATGGCAAAATATCCGTTCTTCCCTATATAGCAAAGATCCCCCTGTCTTAGTTATCTATCTCCAACCCATCCATTCATCCCAACACAACCACCCCCACCCACGACAGTACGGTGAATATTACTTCCCAAGACGCGTCAACAACACGTCTCTATTTGCTCTCATCGAAGGTGGATTTTCGCGATTCCTTAACATCTCAATCAGAGAGAGGATTTGATTGGTGAAAGAGATCATATCTGGTTGATTGTATCTTAAAGTAGGTTTGGGCGGGTGTTAGCTTGGTTAGAGGTGAATGCGGGCTAAGTAGAGGTCTATGGTGGGTTGGATGTGGGTTCGGGTGTTTGGTTCTGAGTTCTAGTTGGTGGTTGAGATTATCCTTTGTGGGTATGTGTTTTGTGTTGTGTGGGAGTAGTATAAATTTGGGTATTTGGTTTGTTGAACATATGGCGCGGGGTGTGATTGGTTTGGGGTGAGATTTTCTGCGTTTAGCTATAGGGGTTCGAAGGGTGGATATTATCATTGAGCTGTTGGTTTGTTTTGTCTACTGGTTAAGTGTTTGTGTTGTGATTTAACCAGGCATGGATCTATATTTGAGGACGGTGATGTTTACTAGGTTGAGTATACAGAAAGAAACAATATATGTACTCTTCCCCATCATCAATTACATGAAAGTTGCAGGAGCTACGCTAGCAACACATACCGAAATACTTCTCAAGTTTGTAAAGCATAACCTACCGTGGTGCGATCCAAGCTCGACAAGAATCGACATCTTCAAACAGGCCCATCCTGTTCCGGCTTCCGGGTGTCCCGGCGAGAGCGTCTTTCCGAAAGACGAGTCAAGAGGGTCGCACAGCCCTATCGACCTGTTAGTCACGAGCCATACATAGAAATAAATGAGGGACATACAACAACAGCACTACAAAGAAACACCACCGCGCCAATAAACAGAAAGGCCAGGACGGTCTGCCAGCTCGCGCACCCCGGTGCATAGCCGATCGGAATCGAAATCGCCAGGTCATCTAGGAAGTATGACCACCAGCCGCCCCAGTAGTAGGCCCAGTAATGGGCGAACCAGGAGGAAGAACAGATGTCATCGTTGGCGGTGAGCTAGTAGTGTTAACTGGGTGAATAGATGGTCTGGATGGGAGAGAATGCTTACGTTGACTAAGAGAGCAAATGCGACTATCCACCCCGCGAAGAGGATGAAATCGAGAAGGAGGTGGAATGAGGCCAACTTGAATAAGGAAATGGCGAGGAGGGACCATATAAGTCCGACACATCCGATGATGAGACTGTATAGGATTCGCGCGCTTTGTCGGCCATCAGGGGCTTTGTCGACGCGGTGTTGGTAGTATGCCAGGATACCGACGATGATGCCTCCGCATATTATCTCAAAGACACGGAAGAAGGTGGAGGCTGCTGTGATAGCAGCTGATGTTCTTTGAGGATGAGGCATGTCTTGAGAAGAGCCAATGAATGGTGATATGCGCTGGTCTGGCTTTATGTTGTCGATTAGTGTATCCAAATCTTCCTGTAGTCAGGCGTGGTGAATATGCCATTATTACCATGATTTCCTGCCTAACGTGTATTTCAACGTGGGATAGTTTAGCAATCGAGATGATATCATATAAACAGCATTCGAAGATAGGCAAGATTGAGAGATTCTGTAGAAAATGCTGGCATCTCTGTTGGCCACAGCCACTGAACTCATACGTGGGGAATGGGCTGCAGTGCGGAACAAGTCTTTCGCGGGGAGATCATAGTGGACAATAGCGTAGTCCATGAAGGACAAGCAAGCATTGAAGACATCAGTGGTCAAGAAGAGAGTAGGCAATTGCAGGTAAAGTCCTGCTTATTAATCTGATCAATCAATTTGGCACGTTAAGCACCATGGGATGAAGTGCGGTCCTACGTCATCCGGCAGTCCGGACCGTTCTGTATAGAAACCGAGGATGAGTGGTTAGGCAGAAACAAATTGCCGATGTCATGATGCTGCCGCGCCTCGCACGTGAGATCCCCCTGGAATCTCGTATTAGAAATAGTGGGATTAGGTCAGTCGAAATTGAGTTCTAGAACTAGTTAGATGCCCCACCTCCACTTTATACTCTGTTAGTAATGGAAATGAAAAGAACCCTGGTTGGCGATGATCTTCTGTGGGCAAATATGCGGGGAAGCTAGAGACTCCATCGTTTCCTATCTCGATACTCCGTACTGAAAGGAAACTTGTGAAGCTTTTGTTTTATCTTTTCAATGTTGGCTCGAGGACCAGCAGATCAGAATATAAAAAGAAGTGACATTGCGCCAAGATGGACAAGGGCAACCCCAGCTGTAGGTAGTCGGTTAGTGACTGGTTGGTTGGACGGCTCTCCCGCGTCTAAGCGTCTCGAGACGACAAAGAACTGACATTGCTTATCCACAGTAATTCCATGAGTCCATTGCGGACAACCGAGCTATATTACGCCACCTTCACTGCTGGCCCTGCTCGAGATAAGACGCCATGCCCGTGTAACCATGCCCCGCACCCTGACCCAGAGACATTAGGGGCTATCGGGTTCCTCCGAGGTATCGCGTGGTCGCTGGACCCTGGAACGCCAAGTGTAACCCGCCAGGAGCAGACCTCCGCAGGACGGGATTGGTGCCCCCTCGGGGCCAAGGCATGAGGTTACACTCCAGCCTGCCCGCCAAGCCATCCCGTTCCGCCAGTGCCAGCCTCTCCCAAGCCTGGCCAAGCCCTTTGCCTCAGACGCGCCAATCGCTCGTCATCCTCGCCTTATCAGAGAGGCCTTATCCTCGCCGGGGTGGGTGGATGGATCCAGTCCCGGGTGAGACAGCGACCCGGCTTTCGTTGGTTGGGAAGCAGGAGATGGGGTCCGAGGGCGTGGCAACGGAGCACAATATCGGTCGTCGCACAGCTGGCTAGAGACGGCATGAAGGCACTGGTCCAATTTGGAGATTGCCCCGAGGGTATCACCAGCGTCCTTCGGAGGTGGCCTGGTTTCCAACCGATAGGCTCCTTGCCAAAGTCACTTTGGCCTTCCTTCCTTCCATGATTGGAGGTGGGACGAACAAGCGATACGGACTGACTCTTTCGCTGCACTCAGGTCGGTCGTCCTACATGACCCGTCCGGCTTAAAGGCCACCTCCCGCCAACTTTCCTTCCGTAGCGGCTCCCCGTCCTCCATCTCCCCTGCATCTGGCCGTTACCATTGCGCATAATGAACCCCTCAGATCCTGCCGAAGTGGCAGAGATTGCAAAATCTGCTGCCTTTTCCCATGATGCTCATCGTGACGAGAAGAATGATCGCATATCAGCAGAGCTGCGACAGACCAGCTCGCCTGAGATTGAGGAGGTTCACGCAACCACCGAGAAGGGCGTGGGGAGCTCGTCGGTCCCCTATGAAGACGACGCGGCTTTACAAAAGATCCTCCCTACCTATGATGAACTGAAGACCCTCCGTCGAGTGGCTGGCAAGATACCTTGGACGGCCTACACAGTGGCTTTTGTTGAGTTGTGCGAACGGTTCTCTTACTATGGAACAACTGCCGTTTGTATGTCTGGTGAATATTTCCTAGAGCATGCCGCTGACCTTTACAGTCGTTAACTTCATTCAGCGTCCTCTTCCTGCGGGCTCCTCTGCCGGTGCGACTCATGGCCGTGATAACTTGGTCCCTGGTGCCCTTGGAATGGGCCAGCAAGCATCCACCGGCTTGACCTTGTGTAAGTTGCCTCCTTCTAGTTGAGTCCAACAGATGCTGACTATCAGTCAACTCCTTCTGGTCGTACATAATGCCCCTCATGGGTGCCTTCATGGCCGACCAGTACTGGGGTCGATTCCGCACAATCATGTTCTCCATCGCAGCCGCCTTGGTCGGACATACCATCCTCGTCATATCCGCCATCCCACCGGTGATTAAGAATCCGCATGGGGCAATTGGTTGCTTTTCAATCGGACTGATAATCATGGGAATCGGAACAGGTGGTTTCAAGTGAGCTCTGCGACACATCATATTGGCTACATCTGACTGGAGCAGGTCTAACATCTCACCATTGATCGCGGAGCAATATCGGGAGGAAAAGCCGTATATCAAGACCCTCGCTTCCGGAGAGCGCGTCATCGTCGACCCTGCCGCCACCGTGGCGCGCATCTACCTCTATTTTTACCTGATGATCAATATCGGCTCCATCCTGGGCCAGGTGAGTATGGTATACGCGGAGCGGTACGTCGGCTTCTGGCTCTCGTATCTCCTTCCGACCATCATGTTCACATTCTGTCCCACCGTCCTGTTCCTCTGCCGCAACAAGTACTACCTAGTCAAGCCGACTGGGTCTGTGTATATCCAGGCATTCCGACTGTGGAAACTGGCCATGCAGGGGCGCTGGTCTCTGAATCCTGCCAGGCTGTAAGTGTTCCTCCCACATTGACTACAGAACGATCTAACACTTCATAGATTCAAAAAGAACCCAGCCCCTTTCTGGGAACCAGTCAAGCCTAGCGCACTGGGGCCAAATCGTCCTCAATGGATGACATTCGACGACGAATGGGTGGATGAGGTTGCCCGTGGTCTAAAAGCCTGCAGAGTATTCTTATGGTACCCTCTATACTGTAAGTCCCCACCCAATCACCCTATCTCATACAACACTAATAATCCAACTCAGGGCTTGCATACAACCAAATGCTCAACAACCTCACCTCCCAAGCCGCCACCATGAAACTCGGCGGCGTCCCCAACGACATCATCAACAACCTCAACCCCCTCTCCCTGATCATCTTCATCCCCATCATGGACCAACTCATCTACCCCGGACTCCGAAAAATCGGCATCAAATTCACCCCCCTCAAACGCATCACCGCCGGCTTCTTCACCGCAGGCCTCTCCATGATCGCCGCCACCGTAACCCAATACTACATCTACCAGAAAGGCCAATGCGGCAAACAAGCCAACTACTGCCTCGACGAATACAACTCCCACTCCCCGATCTCCGTCTGGGTCCAAGCCCTCGTCTACATCCTCGGCGGTCTCTCCGAGATCTTCGCCTCCGTGACCTCCCTCGAATACGCCTTTACCAAAGCCCCCCGCAACATGCGCTCGCTGGTCCAGGCCGTCGCGCTCTTCATGAATGCCTTTTCCTCTGCGATCGGACAGGCCTTCGTGGGATTATCTAATGACCCGCTCCTGGTTTGGAACTACGCCGTGATCGCTATTCTGGCCTTCGTCGGCGCAGGAGGTTTCTGGTTGACGAACTATAAATTAGATCGTCAGGAAGATGAACTGAATCATCTCCCGGAGAGCCAGTATCAGGGTCGCTCGGCTGATCATGTCGATGAGGAACATAGGTAGGATAGGGATAGGGAGGCGTGATGGGAGGAGTTATCTGTCTATGTATCCATCTGTATCATGCAGCCTACTAGCTGTACAGCCTTAATACTTCCGTAGGATGAGAATTCATGAAATTGGGGGTTGTCCTTCCTGGGACAGGGTCCGGTTCGTATTTTTCTCGACCTACTAAGCTTCAGCATGTTCATCTATGTCTCTGTCCATGCTTTCTTCGCTTCCTGATTCTAGTACTTACCGTACCCCCATAAAGGGAACGTGTCTAGGTACAGAGGTAACGCCCAATACTCCAGGTTGGCACATTATGACTATGTAGGTATTGGATAGATGGGTGGTTACAGTAGAGATGACGACAAGTATTCATGATCAAATATTTAACTTATAGTTAGAGTACTCTACCTCTACGGTCATGCAAATTATTGGAATAATCACAAAGCAGTCAATTAGGTAAAGGTAAAAGCAACGATCAGATGGGAATCAACCAGGCAAAAGCACATAATAGCAGACATCAACAATCAAGCATTATCATCACAATTCTTCCTCCTCCACCGCAGCAGGGCTCACGTGGGTATCGAGAATATCCCAAGTCTGCAGGTTCAGGTTCAACACATCCTCATCGCTCTCGGCCTTGCCACCGCCAAACGACTTCAGGTTCCATTTCTCAACTCCCTCCACCCCCTTCATCTCGTCCGGGAACTCGCGGAACACATCAGCGTTCATGCGCTCGTAGTCACTGTAGTCGCCAGGCCAGTCTCCCAGACGCTCCACAGCCAGCTTGAACAGCTTCATGTGCTGCTTGACATGCTCACCCTCGGAGAAGTTGCTGTCAGCGGTGTCATGCACGTCAACCTCGTACGCAGAGCCGTCGATGCTCAGAGTGGCCTCCAGGCCACCCTCGAAGTCGGCGTAGTACGGGTCGCTGAAGGCACGCAGGATGCCCTCGTGCACGCCAGCAGACTTCTTGTAGTAGCGGTTGGCCAGCTCCTTGTGGGCCTTGGTCGCCACCTTGGTGTACAGCTGCGTCAACAGGACCGACATCTCCAGTGTGCTGGGGTGACGGGGTCCGTGCACGCGACGGCAGTTGTAAGCAATGTCCTCGGCCAGACGAATGGCGTCCTTCTGCTTGCCAATCTGGAGCCGGGCAATGATGAGACGGTGTCCCAGAGCCAGGGTGTAGTGGGGCCAGTTGCGGTGGGCCTCGCGACTGTCCCACAAAATGGTGAGAAGCCACGCCAGGTTCGCGTAGTCTTGCTGCTCACCGAGCAGCCCGATCAGCTTGCTGAGCTGCTCGAAGTTCACGCCGCTCATGTCGAGCTTCAGGCCCTTGATGACGCTGAGTGCCTCCTTGATAATGATACCGGAGACCCGCAGCATCTTCGTGCGCGAGGCTTCGTCAGGGCGCGCGACAAGATCGCGGCCGGCGATAGTCATACCCAGCGTGAAGATGAACTTGACAATCCCGACGGAGCGATAGACCTCTTCGTGGGACTTGATATAGTGGAACGAGGCCAGGGCCAGATCACAGGCACTACCCCATCTCTGGCTCTTCAGCAACTGATCCACGTATTCGTTGCTGGTGATACCGATCGAGCGGACAAAGTCATCCGAGCGGTAGGAGCTGAAGTGGCGCAGGATGGTCTCGACAAAGATCCGCACCTGTGCAGGCTCGGTCAACTTGACCCGCTTGCCTTCGGTTGCGACGAAATAGTCGACAAAGTCATCAAACACGCGGGCAGCGGCGGCCTGGCGGTTGTTGGCGATCAAGAAGTGGTAAAGGCGGGCGGTGGACACAGAGACCGTGTGGATGGAGCTCGTCTTGGACTTGAGCTGGCTGTGGAACTCTTCAAAGTAGACATACTCCGTCGTCAACGCAGCAAGGATCTCAGTGATGGTGGTGGACGAGCTGCGGCGCAGACTGTACTCGAGCTGGGCCAGGAACGTGAGGCTCTGACGCTCCTTGGATGCCAGGTCGAATTGCACCGACTTGGCGTTGGTGGTATCCTTCATGACAATCTGGCGATAGATCTCGTGAGTAAGCTCAGTAGCCTTCTGGACCTGGTTGGATGCGATGTAGCTGGCGGCGATCGTCGATGCGGCCGCAACCAACCGGGTCGAGGACGTCTCCGAAGACAGAATCTGCACGGTCGCTTCCTTGAGCTCCTGCACCACGGTCTCGGTTTCATTGCGCTCAGCGTGGAATGTGATCATCTCCTTCATCCTGGCAAGCGATTCCTCATGGGCCCAACCGTGGATCTTGCGCACGGTGCTGGTGCGCTTCCTCAAGAACTTAATAGCGCGCTCAACTTGAGCAGCAGACACCGACTCTGATTTGGTTGAGGTCACAATCGCCGCCTGCTCCTCATAAATGGCGTCCAGGGTACTGGAAATGCTCTGAAGATCAAGTTCCTCGGACTTAGTCTTGAGGAGCTCTTCGTAGAGAGTAATCGCCTGAAGCTCGTATTGCTTTGACTCCTGGCACAGCCTCGCCAGAGTCAGCGTAGCCTGGAGGCTGATGGAAGCTGTCGCACTGAACACCGCCTTGACCTTGGCGTGGTATTCGACTGTGACCTGGTGCAGCACCGTGAACTCCGTGCGGACACTGCGCAAGCAGTGGGTGTACCGGCTGAAGATCTCCCGCACAAAGTTCTGGTCCTGGAACTTGGGGCTTTGCTTGGGCTGATTCAGGAAGGTGGTGAAGATGATCCTGAAGTACTGAACAGCATCCGAGTAGCGGCCCTGGTTCCAGAGTTCGGTCGCAACAATGACCAGTGGCTCAAAGGCCTCGGGGTGGCAGGTGGGGGAGTCCTTGTTCAGGGTGCGGACAATTTGCAGGTAGTAGTCAACGAAGATGGGACGAGGCCGCGTTAGTTCGGCCAGAGTCCACAGGGTTTTGATAACGACAGGATTCTCAGGACCGTAATGCTTGATGTAGTCATTCAACAACTCCTGACGAAGGTTGATGATCTGGTCGGTCTGCGTGTTGCGCTCCAACAAGCGCAGCAGTTCATTGGTGATGCGTTCCCAGAGCTTGTCATCAACCTTTCTCCCAGCCCGGAATGCGCGGTAAATGCGAACGCGGATGTCCTCTTCCTTGCTCAAACGACGGCGGGCGTAATAGCACTTGGCGAGACGCTCGGCAAGTTCGACGCAGCTTTCAACGTGCTTTGTGGGGAGGGTGACATCCTGCAGGTTGGCAGAAAAGAGAGAAGGCCAAACCCCGTGAAGGACTCTCTTGATCACCCGAGTCGCATCCTGCCAGCGGTGCTGCTCAACGTATAGACCGATGAGGCTGTGCGTGGCAGTGAAAGATGTCTGGTCGACAGTGGCAATGGAAGTCGATGCCTCGTAGACCATTTCCTCAAGGGTCGTCTCCGAAGTGACTGTGGAGGAGCTGCTGAAGGACTGCATGACCTCCTTCGAAGTACTCTGGATGCTCTGCTGCACCTCCTTGTAGCTGGAAGTTTGGGTCCGATTGCTACTCTTGTAGTATTCAGAGCAGTGCTTGAAGACGGTCAAAGCCAGGGTAGACAGTCCCACAACCTTCATCATCTTGGCAATTTCTTGGAAATGAGAGACCGAAGTCTCGGAGATGGACATGCTGGTCTGCTCATACTCCTGCCAAACACTGGTCAAGATCGAGGAGGCATCCTGTTCTCTCTTCTGAGTCTTGAGGAACTTGGAGTAGGCAAGAACAGACGCCATCTTCCTCTCTTCCCAGAGGGCCGAGTAGTTGGTACGGCACTCCTTGCTCACACGCTGCCAGATCTCCACGTAGATGCGCTCCGCGAGCTCAAACTTGCCTTCAGCAGCATACCGCTCGGCCTCCTTGATCCTGGCCTCAAAGTCGAACGATTCAAACCGGTCAATCAGTTCGTCGTGCTCCTCGGCCTCCAGAAAGTCGTTGATTCTCGTCTGGATGACCTTGCGGTGATGTCCTCTGACGCGCACACCCCAATCCCCGTGAAATTCACGGGACTGGGTACCTTGTTCACCGGTAGTAACCAGTCTTATCAGCCGGGTAATTTCCTCGGCCTTCTGGAACTCCTTGATCGTCTGATAGTGCTTTACCAGCTGTTCTCGGGTGGTGATAACGGTCTTGTGGGTCTCCCCGTAGAGCTTCGTGTAGCAGTCGACAAGGAGCACGAGAATCTGCTCTCTCTTGGTCATGATCTCCGTTTTAGTCTCGGTGACTCTGCTCACAGTGAGCTCGAGGAAAATGCTGGCCAACTGTGCGGTGAAGGATGGAGTAGCGTTCAGCAAGGTGCGGCTCAGCGTGGTAGCCTCGAAGAACAATGTGGTGGCCTCTGGGACGTAATCAACATCGCGGAAGAAGAGGGCCAAGTTGATGATGGACTGGAGAGTCACCCGGTTGTTCGGGGTCAAGATCTGGCGGCAGAACGTGGTGACAGTGGTCTGGTACGTCAACAGCTCAGGCGTCGGTCTGTTGGCCCACAGAGTGGTTTGCAACAGGAGAAAGGTAATGGAGCCCGGGAACACCTTGGCAAACTCCTTGGCCGCAGGAACCTCGCCCTGATTGACAAACACCGTCGTCTGTCGGATGTGCGAGACCCAGTAACGGACCGCAAAGTCAAGTAGGGGGTATCGGCTGATGAATGAATCGGTCTCATAGGCATTGAGCGGAGAGAGAGAGGGATCCTTGGCCTGTGGCTCAATGACACAGGACTTAATGTAAATCAAAAGCCGGGTAACAAAGTCGACATGCCGGTCCTTGATGCTCGGGATAAGCTTGCCCTTGGTGAAGGCCTCCAAGACCGCATTGCGGACGAGACCGTGACGAAGGTACACCTGTCCATCCTGCCTGTACACCAGGGAGTTGACGGGTCTGAGGACTTTCAACGGTTCAAGCTGGTTGCCCTCGGCGATGGCCATTTTATCAACCTGAATCGAGGCCAAAGTCTGCAGTTCCTTGATGAGAAGGGGACGGTCGGCGGTTGCAAGCCACAACAACATCAAGCGAGCCTCATCAGTGACTCCTTTCTGCTGCACAGTCTCAAGAACGAAGTCGGTGATGGTCCGCTTAGCACTGACAACAACGTCCACGGCCTTGAGCAGGGCCTCGACGTTTTCTGCGACGCGAACGCCCTTCACTGCGAGCTTGGCCCAAAGGAAGGATCCCTGGGACGCATTGGTGATGCGATCTACGATTTCCTCCTGCTCATTCTCATCCAGCTCGGGGAAGACCACGCTTTCCTTGTGCTCCAGGAACTGGGCTCGAACCACAGTGGCAATGTCCTCGAAGATCCGCTCTTCCGTGACCTGCACACAGGCGTGGCCCGGGGCTGGAGAGGGCTTTTGTGCACCAAGGGCAATCAGCTTTACGTTGGTGCCCGCAAGGGTAGCGGAAGTCAGCTTCTGCAGAAGGGCGGCTTCACCGCAGGAAGCCTCGTCGACGCCATCCACGACGATGACAAGCTCCTTGGCGCCGCGAAGCGCGGCACCCAAGGCGCGCTCCAACGCGTTCCAGAGGATGTTGTCATAGTCATTGTCATTGGTGGCCTTCTTGCTGCGCTGCAGGGCATCGCTCAGGATCTGGAGGAGCTGAACATTGCCAATGCGCTTTTCGAACAGCTGAGACAGAATGGCCTTGGCGATAGCTCGGGGACGAGTTCCCGCCGGAAGTCGGGCATCTGATACCACCGGTCAGAGCTTTAGGAGCGATGAACCTCGAGATGCAATACTCACTGATGGGTATGAACAGCGTCTTGTAAGTGATCCCGCGGATGGGGTGTTGCAAGCTGTCAACGATCACGGAAGCCAAGACGGTTTTACCGGAACCTGCCTTGCCGGCAATGGACAGGACCCTGTGCTGGCTCGCCAAGAAGTCGAATAAGGAGGGCTTGACCCAGCGGCAGGTCATCTCCTCGCGGTCATGGGCAAGATGTGAGACCGTTTCGGCAACGTTGGAAAGGACTCGATCTTCCGGGGTGAGCCACGACTTGACAGCCTTGACGTCGGCGACTAGGGAGCAGTCAGTAACCACTCAAGTACACAATGGCTGGTTGCAACCTACCTTTGCCTTCATCTCCGACCTCCTTCAAGAGCTGCTGTTGCCACATGGACTCGCCGATCTCCTCGCAACCTCGGCGGAACCTGTGGATCTCCTCCGGAAAGGTCTCGTAGATGTTAATGTATTCATATTCAGACTCCTCGCCCAGCTCCAGAACGGCTTTCTGAAAGCGGGTGGACACACGGGCGACCAGGTGCACCAGGTCTTCCAACGCCTGAACGAGCTGCCTCCGAATATCGCCTGTGACACTGAAGAGCTCTGTCCGTTCGAGGAGGTTCCCAAGTGCGGATGAGTTGCTGTAGAAAAAGCCAAAGGAGGTCATCAACGCGGAGGCGTTCTCGTCACCCAGCTAGTCGGATTAGCGCGGTCTTTGCATCCTAATGAAAGAACATACCTTGAGGAGTGAGAGACAGTATCCGTAGGCCATCTGGAAGGCAAGGCCGCTGACATTGGTGAAGTCCTCGATGGCCAACTCGAAGGTCCGTAGTCTTTCGACGAACAGTTGTGCCCAGCCCAAAACCTTGTCATAGCTGCTGCCCTCAGGGGGCATGAGGCTCATACGCTCATCATGAATCCAGGACAGGACCATCTCATAGGAGTCACCCGTGAGGGCCATGCCCAGCTCACCGCCGTTCTGACGGTGGAGAGAAGACAGCCGTCTAGAGATCTCGGTCTCCTGAGGGTCCATCCGACGGGAGGATACCCTCCGGGACGTAATTGAGCGAGACATGCCATTGTTGGAGAGTGTGTCGCTCTCAGCAAATCCCGAGATGCGTCTGGGTATCTTGGGGGAGAGGGGGGAGGGAAAGCTGCCCGGCACGGGGGACAGGATAGATGGAGCCATTGTGATTCTCGGAGGATCAGTGCGTTTTGGTATGTGAGGAAGTTTAGGAGTGTCAATAATCTTGGGTGGTGGAGTGGTCTTCACAGGAGAAGGGACGCGAGTGAGTTGTGGCGACTGCTGAGGATGTCGGGAGGGGGAAACTGTAGGCCGCGGAGGGAGGTCAGGCTCAGCAGTGGTCTCTCCGGAGGAGCAGCGGCGACAACTCACTATACAACAAAGAAAGCGACGCAAACCGGCGACTTAACACATGGAAGAAGAAAGGTATTGATTAAGAGGGTATCCTCGGTCTGGAGAGAAGATGTGATCTGCCGCAGGGGAACCCAGTTATATAAGAGCCAAAAGCAACGAGAGCTCGAGCCAGGATGATTAACCGGGGCTGATGCAATCATGTGGGTTTGCTATCCAGCCAAATGTTCAACCGCGAAATAGTGGCGAGCCTGTAGCCCGTCCACGATCGTTCCTCTTGCGGCATAGTGTGGCTGAGAGGGTCTGATTCCGATGAGCCTCCCAGCTATCTCCGGCCTCTCAGCACCACCAGGCCGGCTGGGAATTCCAAATCAAAGTTTCTTTGAGAAAGGGCCAATGGGACTATGTCTCTCCATGGGGTTGGAAAGGCAAGTCTTTGCACCCCTTCTGTAGATCGAAGTTTGGTCTCCATCAACACCAGCCGTGGCATTGACATCACGAATGCATTTGCCGCTGAGCATCCGCATGTGAACGGGGAGGCAACTCCATGATGACACAGTGAGCGTATCAGATACAGAGGAAGTATCCTGAGCAGGGCCTCACAGCTGCCCCATCGTGACCATGCGGACGGGATACGCAGTGGAGCAGCACCGAACAAGCTGAGCAAGCGTGATGTCCCTCTCCACACTAGCACCAGTGTCTCGGAACTTTCCTGTCATTCGACACGGGCTATACCCCGTATGGTGCTGACCACCCACGAGCAGTGCCCGGGGCTGGCGTCTCAAGCTCACATTGGCTTTCGGTGGTCAGCGGCTCGGAATCCGCGCTGGACTAGACAAGCAGACGTCCTTATTTCCCTAGACCATCCCCCTACATCCTGCATAGCCTAGCGAAGAGCTATAATCCTTGCTAGGGTGTTCTTCAGCTTGTGGCTGCCTGAGAAACGAGAGAGACGTGATCGTCCAGACTGTCTCTGGGGCGGGGGCTGGCTGGGCCCAAAAGCTTCGGTCGGGGGCCAATGGCAAGGGGCGCTGGACGGGGAGTGGACAATCCCGCATCGCCCAGACGAACTGCCGATCGAGGGGATGGACGCAGATTGGCTGATTCCTGCTCGGCTGGCAGGACCAAAATGGGATCGGCCTGGGATGGAATGTACTGATTAGTACTGATATACTATGTAGTATTCAGCAGGCACAGCACGGTTCCACCCTGCGGGCTGGTTGCCTACCTAGTGCCATCCAGGTCACAGAGAGATCATTCTGACCCATCACCTAGTTTTCACATTGAATGCGCTTTGCTGTGATGGCCGCGAATCTTTGATCAGGGCGTGCATACTGTTTTCTGTAGGTCGGCATAGTGGCCGAGGCCTCCATCCATGGTTGGCAACGCACACAGACTCCCGGCTGAGGAACCGCCCCGGCCCGCTTAGTGTGGTGGGCGCACGATCCGGAACCTCCGCAGAAGCAAGTGCTGAGTGGTGCACCGGGAATGCTAGTCCAGGAGACAGTCCACCTCTCTCGACAAGGTTCAGTTTCCACTCTTCCCAATTCCTCCCTGGCCGCGTAGTCCCCGATGCGGGAGAATGGAACCCGAATTTTGCGACCCAGAGTCATGATTAGCCGGATTTAGAGACGTACATTAGTTTGATGGAGCTCGCGGGATTGCAGGAGAGGGGCAGATCTGATTCATCCAGGAGACAGCTCCGTGGGGATGGGCCCCTCTGTGAGGGGAGAAAATGGTTATACGGCTGAATCTCATCATCGCTCATCAGGCGGGGCGTGGGAGATCGGAGATTCACGATGGCTTCCAACCCAGCGGTGGTGGGATTATTTTGGCGCCCACGTGACGATTATCTAAGGGCGTCGGTCTGCCTGAGTGCCTGGAGTGTCCGGAACAGAGAGGAGCCGGTATAAACCCCGCCGCGTCCTCGATGTTTCTAGTCGGGTAAAACAGGTGCAGCTCAGTACCGAGTACTATACGAGGTCCCTGCAATGTTGGACATGCACCAAACTTTGAGTTGGAGGGTGTTGATTTGCCAAGCAGGTCCCTGGAGCATCCTGGTGGTAGACGAACCGAATCGGCAGACTCCGCTATATTGATTTGGATGAACCGCGTGCGGAGTAGGACACAGTTCAGGTTGGCTTGTTCCCTCAAGAACTGTGGTCTGTGTACCGCGAAGGCGACCGTGGAACGACCCCGAGGCCCCATTATGACAGACAATGACGGGAATGACGGGATCGATCGATCCCAGCCAGGCAGTCGTCCTGCCTGTTGCGGCCTAGCGTCCGAGTTTTCCGCGTCCACCGAACTTGCCTGGGTCCCTGGGGTCCTCGGCCACCACAGGCTATACCAACTACAAAGTACTACGGCGTACAAAAGAATGCTGGTAGGCAATTTGAGTGTGAAAGAATGATCATTCACCGATTGTCCAGTATGACGACCTGCTCCGTCTCCTGGAGTGTACGGAGTACCCGAGATTCTGGCACTTCTCCTGGAACCATGTCGATCATGCCATCAAAATGAATATATCCTGCCAACCCCTCCCTCGTCCTGATGGTAGATACCTGCAGCACGGAATACATGAACCGTACTAAGGGTTCCACTTGGTGGACGCTGAACGATGGCTTAATCGTCCATAATTAGTTCGGCCCTCAGCTTCTCCACTTGGCAAATTACAAATGACAGGGCAGACCTGCTCAGCTCGGCAGGCTCTGGACTTGCCCACAGGTACGTCGCTCGAGTCCTCCGGGTTTCAACGGACCACAACCATCGGGCACTCCTACCGAGGAATGTGTCCTGCACGGAATGTGTCAATCGATAGCCTCCTGTGGATCAGTGGTCGCAGTCACGCATGGGGGGCAAGTCACCATGACGAGGCCCGCGGCGGCAGCCTGCGGAGCGACTGCAGCTGCAGAGAAGCGAGGCCTTCGTACGAGTGCTTGTTATCTGAGCCCAAGCACCCTGTCCTGAGCCGACAAACTACTAAGGTTTGTGTGATTCCTCGAAGGTTATCGGGAAACGTGGACTCCCCAAGGCGAACCATGCAGACGCATTCCTCCGTGTTCCTCGGATTATTTTCTTCCCTTCACAAACTAAAAGCATCTTTCTTTTGCGACAGGCACTAAACCGTCGCCGTTTCAACGCTACTGCTGGAAAATGGCACCCCATGCAACTCTCTTCTGGACCCCACGGCTCAAGTTGCATAAGCCCCCAACACTGCTACGAAATTTCCCTAGCGCTTCCTGTGAGCGACTCTGGGTCTAATTATTGGGCCGGACAGTTCCCAGAGCAGATTAACATATATTACCGATCGCCGGAATAGATTGAAATAGATTGAGCTGATGCTACCTTGAATTAACACCTGAACTTCCAGCGGGTACGGTCTCCTCTTGGAACTTGGAAGTTGGGACTCTGCTAGCCTCCCCCCTATCCACAGTACAATCAATAATGGGATCCTCAGCTGGTGGCGCTTGTCACTTTCCGGGCTGCCTTGTTCCCCCGACATGTCAGACGGTCTGGCCCGGGCTGGCGTCCAACTAGCTCGCACTGCAGGATGGCGCTTGTCAGCTGGGACCCCAAGGTGCTGACGGTTCAGCGCGGGCTGGCTGGTCGGCCGGTCTAGACAGTCAGACAGGCGCGGAGTATACTTGACCCAGACATGGTACAACAGATCCTATGGAGGACTAGGATTTTAGTATAACCAACCACTCCCGACTCTGGAAGCGCCGGGCAGACAATGCCCCCAGATTGCAAACCAGCGGTCGGATACACCGGCGAACCAGTCACAACCCACAACATGCTAATAGGCCACCGCATTCAGCGCATGCGGATGATATCCGTGACTCCGGGCGAGCAGGTCCTCGAACTGGCCCACCGTCTCCTTCATGACGTCCGTGCCTGACAGGTCAGTATCACGCATTTTGGGAAAGCATTCACTGCATAACTCACCCCACATGAAATCCTGCCAGTCGTGATCTGCCCATAGATCGGGATTCTTTCCTGGCCCCCGAATGGCCTCATCTCTCTTCCGCTGCTCCTCGCCATCGGGCAGATGCAACGCCTTGCGCGTAACCGCTGCGCTTTTCTGGATCTTTTCGGCCCGGTCCTTACGCACGCGCTCATAAACCGCCAAAGCGCCGTCAAGATCCTCCGTCAGGGACAGTGCGCACGCCAGCACGCCCGCATCCTCGATCGCCTGCGCCGCGCCTTGTGCCACGTACGGCAGCATCGGGTGACACGCATCGCCCATCAAAACAACGCGATTTTCGATCCAGGTGGGAAGGGGGAAATGTGAGTTGAGCGTCCACTCCATGACCTCTCCGTCAGGCACGTAACTCAGCAGACTCCGCACCAGCCCGTTCCACTGCGCATAAAACTCCTCCATCTCCCGCTTGTCGCCCGGATTCGTCCAACTCTCCTCGGTCGCCGCCCCCTCCTTTTGCGGATGCAACAGCACCATGTTATACACGCTGTTGTTCTTGATCGGATACGCCATGATATGGCCCCCGAGGCCCATCCACCGCATCCCCACATTCCGCTACAGGAGCTCCAGCGCCCGCTCGTCCCCTTGCACCTTCTCCTTGGGGATCTAAATACGGTACGCCGCATCTCCGGTCGGCTGACAGATATCATGGACGCCGTGATGCGCCGCCATTTGATGTCGCAGATCGGACTTGATGCCGTCGGCGCCGATCACCACATCGCCCTCCACCCACTCACCGGTGTGCGACTACACGCGGGCACTGAAGTCGGGGGCGGCCCCTACAACGCGGGCATTGGTCCGGATGGTGATGTTTTGGTTTCTAAATGCGTCGAGCAGGATGCGTTGCAGATCACCGCGATGGATGACCGCGAGGGGGGCGTGATATCGCTCGCCGACCTGACCGATTAGTTACATCACATTCCTATTTCTTTCCACGACCGAAATGAGCGGAGAGAACCTACCCCCGGCATCAACGGCGCCTGCCCCAACTCCTCATTATTCTCATACCGTCGTAGCGAATTAATCTCCATGGTATTCGCCTTACTCATCACCTCTTCCAATAGTCCCAATCGTCCCAGAATTCTCGCCGCATTGGGAGCCATCTGAATCCCCGCGCCGACCTCGGCGATCCCATGGACGCGCTCGAGGATGGTCGCCTTGTGGCCGGCTTGATGTAGCGCCAACGCGACCGTCAGACCGGCAATCCCGGCGCCCATGACCAGGACATTGAGGGGTGTTTTGGCCCGGGGAAGGGTGAGAGTATCTTGATAGGTGTCCATGTTGTTTCAATCCTCAGTAGACTCGGAATGAAGGTAATGAATATCGGTGTAGACGGTGACAAGGATATCGTCCCTAATCAAATCCAATCCTCCGTACAATAAGAAACATCAATATACCACCATCAATCAAATTATATATCTTTCTCCCCACTCCACCCTCCACACCAACAAAAAAAATATAAGAAAGAAGACAAAGCACCGCGTACATCCGTATATCCCGAGTACCACCCCCGACGCAACCAAACACCATGACATCATGACTGTCTCTCTCCCATCAAACCGGTTTATCCACCTCCCTTGTACCTTTCTCGCAACCCATCTCGGCAACTAACAAACCCACCTAGCCACCTACAGAGGAAACAATGCTCACTAATCCTCCACTGTACTATTGTCTCGGATCGCATCTCGGGATTTACATAGTATCTACCTAGCACTATAGTAGTAGGTAGTAGATAAATTCGCTATGTGCCAAGGACAGGCATTATTCACAATTCACATGATACTTAATATAGAATTATGTACTAGTAGAAATGGTATTACTAATTATTGTAGTATCGAGGGAATGCGATCGGCGAGGCTGAATACAGTCCTACCTACCTACCTACTATTACTTTCCTTTTCATTATTTTCATTCGTAAGAGATATTACTACTGTGCCAGAAGAGGTAGAAATAGTTCTGTATTAACTATTACTGGGGGTGTCTTTGGCGTGATATAACTTTTAGGTACTCTGCAAGTGGTACGGTGGATTATGTGGTGCAGGTTACTTCTGTGATTGTGTTGAAGGGGGGAAGCGGCTGGGAATGATCTGCTGTTGGGATGGGGGATGGATGTGGGTCGGATAATGGTTCGGATGGTTCGGATAGCTCGGAAGGATTCTTCGTTCATTGTTAGTTGTCGCATTGTGCGATGAAATGGTCGGGAAGGAATGTCGGGAATGGGATCGGATGATGTCATGGGAGCGATACAGATCATTAGGTTATTATGTAGATTATCGACTAGGACAAGAATATATACGCATAACCATCAGATACATACACTAGGGAACATTAGGATTGTGAAAGTAAGAATACCGAAAGAATGAAAAGCAGATCTACTGCTCCTTCTTCCCCCCTGCAAACTCTATTCCGTTCAACTCGCCATGCTGTGCAAACCACACATCCTGCAGATAATTCTCCCGCGGCACCCACGGCCCCCGATCGCCGGCCTTGGGCAAGGATCCCACGGCGCGCGTCACGTACGTCGAGTTCAGGTTCAGCAGGCGACGCGGTTGGATCTTAGTGATCTCATCGCCCTGGAGGCGCGGCGTTGCCGACGGACTGCCCCGGCGGTCCATCTCGCCCATCAACCGGCACAGGAACAGCGCGGTGGCATCGGCGCCCAGGGTCCATGACGCGTTGGTGTATCCGATCACAAAGGCCGTGTTGGGGAGGTCCTGCACCATCATGCCGTGCCAGAGGTACTTGTCTGGGAGGTGCGCGGGGATGCCGTCAACGGTGAGAGAGGCGCCGCCTGCGATCTGGAGACGCAGGCCCGTAGCAGTCACGATCAGGTCGGCCGGGAGAGTCTCACCAGAATTTAGCTCGATGCCGGTCTCGGTGACGGTGCGGATGGTGTCGGTCTTGACGTCGGCATGGCCCGAGTGCAGCGAGCGGAAAAAGTCTCCATCGGGACACACGCAGAGACGCTGGTCCCAGGGATTGTACCGCGGCTCGAAGTGCGGAGAGAATGGTACCGACTCGGGCAGCTGGCGTGTCACCGACAACCGCAGCAGGAATTTCGCGACACTCGGAAAGGCCTGGCAGAAGCAGAAGAACAGCCACGAGCTGATGAACCAGTTGAGGCGCTGGAAGCGGCGGAAGATGCCGGACGGCAGCACATAGCTCAACCATGATTTGTTCCGGTTGGGAAGGGACAGGATGTACGTCGGACTGCGCTGCAGCATTGTCACGCGGGCGGCCTTTTCGGCCAGCTTAGGCAGCAGAGTAATGGCTGTGGCACCGCTGCCGATGATGACAATGTTCTTGTCCTTGTAGTCCAGGTCCTCGGGCCAGAACTGCGGGTGAATGACTTCCCCCGTGAAGCGTGACAGGTTGGGGATGTCGGCCTGCAGGGGCTGGTTGTAGTCGTAGTAGCCCGTGCCAAAGATGAGGAAGCGCGCCGTCAAGGGACGCGACTGGCCATTGTGGTCGATGGTCAGCGACCAGAGTTGGTCTTCCGAGGACCAGTCGGCGCCCAGCAGGCGCTGCTGGTAGTGGATGTGCTGGTCGATGCCATATTTTTTGGTGGCCCGATGCAGATATGACACGATCGAGGCCCCCTCGGCGATGGGGTTGCTGCGATCCCAGGGATACCACGAGAAGCCAAAGGTGAAGAGATCCGAGTCGGAGCGAATGCCGGGGTACTTGAAGAGATCCCAGGTGCCGCCCAGCCGGTCGCGAGCCTCAATGATGGCGTAGCGATAGTTGGGGAACTGCGATTGCACGCGATAGGCCGCGTTGATGCCGGAGATACCGGCGCCCACGATGAGCACGTCAAGAGGTTCGGAATCAGTATCCATGATGAATGATGTATAGGGGAGATGGAAACAAGGAGAGACCGATGGAATGGAATCCCCGACCACGATTTATAGACAGACTGGCACACACCCCTCACATGGCCTCGGCTGTGGCCGAATGGCGTCCGAGGCAGACGAGGGGAAGTGCAACGGGCTGCAAGTTGCGCAGCTTCAGATTTCTTCAGAATTTGGACTGGACCCTGACCTGACCCGCAAATCCGCAAAATGGATCGGGGGATCGGCGCTGCATATCGCTTCCCAAAGCGGTAACCCTTGCGACTCACATGCCTGGATCGGCCACGGGGATCTGTTGCTCGCACTGGCCGTCGCACAATGGCTCGTGAAGATGCCAGTTAGATAAGTTGGGTGGTGGCCAGGGTTGCACGGCCGGGATGTGACCTGAAGCACAACGGCTTGTGTTCCCCTCCATCATGATTCAACCGCGCGCCATCTCCCTCTCCCCGGCGGAGAAACTTGACTTTGTGCCTGCCCTGGCCTCGATTGTCCTGACCATTCTCTGGGCCACTCTCACCTCCCTTTGGCGCTCCACCGCCTATCCCAAGACTTTGGTGCTGCACATTGGCTATGCGGCGTTCCGCAAGGCCACCGTGCGCCTGTCCGTGGCGCAGATGCAGTGCGTGTTACATTCTTCACCACACACACTGACCACTGCCACTGACCACTGACACCACTGACTTCCCAGATATGCTCTCCCCACGACCGACAAGAACTACGAACGTTACGTGCGGAAGCACAAGCTCCCCTGCAAGACCGTTGACCTTGGCGATGGTGCCTTGGGCCATTGGATCGGCGACCAAACGGCCGACAACGTCCTGATCTGGTACCACGGTATGTTTTTCGGATGCATGCCATTATGTCTATGCACTAACAATCCCCCAGGCGGTGGCTTTGCCCTTCCTGCCAATGTAGGGTACTTCAAGTTCTTCACCAAGCTGATTGCCTCCATGGCGGCGTCCAACAAATCTCTGGCCGTCTTCACCCTCACCTACACCCTCGCTCCCCAAGCCACCTATCCCACGCAGCTTCGCCAGGCCGTATCCGCTCTGCGCTACGTCCTCGACAAGACCAACCACAGTCCATCACACATCGCGCTAGGTGGTGACTCCGCGGGGGGGAATCTCGTCGGCGGAGTGCTTTCTCATCTGGCGCATCCGCACCCGGAGATCGCTCCCATCACACTGTCGGGGAACCTCCTCGGGGCGATGATGATCGCACCCTGGACGAGCATGGAAACCGACTACACAGACCAGGTCATTGACTCGCGCGGCGATCTGATCACTCCAGGGGTGGCGGGGCCATGGGCGAAAGCTTATCTGGGTACGGCGCGGCGCGACTATTACACGGACCTGTCGACGGCGCCGACGGACTGGTTTACCACGTTTCCGGTGGAGCGGGTGTTGGTGTGTGGTGGGGGAAGCGAGATCTTGTTGCCTGTCATTCGTGGCTTTGTGGACAAGTTCTCGGCCGGGTTTGGGCGGGTGGAGCTGTGTGTGGGCGAGGGTGAGGGCCATGTGGCCCCCATCTATAATATGTATATCGGGGATCGGGATGAGACGGTGCAGGGCAAGCGAGTGGTTAGTTGGTTGCGGGAGGTGCTGTAGCTGTATGAGATACGTGTGTATATTGACTAGTGTATTGGTGTATGTAATGTATATGATTTAGCTGTTCAAGTACAAAGTGTGCAATTATGCAAAAGCAAGAAGCAAATGTGATGCAAACACCATCAGAAGCAGCCAAACACCCGCAGCATTCCCCTCCTCCATCTCTCTTCCCAGTCACTGATTTCTATCTTCCAAGGCAGAGTAAGACGATTCTCACCCACCACGGACAGAATACAACAAGTATGCATCATCGTGATTAAAAATTCATTAGATTATGCTAACATAGAAATACATCCAAGGTATCATTTCTTCTCCTGCTTCTCCTGCCACTCCCGCAAATGCAGCAAATCCGCCGACGCCAGCGCCCGTACTCGCTCCTGCAACCACGTGGGAAACGCCCGCACCAGACTGGCCACCCAGTATTTCTCCGGCAGGATGACCTGCCCACTTTTGCCAGATACGATCTGCTTTGCAATGGCATTTCCCACCCGCTCGACCGTCAAGACCGGCTGCTTGAACTCGTTCCCGGCGTCCGTCAACTGCTGGATCATGGGGGTGCGCACCCAAAAGGGGTGAACCACACTTTTAAGCTATCAGCAGCCGTCTTCTTCTCGAGTTTCAGAGGATCTCACCTAGTCTTCACTCCCGTCGCCTTATACCAATACTTCAACTCCTGCCCCAATCCCTCGTGGAACGCCAACGCACTCGCCTTTGAACAACAGTAATCGATCATCTCCCCCAGCGCCACAAAACTGGCCATGCTCGCCACGGTCACCACATGGCCGTGGTTGCGCTCGATCATGGCGGGGAGAAACTCTCGCACTGTTATGAAATGCGAGATGGTATTGACCTCGAACGTCTGTCGGATCTTTGCCTCGGGTTCATCTAGGATGGTCTTGTCGTGGCCCACACCGGCGTTGTTGACCAGCACGGTAGGATGGCCGTGCTCGGAGCGGATCTGCTCGGCCACGGGGTGGAGGGCGGTGGAGGAGGTAATGTCGGCTTTGTAGAAGGTTACGTTGGGAGCTGTGCGTGTTAATGGGGGTTAACATGGGTGATGGGGGGAGAAATACGGAGTGTGAAGGACGGTTCCTGGATGTCCAGGATAATGACCCGGGCGCCCTGGCTGGACAGCTCGGTCATGATCTGCTTGCCGATACCGCTGCATCCGCCCGTCACGAGAACCAGCTCGCGATCGTTGTCCCAGGTTCGGGTGCTCAAATTATTGAGCGACAGAGTGTTGAGGACCCGGTTGGTCTGGCGCAGCGCAGTAAGCGCCAGCACCGCACCGATGGCTTTAGGGACCAGCGGATGCAGCAGGGCCTGCTGGGCCGGGGGCGGCAGGTTGGCCAGAGCGGTTTGGGCCCATTCGTGGACGACAGCGGGGGAAAGAAGCGACATGATGATTCAGTGGTGTTGCATGAACAAAGTACCGAGACTGGATGCACGTCCACCGTCGCGCCGTTGCTATATAAGAACTGGCTGTATGACATGCAACCGAGGCTCGCATGGACTACACAATTATGAGATCACCCCGGAAATGGAAAGCGTTGCGATGTGAGGGTTAAGGTTTCGGGCAGTTGGAATTGCGGAGATGAGATCCACTGGCTCGGATTTTGCGTGTTGATCCTGCCGATCTTGGTTCGGACACATGTGATGCGATGGTTGCAGTGGTGATGATCTGCTGTCTGCCTGGACCCTTCGTATCAGATGGCTGCTGCCCGAGAGGCCGGGGTGGTGATCGACTCATGTGCCACCGAGGCAACCCTGATTAGGGCAGTCGATCGCTCCCTGATCCCCGCTCTTAATCTAAAACAGACTCTTCTCAGTCGACTTCGGAGCAGTCTGTGCTACCTCCTGTATCACCACCATCATGGACTCTCCGTTGGTGCTGCTGTCCGTTGCCTTGCTGGAGGCCTATTTGCTACAGCGCAGCTTGCTGCCCGACTGGGCATTTCGCAGTGTGACGGCTTTATCGCTGGCGGGTAATCTAAGCCTCCGATTGATCTGGGGATTGTTTGTCTATCCGTACTTTGTGACGCCGCTGCGTCATCTGCCTACTCTTCCGGTATGATGCTGATGATGGACTTGTCTACTCTGTATGCTAACAAGGTAGGGCAATCTCAACCACGGCCGCGTGATTTTTGACGACCCTCGCGGCCGGCTTCCGCTGCAATGGATGAAAACCATCCCCAATGACGGGCTCATTCATTTCCGTGACATCTTCAACCGGAGTTTCCTGCTGGCTACGAATCACCAGGCCCTGCTGGACATTATGAGTACCAACACCTACGACTTTGAGAAGCCGTGGCGCACGCGCGAGTTTCTAGCACGGATTATCGGATTCGGACTGATTCTGTCCGAGGGCGGCGCGCACAAGAAGCAGCGACGGGCGCTAACGCCGTCGTTCAATGTACGAAATATCCGGGCACTGTATGGGCTGATGTGGGGGAAGACGGGGGTGTTGATGGAGGAGCTGGAGCGGGAGATGGCCACGAATGAGGGAAAGGTTGAGATGAGTGTGTGGGCTAGGTATTTCCCTCCGATTGGTCTACATAATCAGCTGTAGTATCATATAATGCTAATCAAACAGCCGCCTCACCCTCGACATTATCGGCCCCGCGGCCATGGGCCGCGACTTTCGCTCGCTCCAAAACCCCGAGAACAAAGTCGCCGACAGCTTCCTGGCCATTCTCGAGCCCACGAAAGAGAAGATTGCCTTTCTGGCTGTCAACGTGCTGCTCCCGCAGTGGTTCGCGCGGCGACTCCCATGGCGCCTAAACCGTGTCATCGACACGGAGACGGGCTTCCTGCGCGAGCTATGTAAGGACATTGTCTTGGAGAAGAGGGCCTCAATTGTAGCAACGCAAGCCACGGCCGCAGAGCTCGAGGCCGATATTCTTGGAACCATGATGCTAGGAGGCGACTTTACCGATGACGAACTGGTCGATCAAATGTTGACATTCCTCGCAGCTGGCGTATGTCCCCGCCCTTCTCCATATCACCACAACACTAACCAAATCCAGCACGAAACCACCGCCAGCGCCTTCACCTGGGCCTGCTACCTCCTGACCCAACACCCAGAGTACCAAGCTCCTCTCCGGGCCGAAATCCGCTCCCGCATCCCCAGCGGCACCGCCCCCATCACCCACACCGACCTCGAATCCCTCCCCCTCCTCAACGGCATCGTCCAGGAAGTCCTCCGCCTCTACCCCACCGTGCCCCTCACCCTCCGCGAATCCATCCGCGACACCACCGTCGCCAACACCCACGTACCCCGGGGCACTCGCGTCCTCCTCTGCCCGTACGCCATCAACCGCAGTCCGCTGTTCTGGGGCGAGGACGCCGACGTCTTCCGTCCGGAACGGTGGGTGGATACCGATGCGAATGGGAATGCTGTTGTTAATCAGCATGGTGGGGCGGGGACGAATTACGCTCAGATTACGTTTCTGCATGGGCAGAGAGCATGTATTGGGAAGGACTTTGCAAAGGCGGAGTTGAGATGTGCTCTGACGGGGGTTTTGGGACGGTTTGAGATCGAGATGCAGGATCCGAAACAGGTGATTCATATTGCGGGGGCGGTTACGACGAAGCCGGTCGAGGGGATGCATTTGAGGATGAGGAGGGTGGAGGGGTGGTGATTCCTGTCCCTGGTTCAAGTGGATGGTATATATAGGGTGGGTGGTATATATGGTGTAAATATATGACTGAGCACATAGTATTAAGATAGTGTAACTTACCAGAGCGAGGTATGTAATGAATATGCTAACCACTTTTCTCTAAACCAACATAAGAACTCACTTTTTCTGTACATGCGCATGTCCATGATGCTTATGTCCATGGCCATGCCCCTGTCCCTGCAAAAACTCACTCGCCTTTCTCTTCCCCCCTTCTTCCGACCCCTCTATCTCATCCTTTTCCAACGACGGCCAATCCTCCCACCCATCCTCCCAAATCCCCGCCATCATCTCCTGCTTCTCCCTCCTGGTCACCCTCTTCTTCCGCATAATCCCTTCCCACCGTTTCATCTCCCCATCATCCAATAAACACTCATCTAATAACTTCGTAACCGCCACCGTATCTATACCCTCCCCGATAAACACAATCTCCTGTCGGCGATCTCCCCATTCGCCTTGAAAGTCATCTGTGATGGACTTGCGCACGTCTGCGTCCTCGGGCCACGCTTCGTCGGGCAACTCGGCGAACCACCCGCCGCCACAGCCTAGGGTGAGCATGGCGCCGGCTTGACTCCATTCGCCGAACTGGTAGGGGCGGGTGGCTAGCCAGAAGAAGCCTTTCGAGCGGAGGACCGAGTGCAGGATGGGGTGGGCGCGTTTGTTGGCGAGGATGGTTTCGGGGGTCGGTTGGTCCAGGTCGGGCATTTCTTCGTCTTCATCTTCTTCGTCGTCTTCTTCTTCTTCTTCTTCTTCTTCTTCTTCATCATCACCCCCCGCATTCTGCAACAAAATAAACTTATCATATAACAACTCAAACAGTCGTCGCGGTTGGAATGGCCGTCTAGCCGTATACACAAAGTTATTAATGCCGTACCTGACTTGTTAGCCTCATCCCAACTACATCTCAATAGCAAAAAGAAGAAAGGATACTCACTCCAAGGTCTCCGGCTTCGGCGCCATGCGCACCCCATTCGCAGTCTCGACCTTGCTCATCTCATGCAAACTCCTCAACCAACCGGCTCCACTCGCCGCACGAAGGAAATCAAATCTCCCCGTCCCCAACACCTCCTTCACATCAATCTTCGAATACTTGCTCTCCAGCACCTTGGCCACGGGATTGAGCAACCCGATTAACGTCCGGATTTTGTCCCGCACCGATTGATCCACCATATCGATCTTGTTAATGATAATGACGTCGGCGAATTCGATCTGATCGACCATGAGGTCGGAAATCGTTCGCTCGTCTTCGGGGATGATTTCCCCGGAACCGTAGCGATCGGAGAGGAACTCGGCAGTGTGGAGATTATGGTGGAGGTTGAATGCGTCCAGGACGGTGACGGTCGTGTCGAGGGTTGTGAGGGTGGAGAGACCGCCTTGTTTTACCCTATCCCCATCATCATCATCATCATCATTAGCATATACTTATCCCCACGAACGAAACGGCAAAAGAGAGAGGGTATAAACATACACATCCTCCACAACCCTCCTACTCTCCCCATCCAAGCCCTCCAACCCCAACCCCGCATCACCCCCCGCTTCCAACATCGCGGCACTGAACTCCGCCGTGAACGTCTCGGCCACTTGCATCGGTTCACTAATGCCCGTACTTTCAATCACCACGTACTCGACCCCATCCTGGGTGGTCAGACGGGCGAGTTCGGAGAGCAGATCCCCTCGGAGCGTGCAGCAGATGCAGCCGTTTTGTAATTGGATGAGGGATTCTTTGGTGTGCGAGATGCTGTGGTGGTGGGATTTGATGAGCGTGGCGTCGATGTTGAGACTGGATTTGTTAGATGCTTGCTTGGAGTAGATTTGGTGAGATAGGTAGGGTTATTGGGTATAAGGAGGGAAGGGTGTGTGTCCCATCCTAAACATAACCCAATACTAGAAATAAAGAAAGAAAAGGGGAAAATAGGAATACCTGCTCATATCATTCACAATCACCGCGATCCGTAGCCCATGATCCGCCGACTGGAGAATATGTTCCAAGAGGGTGGTTTTTCCACTTCCCTGGATACCACTTAGCCACACACACACACACCACCATACATAGCACACCAGCAAGGTCCATTCACAACCAACCCAACAAAACAAGATAGATACGTACCAAGAACCCAGACAATAACGTAACCGGCAACTTCCTCTTCTTCGCCCCCTCAACTCCATCACTGGGAGTTTGTGCCGACGGGGCCGGATACGTGAGGGATTCTTTGCCGGAGTCGATCATCTCGTTTCCTCTCTCTCTCTCTCTCTGGGATAATTTAGAGAGTAAAAGAATAGAAAATGAATGAAAAAAAGAAGAACAATTCATCCTCTGGATACTGAGTATAGATATCTTTATATATGCCCTGCCACCAAGGTAACGGATTTATCATCGGTGATGTGATTGGTGTGGTGTGGTGATGGGATACCAAGGTCCTTGTCTGCAAGGTGCGTGATAGCAAGGTACCCACTCATTTTATTGCCATTTAGGTACCCCTGAGAGGTGGGTGGTTGTGATTTATGTAAATTGGGATTGGAATGGGATGATAGGTTAGGTCTGTTGTTTCGATTTAATGTTGGGTCGTATGATTGATACCAAGGCCAACCCTACATCCAAACCTGGGTACTTTTTGTAGCCGCAATTAGCCCTAATACACCTAACTAATTCTCAAACCAACATCAACTTACTCGTAATACCAGAGAATAAAAGGTTGATTATAATAATAGGAAGATATCACTAAGGAAACACCGTCCCATCCCAAACCCTCAACTGAGTGGATTGGTTGACCCTCAGACCAATTTGGCTTCAAGCTTATGGCCTTGGAAGATATCACTGTGGAATCTTACGAACCGTGATGCTAAGTACTGCTCATTGCTGGTGATATAGAACACTAATATCAATAGTACGACCTCTTCGTAACCGACGAATCAGACACACAATCCACCCCAATCCCCCCCTGAATATCATTGCAGACAATCTCTGCCCCTCCCGACGGACTCGTCAAGTTGACATTCGTCAAGGTGATGTTCGTGCATACGGCATCTGGCGAGCACACCAGATCGGCTACCACCTTGCCATCTTTGCCGGAGGATGTTCCCCACACGTTCTCAAAGACCACATTCGTGATATTCACGGCCGACGGGTACTTGGCACACTCAGTGGAATTCACGTCAAAGTAGCATTGGTCCAGCACGATTGGCGCATCGGTGTTCTGGATCTGGATGTTCTTGTAGGTGATGTTGTTCATGCGGCCGTAACCCACGTCCTGGCCGGCCCAGGCCTTGAGGCGTGCGCCGTTCTATTCTCATTAGTATGGCTCGGTAGTGTCAGAGGTGTGCGTACCTGTCCGTTCAATAGTGTCACGTTCTCAATGTACACGTTCTCGATAAAGTCCATCTCGCCGGCATACTCGCCGATACTGCCCATGCTCACCCCGTGCGTGTTGTTGCACCACATGTTCTGCACAAAGATGTTGCTCGTGTTCGACTTCGGAGAGAAGCAGTCATCACCCACGTCGATGCGCATGTTGGTGGCACTAAAATTATCCACTACAAGCGAGTCGAATCCGTCCGTGTTGGCCGGATCAGACTGAACGGTCAGTGAAGATCAACAACCAACCCATCAAGTAACTCACCGACGCATTCGTGGAAAACGCATGAATATACACATTATCAAACGAGATATCATTTGTGCGGACAAAGAAGTTGGTCCAGCAGGGCGAGTTCAGCTGCGTGATACCTTCGACCGACACACGGGTGGCATTATCCGTGAGGAAGAGAATCGGCCGGTAGAAGGTATTATCGGGATCCTGTCATCGTCAGTCACCATCCATCCCCCACAGTAGACAAAACCTACCAAGATCTGCTTTCCCGCAAACTCATCATACCACTTCTGTCCATTCCCATTCAACACCCCACTGCCAAAGATCTTAATATCCTGCCCACCCCAGCGCCAGAAGGTAATCGACTTCTGAAAGCTATAGTAAAAGTTATTGGCTTGCCAGTACGTGATATTATTCGTGAACTATATCATATCGTCAGCCATCTCACCACCCTCATCGAATCCTACTAGAGACAAACCTGAATCTCCCCCTCCAACTGCACCTCAATATCATCCAAAAACGTCAAATCCAACTTCTTCCCAATAACATACTTCTCTCCCTCCTTCAACAATAACCGTCCCCCATGGTTCGCCCGCTGCAACCCCCACAGAAAATCCGCCGACACATCATCGGCCGCGTTCTTCGACGCCCGAATCGTCACCGTCTGTCGGTCCGCATACTTGCCATGCTGGGCCCCAATGGCCTGTAATCCCGCTGTATCAGACGCCGGGATGACTCGCGCCCCAGGAATGAGTCCACCCACGGCAGCACCGAATGTGAGGGTCCCGGCGCTGAGCAACAGCGCAGTATACGAGAGTAGTCTCATGATGAATGGATAGTTTGATTCAGTCTACCCCTTTCTTTGTGAGCTGCACTTCACCACTTATATAGGTAGGTATCCGTCCCACTGCCGAGCCTCTCGCATACCCCAGAATCAGATACCATCATGATCCGGGGTATCCCCACGGGGGAAGCAGGGGATTTTTCCACCTGTCAGCGACCAGCACGGCCCGACGGATTGGAAAGTCGACTGGTGGTCTGGGGGTGCGTTCTGGAAATCTCGTGATCAGCCACTTGGTCGGTGCGCGGTGACGGACTGTCGTGCGCAAATTTCCCCGGATTGTAGGGCTGGGTTGGGGGATCTTCCACCAATGGGTGTGGGGGGGGTGTCGGATTGATGCTGTCTGTCGTGGGGGCATGTTTTGGTGGGGATCTGGGATGGTGGTGAGGTGGCAGGTGCATGGTGTGGAGGAGTGGGTGGATGATGTCTTTTGATTCATGGGTGAATAGAGCAGATGCGGATGATGATATCATTCCGCAGTGCAGGATTGCCGAGTTGGTGGTCTTGGGAAGTTTGTTGTTACTGCAGCTGAATGTACGATTTAGATACTGTATAGTATTGTGGGGAATCCAGCATCCCCAGATCGGGTACCCCAGGGATGTATCGTTATCCTTGCACATTCCTTTCTTAGTCATGTCAACACCATAACTAGTTAACTATCCAGAGTTTATCCAACTAGCCCATAAGCTCCCTAATTACGGATTAGTCTAGTCTAGTCCCATTAATCCGCGAAACAATAAAAGAATAACCTCGGTACCCCGCAGATCACCATCCCAACATCAACAATCCAGCCGGAGATCCCAATCTCCCATTTTCTCCCAATTATGCATCCCTCACAACTTCCTCCCGCCCACCACCAACGCCGTAATACAACTCACATTCCCCGACCACCACAACACCGACCGCAAAAAGCTCCACCCCTCCGATTCAATCAACACATACGCTAATCCAAACGCCACCCGCGATACCGTATACCACGCGCCAATCCCATTGATTGTGTCGTTCGGTAAGTCGGTATGTAATGCCACCAGCACTATAATAAAAATCATTACTATTAGTACCGACCCATGCATCCATCCAATCTCTGTAAATGAATGAATGTAGATAAAGGTGTAATACGCACTCGCCGCCACAAAAAGTGGAAACCCCTCGATGGCATTCGCATGCGCGGCTTCCTGGCGCTTCAGTCGGTTTAATTGTCGGCGGGTGATTTTGCCCGCTTGCACGGCGGCCTCGCCGTAGGTGGTGAGGTCTTCGCGCGGCGCCACGTTGTGGTCTAGGCGGAGGAGTCGCTTGGCGGGTCGGGTGCTCAGCACCCCGTGCGCGAAGAACCAGTTGCCGATGAGGTAGGCGACGGCGTTGTTGGGGATAGGTTCGTTGGCGGTGGCTTGGAGGCCGAGGGTGGTTAGGATGGATCTGTAGGGTTAGGATGGGTGTTTGTGTATGTACTGGGATGGGAGTGACGTACGACATGATAGCGGTGGTTAACAAGGGGTGGAAATGGATATGAGATGAGAAGGAATTTATACCAGTTGCATGATCGACATGCCCCGTCCACAAAATTAGTTATCATACATTATCGTAGCCATTGGCAATCCATCACATGAAACTTGGGATATCACAATATCTCGCTCATCCACCAACGCCTCGGTTGTCCATTAGAACAAAGTCAGAAAGTCCTGATCCCACATCCCCGGCATCCCATAGTCGTTCATGTCAAACAACGTCCCGAAATCCAACGACTGCATCCGTTAGCATCAACCCGCCAAGCAGAGGAGATCGACAAACCGTGTCTAACCCAAACGACGCAGGGTCGAATGGTAAATCGGGTGTTGCCAGACTCAGCGACGGCGTAGAGACGGGCTAGAGTTCATTAGCAACGATCGACACCTTAAGGACTCTACATACCGTCGACTCGGCCTGTCGGGCTCGGGTAGACGCCCAGGTGGCCCCCCGCATCACCTGTTCGCATGCCTGCATGGACTTCATCGCGTCCCGCTCAATCACCTTCTGCGGGTCTTCCCCCCGGAGCCGCGCCTTCACCGACGAGAGTGCAAGGTTCGGGAGGAAAAACGCCTTGCTCCCCTTGCCGTTCGGCGTGATCCGGCTCCCGAATGTTTCGATCGTCCGCTCGACCGCCCCGATCATAACCTCCTGCTGCGACCGCACCAGATCGTTCAATGAGGTCAGCGCGCTGGACTGGCCCGCGGTCGACGCGCTCGCCATGTTGAACTCGCCCGCTTGGATGTAGAGCTCCACGCACACCGTCAGGGCAGCGTGAAGAAACTCATCGCGGAACATCCCCCCACTGAGCTGCCCCAGATGTGGGCATACCTGGGCGCTCGCCGGAGGCTCGTGATGGGAGAGGATCTCCAATGCGGACTCCAGGCAGATCTTCCGCGAGTAGGAAAATTTGGGCGACCGGAGAATACTCAACGCAAACGGCCGGTTCAGAACCAGGATTGATCGCCGTAACAGAAACATCAACATGGACTGGGCGAAGGACGAATCGTTGCCGCCCGGCGACGGCAGCCCCGGGTCGCACTGCTTCCGAAAGATCCCCACGCCGTGGTGCATGAATTGGATCAGCTCTTCACTGAGTCGCAAGGCCTCATCGTAGGACAGAGTGAACTTCAGACTGTTGATCGCCTTGGCGATATGAAGTCGCAACGGCAACGACTGGAGAAGCAAGACCTGGAACGTACTTTGCGTAAACACCTCCGGATCCTTGGGGACCGCATCCTCGGTCATATCTTCCGTCAGTTGCGCATCATCGAGATTCGAGGGGGGCTCGCAATCGTATTCATCCAGGTCGATGGTGGGCGGCATCCCACCATCCAAGGACGACTGCAAATCCAGCTCCAGAATGGTCGCCCACAGTCGTCGGCGCATCTCGGCCCAGAATTTCGTCATCTTTCCGAACCGATGGGGATCCCGATGCAGCCCCATGGTCATGGCAGTCCGCGTCAGCGAACCGGACGAGATCCAAACAATATCCCCATCGATCGCATCGGCCTGCCGTGCAATCATCAAGAGGCATTCAATCTGCAGAATGTTGAAATCGATGGTCGAGCTGACTAACGTGGACGCAATCCACGACCGGACGCCGGCAATCCATTCGGCGGCCGTTTGATATACGGGACCCTCGCCATTAATCTTCGTGGTCGGACTAAGAAAACAGCAACTGGCGGCCATCAATGCAAGCAGCTTCGCCACAAAGGACGGTTCCCTGGGCTGTACGCCCGCCCAGAAGTTGCCGTACTGCTCCAGGAAGGTTGGGATATGCAAGATTCGGTGCGTTGTCTCGAACGTGGTCAGATACAGGTTCAGTAGTTCGTCGGCGACATGGCGAGGAGGAACCATTTCCTCCAACGTGGGCGGCTTCTCGCGAAAGGCGCGCTGATGTTCTTGTCGTTCCCGAGACCATACCTCCCCTTTGAAGACCTTGAATTTCTTATAGTCGGGGTTCCTCTTCAATGTACTGCGCCGGCCTCGCATAAACGTAGCAACGTCGTCAAACTGCAAAGGTCAGCACCAGATCGTATGAGCCTTCGCTAATACGTACGAAAGACAAGGAGACGGAGGAATGGCTTCGCCCAACATATCGGGTCCGGCTCTTCTTGCCCCGGAAGCAACATCGGTCCGGGAGGTCCTTCACGCTATCGACGAGGCTGTGCGCCTCCGGGCCCAAGCGATGCCCGCCTTCTGACGGGGCATCATATCCCAGACTTTCCGGCGTGTGGATGGGACCCGTCTTGGAGAGCGCCGTTTCTAGAAATTGGATGCGACTGCGGAGCTCGTGCAACTCATCCGAGCGTGCTTTAGGCTTGGTCACCCGGTTTGTCGACTGGTGCTTGGAATCAAATACGTAGAGTCCACCGTGGGCTGGACTAGCCCGACTGCTGGAGACACGCGCACGTTCGGGTGGTGTGCTTCCCGCGCGCCCCAACGTCGGAGCCTGAGGCCCCACGTAGACGCATTGATCCGGGGTTTTGGACTTGACGCATTGCCCGCATGGTAGAGCGCGGTCACACTTTAACTTGCGACGCCTGCAAATGGTGCAGGACAAGGGCGGTCTGCGCCGTCGCGGCGGTGACTTGGGAGATTGGGGATCTCCATCCATCGTCTTGAGCGTTCCGTCCTGGGCGCGAAATTATAATTGTCGGGGTAGGGATGACCCCGCGACCGTGATCAAGTCACCTGATGCTGGTGTCTTGTTGCACCGTGAAGCGGTGGCCGCGGAGGTGCGAGAATTTGGTGAAACTGAAGGTGGATGACTGCGCAGCGACAGGCAACGTCAAATGTCTTATCTGATCAGTAAGCTGACGGCCGAATGCCGAGCCCACGGCCTTCGCTGCCTGATTTGGCCGAGGAGCGAAGACGTGGACTTGCACGATGCAGGCGCTTTAGTCGACTGGCTAGTGGCACTCTGCTGGTGGGCATCTTCAGGAGGCTCCGGCGATTACTCCTCGGACTTGCTGTAAGGAGCTGTCCGAGGTGTCGGAGATGCCTGTTCAGGTTAGTGTATTTTTCTGCCAGGCCACAAGGCGACCGCGGGGGAATCCGATCCGATCCATGGTACAGGGCCTCCACGATCTTGTCATATCTGATCTTCTCTGGTTGTTATGCCCCATATAGCAGATTACAGACTTGGCAGATGCTGTTAAAAGGGGAGAACCGAAGACATGACGACATCAAAGTCCGCGTCTAGCTGTACCGGGCTTAAGGGTCAGGCTTCCAATATCAATCACCTTGCTGATGTCTATGCCGTGTCTATCTAGTATCTAACACAGATCAAGCCAAAAGCTCATTAAACATAGCTTCCCTATCGCGATGCCATTGTCCGCTTTATCCTGATCTCAAGCGGACCCTTAAGAGGAAGTGGGGTACACAGTGATGTTGCCAGAGTAGCGGCACTCGGTCGTAACCATACTGCCAATCGACGTCTGGCATGTCCACAGGCTGCCAGTTTCATTTGCATTGACCGTGACCTCGACTATTTCAGGGCCCTTGACCCGCGTGATTGCCAGGGTGAAGCTTGTGATGTTGGACACCCCGCCCGGGAAATCCACCCAGTAGTTTCCGTCCTCTGTGCGAGAGTCCGTGACAGGCGGTCCAGGGCGTTCCCTAGCCACAGATGTTAGATTCATGGTGGGCCTAAGAGGGAGGTGGAAGCTTACCACGACAGACTGGCATCAGTAGTGTCATCGTAGTTGGCATCGACGAGAATGAATTGGACATCTGCCGTCTCGCTGGTCTCAGAGGCCCAGAGGCCGCTGATGGTGACTGCTTCCTCGGCTCGCTTAGCAGGTACGGCCAGAGCAGTGCTGACAGCCATGAGGAGGGAGCAGATTGTATGGGCCTTCATGATTTCGTTGAGGGATGGCTCGTCGATTGAAGAGGAAGGAGAATTTGTAGAGGAGAGATTTGCTGTTCTGGATGATAATAAGAGAGTCCAATCTGCGGCTCCCCAGATTTTATATCTTCATGCTGGCTGTATAATTAGTACAATCCTCGACATGGCATCCGAATCCCGACGATGAGATGAAGGCATACTCACTGCGCTCAGCTGCCTGCAACCTCTCGTTGCAGTGCCTGACCATTGATCCTCCTCAGGCCTCCCACATATCAGCACTAACAAGCCACGCTGGATCCAGACAATGGCTCACCGAACTGCTGCTGGCGGGTCAGCTGCTGATCCCACTCATCGAGTACGTCACCCACTGCGCCGCAAACCTAAAACAGATGGCTTTCAGGCCGATAAGTATGATGAAGCTTTGCTGATGGTCCATTCTCCATTTAGCAACGAACCATCGACTGCCAGAGAGTGGACTCCGGAAAGCTTGACGGGGTGCCTGAACTGTGGACACCGGAAGACAGTCTAATTTTAGGCCAAGGACCGAAGTATTCGGTTGTGGTGCTCGGGGGGCCGCAGAGAAACAGGCCGTCTACCGCACCACCTCCATGGACTCTTACTGCAGCCGAATATCCTCCTGACGGGGGATCATGGATTTTACGACATGGCCAAACTCAAATCAACACAAATTACGACCAGGTTGGGTCACCACCTCGAGATGATGATGCTGACGGAGGAGCTGCTTAATAATGCGCCCCAAGCGGATGATCAGCCGCGATCAAGACGGCCGATCCGATCCACCGCCACAACGACCCTGTCGGTCTCGAGCCTCGACTCTCTCTACTCACACTCTCTCCCAGTCTCCCCCATCGCAGTCCTCTTCTTCGCCTAGATCGCGTTGCTTTGGTGTGCTTCCTGCATGTGGTTGCTACCTTCCGAGGTTTCTATTCTGAGTCTCGGCTTGCACCCAATATGCTCACACTGCCCTTGTTGGTCGTGGCTTTATTTTTGCAAGTCAAGTTCCCCTTGCTGCCGGGCCTGAGAGACTTCCTCTACGGCCTCATCCTCCTCAGTGCGTGCAGCGCGATTTTCTACCCACCCGACTCCAGGGACTTCATCAGATATACCAATGCATTTCTCTCCACCTCCCTGCTCATCCGCGCTGTGGAACTACTCGTTATCCGGAACCTCAGCCACGTGAAGCGTCTGCAAAAGGTGTCTTATTTATCCTCTTCGCCATTGTATGCATGGGAGCCTCTATCACCTACACTGGGGCTAAAGCGCTTCCGCCAGGTCTGTGACCTAGCCATCAATCCCCGCGCCATCGGCTGGAGCTACGGCTCTCCCAAGTACCAGCCGCCACTCCGTAAGGTTGAGGCCCCGGACGGTGCAAATGGGTGCATCCCCGAATACCAGAACATCGCTCTAGTGGCAGGCGGTGACCGCTTCTCATTCCTGTCGAGCAAAGTCTGTAGGGCTGTCGTCGCCTATGTCTTAATAGACTCGTACCAGGCGGCCATTGGGCGGAATTATCCTAGTGCCTGCGAGGGCGTAGCGGCATTCCTGACTGGTGTGCTGGGCATCCAAGCAACTTCAGCCACCAGCGAGATGGTGATGCAACTGTGCATTCTCCCAACCGTTAGCTGGATGATATCTTACGCCTTTGTCGATGGGACCCATGCCCTTGGGGGCGTGTTCTCAGTCGGTATCCTGCGGATCCTTTCTCCTCAGATCGCCGGAGAACCATGGATGTACCCACCTGTATTCGGCGCCATGCGATACATGTTCACCTTTAGTTTACGAGGCAAGTACCCGTCTCTCAATACTCCAACCTACAACTAATCCATCCTATCCAGACATCTGGGGCAAGATGTGGCACGACCTCTGCCGGCGGCCATTTCTGGCCTTATCCCTAGCTCTTATCCCAGAAACATGTCCAGTGGTATTAAAGCGATTCCTCGTCGTCTGTATCTCCTTTGCCGTGTCCGGCATAGTCCACTCTGCTGGGACTTATGCCGTTTCGAAGGACTGGTTCGCCGTCGGCATGATGATGTTCTTCTTTTGCAGCTTGCCTTTCTTCATCGCCGTGCAGCAGATTATTTCCGAGCAACTTCTGCCGCGAACACTACCTCGCAACAGTAGCGTCTCTCGATGCGTGATCTGGCTTTTTGACGCAGCCTTCATCATGGCTTGGGGCCATTACACCAGCCCCTGGTATCTCAAATATAGCAAACTTCCCGAAGCTATGGCGTCAATTCCCCTGCCGTTCAGCTTGTGGAAGATGTTGCTCAACGTCTAACACCTGTGACTATAAGAGTTGTTTGAGTTCTCCGGTAGGCTCAAATTAGAAGGACGGCGCCTATTGTTTCACCAGATACCTCACTTCATTTGCATTTAGTTTCGTATAGAGCGAAGGAACGATACCACACGCATTATATTTCTGTCTGGGCTTGGTTTGAAGCGATTCATGTTAGAGGTCATACGGGAATACATTTTCCCTGACTCGGGGAGTGAGGAAGCATCTTGTTTCATGTACCTACATCGGTCCTGCTGCACATACTGAAGGCACCGATGTGTGTATGAGATCAGCCTAGAGGCGTCCACCATTCTGTGCACTGCACAATATGTCTATAATTATATAATGTCAATATCCCTGTCCACATGCTAATGCCGTACAAGGAGGCGCGGACTCTAAGGTCAGGCCTCTTTGACTGACTCCTTACCCATGCTTCTCATACAATTTTCATACATTTACCCGAGCAAGGAAATGGATATCCTGCTAAACCTTTGCCACACTGCCGAGACTAAAAAGGCCTTCCCTCTGCAGTGCCACATTTAGGGTATATGCGATCGCACTCAAGTTTCAGACCATCCACCAATCCTGGAGTACCCTACTGTACTTGTAAGTGGTCCAATGTAGTACCTTAGAAGAGTATAACGATGAAGTATGTGAATCTATCAGGCGAGGATACATAGTATCTATTTCGGTGTTGTTGACGCACGGACATCCGGGACCACTCAGCGGTGGCGCTGTATCTAATTGGTCAAGCTCATTCTCATCCTCGCAGGTCTCCTTAACTATTTGTCAACGGTTTCCGAACAGACGCTTCCACCACACCTCCGCCAACTCAACGCTACCTCCGCCAGAAACCCCAATCGAATATTCGCTTTCGCAGCCATGATGCCAATCATTCATCCCTCATCGGCTTAATTACCTACAGGGAAGAGGAACAATGCTCTACAACGCCCTCATTCGAACCCACCATATCACCTCCCGCAAAAAGGTCTCGGCGTTGAAACGTGCGGCCGATATCCACAACTGCTTCGTGCTTCTTCGCTCCGGAGGATGTCCCGGGATCATGTACGTTGAAGCAAAAGACCTAGGCGCTGTCGAATCGTGGGTAACTGTCGTGCGAAAACTGCGGTATAAAGATTTCCAACTGGCCACCCGCCCGGGACCATTGTACGACGAGAATCAACAGGAAACCCGAGATCAGACACAAATACCCAAAACGAGAAACCAAGATCCAAGGGCTGGGGTCTCCGAGGTCGAATCGGTGAAGGAGTTTGGGAGTCTGATGGAACAGCGTGGTGTCTGGAAATGGTGGAGAAAAGGAATGGGATACGTAAGCTGATGGAAACATCGGCTGTGTATACGGAGGCCATTCTCTCTGGTTCAAGTCAATGAATAGCTTTGCCCTTCTACGAGGGCTGCCAGACCCATCAGCAACAAAATTAGATCCGGCAGCCTTTCGGATCTATGGACTGTGCAACCCGTCACCACGATTGACCAGGACCAGATTATTCGGTTGCAATTTGCCAATCACCTACATGTGGATTCTAATATGTTCGACTAAGCAATGCTTGGCCATCTACAATCGCTGAACATGCACACCACCAACTCTTACTTAGCAACCACAGCGTCAAAGGTATTTACACGAAATCCACTATCAGCTCAAAACGTGGGAGCCCAGCTCAACCATGCCAGTGTGAACCCGGTGGTCCAATTACCGGGTTATGGCCACCGGGCAACCTTGCAATAGGACCGTTTTGTCCAAATTCGTCGTTTGGTGGAGCCACATCCAAAGGCTGCGTCATTGGAGCTACGGCTCTCTTTTGGGTCCTCGTTATCGAGCATTCGGGATCGGTCAGTCCATTTGGGCCTGTACACGTATCCATTGCTTGCTGCAGAGCACTCTGGTCGGTCCAGCCATACATGAAATCTCCGTGCAGGCCATATCCAGTTGGGTCACCCATCGCATATACCCAGTTGCGGTAGTCGGGAAAGGGCGCTGTATTGAAAAAGAATTCCAGAAAAATGGAATATATCGCAACGGGATGAGATTCTGGACAAACACCCTTGTTATAGTCTCCTATCACCGGATACGCCATCTGCACCTCAATGTCAGCATGCACACACATCGGCGCAGAGACCTGCACACATACATGGCTCTGATGATCTTGACTGTCAAGATTCTCTCCATCCCAACAAGATGGCATAAACACCTGGGATCTCAGCATCTCACATGGTCGCTGAGGAAGACCTTTGGTCTCGTTTGAGCTCCCATCCTGCCCGATGCACATATGACTGATCGCGCGTTGGGACCAGTCCGAATCGTTATATGTCCTTTTCATAGCCATCAGCAACCAGTGCAATCCACCATTCAGAAAGAGTCAACAAACCGAAGACGCGGATTCCCCGCAACCATTCTCAGTCCCTCCGGCGGCGCTAACGCAAACTGCGATTCATCGCAAGCCGTCAACCCAGCCGTATAATTGCATGCTCGATTAAAGTAATAGATACTCTAATCCGTCAGTCAGGCTGCGTCAATTCTAAATTTTATCACTCAGCATAACCTACACTTGACTGATACTCAATGAGCTCAAACGACCCATTCCGCCTCCAATGATAGAGCTGCGGAATCCAATAATTGCTCTTGTCAATCGCCACCCCACATGTCGTATCCCGTGCATTCTGCGCCGTGCTCTGATTCATTGTCCTCTGGAATGCCGTCCCCCCCGCAACGACATGTGTATGTCCGGACGGCTCTCCAGGCGTAACAATCGGATCCGACAACTGAGTCGTCAATGGCACACAACTGAACGTGAACTCATCCGTCGTATGTAAAGCCCCGATCACCGGTCCGCAGAGCATCAACAGCAAATGCAGAGCTGCAACACAGCCACGAGGACGATTCTGCATGGTCAAGTCACAAGAGTCCTTAAACAACCGCATAACTTCTCTTCGTGGACCTGTCATACGAAGACCGTCGTGCCGTGCAACCCTCAGTTTCAGAAACAAAAGCCTACGTATGAACCAGGCAACTCCAGAAACCCCATTATATATCCCCCTCAAAAACGAGTACATACCTCAACTCAAACCCTTCCCATTAGAAGTTCCTATCTACATAGTACTTCTGACATCCGCGCGTCCACATATACACATAACATTCCATAAAGCAAGGCATCAGTGTCACATACCACCCACCAATGACCCCGAACAATGTCGGTTATTTACTCCGGCTGTACACTTCCTGTTCCCACTCCTTTACTTATCTCCTGTCTAGTAATAAGCTTACTCCAAGTTATTTAATCCATCAAACACTACTCCGTATACTCCCTATACTCCGTACATTGATCCCTCGAAATTCCGATGAAAGAAAGCCCCATTTATACAAAACCCACACCCAACAATACCATCTGAGCAAACAAACCTAAGGCCATACTGCTATACTGATAATAGATATATAATGGTAGTACCTTTGTTACTTCAGCCTAAATCTACATTCAAAGACTCAGTTCTAGATATCTAATGAAAAAATCCCCATCTAGGGCCTGAAATATCCGATGATTGCACTTATGTATGTTCTTTCACCGCTGGGAATTCCATTGAATATATCATGAGGGTATTATTGGAGTATAGTACTACCATTTATCGTAGACATTGTGCTTCCTAAGGAAAAGTGGAAGGGTTTGGCGGGGGAGGTCAATCACTTGATAATATATATATACTATATATGTATGGCGCTGGGATGGCTTGTTGACTGGTTGTGTTGTGGAGATGGTTTGGAATTTGGTTGCCTGAATGTATAGTAGTAATTCTATGCTTCTTGTGTACCTACAGGGAAATAAGTACGTCACAGGAGTGCTGCTCTAGAAGTGTGAGGATCTATGTCAGAACCCTTGGTGGTTCTTTAAGAGGTTTGCAGGTCTACTATATCAAATTGCAGCCATGCTTTGACTGATCGACTAGGAGTCTTCAACTGATGTTGTAAACTTGCTGTGCTTGTTATTTTGGTCGCGTAATACAAACGCTCAGAATGCAGCGAGGGAAATGCTTTGCTTGCCGAACACCGAAATCACCCGGACCTAACCGCTAGAAGCTTATTTGAACCCTGCAATCCCTGATGACGTGACTAATAGATACCTGATTTTGCATGCAGCATGGCAGATAAATCAAAGGCAGATTCCATGCCTAATGTCATGCCATTGACATCCGTCGGACCGGGCACATCGGTGGATCGTCCATGCCCAGGTCATTTCCGTGTCCAGTGGAAGCTCATCCAGGAATAGAGATGTCAGGCCACTGGCACACCCATAATGTGTTGCAAGACCGGCCTTTCAATCCCAGCATAGTCAAACTCGCACGGTCGCGCCCATTTCGCGCTCCATGTGAAGATGCTCCACGCCACTTGCTATCGTGGATTGGAAGACAGTTTAACCAATCCACGGTACCTCGACATCCTCGACAGTCCATTAGGCACGACAGCAGGATATACGGAGGACACCTTAAAATGTGATCCAGGTGAGCCGGGTCTTCATGGCCGAACGCATCTTTTGGACATCATCATTTATACGGTCAGATATCAACACAACGTCATTTGTTGAGAGGCACGGCCGATCTTGCTACCGAACGTGGTCAAGCCTGGCTTGAATCGTCTTTTCATCAAACCGCCCATCGTCGCCCTCATAGTTGCGAAGGGCTTCAGAAAACATTAAGCGACGCGGTGCTTTTCGTCCCGTCATAAGCTCAAACTGCGGTATCGCTTGCTCAACCACATTGTCGAGTCCATCAACCAACACCCAGGGACGCCCGGTTTCGCTCCGGATGCGACGCATTTGGCGCAGCAGGGGCGTGTCCAAGGGTTTGTAAGCGAACTAAGCATCAAAAGTTAGCCGTGAGCTTGTATTCCTGCCAAAGAAAAAAGAACTGACCTCAAGAACCACACCGCCAGTAGGGCTCCCCAACCACTGCATAGGCATTTCAAAGTTCGCTGGGGGCTCGTCCGCCTCCCAGTCAGCAGGCACGCAGGATGCGATCATACAAGGGGGACAGGCATCGTCAGGCCATTCATCCTTCAAGGACTTGAGCACATGCACCACTTCAGTTGACTCCACTTGTGACGCAGCCCATGAGTTGAAATGGAGAGCTACGCTCTCCGCTCGTGACAAGGTCCTATTATATATGAAAATCTTACGGCATCCGAGCCGGAGCATGGCGTAGATGGCGGCGCGAGCCATCCCGCCCGCTCCTATCACCAGCCCTGTAGTCTTCGATGGACTGATGGCATTGCGTGGCGAGAGATTACGGTTGATGCAGGTCATAATGCCAACCCAATCCGTATTCTCACCGTACCATCCTAGGACAGGTCCGGCCTGGTTACGGCGACTTGCCTGCTCCTGCAGAGGAAACATGGACCCATCGGCACGCGCCCGCAGTGGCACGATGGTGTTAATCGCACCTATCGCCTCAACGTGGCGACTCTTCGCCGCGAGCTTATGGGACAGTTGTACCCTCCACGGCTGGACGACACTGGATCCTCCAAAATGCGAGTCCCTGCCTAGCCGATCCATGATCGCAAGTGACGGTGACTCTGGGATTGTATAGGTATGGCTCATACCACAATGGCGGAAAGCGGCATTATGCATCGCTGGGGAAAGACTGTAGGCGACGTTGCCTCCAAGAATGAAAAATTGGAGCGGATCCAGTACATAACTCTGGAACAAAGCCTGAACTGCATCGCGAGATGTGATCTGAGGGTCCCGCCCGTTATCAGTGGTCCGTTCAATCGCTGGGTGTGTTACGGAGGTGAGAATGGAATTGAACACTTGAGAAGTCCGCCCAAGGCTGCCAATGTTGTATGCTATTACCGGTGGATGGTCGCCAGACAAGGCATGGACCTTGTTGGTGAACTTGAGGACTGCTGCATTATCTTCGCGTGTTGTAGCCACCCGAAGAAAACGGACGAGCTGGCACCCCAGCTTCTCAGCCTCGAAATATAGAGAAAAGCATTCTTCACTCTCCCACGTCTCTGGAGCCGACGGTTCAAATATGCGTTGCCCAATGATTTTAGTATTTCCCCTGGTGCGAATCACCTCCTTCACGCGGGTGCGTTCCTGGCCTAAATCCACTGCCACATATTCGACCGCCAGTCGTAGGGCATGTTCCACTATGGCAAAATATGCGTTGTTCACCTGTGCGGGAGACATGTCGCCTTTGGCAATCCCTGTAGAGGATTTGTCAATCGAGATTATTATGGGTGTGCGAGCATTCCTCCGTAGTAACGCGACCTGCTTGCTGAGAATGGGTGTCGAGCCCGGGCCCCAGCGGTCAACACAGAGTTCAATGGCATCACCGCCTGACTCAAGCTCTGGTAGTTTGACAATCCCTCCCGCCAAGTCTGAGGATCGCACAAAGATCGCATGCGTGAAGGACCGAAGCTCTGGTGGGGTTTCAAGCAGAACAAAAGGCGAGTCATAGCTGGTGTGTCCCACATCTGTACCGGTCACGAAACGAACGAAGCGGGTGAAATCCTCTTTTACCTCCTTCAGCTTGAAAGAATAATCGACGCAGCGTCTATCCGGAGATCCCTCGTCCGTCTGAGCCGATATGCTGGAGCGATCCTCGATATTGTAGAACTCGAAGTTGGAGCACGTTCTGTGTAACGGGTCGCCCTCGCAAAGGAGTTTGACTGACTGGTCCTCCAGGCCTAGTAGGCTTTGTATGCGATCCATGTCGCGAACTAGGTATACAATGGGGTTGGTCGCGGAATACCGACGGAGGTGTTCTTGAACAGGGCGAGTAAGACTCCCCAGGCCGCATTCAATCACACAGCGTGAGCGATGGTTGTCAAGCATCGATTTGAGGATTTCAACATCGCGTTGCTGGAACTCCTGGCTCCCAAAGCGCTTGAGATACTCATGTCTAGTGCAACCGGTCACTTCCTTAAAATAATGGTCTTCCGTAATAAAGCGCCGTTTCAAGGCAGTGGCAGCAACGAATCCCAAAGACCTTTTCCCGCACCCCCGGATGCCCACTAGCACTAGGGAGGCATCCGGATCAAATTTGCGGCGCTTATCTACCGGGGAAGCTTTGTGCATCGCGGCCAATTACACGGATCAGTAGGCGTCCGGTGTGGTCGGTGCGGAAGCAAACAGCTCAGAATCTGAAAGCTTCGCAATTGAATAGAGATATCAAACTGTGTATCTGAAGCTGCCTAGCCAGTCCCAATTATCTGCAATGCGTCATATTCGAGGCGGCCATGGTTCAATGGGTGGGATGGGAACGACGAGCGCCTTCGATCGACGCGGAGAAGCAATAGCGGAGATATGGCGGGGGGGAAACTGATACTAGCTGTCTTGTAGAGGCGGAGAGCAGTGGGTGCTGCAGAGACGAAGGCGGTCAGGCGGTGCAGCTGGCAATGGCATGCCGGCGAGGGCTGGTCAGAAAAATGATGACGGGAAGCAGGCAGGCCGGATGAGGGGGCGTGATTGGTTTGCTACGAAGGATGACGGGACCGGAGAAAGTGTGATTATAACAGAACCAGAGACTCTCATGGCAGGAATGCTCGGTTGCGACCCTCAAGCCACCGGGCGTCCCAAAGGGTTCGCCGTGGCCAGCCGCATTGCCGGACCGTTCCATCTGCCACAGGTGACCGCCTGCCGAGGGTCTGTCGGGTAAGGACTTAGCCGGCGGTCGATCTTTATCGCGGAGCACGCCGTATACGACATAGGTTGGCTGGACTGTAACCCCGTTCCATAGGTGGCCCCTACTTAATTCGTCCCTGGAACAGCCATAATCCATAAACATGCATCCCCTTGATAAGCCAGTTCGACTCCATCCTCCAGGCAGAAACAAAACGCTGCTGTTAGTGTGTGTGATGGCCTCATGGGTGGGTAGCCCGCCAGCAAGCTGAGCGAGGAGAGAAGCCAATCGACAGAGACAGTGGCTCGTTCAGACCCGTGTCAATCTGTACCTACATCCCTCTAGGCATTAGTCTCTCGGTTGAATCACCCATTCTAACAGAATCAGACATATATGCTTAAAATTGAAATGGAGTCAAATACTAGTAGATACTGGGTGATGTATCGTTCCGTGTCCCCCGGAGGAGGGTCCCTGCACGACTCCTCCCTCGGACCCGATGAATACCCCCGAGACTGGACCTGGTAAACGGGCGGCTCATGGTCCCTGGATAGGACGTATGTCTGCTTCATCATGCAGCCGCAGGACTACCGAGTCGGGATGCCGGATCAAGGCCCGGATCCGCGAATGGTCTTATGGTGGTTACTCATAACCGAGCCATGACATGATTGACCTAGGTGCTCCGTAGTTGAAGCTTGAAGTGAAGGAAGTAGACGCTACCTACCGAGGAAGGGTGTCGGACCCCTGCCAGCGGCGAATCAGAGGCGGGAAAGGATCGGCTAGTTTGGAGTGCCACCGTAAACTAGTTCGGTGGTTTAGGCTAGATAGAATGGTTGATTCTTTTTGTTCGACAACTGTGGGGTGAAGGCGACGGCTGGTTCCCCCCCCCCCCCGACAGCCCAAGGGCCGGTTTTCGGCCATTCCAACGGCCCCGATGATTGGGTTGGTGAGTTTCGAGTTTGATAATCAGGTCAAACGGTTGGGCGGTCATATACGATCACTAGTCATAGTAATCAGGGGTTGGAGTACGCTTTGGAGAAGTGAACCCATAATTCGTCATGGGGTGAGAGATACGGGGAGGCTAAGAGGCGTGATCACTCCGGGCGATAATCCTCTAGACTGCTTATGATCAATCTACTCCAATGGCATATGATAACTGAGAATGATAATAATATGACGGCAGCAGTAACAGCTGATCGCTTAGACGGAAGATTGAAGCGATGTATTTTTGGCAGACACGTTCGCGGATGCTATTTTTGCGCATCTGGAGGGATGGGGGAGGCTGAGCATGAAGATACTATTATCAGAGATGGAGAGAGGCGGATGACGCCTGCTCCCCATGAATCCCACCGAGCCAAGACAGCGAAGGACAGCGGAAATCTCGGTTCTCCTGCATCTGCATCGTGCAGGAAAGGCCCTTGGGAGGAAAATTTCCCACACCGCGTTGTGGAGAGGTTGTGGGGATCCGGTGTGGGGCGACAGCCTCAGGCATGAGTTCTCTCTCGTTGGAAGGGGAATACCACCTTCTCCCTACTAAAGGGGAAAAAAAAGCTTTTTTCCTTGGTCAATAATTATTTATGTTATTTTATGTTATGTGATTAAAATTTTCTATTTTATTTTTGACTGAACTCTCTAGTTCACGGTAGCTCTCATCCAGTCCAATTCAAGTCCGGTCCCGACGGAACCCAAAACTCACCCGCAAAAAGTGTAGTCACTAAATCACTAACTCTGTGCTATCCTTCCTGATCCCGACCTTTTGCCCCGATCTTTCCCCCCCCCCTCTCCCGTCCTCGATCCCCGTTTCTCTGTACGTTCCTTTACGCTTTCCCGGGCCCCCGTCTAAACTTGGTTGCCTCAGGATGGGTCTGGGCCGACGTGCTCTCCATATTGGATGAACCAAGGAGAATCGCCCGCGAGACCCTGAGGTGGCTGTGGTAGCTATCGCCCGTCCAGCTTTAGACTCCTGGGATTCTTGCGTAATACTTGCCTTCGTCTCCTTCGAGCCCTTTTCCGATTGCGTCTTGAGGACCCGAAGGTTTTGTTTTATAACAGGGCGGGCATGCACTCACGGCGATAACCTTTTCGGCTTGATCCAATCCCTCCGCCGCGGTCCCTTTCTCGGCTTCCCTGGCGACTGGACTATTGTCTTTCCTCCCTCCTTCTGGTCGGTGTCCTTGCCCGGCCGACCTTCGCTCGCTACCTTTTTCCTTTTCTCTCTTGTCGCTTCATGACATGCCATCCCCGCCATAATTGACCCTCTCCCATGGACGAGGGTTCCGATTCCAAAGCCCCTCGACGGAAGAGGGTGTCGAGAGCCTGTGACCGATGTCGAAGCAAAAAGGTCAGCAAAATACCTTTCCCTTCCCTTCCTCCAGCTCGGTCTTCTCCGTGTTTCCCGTGCCTTTTCCTATTTTCCACTAGAAGCCTTCCCTTCTTTCCACTTCGATCGGTGTAATGCAGCCCGAGCTGCAGGTGCGGTGTTGTGTTGCGTTGTGCCGTGGCGTGGCATCCCGGACTCGGTGGTGGTGGTGGTGCCCTTGCATCATCGCGTCACGGCCTTGCCTGTTTCGGGGCCTTATACTTGCTTCCGTCGATCCCCTTGCACCATCTACACCCTTCTTGAATCATTTCCATTCTAACAGCAACCCCATTGTAGGACAAGTGTGATGGACTTCGTCCGGCTTGCTCTGCCTGCCAGGCCTCAGGCCAGACCTGCTCATATGATCCCCACGCAAAGAAACGCGGGCTACCAGAGGGCTATGTCCGTGGCTTGGAAAAGCTCTGGGCCTTGTCGATCTGCAATATTGATGGCTTCGAAGACACAATGCTAACTCTGCTGGGTACCACCGCCGAATCGGCTGGTCGGAGAAAGAGGCTCATGTCTCTTTGGACTGATGATGGCGCGTCGGAAACACTGCATGAATCCTGGAAAACGAGTCGCCTGTACGGTGCGCTCGAGAAGATGCTGTCCAATTCCGACCTACCGACAGACAGCTTAGGTAAACGCCCTCGGGAGGATCAGGATGACGGTCCAGGTAGTGAATGGGGATACCGCATTGACCGGAGCTCGACTCCGCTCTCTCAGGATGCTCCGCGTGTCGTTGAGCCTTCCGCTTCTCCCCGTGCTAAAAGGCCCCGGTTAGCTGCTCCCTCAGACAGTCGGGTCCCGTCATATACCCCCACTGCCACGAATGCGCTACAGTTACCACCTCAGACCTCGCAGCTGTTGGATGTTTACTTCGCCGTCACCCACTCGTGGTTCCCGATTGTCGCCAAACACAACATTCTACGAGCATCATACCTTTACGCAAGCGCGCCTCTGTCCCTTGCTAAGATGGCACCCGGTTCGGGCGACCACGCCGCGTTGTGGGCCCTGCTCAGTTATACCATTTCTCAATCTCGGGTCAACCCGCAGGACGGGGCGTTGGAAGTGCTTTCCAAGACCAAGGAGTATTATTCGGTGGCTCGGAGCTTAATCCCTTCTGAGACGGAGCGGTACGAGCTCGGACATGTGCAGGCACTGTTGCTGCTGACATTAGTGAACATCGGCTTGGAGGACTGGACTGCCTCCTGGCTGCTGAGCGGCCAGGCAGTGCGCATGGCTATTTCTATGGATCTTGGAGCTTTCACGGATGTTCGACGGTCGGATGAGTTGAGACAAGGGAAAGCGGTTTTCCTTGGTTGCTTTGTGGTTGACTCATTGCTGTCATTCCGTTTGTCAAGGAGGCCGTGCATGCATCCTCGTGATCTGACCATGGTAGGCCTTTTGGAAGAAGATGGTTTGGAGGAATGGAATTCGTGGGCGGATGTCTTGCCACCTACGGGAGCTGGACAGGGGAAGAGTCCTCCTCGTCGAGGGCCCTTACTTGCTCTAAGCTGCTTCAACCGACTAGTGGAGTTGGCTGGTGTCCTGAACAAGATTGCCCGAGACTCTACTACAGGGCCAAATGCACCTATATTCGCAGAACAGCTGGTTTTGGAACTCAAGCAATGGGATGACCGTCTGCCCCTTGGATGTCGACTAATTGGCCCCGAAAGCATTTACCCTGAGCGACACTCGGCGTTACTCCCACACCAAAGCTATCTTGGCCTAACATATGTGGCCACGCTTCTGTGGCTTTATCTGCGAATTGCCCCCCAAGAGCTTGGGTTGCACCGTTCTCAGCGGCCAGCCATCGAGGGGGCCAAAAAGCTCCTTTATAGGGCTCTTCCAATGATATCTCAACATCTCGATAACTTCCAGGTTTGCGGTTTGCCGCCCCTATTCGAGCTATCCTTGCGCACCATAGCTGAACAGGCGTTCACTCTACGCAACAAAATTGAATCGGATATGTTTCCTTTTGGGCGATGGACGGAAGCGCTTCTCCAACGGACCACAGAGCTCAGTGCAACTTGGCCGGTTTATCGTTCATTGGCCGCTTCAATCGACCACTGGTACCGCTCCAAGGATCTGCCCGGGAGCTCCTCACTGCCCTATCAAGCACCAGATCCGGGACCTGCATCCAGGGTCGTTCACAGTATAACTAGCAATGCGCTACCCCCTGGTACCATGGCGACAACACCAGCAGGGTATCCAAGTATGACCAGCGACTCTTCGATGAACCCTCACATGAGAAGGAGTGCTCCTGGAATGGGTGATTCTGACTACACATCCAGCATTATGGGCATCACCATCCCTGTAGACGGGCAATACATGACGCCAAAGGATACGGCGATGGAGAATGCCGATCTATCTATGATGGATGTGTTACCGCGAGGCCCTCGCCCCCATCCATCCACCCCTGACTCCGGTGTCTCGAGTACGATGATGTCGGGCACGGCTCCGGCTGGGATGCATGACCGATCCGTACCTTCGGGAGGCTCGGATACGGCAGAACGCCATATTGGGCCGACAGGCGACATTGACGCCATCTTCAAGGATTTGGCATATCTGGACACCACCGAGTGGACCAACGGTCGCGAGGCGGCTTTGAAGGATTTTGGGTTCATTGATGATAACACCTTCCAGGCTTTCTGTCATGACCCAGATCGGCTCGCTGGGACTCAACCGTTAGTCCATCCTCCGTCGATTGCCGATATTTGGCCGCCACCCGGGTTCTTCCCGGAGACGTTCCGTGAATCTAGGGAGGATGTGATGGAGGGTTGATTGGCACATTGGAGACTGTTCTACTATCCCTGATTATCACGAAATGTGGAGGTAAAATACTTTCACCAGCAGCTTACTCCTGCTCCTTATTACCATAGGAAGGAAACTGTTCCGGCTGTTTTCCCGTTTTTGCCATGTATGGATGGTGCTGCCACGGTATCCTCCCGATCATGTCAAAATGGGCATCATCCTGCAACCCATTACCTTTTTCTCTTCCCTCTTGTTCCTTGTTGATGATACCCAATGTAAGTGTACAAAATAGCGCTCTTAACTAGCGATTGTCGCTCGCAACGCTGACGCTCTTTGCTATAGTCCAAAAAATCCCAAATGCAACAGGGAGTTCAGGTTTATAGGTATATAGGTGTTGGTCTGTGGCTCCCAAACTCATGAGACATGAATCTATTTGTCCCATTTCTACCCGCTCAACCGAATACTAGCATCCATCCGTTCTTCCCCCTTCAAGACTAGATAACGCCCAGTAGTGACGTAGCATTGAACACAATGTGATCCGGCTATGGGGCCGCCCCCAAAGCACGGTCTTCCTCCACTAGTAGCGTACTACTAGATGGCTACTAATCTCCACCAGCGATTAGGCACCGACACTTCCCCTGGTCCCCAGCAGCCTCCCACAACCTATCATCCCTGGATAGCAGCAATCAATATTAATCTACGGAGTATTCGATTTCCAATTCCCATCTCACCGACCTATCATCTACCTCCTATTATGCACTATGTACTATGTAAATATGTCTCGGGTCCTCCATCCACGCTCACGCCGCATCTAACCGCGATACTAGAGTAGTAGTGCTTACCCACCGTAGGCGACAGCCATAAGGAACATAGATAGGGAGTGGTGAATGGGTCATTAGGTATCAGCTAGCCATTTCCTAGTACATATATTTACATATACATACATAATACAGGGGGGAAGAGAGAGAGAGAGAGATAGCTGCCTACTACCTTAGTCGCACTGCGGGGCGTCAGCCCCAGTGGGATTGGTTTGTGGTCTTGTGTTCTTGTCCTTGGTTGGTGCATCAAATAAGTTAGCTTGGATTGCAGTAGAGAGGGAGAAAAGGGACTTCGGATTGGTTGGTAGGTCAGGTGTATCTTGTTGGATGGCTATCGTGCGGTGGTAGTTGTTGGTCTTGGTTACTTCGCTAGAGGTCAGGTTTGTATATTCGACTGAGTTAGGATTCTTTAAGGGGGAGAGGAAGAGGACTTTATGGTATGATCGCTGCTGAAGGGGCCGTGGTTAAGTTATTTGGGTCCTTCTGTTAAAGAATGATATGATTGATACTGACAGAAACGTGTCCATACGGGTGGTGCTACTTGATGTAGATGCGCTAGGTCTAGGGATGGACGGTATGCAAAAGATTAGAGCCTTTATTATACGGCCATCAAGAACGCCCACGCAGAACCAAAGACCAAGGTGAATAACGCCAAAACATGAGAGGATGTCCGGTCCCCCAAAGGCACTCACGGCCCACGAGAAATGAAGAATGACAGCCCCCGCCTTAACCCTTTTATCGTCAACCCAGCAGCCAGCAGCACAAGAAAGGAAACTCAGAACGCCTCGGCCCGTCTTCCTGGTCATATATTGTATGAAAAGATGCATGAAAGATTCGCAGTAGGAAATGAAGTGCATTAAGTCGTAAGCCCCGCTCTGTGGACCAGCGGATGGTTCCAGGAGCAATCGCAATCATCGCCGCCAGCCGACGTTCCATATCACATGTGCAATATCCTTGGCCGTATTGACGGTATCCGCCACACGGTCAAAGATACTAGCACTTAATGGTTCATCTTCATTTGGTGTAGATCCCCCTGGAGACATGGAGTGAAAGTAATAATCGAGCTCTTCATCATCTTCCGGGTTGACAAACCAAGGACGGCTTAGACTACCCAGACCGTATGATTTTCGGCTTGGTTCCCAATCGAAAGCTAGATCATTATCTTCTTCATCTAGAAGGAAATTGGCAGATGGCGCGGGGGCCCGGGTGGACTTCACGGATCCGGACGAAGAGGATGGAGTAGATTTCGAGAAATAGCTAGACCACCGATCCATTATTGAGCTTGCAGGGGGTTGTGGCGTGTCCCGTCGGTTCTCTGGGGTGTCTCGGTGTTCGGGGGCTACTCCGCGGTGGTCTGAAACGTCCCAGCGATACTTGAGTGTGGTAGAAGGTAGTGGAGCAATGGTTTTGTTTTCGCCAGCGAAGCCGCCACGAGGTGTACTTTTGTCGCTGATGGATGTGTCGGAATGAATCTGTTTCATCATCATAATACCATCCTCTGATGACTCCTCATCAAACGGAACCGGCCATCCATCGTCTTCCTCTTTCGCCTCGACGGCAATACACTGCACTACCTCATTATTGAAGTGAATATGCCGTCTTTCGCTAGGCGACCCGATGCCTGACGATGAGGTATTGGTAGCGGTGCCATTGGCCGATTCCCCCACGAGTGTGGCGGACGATTTGTTGAGCACCTGCCCAAATTCTGACGGACATCTCTGGAATGGGGGACGGTTCCGATTGGTCTCGGCCTCTTGAGCTTTTAAAATGGCTCCAGCATGTTGCAATAGTGTATGCTGGGACAAAGAGCGCTGCAAGATGGTCTCGGAGGCTGTCCGCTTTTTCAAGATGGGTTTCCTATCAAACATGGTAGGTGTTTCCAGACAGCTTGGAGGCGGCGAGCCGTTGGATGGCTTCTCATGCCTAGCACACGTTTTCAAAGGCCCGTACAACCACGTCACATCACAATCCTTCAGCCTACAATGGCCGTTAGTATAGATTCAATGGAAATGACCTGTGTACGCTGGGCCTTGAGTCTGGGGAGAACCAACCAGTTAAGGGCCTCCGGTGACACTGTGCCCAGATTGAGTTTAAGTTTTGCCCATGTCCTCCACGAAGCATTCTCTAACCTCACCCCATTGTCATAGACGTTCCTTCGAGCAACCACATAACGCCACGAGGCCCAGATATCCTCCTGTCGCCACTCGTGAGAAAGGTAATCAACATGCCTTGACGGTTCATCCTCGATTGTACTATCATCAGCAGCTGGTGCCTGCGTGAAACGTTGAATGTCGGCCGATGAGTCAACAGAGACATCGCTCAAGGCCTCTGGTTCCTTCTGGTCGAATTGACTGGAATCGTACGACGGCAGGACCAAATCACCGTCCTCTTGATCCTCACTCATAAGCGAAAGACTGCTAAGAGTCGTAGGCGTAGGAGGGAAACGATCCACGGCTGCAATGGTGAAGTCTGGGGATGAAGAATCTGAGCGCGGCGGAGGGGGCGCAGCATCATCAGGGCAGCCCCTGTGATGAAACTCGGGGACATTGAACTTCGCCGTGGCGATGCTGGGCTCTTCAAGAAAGTAAGTCTGAGTGATTGGACATCGCAAAGGATCTGAAGAATAGCGCGAGCGCCCCTCATTCGAGGCGGGAAGTATAGCCGTCATCCTAGCAGTGCAGTCAAGGACATAAGGGGAGGCTGCGAGTAAAATGGAGGGCTGGGATGCAATTGATCGAGAGGAGCAGTCTGGAGTCCAGCCAGAAGATGAGAGCGTCAAGGGCACACACCGAGGTCTAAAGATGGCGACGGAGTGCTGAGATCATGGTACACGATGGAGTAGGACAAAGCAGGAGTCAACCTTGATTGGCAGCATATATGAAGGGCAGCTAAGACTTTAAGAGCGATTGTAGGGCGAAAGGGCTAGGGAGGTGTCGGGGAGAGCCATCAATAACGTGTGATATGCAGAGTTATTAACGGCTCTAAACAAGCCCCTCGGAGGGGGTGGAGAACGTCTTTGCTCGGTCGCACGAAAGGATCGGAAACTTGGATGGCTCGAAGCTAGATTCAGATGAAAGGTCGGGAATAAACCAGCGTGCAGAGCAGGGTGAAGGGCAGGGCAGGAGACGTAAAGTCACGGCCACGGGAAGCGGCGGGAAACCGGAAATACCCTCTCGATCGCGAGTCAGCGATAGTGGCGAGTGGAGATGCGATTATGCATGGGGGGGGGGGCGGTCGACCGTTGTTTTCCCTCCCAGGTCAGTTCCTTGAGAGTTCGCGAGTCTTAGATACCCAACGTAGGGGGAAGGGCGGATTGAGGTTCACAGAGATGGTTAGAGACGCAGGGTACCGCGTCGACGGCTTGGCAAGGAGGATTCTGGAGGGTCGATCACGATTGACGTACGCGTGGGTTTTAAAAGTACGAAAGGGCGCCGTATCTTGTAAGGGTGACAGGGATGCAGTTATCTCCTTCGTATCTCCCATCACATCGTACCTAGGAACGGATACCTCCCAGAGAGGCATCAAACAGGGTCGCACCACGCCTGGTATCTGCTGGTATCTACTCGTAGACAGAATACGTTTCGATCGTTTGCCACCAGCCAGTGGGTGAACCAACTCAAAGAGTGATCATGACGACGGTACCTCGAAAGGAAAAACCGGACGAGTGGGGACCAAGCTGCAGCGCTAGGACATGTCTGACTAGCCTGGAGCTATTTTACCCTTTCTTGCCTAGTGCATCTTGCACCGCTCAGCGCTGGTTGGCTGGTATTGTCCTGGTGTAACTCTCGTGGTGCATGATGGTGGAGCGCATCAAGCAACGGGCATTCAGCCATTGGCTGGTGTGAGGTGGGGTTGGCCATTCTTGACACACGATCCAGAGCCAGCCTCATGAAGCAATGTTCCTCGGAGGTAGAAGGTTCGATGGTATCTTAGTACGCGGTGTCTGGACAGGAGGTAAGTATACGCTACAGTACGGAGTACAGCCTCGGATCTATACCCATACATAGCGCCAACCCCTTTACTTTTAGTGCTGCGACCGGAGTCTAGAAGGACTCCGAAACGCCTACCCGCGCTAATTCTGCACTGTCGGGGATAGTGGTGGGCACATACTTCCATCCGGTTTGGCCTGTGGAGGGACGTGCGACGCCCATCCTGGGATGACAGATCGGTGGCCCTGCCTAGGGACTACCAGCTAAACAGCTAACCAACTATCGTGGACATCATCATAATATCATCCCCATGCCGTCTGACGTCCTATCCCAGCACATCTCCGAACACATTGTATCTGACCGGCCGGCCGGCCGACCGACCCATCGGCAGTTGATTCCCGCAGAATCTCTCCGAGAATGATGCGATACTGATAAGGTAACAAACAAAGAACTCGAAAGTCTGTCTCTCCTCTCTTGCCCGATTTGTTTTCTGGGGGATCTCCGCACGGTCGGTGGGAGTCCAGATCCCAATGCGCGACCGTTGCTCGTTCATTCCGGGGCACCCGCAACCAGAGCCCATCCCACGCTCCCCCCGATTCATGACCGACCTCTCCAATCATTCTGTGGACTATGTAATAGTACATATTTGTCTGCTATCTAGAGACTCGATGCCCCGATGTCCCCCAGAATGCTGTCGGTTCCCCTGTGAATCATACACTTTCGCGTCTGTCCAATGAGATCGTCGCTGAACGCCGGTATCTCGGGAATGGGGAAGTCTCCGCCGAAAACGTTCCTCGGGATAACACGGGACGTTAAACCCATCCTCTTGGTCGAAGGACCTGGCCGATTACTACGTTGCCTCAAACGTAGAATGCATGCACGGATGTTTTGGTGCGATGGCCTGCATGCGCATCGGGCCAGAACTGCGTACTACCACGCTGACAGTAATGTTCTACATATGGCCCTATCTCTAGTTACTACCACCACGCCCAAGGTTGATGGGGTGGATCCCCTTCGTTTCCATCCTGTTGGCTTTTGGAGGACGAGGCACGGACGTAGTCTGGGTGCTAGAAGCCTAGAACCAGATAGTAACAGCTGGACAACTCTACTCCATAGTTGTCCACAACCTATCTACTATGTACATAGACTATGGAGACTTCTAGTAACACGCAGGTCCCTCTGTCTGTTGTGGAGCACAGAGATCCGAGCGCCTGGCATAAACGCTCACCGGAGCCAACACCAATTCTATCATCAATCTATGCTTTTCCGTCTTGTTACCGCGGGGCAACTCTCTGGGGAATCGACAATCACTTGGGGTTTCAGAGCCCCGGCGTATCATGATATCCAGAACTTCTTCTTTGAAAGGGCTGCCAATCAGTCTACTACTATGCTTCCAGTCCAGACATTCCCGCCTTGAGCAATCCGGAGCCAACGACCAAAGTACCTTCTTCGCGGGGGCGAGTCTTTTAGATGACACCCACTTAGATCCATTGATCCGCGCTTAGTGCCCGTTTTGGGGCACTGAGATGAGCAGTACTAGTACTACCTACAGTCTACTTAACACAGTATATGTCTGGTTCCGGGACACCTTCTACATCTCCCTCATGAATAGCGCCTCGGTCATATCCGCCCCCTATCTACGCGTCTTCTGTGGCGTAGTCAGCGCGCAGGGGAATGGACCCTTATCGCTCAGGGCAGAAAAGGAGTGGATGAAATAATCGTGTAATTCAGAGTGGCAGATTGGCACCAGAAAAGCCCATGAGGCGGCTCGATGCATGTCAGACAATCGAGGGCAAGGATGACGGATTCAAGATACGGAGGCGGTCCACGCAAGGACCTCCCCCACGAGGGGCTCTTCGGCGCTTCTCTTTGGTCGGTCGGCGCATGCGGTCCCCAGTGACCAAGCAGCAAACAACCACGCCTGCATGTTGGTCCCGTCAATCCCTACGACGGCATGGACCGTGCCCATTGTTCGCCTACCATCACCCACCTATTTTTGCGCTTTGCTAGATACTCGATCGTACTTGGTTAATGAGCTCCGAGTACCATCCCCTCCTTATCATCACTTACGTCGCTGTGAACCTAAAGGACTCACAGGCCCAATCTAGATCCCCAAGCTTGACTCCGACCCAAGGTACCGAACTGGAGGGATTAAAGGGCCTATCAGGGCCTATCAGGGCCTATCAGAAAAGTTATAATTAGTGCCATTCTTGCATGAAAGCGCCACGGACAGCCCCGACTATCTCAGCACCAACCGGAGAGAGATGATCAAGCCAGGACGTCGATCAGTCTGGCCCGCTTCCAAACGCGGGGTGCGATCGAAATACGAAAACCCAACGATCCCGAATTCGCATCCAGCTCGTTCACTCTTCCTCTCGATCCGTCTTCATCCCCACGTTGGTTTTCAACGATGGTCGGCTCCGGATCCTGAAAATGTTTGGATGTTTGCATTTAGCTGGGGTCGTGCGTGCTGCCTCGGGCCTTTATCGGACATTAGTCCGTCGCAAGCCGCTCACGACAACGCTATTCTTGAAGAAGCGCCGGCTGTAAATTGCGTCCAGGCAATCTCACTGACGTGTCTCGAAGACAGTCGGTACCTGTGCACCCGCATCACCCTGGTTTGGCTGTTGGACCGTTCACTGGTCCTAGGCTACTGGAGGTGGATAGCACCTGTTTGTTAGAGGGGATGTTAGATGCGGGGATGCAAACGTTCAACCCGATTGGACCCGTTAATTCCCTAGCAGACAGACGGTCTGTTCTGTCTGGCCCTGCGCAGAACCTCGCTAGTACTTCGCTAGGTCAGAGAGGCGGCCACTGCGAGGGCAGTAACTTGGCTCGCGCGGTTTGTCATGTTGGTGGATCATCAACTGCGCTAGCAACTGACAGGTCTGGGTTCGAATCATGCGTTATTTCAGGGGTCTAGAACAAGGAGCAACGGGGCAACGGAGTAACGGGCTTCACTAGTCGGTAGGTGAGTGCCATCCCCTCCAGCCCTCACTTCCAATATGCGCACAATAGCTGTCGAGGACCGATAGGAGACCATCGCTTATTACGTATTGAAAGTTGCCTCTTTCCAGGGCTTTCCTGAGAACATCAAGTGGCCTTTATTTCAGTGCTAATGCGCCATACCCTGCTCGTGTTTGCGTATCAATGCATACCCGATCAAGGCCTATCTTTCATTCCACACGTCATTACTTCTTTGGCTTCTCTTTCGTGCCCTTCCTGATCGATGACTAACTGGGTGGATATCATGATACAGCTTGCGATTACGTGCTTGTCTTATCAAAAATGGCTTGCCGCCGGAAGGGACATAAGATTTAATCCTAGCTTGCTCACGGTTGGTTAACAGGGCAGTCATCCAAGGCCTGGCTAATGCCAGACTGTAATGTGGGACGCGGCAGGTGCAGTCACTCTAATCATTAACCCCAATAACCATTAGAGGTGCTACAGTGCCAAGTCACTCATACATAAATGTGAGATGGCGGTTATGAGCTCGCAAAGCTCTTTGAACAATTGCCAATCAACATACAGATAAGGAGCATGTTCTGGGATTGCCTCTACTTCTCCAGCGTTGCATGCATGCGTATTTTCAACGATACTTTGCCTCTTAAGGAGTGGCGATGCCCACCTTGCCGGCCTCGCGAAGCCTCAGCTTCATTGTTGTTTAACACTCGAAGCTTGAAGAACACATTAGAGCTGCTCTCGAACGTCTACCCCGTTTGCAGCTGCCAAAGGGCCTAGCGTAGCAATTCCAGTGAGTTTAGTTTAGGAATCAAACCAGGATGAGCGTGTTGACTCAATCACTCTCAATTGCCACTGCTCCTTATTTCCCCATACATTACGGAGTGATATCTCCTTTTTGGCGATTCTACTGTCTGTGGCGACTCCACTTGTGTAACAGACGTCAGGAGGTCAAGCAGCAAGCTTTGTCCACGATGTCCTGCGACTACCCTGCCTGTTAAGGTGCGTGAACTCGAATACCCGGCGAATATTCTGTCCAGTAAGCTTCTACTTATGAGACATCATCTTGCTTTCCTCAGAGGTATAAGCAACGGCTCTAGGGGTTTGAATACCCAGCGATGTATGCAACGTAGCCCTGATATGGTCTTTCACCACAGGAGCATCCGACAGATGCTATGACACGAAGTTGTACCTTGCCTGGTCCCTGCATTATTAGACATCTCGCCATGAGAGCATAACTAATGCTTTCTGTTCCTCCAAATATCATTCCAAATCACCATCTTGTCCAAAAAGCACCAAATCTCCCATATGTATACAAATCACATGACACCTCCGTCTCCTCGCTGTAAGCGGTTAGCCCCATCCGCCGCCGGGAATACATACTCCCAGTCCGACCCCGCGCCCCTCGACAGCACGCGGGACACTGCGACGAGATTTTGTCCGCGATACAAAGATTCTTGAGCTTCTTGTAGTCACTATATACACGAAACGACCACAGGACTCCAACCCTCATATATACAATAATGGCGGACGTTGCGCAGCCAGTTCCTGCTGAACCGCAGGCAAAGCATATTGTATATTGTGGAGGTAAGTCAGGCAACTTGTGACGCAGGAATTGAGTCCAGGAGATAATCACCTGTTATATCTCTTCCTATATTTGGCTTCTCCTAGCTAACGGAAGCTTTTTAAATAGTCTGCACACTGCCCCCAGAGGTATGTGGCATACACTTCTTTGAATTCCCCGGCCTTGCGAACCCATCATCTAAGCGGGGTAAACGGCGCGCAGCAGACATAGCTAACCTGCCCAACTCCAGTACTGTGAATTCGGTGGAACGGCGAAGAAATGTGAAGATTGGTTAAAGGACAGTCATCCGGATATGTATCAGCAGTTATATTCGGAAGGTTTGTGTCGCCTCTTCGCTGCGAGGATGTAATGGTGTTGTGTGTGTATGGGTGAGCTGACTGGTCTTGGTGCTGTTTGATAGAGGCCCTCAGTACCAATCTTTCTACACTTTCGGTATCGGCTCGTGAGCGTGCAGCTAAGGATGCGGCTAAGAAGGAGGCGAAAGCGGCGGCTGCAGAAGCCCGCGATGCTGAGCGGAAGGCGGCTTCCAAAGTACAGATCAAACGGGTCGAGCGCAACAAGCGTAAACATGTTACCGTCGTCACAGGCTTGGATATATACGGGCTGGAGAATAAGAAGGTGGCGAAGGACCTCGGAAAGAAGTTCGCGACCGGTTCTTCTATGACTAGGTCCGCTGGTGGCACTGAGGAAATTACGGTGCAGGGTGATGTGAGCGAGGAGATTAAGGAGTGGCTGTTGGAGGTATATGGAAAGGAGATCCCAGAGGCCAACATCGAGCTCATCGAGGACAAGAAGAAGAAGAAAGCGGCAGAGCAATGAATGAGTCATACTACCAGGTGACAGAATGGGCGCATAATGTACAAAATTCTATGCTTGGGGACCCTCTGGGTATTATGTCATTATGGTTTACATATTAGATTGATGGAGACGCGACAGTCTCGAGGCTGGCCTTGAAAGTCGTCCTAAGTCTCAAAACAAAACCAGCGCGCTCATAGCTCATCAAATATCTTCAATGGGTCTTGGTCACCAGCCCTGGCGTTGCCATCATCCCGGGTAGAGGTAGCTGTGATAGTAGCTGATCCCGCCAAAGGACGACTATTATAGCGATAAGAAAGATTGCGCAAGGATCGTGGACATGCCTCCCTTGAGCTATCTGAGACTACCTCGCGGTCCGCCTCAGAGGGTAGCGCATGCGACGAGTTGGACAAAATCGCCGCTTGGGAAAGCGCTTCGGGGGATTCTGGAGCCATCACAGTCGGCCAATTCTGAATGGCAACCGCGAGCACAACTGCAAGTATGCCAGCTAGGATCACTGTCCAGAAAATTCGAAGTCGCCGGTTGACGCGAGACTGCCATTCCATCTCTTTCTTATCCCAGCGATCAATTTCACGTCGCATTGTCTCAAGCCGGTTGTCAAGACCCTCGGCCCTCTTTCGCCCCGTCTTCATCCGGTCTTCCAACGCCTTCATCCTCTCTAACTGGGGCTGAAACTCTTTGAGCTCTCCCATCTGTTTCCGTATCTCTTGGTCCAAGCCCGAAGTCTCTCGCTGGAAGTCATCGAAGAGGGCGGTGGTGGAATTCGAAAGTTCTTGAAAAGACGCAATAGTCGAGTTCAAAGCGGCAATCTTCTCCAGCAAGTTATAGTACGTATAATCAAGTCTACGGGTGATATCCGTGGCGAGGGTCCCAATCAGGGACAGGGCAGACCGTAAGAATCTAGCAAACAACCAGTCAAAGCCAGCACTTATAAGAACGGAGCACCATGACTTACTGCTCCCCTTGCTTTCTTTTACTCCTCACCTGCTCCAGGTCTTCCATCGACCGTAGTTCGTGACGCCTAATGGGGCCGAGCTTGTTACTCGGGTCGATTCCATCAAACAAACTGCCCTTTCTGCTCCCAGCATCCAAGGCCGCGGTCGACTCCGAGCCCCAGCGTGACCAGCTTGTCTCCTGCGTTATCGGTCTAAGTAAACCATCGTCTCCATCGTTCTCCTTTTCTTTACTGCCAGACCATGTTGGCAGAAGACCTCTGGGCCCAGCAGATGAGGTGATATTATTCATCCTTCTTTGGAGACGCCGGTCACTAGATTTACTGTGCTTCCGCTTGTCCTTGTGACGTGATTTGGATTTCACCCGGTCTAAGCGGGGTACGTCGAAGGACAGATGATGGTGATAGTGCTGGTGCTGCTTCTCTCCAGTAACACTGAGCGCGCTGGGGATTTGAGATACTTCACGATCATAGTGATCATGGCCGGGTTGGAAACTGCTGATATGGGCCTGGTGGTTGACGCTGGGGGGCTGGGAACTGGGTGGTGCTGGCTTCTGGCTCCCGGCGGTTCCAGAACCATGAGCCGGTGGGTAAGGAGCGGCCGGCTGTTTGGACGGTTGGGAGAGCATAGCGGGCAGGGAGGATCTAGACAAGTACTCCGTAGACTAGTCACCTCTCCACTATGTGGCACGCCCAACCCGGTAGCCCTTCTCGATGTGCTTGTCAGCTTAGGTTGTCGGAGTCTGAATTGATGTTCATCATTCATATGAGCCCCTAGCCAAGGTGAGACAAAACGTGGTGAACGTGGTGCCAAGCGCTGATCCATGCGTTGGCCGATGACTTCAATCGGCCCCTGATTCTGCCAACAATCAGCCGATATGGGTTATCGTAGTATCAGACTGATCACACGCTAATATGAAACATTCAAAGACGCTATTCCTGTGGGTTTCTCCTGGTTTGCGGTCTGCTTTTGAGGGGAACCATTACGCATGATGCTAAGGGAAATGAGAAATAGAATCATCGATCCTATACATTCATTCATTGTATACAGAGTACACTGTTCTAGAAAGTAGATTCCCAACTCCACGGTCGCCAGCGAACTCCTCTCGTCCTTAGAGAAACAACAGCCTGCAATGAGCCATAATGGCCAAGCCCGGTAAAATGGACAAAAACATCGCGGAAAAGATAAACAATAAAGAGTTATGGCGTTGGCAGCGCATCCACTGCTCACTTAATTCAGGTGCAGAAAGCAGAAAGGGCAGGGTAGAAGAGGAAGGATGAAGAGGTGGAAGGGGGAATAAGGTGAGACCATATCGACAGCATTCAAGAGGTTGACTGCACTCAGGAGTTCAGCAACTTGTTGCGCTTCTCCCGCCGCTTCAAGCGCTCGACTCGTTTGCGATGCATTTTCTCTGCCATCTTCTCATAGCGTTCCTTCTCCTCCTTAGCGGCTCGACGATCCTTGATTCTTTGGATATGGGCCTGGGTAATTGTCAGCAAGACCAAGACGCTCCTTTTCGGGGCATGTCGCGGGTTGATCGTACCTTCCTCTCTGCCTCCTTCTCCTCCTTCAGTTCTTTCTCATGCTCCTTCACGGCTTCTTGGTGCTTGCGGGTTTCTAGTCGCTTAGCGTAGGAGGTCATGCCCGCAGTCGGGCGGAACGGCTTCTTGGTATCATGCCAGTTTTTTCCTGCGGGTCCGAGAAGCGAAAAGCATTAGCAACAGTTATTTTCGAAGACGAGGGAAAAAAAGTGGGGTAGCCAATTTCATACCATTTTTCCGCATGCCCTTTACGGGTGCAGAAACTGAAGGCGCGGAAGACATGGTCGGACCGGGACGGTGGGGGTGGCGCGCAGACGGTCAAACAAGCTGGTCGAACAGAGGGGGCGGATGGGAAGAAGAGAAGGAGAAAAAAGACGACCCCAGCGGATGATCGATAGAATCTTCTTAGCTCTCCGCTGCCCTTTTTTCGGGGCCTTCGAGTTTTGAGGAAAAAGTTATCTTAGACCGATCAGATAACCGGATCTCGGCAGAAGTGGTGCCCCGAGGCCCCGTCTGGCAGCAGAACATGAGGGATTTGTCGGCGAGGAGTCTTACGGATCACACTGGGCTAGCTGCTCTAGTCGCAACCAACCGCTGCGAGGTCTAAACCCCCCACCCATCGTCCATCTTCCGGGTTCCCCTGCCCCCTTGGCCGTTTGGGCTCGTGTTCCTACCTACTGGCAAGCGATGGTCGTTCACCTCTGATTTTACCGCGCGTGGTTCGGGCACACCTCGAAGGAAAACCCCTCGTCGACACACCGCCCCTCACCCCGAAGTCTTTAAATACTCTCCACGACCTTTTCTTCCTCGACCAGCTCGCAAGACTCTACAATGCTCACTCGATAGGACTTACCTATCCCCTCAACCTTCTTTCTCCCTGCCATACTCCCTAGAAGATCGTGTACCGAGGCCTCAGCTGCTCGCCTCTCTTTCCCTGATGGCGGCCGCCGAACATGCGATTGCAATCAATGATGAACTACCGATGGAGCTCCCTACACTCCCGCCCAACCAGGGCCTTGAGGCCTTCAAAGATATTGTGTTCGGATCGGTAAGTCATGCCGTTGTACCCAACCACGTGGTGGCAGACATCACTGACGTTCGGAATCACTAGGTCGCAGGAATGGCGGGGAAAGTGATTGAGTACCCTTTCGATACTGTCAAAGTGCGACTCCAATCGCAACCGGACCATCTTCCCCTCAGATACAAAGGCCCCCTGGATTGTTTCCGTCAATCGTTTCAGGCGGATGGTCTACGCGGGCTCTACCGAGGCATCAGCGCTCCCATGGCAGGTGCTGCCATAGAGAATAGCTGCTTGTTCTTTAGCTATCGCATTATGCAAGATGTCCTGAGGGCGACTATCTACTCTCCAACCGACACTTTACCTTTTCCTGCATTGGTGTTGAGCGGCGCTGCTTCTGGATCCATTACTTCCCTTGCGCTCACGCCCGTCGAGCTCATCAAATGCAAGATGCAGGTTCCTCACACGGCGTCTGGCGCAAAGGCGCCCGGGCCTATAGCGCTAATGGTGTCTATCTTCCGCCAAGACGGTATCCTAGGCTTCTGGCGGGGGCAAATGGGAACGCTGATCCGCGAGACCGGTGGCGGCGCTGCATGGTTTGGTGGTTACGAAGGAGTATCTGCACTGTTTCGCGCATACCGTGCCCCATCTGTGGAGGTCAACCAAGATGAAGCAGTGTCGGATGCCATTCCGCTTCACCAGAAGATGATTGCAGGTGCCGCTGCAGGTGTAAGCTACAACTTCCTGTTCTACCCTGCCGATACGATCAAGTCGCGGATGCAAACGGAGGATGTCAGCCGCGCAGCATACAACGGCAAACGGCAGACATTCTGGGATGTCGCCAAAGCTTTGTGGAGGCAGCAAGGGCTAAGGGGCTTGTATCGAGGCTGCGGTATTACCTGCGCTCGGTCTGCCCCTAGCTCGGCATTCATCTTCACTGTTTATGAGGGTCTACGGAATCATTTTGCCTGAGTATCTGATACTCGAGGCATCTACAGCTTTGTCCGACCGCCGCATTCTCATTCACCTTTCAGCCCCATTACCTCCTGCTTTCCCTTTCATATTTCTCCACCATTCTTTGCCGATCTTTGTTGATTTCTTCTTGTTTACAACGTTTCCGGTTGAGGCGCTTCGTATGATACCTATAGCCATGTTAGAGTTAGATTTCAACTCTCTTTTAAAACATCAATCTGGTATTGGTGCAGATGAGGAAAAACGGTGTTGACTTGTTGACGTGTTCTATGTCTACTATTCTTTGATGTTTATGACTCTATCCTTTCTCCCTGTGTTAGTTATTCTTTTCCTTTTGTGCATATGTCCGCCTCGGTCCTGGAGAGGCATTTTACGGTTTTTAGTGATGACATCATGGGTAATCTTGGGAAGTGATATTCGGGCGGATCCAGATAAAGAAGAGAAGCAGAAGCAGATATCCGGGAAAAGCACATAGATTAGATATATAGGTGGATAATTGGATGCCTATTGTTTGTGTTAGTTGACTATCACCAATCTCCTGAGTCACGGAGGGGTAAAGAAGGGTATCACTTCCCTCACGATAAGAGCGGGGTGCCAACAAACGGACTTCCCCGGTCCAGATGACCCTGCCTGCCTGTCCTCCACCCCGACACAAATACAAAATAGCTACCTGTCCCATTTTCCCTCATCCTCACCTTCTCTACCACTTGTTGAATCAATATGGCATCCACCGCCGACCACCTCTCGGCCCAAGAGCTCGAGACTCTCTCCTCCAAGGCCATCGCTGCCAAGGCCACTGCATACTGTAAGTCCACGAACACATCTGACACTGTTCGTTCCGAAGCAGTCCAGCGAATGGGCCCAGTGTTTCTAAAATTAACCATTTCGACAGGTCCTTACTCAAAGTTCCGTGTAGGCGCATGTATTCTGACCCAGTCAGGCGAATACGTCCAAGGCGCTAATGTGGAAAATGCCTCTTATCCCGTTGGAACATGCGCCGAGAGAGTAGCTTTTGGAAATGCCATTGTAAGCTGTCAACAACGATCTTAACAACAAACACCCCGTCGCTTTTCTCTTCCACGCCCGTCCGTTGTGTCTTTCCCTCATTCCTTCTTTTCCTTCTTCATGGGATCCACCTCCCTCGCACCTGTCATCCATCAAAAAATATCACTCACTCATCGGACTGCTATACAGGTGGCCGGGCACCGGGAATTTAAAGCCATTGCAGTTGCCACTGATATCAAACCAGCCGCATCGCCATGTGGCATGTGTAGACAGTTGTATGTTCCCCTTCTCTTTCCCCATTCTTTTGCCGACAGCCAAAAGGGCCGTGATGAGTATCCAAAGCCCACCATTGGCTACCGTAAATAACTCACTGAACCCATTTTTCTGACCGTTTGATTTTTTGGGGCAACTCTTCAGCATGAGTGAATTTACAACACCATCATTCCCCATCTTTATGTACGACGGCGAAGGAAACTATTCTCTTACCACTATGGGCGAGGTATTTGATTTGATGCCCCACTCACTCAGATCCTCCTGCATGCATACATAAACTGATTTGTTGTTGTTGCAGCTTCTTCCTCACTCATTCGGCCCGAAGGATTTCTCCCACTGAGTCGTGAATAGGACTTATCTGCCTGGCGTATATCACAGTCAATACAATGTATGTAGGTGAATCCATGCACATCTTGACTCTTTTCTATCCTTTTCGTCCCTATACACTCTGGTGCTGCCAGAAACCATTAAGGTGCCGTGCCAGATTCGGTTGTAGCGAGGTGAGAGACATCAAACATGCTCTTTTCTATGATTAGTCCGGAGTATAGCCTGGAAAATATGGTAGCTCCCCGAGACTACAGATGTATGCGTGACTGTGTGCATAGGGCTGGACGGGCACGCTGACATGATTATCCAATGCTTCGCACAGACAATGGAATTCTGGGAGTAGTCGACATTAGTAGGGCCCCAGAGCCAGATTGAAACTAGCATTACTCTATTCTCTCAATATGACGCCTAGGATGGATGAGGTAATCGTATGGTGAGGATCCAGCTTGTTGGCTTCAAGTGGTCGCATGCTATATGACCAAATGGCGGACTCCGTAGCTGGAAGAGATTCGGTAGCCTATTTACCAGCAAGAAATTTCTATTCAGGTGCCTGACATCGAAAACGGCCCCCTTGTTTCCTGAGCTGAGAATAGACAGAAGGAGCAACAATGAGTCACTTTGTTTGCCATTTCCCTTGCACTTACTGGATGGTCTGAATCGGTCAGCCTTGGCCTTTTGTTAAGCTTTCGTAACCCCCCCCCCCACCCGCACTAACGATTCCAAAGTCGACTCGAATTACTCTACCACGGGGCGTGTATACCAAATAGGCTAGAACAATAAATGAACGCGGAACGCCAGCAGCGTATACATAGAAGCAAATTTCCAATACATGATGTTCTCGTAATATAACATAACCTCATGGGTGCGACATAAGATTTTGCCGAATAGGTGCAGGACGAGGTACGCCACTAGAGCTCGTCTTCTTCGTCCGCTTCAAGGTCTTCAACACCAAGGAGCTCATCTTCGTCATCAACAACGCCAGTGTAGTCGCCGCGTCGGGCGGCAAATGATCCACGAGACGCATATGGCCTTGAGTACCCCCTGTTGCGTCCTAGACGCACGTAGCCACTAGCGCTTCGCCAGAGACTTGAAGCCAGGAGCGGAAGCGCCCTTGTGATGGCCACAGCGCCCGCGATTATCGCAACCGGTACTGTGAGAAGCAAAGAGTCTCGCGATAGCAGACCCTGGGAGGTGCCAACATTCTCTCCAAGGCGAATTTGGCCAAACTTGCCGTCCCACCTGGTATAGACATAATAACCGATGGCGCTTGCCACAGTAATTGGGGTGATGATCGCGAAAAACAGACCGACACCGCCAATACCGTGCTTCTTCTTATACGCTTCCTCTTTGTTAGGACAAGGTTTGGATTCGACATGATCCAATTGTAGCCCGCCCTCGCACGTTGATTGAGGAAGACGTCGATATCCCGAGGGCTCCCAGTACTCGATTCTATCAGGGTCGTCCTTGCAAACGGCCTTGGCGTCGGGAGGAGAAAGTCCGTCAACAAGTTTACAGCTTCCATCACTCAAAGGTTCATAGTTATAGTCACTGCCCCAAGTTAGTCATCGTATCATTGCCAGATACCAAGCCCCTCTCAAACAAGGGTGAGCGGGTAAGGATGAACACTTGCCATTCATAATCAGCCCACGTGCATGTGCAATTCTTCCCGATGCTGTGAACGTGAGGTTCCCGCCAATTGTTCCAACATTGAGCCGAAGGCTTTTTGCGGTGGTATTGCTCAACGTGGCCGAACAAACAGCCATTGTCCACATACGGATGTTTTGGTTCCCAAATGTAATAGTCATGGCTCTCCGCTCTACTCTCATCCAATTTGCATGAGGTGGAACGGAGTCCACTAAAGTCAACGCTGACAGTGGCGAGCTTGTCTCGATAGTCCGATTTCAACTCTTTGCCCCAAAGGAGAAAGCTCTTCGAAGTGTCAGAAGGAACAGTTGAAATATCGTCAATCTGCATTTCCACGTCTGAAAAGACAAAGTCTATCCATGTGTTTCCCTCGTCAATGCTGTAGGATAGAGTTTGGGTTGGCTTAGACTCAGGCACAATCACAATCACGGAACCGGCATCACCAAACTCCCATATATATTTGCCCTTCTTGACAGACTTCCAGGTGAAGCCAGCATCCTGAGTAATGAATGTGTCTGCCTCCTCTGCCTCACCGAGATGGTCGCCAACATTGCCAACCCCCATCATCAGACCAATCGCTGAACTGGAAGAGAATGTGTCCCGTTCGTCTCTGCGTTCCGTATAGCCATGAAGGTGGAGCGAGCAGCCAGGTATGCCTTGACCTTCGACAGAACACCCGAACTTCTTGCCATCTGCATCTTTTATTGGGGGAGCAAGTAAGGTCCATCGGCCTCCGTCATTGTGAGTAATCATCGTCCTTAGCTTCTTGGTTTCACCGTCCGGCAGCTTATCCACATTACTGACGACATTCGCAACTGCCACACCTTCCATGCCTTGTATCTTTTCAAAATCGACATACCCGCGGCGGTTCCGGTTCACCGCACTGAGGCTGAGCACATAGGAGGTGCCGTTGCTGTTGCTTTTGATGATTGATCCGTACTCGACCCCCTCCGAGTTGCTTACAGTAACATGCAGGAAAACTGCATGCGTAGAACTTTCAAGCACGGTATAGGCCGTTTGAACGGGAACATTGACATTTGGAGGGAACTGCGCCTCTGCAAATGTCCTACCATCCACACTGCTGCTAGCCACCAAGGAGCCTGGCTTATCCGCATTTCGTGAAGCCACAACAATGAACTCAGACATTGTAGCATAGCTGATGACGTCCTCGAAATGGACATGCCAGTCGGAGAACCAGTTGTCACTAGACATCAGCTGTAGCCGATTGTTCCTGTTCTCATTCTCAAATTGCTCACAGAAGATAAGATTCATGCTATCTGCGCGGTTTTCCCTGCTTTCAAATTCGCACTTCTGAACGTAGCGACGAAGCAGTTCCCAATTCTCTCCACGGTTTTTACTGAGGTAGGCATTGGAGTGGCAGTCATTAGATCCACAGTCCACGGCCCCTGTCCAGATCAACCAGTCTTTATATTGGGGATGAAATGAGAGGGTTAAGAGACGTTCTTCGGTGGGGGGCGCTGGTGCCTTGAAAGGTTTGAACGATTGGGCGCGGTCGACTGTCCAAAAGCCTTCAATGCCATCGGTTAGGAGAAAAGCGCCATCACTATTGTAAGGATGAGGAACAATTCTGCGGACTTTCTCGCCTTTCAGCGACTGCTCCCACGTCTTGCCATGATCATGCGATACATAGAATGCGTGTTCACTGGTGAGCATGACGACGGTCTCATCGTTCCCAGAACTGCTTGACTGACGTTCCAGGTAGTAGTAGGCACTGAACTGCTTTGCATCAAAGAACTGTTTTACCACGCTGGGTTTGCCAGTTGTGGGCACATTGCCTGCATCCTTGCAGGGCCACTCAATGTCATCGTCCAAATTTTTGCCGCCGTCTCGGATGCAGGTATCACCAGGTATTAATCTCCAACCGGAGGGTCCCATGAAAGTATCAGTGTCCTTGCATTTTCCTTCCGGGGGCGTCGGCAAAACAGCCGGGATACAGCCTTTGCCGTCCTCGCTGCCCTTGTATTCGCACTCGAAGTCTTCGATCGTACATTTGCATGGCTCCATAATTGGCTGGGGGTCCTTGAACTCCTCATCCACGAAACAGTCAGCATTCGCCTTCCTACGACGGAAGAATTGCTTCTGGCCCATCAAGCAGTCAGGCTCTCCATTCTCATCTAGCCTGGCTGGCCACGTCTCGAAGTCATTCTCTTCGCATTTCCGCTCGTGCAGGCCCTTAAAATCGATTGCATAGACGACGTGGCCGCTGTCCTCGCTTCGCTTCCCGACAAGAATAAACCTCAGGCTAGTGGAGTCCGGTGTCGTTGTGACCATCGTAGGGTAAATCTTATGCTCAATCTCCACCGATTCCCAGATCTTGCCATGGTCGAGGGAAAAACTAATCTTGTTAGATTTGCCATTGTCACTGATTGCCATTACAACAGCCCCTTGGTCGCCAAATTCGTATTTATGTGGCCCATCAAGAGCATGGCGCCAAGTGACACCGGCGTCATCTGAGATATAGAGATCGCCATCGGCATACTTTTGAAGATGATCACCCGTATTGCCAACACCCATGACTAGCCCTGGTGCCGGGCTTGAGAATACCCGACCAATATTGGCGAAGGTCGTGACCGAGTGTAGGTGCAAATTCTTGTCATCAACCTTGAGAGGTTGGAAGCTCCTCCCGTCGTCAAAACTTATTCTGCTGATGATCTTTTTTTCAGATCCGGACTCGACCTCTTTCGGGTTCTTCACAGTGTTAACCATGACTATGCCCTGGATGCCAGCAATCTTCTCGAAATCGACGGTGCCCTCCATATCGCGATTGGTGTGCTCAATATTGCGGCTAAAGAAAGTACCGTTCGAATTGGAAGTAAAAAGCACGCCCATGCTGCTAGATGGGCTGGTCAAGACGTCTACTTGCAAGCTGTAGTTGGTGCTCTCCAGCATCGTGTAGGCATCCTGCTCTACTCGATGCCCATCAAATTCGGCTCGATGCCAGGTATCCGTGTCTGTCGTCACAAACAAAGCAAGTTCTTCAGTCCCCTTGGACTTGACTGCGGCCACGATGAATTTCTTGACTGCGGCCGTGCTGATCACGCCGGAAACAGGACGGCCCTCGTGCAAGTTCACCTCTGTGCCCTCGATGTTACTGACAAAGTAATCGTCTGAGTATACCAGGCGGTTGGCATGTCCGAAGGGGACCTTTAAGCCCGGAACAACACACAGTGATCTGTCCTTCAGACCTTCGGATGAATCTAAGTCTGCAGCAAAGTCAGGATGCCCTACCGCCCAAGAACACCCCGCAGCACTCTCTCGCAAGAGCTTGAGTGTCTTGAAATCATCTGTCGTATAGTACGACCTTACAATGCAGAAAAGCCCGGCACATTCTTCGCTTTGGAATATGACTTTGCTCGAGTCCCACCCATGGAAAACGAGAGGAGCATGCTGCATGGCTGGAAATTCGGCGATATCAAATGATCTCCATGTTTTTGCTTGGTCCGTGGTGACCAAGTGACGTCCGTTACTACCGAGGGCGTAGGCCTTATTCTTGTCGAAGGGATGTTGTCGTATGAACAGGACTTGGTGCTTCATGCTGCCGTCTTCGCCCTCAACCACTTCCCATTCATCACCCCCATCAAATGACTGCAAAAAGTCCCCATTTCTCAGGCTCATAAGAACAGTTTCCGTGTCCTCGAAATAGAAGAGAGCAGAAGGTTCATGGTCCAATTGTGTTGCTGTGATACTTGGTTGATCGGGCTTCTTCGCTGCACTTTGATGGGGGATGAGAGCCAAAAGGAGGCAGCTCACCAGCAGGAGCCATCGAAAAATCATGGCCGCAGAGGATGGAACATTTGAATATGGATAATGAGTTAATTCGGCAAATCCAGCCAGAGTAGAGATCAAAGGCTAGCGAAACTGAGCGACAACAGATAGGTCTGGGCAAGCAAGTTGGAGTCTCACGATATAACTAGGGGCAGTTCGAGGCGAAGGAAATCCCAGTTGATGGATAAGCAGTGAAGAATGTCAATGATTACTGGAGCTGCGTGGCCGCAGGGAAGCTCCACGGTCACGTGGACAGCATTGCTTATCGAAGCGCGTCTAGACCTCGGTTCCAACCGTGCGAAAATGGAGTCGCGGAGTACGAGTAGTGTGGCCCATGGATCAAACTCCAAAGTAACTCACATCAGAGGTCTGATCGTACATTCATTTTCTGGGAAAGACCACGCCATGGAATAAGTGTACAATCAGGGAGTCGCAATGAGAGGACAATGGCATAATATGCTTCAAGCCACAGCTCCTTTATCTCTCTTCACTGGTTGTAACATAATTACTTAGGTACACAGCCTACTCCGTAACTAGTCCTTGTATCAACCTCGGAAGCTACATATTCCTGTGCCAGTCATCTATACTTGCAGTGTTATGCTTCCATATAAAAGAAGCCAATATGATATCTTCTGTCTATTCATTGCAAAGATCAAGCGCAACTCTCTAATCTTCGCCACTAGCTATCTGAGTTATAGAAGAATTTACCAGTTCAGTGATTCTAAGACATTAAGGTATCGAGGCATTAAAGCAGAGGATGGTGAGTTTCTGCAACCAATTAGGAATCGTATCTAAGCCACGCATTAGGCTATGAACTTTGAAAATTATATGCTCAATACTTATTATGGCCTTCAAAGTTTGGCTCGCTGTGGCTTAGACTGCTGGGAGGTGCTAGCCGTTTGTCTATTGTGGCAGTCGAAGGGTCATGAGCGGTTAAGTCCTCGGATTAAGAGGAATATGGTGGGTTTCAATTTCGAGGAATATTAGTGTTGTTGGAAAAATTAGAAAGGCTGCTCAAGGCAATTACCATTTGTTGGCTTAGGGTACTGGTACGATGACGAAGATAGATCACTAGTAATAATGAGCAAGCATTGAAAGCATAAAATCGGTATTGTTTATGTTTAAGAACTACGGATGGCGGAAGTCTATAGCTTTTATTGAAACGAGGTCGTGGCCGCACGACCTGTAGTCTCGCGCACAGCTCAAGGCATTTCGAAGCGGTGAGTAAAGGCAATATTGAAGTCACGTTACCGGTAATGGGCAAAGCCAATCAGAAAGCCAGATTGGTGATTCTTATGGACCAATGAGAAGCCTTAGAGCTGTGAACTTCCCTTACCCTGGACCTGACCTAGTGTTTCTCAGCGCTAGCGCGCTTCGAAAAATAGATGTCAGCCTGTCAAGATCCTAGAACAAAGGCTGGCTAGGGCAAATCCATGAAGAGTATTAAGTAGCTTGGAACATATACTTCTGTCCTCTTATCCCATGTATAGAAAAAGCTCTGCAGCAAATGAATACAATAAATATTTATAGCGCAGGATACTATAAAAAGGAAGGTTAAAATACGTGAGTTGTTCTAAAATAATGATATGACATATGGAAGCACGTGTATATGTCTCTCTAGTGCCAGAGCTACTTCTATATTTGAAGCTTGCACCACAGATTGTTGATCTTTCCTTGTCTTTTATTATCTGAATCCTGGATTTGAAAATCTCTCTCTGCTGAAGGTGGTTTTGTAGCTTTGATGGCCTGGGGAATATCTATAACATGAGAAATAGTATTCCAAGAATTTGCTCGAAGATCCGGCCGCGTTAATATCATTTTCAGCGTTAGTTCGCGCCTTTTTAGATTTGGGTGTATATTAGTCTTGAGGCTGACGGTGCAAGTCTGCTGAGAGTTATTTAGGGTGGGATTGTTGCACGGGACAGAATGCTCTAATATGCAGGAGGGCTGTACGAGGCCTGAGATATTTCTGGTACTTGTGCTGATCTCTGTACCTTGGCTAACTTTCAGAGGCTTTTTTGTGATTTTTTGAGACTTGAAGCTGGGATTTGGAGAGCTTTGTTGATCTGATGTGATATCCCTGTTTTCTTGGGCTGGAAATCCTAGCTCGATTGCTTCGTTAAAATTGTATGGGGATGCTAGGTAATGTTGCAGCTTAAGGCATGCGTCTGGGTCCTGGTAATACTGGGTATCTGAATTAATGTTGTTAAGTGTTGACGGAGAAATATGATGGCTTTGTGCCTGGCTGGACACTGGCCGAGATCTGGAATCACGGATGAGGATAGTATTGGTGAGAAAGGTTGGCGTAATTGGTGATTGGCTAGAATGATGGTGGTTGTTATGCGAAACAGTTAGCGCCTGTGACTGATTGTAGCTGGTTAAATTTAAAGAGAATGTTCTTCTGAAACAAGTCTTCTTTAGATATGGCGCCTTTTTTGTTGAGTTGGTGAATGGTGTAGGGCTTTTGTCTAGGGCAAGATTAAGGTCATCCTCTTCACTAAACCGCTATAATACATCGCTAGGTAATCCATCCATGTTGCTGACACGCCGCGCCAAGTGTAGACAAGCGACGTATAGTGATGTCTTGCTAAACGAAGATATCCCAGAAGATTAGCGTTGTCGATGTCTGATTGTTGGTTGAATTATGTTCGGAAATCGGCTAAGCTGGTTTGATGCTGTAGGAAGTGTTTTTGAAGCTGTAATAGCATATAATAAATGTAGGCTCTATCTGAGATATAGGAATGTCAGAACGACTAGGCTTTGTTTCCCGGGCTTCCTGGAGCTTTAGAATAGCTCCTATAAGCGATTAGTGGTAATCGCGCCTTAGGGTGGTTTATATTAATATTAACTGGGAAGGGTAAGCTTGTTATGCTAGAATTTAATAGCCAAGGCACAGTTAGACTAGTGCCGTTGAAAAGGGAGGAGGGGGGAACTGATATAATCCAGAAGTCTCTGAAATAGGAATTAAACAAAGTCTGCACTGTATCAGAACTTCAAGTATCATTATCAAGCTGTAACTGGTGATCGTGGTTTTAAAGATAAGTGCCTAACATAAAAGTCGTGCTCCAGAAAACTATGATATAAAGAAAATAAAGGTACTTGTGCTATTCCGTAGTGCTTCCATGTTCAGGTGACCCGCGCATGCCTGGCTCGAAATGCGCCCATGATGATAGATAGTAAGCCGCACAATGTCCTCCGTATCTTGTCTTTAATGGTAGCTGAGCAGTACACACAATAGTCGGAAAGCCTGAATGCGACTATGGATGTAGATCAGGGGAATAAACAAACCGCTTATGGGTAATTACATTATATCTAGTGGGTACGGCATGTACTAGTATGTTGCGAAAAGATCGTTAGCTTTATTAGTAAACCTCAGAATTCTGCCAGTCTATCAATATCTCAAGTTGCTGTTAACGTAAACCACAATCGCGCGGCCCATACAATCGCGCGGCCCAGCTAATAATGCTATATAAAAACCACTTTTGATAATTGAAAAATCTCAACCATTGAAGCAGTATAGAACTTTATATTGCGTATATAGACTATAGTGACTATAAATTCTTTTTTAATATTTTTTATAGATTTTTATAACTACATATAATAGCTGGTAATATAAAATACATGTGTTTTACTCGTATTTTAAGATAGTCTATATATTTAATATAGAAATTTTTTTTAAATTGTTTTGAATAAGTCTAATATACTTATCTTCTAGTTATTAGGCTCTATATAGCCTTATAGTCTCATAGAAAGTGTATTTATTGAGATATAATAATTCTAAAAAATAATAGATTTTGTATGGCATTACAAGATGGGCCGCGCGATTGTATGGGCCGCGCGATTGTGGTTTACGTTATTTGCCAGAAGCTGCTGAATAATCTTATACTATTATTTCGAGAGGAAGCGGCAGTGCCTGTGATACAATTGCCACATATGGACCAACTGATCCCACTAATGATTTTTTCGCACTGTACCATAGTAGTAACTACTGATAATCTAGTGAAGCTTTTGGAACTACTAGGTCGTGACTTGCGGCCACGACCTACAGTCTCGCGCACAGCTCAAGGCATTCTGAAGTATCTTAGTAAGCCTCTTATAACGCGTTTTGGTAAGAATCTAGTCAAAGATCTTCTAAGAGGCTAAAAGGGCTCTCAAAGGGCCTTGTCAAGTACTCTTAAAGGACCTCTCAAGGGCCTTGCTAAGCGTATAAAAATACAGTACACGATTCGGACCTATAACCTGAATCTATATATAGATCTGGCTCAGATCTACGGTCTGAATATATATTCTAAGAAGGTCTTAGTTAATCCGAGGCTGAAGCGGTAAGAAAAAAAATTTTGTAAGTCATATTGTAAATAAGAAAGGGAGCTAACCAGAAGACTAGATTAGAAATTCCTATAAATCAATAAAAGGTCTTGAAACTGTGAGCTTCCCTTACCCTAGAGTTAACCTAGTGTTTCTCAGCGCTAATTTTGTATGTAATAAACAACACTTATATAACAGTTACAGATCACTAAGATAATGTCACTGGGCGGCACCTGGGTACAAATTCCAGGTACTTCCCACTGCACTATTGCCAAAGGACCAGGATGTACAGCTGATGGCTGTAGTCTGTAGATACACTGCGCTTGCTATACTAGCTCAAGTAATACTGAGCTGTACTCAAGCGGGGGTGGATACATTCTAGTCCTCCTGTTAGCAGGCGGTATCTAGAGAAGGTAGGATGTTCTAAGCGATCTCTATTATTAGGCCCGTGTGAACAAAGCTTTTTCAAGGCTCTCATTAAATCATATTATCCATCAAATCTGCTCCCTATCATGATAATCCTCCGTACAGGGAACTGCTACTACAAACTTTGAACCAAACTGACGCTTTTCTGGAAACAGCACCAGGGCCAGTCAACCATCAACGTGTGATCAAGGTCATGTGGCGAACAGCATACCCTATAGCGCATACTGAGCACATGATTCCAATCACACATTGCCCCTGACTTCGTGGGAAATTAGCGACATGCTTCAAACAAGCTACCTCATATTAGAGAATGTTGAGCACACTCTGCAGTGCAGCTGTATTTGAATCTTCTCTCCGAGAAACGTAGGCCCTGACCTCCTGTACGCTAAGGGTGGTCTCGGCCTGATCAGAACCACTGAGGCTTCGCCCAGAGCTTGCTCCGGGAGTATTTCCAGCGGTTCCACCAGTGCTAGCACTGGCTATGCCGCCGCGTATTCTCTCACGCAAAGCTTCAGAGCCAATAACAAAGAGGTTACCAACCTCCAGCAGAACGTCCAGCGTACCGCTTGGTCCTTTAACCTGTTCCTCTATGTCCCAGGATTTGAGAAGATTTGTATACTGCGTCATATCCTTGGTGACCATAAGTCCGCCAGGCCCATTGACAACAAACCGCTTGAAGTGATCCAGAAGGAGACTGCGCGTTCCAATAACAATTTCTGTAAGCAGCTGGCGAAGATTGGAGCCGCTGGGTGGCAATGATGTCCTCACGACATTATGCACACGGGTCAAAAATGTGCAAATTGAAGCACATGTCTAAGTATAATTAGCATAGCTCGGTATACCACTCAAGGTCACGGACTCACTGGCGTTTGCAGTTTCTCCAACCAAGCTGCATTATCACCCTCCTTTGGTCGGAAATCGTTCTTCTTTTGACCAGACAAAAGCTTGCCGATCCAAACTAGGGTCGCTTCAATGACCTTCTGTTCAAGTGTGTTGATTTTGTCTTCTACACGCATGGTGATAAGATTGGTCTTCTTTTCCATCTCTCGACGGACCGTGATACTACCCGCGGCAAGAGGAATAAGCAAGGTGTTTATGCACATCACCATCAAATTCGCAATACCAATAGCATTTCGAATAGCTGGTAGGTATGCAAAGTCTGGTTCCACTCTTCCAGACTCTTGTGACGTTGCTGCTTCCAGAGCCGCATCTAAGGACACTTCAATGAACCCTTCTCCCATTACTGAGAGAAGAAGACTCAACAGTGCAAGCATGTCCTTGGGTGTTTCACTGTTCATGCTAAGCTCCAAGCCCCTGCCAACTGCTTCCGCAAGCCACTTGAGCATCCGTTTTGCAGAAGATATGCTCGGAATGCCATCTTCTTCGGTAAGTTTGATATCAGTAGTCTTCGCGAGGTCACTAGACTCCCTCAGCCCCGCCACTTGAAGCAACATTCTTCTTTGGGTAGGGGGAAATTCCGAGGACTCCAGACGGTTTAGATATGCATCACGCGCTGAAGAGAGCATTTCAGTACCGGACTTCGAGAGAGATGCCATAAAGGTCGTCGCGGCTTTTTTCCTGCGGGCATGGAAAGTGGTGAATTTGAAAAGCAAAGACGTATACAGCTCTTCCAGTGTCCTCTTCTCCCTCTCTATGTATGACGACCCAACAAAATATGGCACAAATAGATCTTCCAGTTGCTGGTCGAGAACCAGGGCTGTCTGCGAAGAGATTGCATCTGGATGTTCGGTCAACCCGTGGCTTTTCAAATCATCAACCAGAGCACTTATATAGCTGCGTGAGCTCTGTAAGGACCGCAGAAATGCTAATGACGAGACGCTGTTCGCTTTCTCCAAGACCATCTCCAGTCTTTGTTGTATGGATTGTTGGAACACACGTTGTAAGAACTTCCCGAGCACCTGCTCATAGTACGGAAAAGCCCGTCTGATAATGGCAGATTCCTCTTGCACTACAACCTTGACTTCATCGATCAGGGATTGAAGACTGGGCTCCACTTTCAGAGGTTCGGCATCAGGGTCTGCGAGCATTTCCCAGGTTTCCAGATCACCCCCTACTTCTTCTGTAACCAACTGGCTCCGATCAATGAAGAACTGGTGCTGGTTGACAAACAGAGCGATGACGCTTGCACCACCGTTGAAATCCTGGAGCACATTTGCGCAGTCTTTCATGCCTTCAAAGTTTGCCTTGCGGTAGAAGTCGTCAAATTGCTTTAACAAATCATTCTCCAAAGTCTCAGAGAATTTTTCGATAATCTCACGGGTATTTCGTCTAACACCATCGCCCCTTCCACTTGTGTGGTTGTCTGCAGTTATGGATCCGTTCCCAAGGAGCCCGGTAGTTCTTCCGCCTGAATCATTCCAGCTCTCGGTGTCAAGTCTTTGGCTGATACGCAGTAATTGTCGCGCAATCTGTGCTGATCTTACCTTAGCCTCACCTGTTCCGGATCTTCTCAAATTCTCCAGCAGTGTTATCTCGCCTCTATTGCTCACTCCGTCCCAGCATTCGAGCAAGAAGCGGGCGTCAAGCGCCCGACGTCTTTGGCGGTCCAACTCCTCTAGCCTTTTTCCAGTCTCCACTGCCATGTTTCCAGTGGCCCCGATAAGTTCTGCACCTGGTAGTCCTGCGCCATTGAGCGATGTGTCGAGCTGCTGGAACGATTCAATTGTTTGTTTCAATTTTTTGCCCAATGTGTTAAGGTTCTGGGAGTGCTGTGCCTCCGCCCTGCGGACTGCGGCCGATAATTCATTCTCTTTGATCTCCAGGTCGCCTGAAATTTCACCCAGTCGTCGTTGTGCGTGCTCGAGGGACCGAATAAGTGGTTTAGGGTCAAACGGTTGATTCCCGGTTGCGGGGTTAAGTGTAGAACGACGATTTGAGATGGCGGAGTCGGAAAGCGCTTCAATAAACTCCTTGACGATAAAATCGCGACTTGAAAAGTCCTCAAGGGTAAAGCTGGGACCTCTCGGAAACACCGATCGAGACGCAGCGTTGGAAGGGGAAATCATGGACACATCGTCCGGCATTTTTGTAACTATAAGCTGGATTTATCTGCATTGATATCAACATGGGGTGGCGTTCAACAATAGATTGGGCATAGAAGCGGCAACTGACGCCTCTGAGTGCGCTTTAAATAGGGGTTTGATAAACAGCGCGAGCTGCAGAATTAACCTATGTACGATATGAGGTACTAGATAGGTGGTCCATATCGAAGTGGACGGCTTGCTTCTACACCCAATTACCTAATCACAGCATAGCATAACTAGTTAACTTCGTACACAGTAATAATCGAACAATGCTCTGCACACAATAAGATACTCCGTACGGAGTAGATACGCAAATCAGTATTTGGCCCCCCAAGGTTCTCCGTACCGTCAGGCTAAACCAATTAATGTGACATATATGTCAATACTGTCCCCAGATAACGGCAATTTATTGATGTACCATCTTACTTGGTCTGCATCGGTGTTTGAAACAATGCATTGTAATAGTTCAGACTTCAAAATCTACGCCTATATCTTTCTTCTTGCTCATAAATATGTTGTTATACAGCCTGAGTAGGTGCAACATTTACATCAAACCAACTCGTTCTGAGATATGGCATAATATTATCCAATGCATATTGGGCTAACCCTCCCTCAACATGCTATTCTCTACATGCTGTACTCCGTATAGGTACCTGTGCCGCTGTGCGTGCCTGTAAGGAAATATTAGGTACTCTGTACGCATAAAGCAGTCCTTGGTTCACGCAATAATCGTGCTTGCCACTCACTGCCTGCCCTACTTACGGTATTACAGGTCCACGGTCCGGATTCCACCCGACCTTTTGAAGGACCCACCACCACCAGTTCAGGCTCCCGAACTTCCCCCGTAGGTACTAGTAGTCTTACACATTGAACACAGTCAACCATTCATTGAGCTCTCGAAGTTCCTGAGTGGTACGCAGCCACTGACTCCGAAACATGGTTTCGCAACGAGACAAAGAACTGTTTAGAGACGATGTTCGCTCTCGAGGAAAGAAGCTCAGTGCTGCTGATCGTGAAAATCTTCTAAGACCATATTTGCCAGATCCGTCGGACCTTCCACGCCGGCCACCTCAGCGGCGCAAAAAGGCTTCCCGAAGAACACCTATACGGACATTCATCAAGTCGCAGGTGCATCTACTTGCCTACACCGTTATTCACATCATTTTTGGAATTATCTCTCGAGTCACTTTAAGTTATTTTGCTGTTGTGGACAGAATTTTTGCCATCATTTATTACCACCACCGAACGCCAGAATTAATACGAAAAGATGTGAAGAGTTTAAAACGCTTGCCTGAACATTTGAGTGTCATATTATCACTGCGCAAAGAAGACGATGCCCTAGCCATTTTGATGGACGAAGTAGCAGAGCTCGCAACGTGGAGCGTGAGTTCTGGAATACCCGTCCTAAGCGTATATGAAAAGACTGGTTAGTAAAGTTTCCAGATCTCCAATGCATCCAATTAAGTTGAAAGAGAGAAATATGGGCATCAAATGGAATCCAGACTGATATAAAATATCTATTCGTACAGGTGTTTTGAAGTCCTGCATTCCTGTCCTTTACCAGGCCATTATGACCAAGTTGTCCTCTTACTACGGTTCCCCGGCGCAGCAACCAGCATTGCGACTGTTTGCTCCACACCATCCAATCTACAATCAGCAGCAAGGCGTGGCGCCTTCCAATAGGCATAATGCCAGTTCTCTCACGATCCTTCTCCTATCTGCCACTGATGGTCGGGAAACGTTTGTTGATTTGACCAAGACGTTGGCGGAAATGTCGCAGAGTGGTAAACTTTCCCCAGAAGACATAACCATGGAATTGGTCGATGCGGAAATCAGCGAGATCACCACTCAACCTACTCAGACAACCACATCCGTCTCTCGGGGTAGGACAGCGATGGGCCCCTATCACAATGGCTCCCCGGTGAAGCCTGAGCCTGATCTTCTTCTGGTTTTTGGCCCATTTCTGAAGCTAGATGGATATCCACCCTGGCATATTCGACTTACCGAGATGTTCTGTACCGGCGGTAGGAGTAGTGGTATAACTAATTGCGACGAGGCCGTTGAATACCACGGCTTTCTCAGGGGTCTCTGGCATTATGCTGGTGCTCAGATGAGGTTTGGCCGATGAAGGCGGTCTGTCGTGCTTGTATTCCCTGGACGATTTCTTGTTAGTGTAGTCGAGTTTCCATTTGAAGATGGGACATAGATACAGATATCGAAAAAGAGAAAAAAAAAACAGCGGGCGCTAGCTTCCTTTCATTTACCAGGGTGCTAAGCCGCTTTGTTCGACGATCCTATATAGTTAGTCGGAACTTAGACAGCTTTCTTGGGTTATTTTTGTAGCCCAAAATGGGTTAGTAAAAGAGAGATAGTGAAATTCGCCAATATATAAATAATAAGAAACTAATATCATATGATAATAATAATCATAGATTAATCAAACCTCTTCCTAGTCCCTTTTTTGAATCTATAAATTGTAATAGACTGGGCGGGATATCAGAGGGAGATATCATACCAACACGGCTAAGGTTACTACTGTACTGGCACTGTGATGTCTAATTTACACACAGCGAATGTCCTGTAACGAGGTTGGTAACTGAGCATCTGCCTCCATTAACCATCTCATTGTGAATGTAGCTGAAGTGCGGGGAGTGCTTCCTAAATATATCTGGTTATTCCAGATTAAATTGAGTATTAGATATTCTGGCTTCTTGTCATATTGTGCACCGGGAATAAGAATTATTTGGCCTATCCTCTCATTCCCCTATTGTCCACGTAAAGCTTATTCCAAGGCCACCGTAACTCTCTTAGTCCGGGTGAACTGCCTGCCATTGGTATTGAAAGCCTCGCACGCATTCGAGGCACCTTACTACTTCCATGCCTCCTTCAGTCACACCTTCAACTGCACATGTCGAGCAAACCTTCCGAGCTTGCCCGGCCTGCACTCCATCGCCGTTGGCACTTTCCTGAAAGTTTCTTTTAGGAATTTTGGCTAAACCATTGCAATTTATAGCGTCGCAGTGCCGGAGACATATATAACAGCTCCTTTGACCACACAGCTCGCAATCTGCATAGGCGTCGACAAATTCTAGTGTCGTTGGTCTCCTGTGACAGATATGGCACGGACGTAGGCAGAACGCAGATGCACAGAGGGTTTGCGGTTGCTGGTAGGGATTTGGAGAAATGGTTCTAGGTGATACTGGCGGGGAGTTGACATCTAGGACCGCAGAAACACAGTCATTTTGGGAAGGAATCTTAGTCTGAGACGAGCTTGATTGTAGCGCGTGAGCAATATTTTCTGTATATGGCGGTCTGTGGTGAGTATGTGGTTGCTGAACTCGTCGTTTCCTGTGAAGACATCGCTGGGAAACAAGGACCTCTCTGTGGTCGCCTGAGGGTTCTGGATAGTCGAAGCGGAATTGTGGGTTCGTATAATGAACGGATGACAGGACAAGTCTGATAATCAGGAGATAGATCAGTTACATGCTGCTAAGACATGCTAGCCACTTTGTTCAATCCGTTGCTAACCTATTTGACAGTGTGGCGACATGATCTGTCTTAACTAGTTCCCTCTTTCGTTTCCTTATAATTGGGCTTGTTGGGCTTGTGACAAAGGTGTCACATTGATGAATGGGAAGATGTGGCATGAGGCCTTCAACTGTAGTCGATGAATAACAGCCAGGCAGGTTCATTGGCGGGCAGGGATAAGAAGTCATTAAGCACGTACATTAAGCGGTCATAAGAGAGGTACCGGTTCATATAAATCGGACTATACGATTAAGAAGATGAAGTCCCCCAGACCTAAAGAGAAGGTGTACGGAGTTTGTCTAAGATGAGTTGATGACTGGGATGCATCTGATCTGGGAAAACGCTTCTCGTGGCCCTAAAACGAACAAGGGCGTGGCATTATCCCAAGCCAGCCCACTCAGCTTATTCCAATATAATATACTCCGTACTCCGTACATAGTTAGTTCGTGTTCCAGAGATTTAGACACATACCACTTTCATTCCGTACCAGAGTAGTGTTAATCATACAATGATCCCAATATGTAGACCAATGAGTGGCTAGTAACGACTTGCCAAAATGCTACTCTACAAAATTAATTAGTACTAGTATGACCGACCTTGTTCCGAGTACGTATTTTTCCTACATCAAGTATTTGAGCAAATCCAGTAAACAGGTAACCTGTTGAAAGTGATAGAAGATATACTAAGGTACAATGCACCAAGGCTGTGGCACTTTGCTATGAGTGATAGATGCTGCTTCCTTCATGCCCTCTCTTAATGTCGTTTTGACATTGCATCGAATGCAACCCCTATTTTGTAATGCCTTATTCAATGTGTAGTGACAGGGTTGTGCATCTATTCTATAATATATTCATTTGCTTTGAAGAAGACTTTAAGCTCTTGTAGCATACAGATTAGTAAATACATTCAAAAATATCCCAACTGACTCATGGTTGTTTAGGAAGGGCTGAAGGCTCGCCTCATACTCGTAGCACTTGTAGACTACTAGTTAGCTCATGCCCGTGGATGACCTGCGGTCGTCCACAACCCAAAGCATTGTGAAGCGGTGAGAACTGGCAATACAGGACAATACAAATAGGTCACGTTATCCATGAAAAATAAGAACCAAATAGAAACCTGGAACGCGAATATTTTGGACCAATGAGAAGTGAACGGGCTGGCAACAGACCTAGGTAGGAGCAAACCTAGACTTGCTCAGCGCTAGGGCGCTTCGCAAATAAGTGTGACATATCAGAAGTTATGAAAAAAAATTTTCAAATCCTGTCTCGGTGGCGCAATTGGTAAGTACTTACTTCCAAGCTTATATTGCAGCATCATACTGACTCTTGGATAGGTTAGCGCGTACGACTGTTAATCGTGAGGTTGAGAGTTCGATCCTCTCCCGGGACGTTTTTTTCTTGTTTTACTTTGTGCTAATCTCGTGTTTTTCATCTCTAAGCACTAGTGAAACCGGCCGCGCGTGATCGGTTGCTACTCAGAGCAATTACATTATTTCCGAAGGCTCAGCTGCGGTTCAGTGCACGTTATAAGGCTTTTGGTTGGTCTTTTAACCAGTAACATGACTTGGTCTAGATATTGCCTCTACTTAGTACCGCCTCAATCTAATAAGGGGGGTGTCTGGGCGGGAGGGGGAGGGGGCTGGACAAGGACCCCAGAACGTAGATTCAGACCTACGGCCTGAATCAAGCACTACGTTTGCAGGTGCTTGACGGAGCCCTTTGGAAGCCCTTTTAAGAGCCATTTCAGTGTCTTAGAATGTCTTTGAGTAGATTCTCGGAGAATCGCATTGCAAGATACTTACTAGGATACTTTACTCCGAACAATTCCTTGAGCTATGCGCGAGACAGTGTGTCATGGCCGCAGGAGGTCACAACCTAGTATAATGTAAATCTAACTACTGCGTAGTTGATAAAGTTCCACAAACTACTTGCGAATATAATTCAAAATTATATTTACTTTCTACCTTGTTCGATTCCTCCAGGCGTTGCTTGGTCGTTTTTATAATAACGGACCTAGTACTGCAGCCACGACCTACAGTCTCACACACTGCTCAAGGCATTCCATTCCGTACTTGATTCAGACCATAGATCTGAAAGTATACTAATTTCTGGGGGGCATCCCCTCCCCAAAACCCCCCTCCCCTCAGAGGCCGAAGCGCTAAGTAAAGACATTATTTTAAGTCACGCCACGAGCGCTAAAATGAGCCAATAAGAAGACTATATTCCTGATTTTTACGGACTAATGTTACCCAGGAGTTGACCTTGGGCATCCTGGAGTCCATTAATGGGCTAACACTTGTCCAGTTTCGATTTAGTCCAGATGCGGGAGTTCCGTAACTGCGACTTCTTGGCAGCCCACCCTCCCTTATTCTCGCTCAGCCGGTAGATGATGTGGATTTCTCTGAGCCTCGTACTACAAAGTTCTTCCAGGACCATGTCCTTCGCATCTCACTGCTTGTATCAGACTCGGTCATAGAAAGGGCACGGCTACTGGCTGGCTGACATACCTACCCTTAACAACAACCCGTGCTCCAATTCCGACTGGAGTACGACACAACTTCCTGCCATGGAAACCGGCGTTTCTGAGCTAGTTGAGAGGCTAGGCAGCGATGAAGATGCGGTGCGCAAGATGGCAGTTTTCAAGCTTCAGGGAAGCATTGGGGATCCTTCATTCGCCGATATCTTCATCGCAGAAGGTGGGCTGGCCAGGTTACGCTACTTGACCTTACATGCAAGTGGTAACACCTTGGCATATAGCCTCACCAGCTTCGCAAGATTACTGGAAGTTGACAAAGGCTGGGATCTGGTAGATCAGGAAGTGGTTGAAAGAGTAGGTATCATAAACAAGCCCTCTGTCTTCTTCATAATAAACATACGCATAACCTATTGTATAGTAATATACTGATATATTATATTATCTTCTCTTTCCAGGTTATTGAACTTATAGTGACACACCCATTGGTCAATATTCTGAGGGGTGCAATGTCTATCTTAGTCTCCATTGTGTCACATCCTTACACAGGTGCCAACTTATCACAGGATGGGAACTTCGGCTTTCGTGCATTGAAGCCTGCAATTGCCATTTACCCGCAGTTCCTGGAAATGCTCGTCAATAGGCTTTCATCTGCAGATCATGCACTCTGTGCCAACGCACTCCAGTTGATTAATTCTCTCATGCGGGACTCTATCACAAATGAGTTAGATACAGAGTGGCCGAAATTTATCCAGAAACTGCAGGATCTGGGTGTGATTAGGGCAGTCTACTCTCTCATGCAGGGTACTGCCTTGCAGGATCACGTGCACCCATTGGTCGAATTTCAATCCCTTACCAAGGTCCTTCTCAGGAAATGGAGAGAAATATCTCTGGATCTAGAAAGACCGGAGCATAGAAGGGCCCTAAAGGGGATTTACTTGGCTAGCTCACAAGAACGCAGTCAAGACAAAGGTGTCGAAAACAGTGACAATGTGCGACACTCGAAGAGACACAATCCAGAAAAATGGAGGCGCCTTGGTTTTGAATCGGAAAACCCATCGATGCAGTTTGAGGATACGGGGTTTTTGGGTATGATGGATTTGGCAGATTATGTCAGAAATCATCAAGACGAATTCCTGAAAATGCTCCTAGAACAGTCCACGAAGCCTGCACAGCAGCGATGCCCCATCGCGCGTGCTTCTCTGTCGGTCACTTTGATTCTCTATCAGCATTTTGAGGTGGACAAGTCGGAGATGGATGATGCTAAAGGCTATCTCCTACTAGAGTCTCGCTCCAACCTTGATAGGCTATTTGAGCCTTTACTGTTGCATTGGACCAGATTGCATGTTGCAGGATTGCATGCTTTCTTCCGCCTGTGGAAGGCTACTGGTGCCGAAGTCGAAGATTACGGAAAGATTGTCGAGCTTGTTAGGATCCTTATTGAGTCTGTTGTTGGCGGAGCTCCTCGCACAAAGGATGTGCAAGAAGTGGAAGAAGAACTGGCCAATTTTGAATATGGTCGGCTCCGCGAACTGCAAATGGAGCTACTGGAGCTCACGTATGAAGATGCATGGGGCCAACATTTGCGACAGATGCGTGAAGAACTGTACCATGAAGCCCTCCAGTTCGTTAAAGAACAGAGAGTTCGCTGCCTGTTGCAAGGTGCATGGTTCCCCAACGAGGGTTCACATAATTTGGAGGCAGTGAACGAAAAGTACTCGTGGAGATACACCCAGCTTTCGCACAATAGGAGGTTCATACATTTTGGCGACTTCAATGCCATCGAGGAGAAGAGTCCAGAGCTTGACGCTCTGCCCGAGAAGAGTAAGTGTGCCCCATCTCAGCGTTGGTCGCTTCATCCTCGAATGTCAAACTGATTGCCCCCTACCCTGTCAGTCGACCTTTCATTAGTATCTTCAGTAGTGTCAAATATCTCTGCTTCTTCCAAGGATCACGGGGCATCGACTGCGGAAGACATGGCTCACGCTATTTCCTATACGAAAATTACTGTCCACGGCTACCCACAGCCTGAACCCCCTAATGGGGATGCCCAGAAAAGTAATGACCACGGCCGAGCCTCAAGCAAATCGGCGCAAGGGGAATCTGTGTTGTTGGTTCTTCGTCCACCATCACATAGCGTTGCGTCTGAATGGCTTGATGGGTTGCTCATGCTTCTCAATCAACAGCCTATAACGGCAGAGACAAACAAGCTTTTGGATTTAGTCATCATTTACGGACTCAAAATCCGTTTGTTGAATGTTCGATTCGACGATGTAGCATTCGCCGGCGACGCTCCACAGGTTCCCTCCCGAGATGGTCTCGACGACAATTACTACTATGATGTCTTTGGTGGCTCATAGTAACAGCTTTATTGGTGGATCAATTTGGTGATACATATGTCTATGGAAGTCATATATCCAGGAGGTTCTTCAACTGACGATAATATATGAACAAGGCACACCAGGAATTATTGGCGCAAAGGGTTTTGACTTGGTTGGAATCTCTGTTCCCCTGGGGAATGCGGTTGTCAATCCAATTCACCTAAATAAGCAATCATAGGCTGCTAGGCAGGCCTTGTTCGTACTGTAGGTTTCCTCATGCATACCGTAGAGTGGAGTCTAGCGTGGTTATTTGATGTTAGAGGCTCCATCCTTACTGTTATACCTAAAGAAGAAACTAGTATCTGTTTTAATTTCATAAACTCTTGGATAATTTGACCCTCTATAAGCTAGCGAGATTGTAAAAATATAAGATTATTTAATTTCTACTATCTAGTTCAATTCAATGTACGTACGTACATTGAATTTAAAATGTAAGAAAACACCACGGAGTAGATTTTCTTCCTATGGGACATTCTAGCTGGTACTAGTTACAATAGCCAATTCTATACTACAATTTCTATCTTTATATAGTCCTCGTACGCCTGTCTTATAGAAATTTCTTGTTTCATATGTCATATGATAAGGCATTACTTTAAATTGTTTAGTGTAGAGGCTTTAGCAAGTCTAATCCTTTGACGGCTAGCGGCCGGCCCCACTGTACGGTATGTATAAGTGGACCTACGGTACGAATAAGGGTCCCTGCGAATAAGGGCCGCCTAATCATATGATCAAATACTTTGATAGTACTCCGTATGTTGAAACAGTTCGGAAGTATTCAAGCACGAGGTACTTTAACTCCATCATTCTTGTTGCGCTTCCTTTACTTGAGTACTTTTTGCTCTCACTCAGTAACCGGATATAATTTTCCGCAGAGGAACAATAATTTGGGAATCTATCTTCTATGCTTAGTTGACAAATCTATAGGGAAGTTTCGCCTCTTTTAGTTCGGAGTGCATTCCATACCTTTAGCACGAATCAACATGGAGATACTAAGGCTTTCACTGTGTAGTGTGGTTAAAATCTGCGGGCGGTTGGCTTGGTCAGAAACAATACATCGAAAGTTACTCCGTACTCCGTACAGAGCTCTAAACTGTGTATGGTGTAGGCGGTAAGCCTACTTACCGCAGCCATAGTTGGATCTGCGTCGATTTTTGTCCAGACGTGCCAGCGTTGTCGATCGATTTTATTCGATGGTTGTCTTTTCTCGATTCGTTTTCACAATAATAGGTCTTTCATCACTCAGTAAACCCACTGCGATTTGATAAATGCTCGGGAAGCAGAACGCTTGGTCAGAACAAGGCGCTTATCCCACGTTAAGGCTTGCTATCACCACTTAGCTCCTCTATTTTTCAGGAATCTGATATCTTGCGAAGACGATGAAACGCAAGCACCAGGGAGAAGTTACAACAACACACAGGCCCCTACACAGCTTTTTTGGGCCAAGGAACACCGAACAGCAATTTTCTAATCCACATATCGATGATCAGCAGGATAGAGAAACCGGAGATGAGAAAGATGGCAGTGATGATATAATTGAAGACGATTATGATTCTTTTGATGAAATATTCATTCATCATATTGTGAATGATAGAGACACATTGCAAGGCGACAGCCAAGATCATTCACTGAGAAGTTGGCATTATAAAGACCGACCACCACGCTTACCATGGGCACAGCAGTTTCCTCCAAGTAATTTAGACGAATTGGCTGTCCACAAGAAAAAGCTCTCGGATGTTAAGGACTGGCTAATCAGTGCATTTGCGAGGAGGGACCGACAGGTATGTTATTCTAAAAGCTGTCTTTGTGCTGTACCAGGGAGCTCCTGGCACCTTCTATCGATACACGGGCATTTCATTTGCTAACGACAGCAAAGCTACTTGTTCTCCGTGGTCCTGCAGGAAGTGGTAAGACAACTACACTTTCATTATTATCAACGACGTTGGGTTTTCAAATATTGGAATGGAAGAACCCTTCACCGTCAGAATTCGCCACCAAAGCGCATGTATCAATTGCTGCTCGTTTTGATGAATTCCTGGAGCGTGGGAAGGAGTTCCGGGGTCTTGATTTAGATGGGGAGACCAGTTCCTCCGAGGCTAGGGATACTTACAGCAATGCCTACTCTTCACCGCGGCGTGTCGTTCTCATCGAAGAATTCCCAGCGCTTGCAGGCCCATCAACCAGTCTGAACTCGTTCAGACTAACTGTTTTACGGTATCTTGCCATGGTGGCGCAAGATAACCCTTACCATGAGCCTGACACTCTACGAAGCTCTCCAATTGTTATGATAGTGTCAGAGACGCTTCTTGACTCGAGGTCTTTCTCGCCAGATAACTTAACGGCGCACAGGTTGCTAGGCCCAGAACTTTATAACCATCCGAGGACGAGTATTATTGATTTCAATAGCATAGCCCCGACTATCATGTACAAGGCTCTGAAATTGGTTTTAGAAAAGGAGGCCTATCTTTCCAAGCATGAATACTTTCCAAGCTCTGCCATACTGCACGCCATTTCTAAGACAGGGGACATTCGAAGTGCAATTTCATCACTGGAATTTCTTTGCATGAATCATGAAAGATTCAAGAAGCTGGCATGTCCGCCTTCCAAAAGAGGGCTTTCCAAAAGGGCTATAACACCTCTTACACCTCCTGAAAGAGAAACCTTGGAGGCAATAACACAGAGGGGAACAAGTGTCGGGCTGTTTCATGCAATTGGGAAAGTTGTGTACAACAAACGTGTCGATCCAGGATCAACTGGAGGTACTCAAGCTGTCTTGCCCCCAGGGCACTTGAAACACTATGGGCGGCCACAATTATCCCAAGTATGTGTCGATGAACTTGTGGACGAGGCTGGAATCGATAATCAAACCTTCATTAGCGCTCTCCACGAAAACTATGTTCCGTCATGCAACAGTCTATCATTCACAGACTGCCTGGATGGTTGCATTGGCGCCTTGTCAGACAGCGATGTGCTGTCTTCCGACACAAGAGGACAAGGCAGGTTGGGGGGGCAAGCTGTGGGTAGATCTAATGCCGGAGCAGATTCCTTGCGCCAAGAAGATATCAGTTATGAAGTTGCTACTCGAGGTATACTGTTTGCCCTTCCGTACCCCGTGAAGAGGTCAACGTCATCCAAAGACTGCCCAAGCCATACAAAAAGCGCGTATAAAATGTTCTTTCCGGCTTCATTGCGACTGCTTCGTGATATGGAAGAGATACAGGATCTCATATATTTATGGTCAACCAGACTGTTAGACCCATCCAGAATGTCAATTTCGGGCGCCATGGCCAGTGTTGGGGTTGCTTTAGCTGAGGAGAGTACGAGAGCTGAGAGGACCACCGAGTTAGGCAATTGCCGCAGGGAACCAACTGCGGCTGTCACCATGATATCACGCAGTGATCTCATACTTCATCAACTGCCATATTTGGCTCTACTAGCCGGCAACCCAGGACATTTGAAAGAACTCGGGAAAATCACCAGGCTCGGCGGAACAGAATCCCAGAGCAATGCCTCAGACAACGAGGTTGTTGACAATTCGGGCGAGTTGCCTTCAGTGGCATCTAATATCCGGCGGAAGCCTGCTCCGTTAGAGAACCCTTCGCGAATTAGTCGTCGGCGCAACAGCAATACTTTTGGTCCCCGCCTACCGCCAGCTCCTGAAGAGGAGAGGCTTGTTCTGATTGACGATGATATTGTAGATGATTATTGATGACCACTAGTGAGATTTCTTAGCGGCTATTTCTAGATTTACTTTTGGACATCGTGGCTGCAGAAATTTACCTCCATCGACTTTGCTACCCAATTTCAGCATCGCAATAGTAGTTATGGTTTGATAATAATCAAGCGGAATGAAGGGTACGTATACATTAAGCTCCAGTGAAATTGACTGAATGGGAGAAAAGAGGGCGCTGGAGACGTTTCTAGAGGTTAAGTATCAGCTGTTGTGGGATATCTTCTGATAAGAAACCAAGCCGCATTCTTGACTAAGCAATATTCATGAGATCTCTACTCCGTACTCTGTACACCTATATCGAAATCACACCTCGACCAGGGCCCGGTTACATCTTCTACTCTCGCTATAATTTCGTACCTTTCTTGCAACTTTCTTGGACTCGGAATTGTTCTTCCACTACAAGGCAGCCAGCAAATGCATGTCCCAAAGGAGACGATTCATGGACCCAGCTCTATCCTAACGCAAAGGAAAGAATGTTCGGCGGCCAACTTCAAGCTGGAGACTTCGTCAACCTCGGTTGATGAGACTCGTAATGCGCTTTCTCGCAAGACTCCGAACCTGGTAGCGAGCAATGGTGAGGACATAGGTTCTACGAAAGCGGCATATGGACAGCTTGCCAGCATCATAAGTGCTGCGACTCATACAGCACTGCCTAGATGGACAAATATAGTTTTGGTGTTCACTTTGATATTTGGTGGCTGCTGCGCCAATGTAAGTATAGATCCAAGTTCAGCAAACTTCTATTACTGATGTCAAACAACAGGTTTTCGCGCTCGAAGCAATCATTAAGTGAGTTGAATAGAGTGTGCAAGTAGTGGACCGAGGCTGACCTGAACCCAGAGATCAGCCAAGCTCTGGTATCCTATTTCCGTCAAGCCAGCATTGCCAAGCTATCCTCTCTAATATCTTTACTACAGGTCCCTTGATAACATTCGCTCAATTTCTTCTAACCTCGCTCTTAACGGCCCCCGTGTTTCTCTCTTTGTCAGCTGGACCACAGTCACTTTATCTCAGCCCGCGTGCCATTCCACTAAGATCATGGCTAGTCTACACAGCATTTTTTGTTACGGTCAATCTTCTCAACAATTGGGCCTTCGCATACAAGATCTCTGTTCCTCTACACATTATTCTCAGATCTGGAGGCCCAGTAGCTTCTATGGGCATTAGCTTTCTATTCAATGCCAAGAGATACCCGCGAGGTCAGGTCTTTGCAGTACTGATGCTTACTCTGGGTGTTGTCACGGCAGCATTGGCGGACGCTAAGGCTAAAGGCCAGTCTATGAGTATGGAAAACGCATCTGCGGCTACCACTTTAGTCGGCTTCACAGTTCTTGCCTTAGCGATGATTCTCTCGGCTTTCCAGGGAATATATGCCGACAGGCTCTACGAAATGTATGGCAGGGATCACTGGAAAGAAGCTCTGTTCTACTCCCACACGCTATCGTTGCCGCTTTTTTTACCCGCTTATACGCTACTCGTGAGCCAATGGCAAATGCTATTCTCCGCACCCCCCCTCACTTCCAGGCTTCAAACTTCGATCTCGAGTGAAACCGGTCTTTTGGGCCATGCATCCGCCGGCTTTGAAAGCATTGATGTCTCGGAAGAGTCGTGCGGGGCTCGATCTTTAACGCCAATTTTTGGAGGTCTATCTGGGCTGGTGCCCAATCTGATGGACATTTCTCCATTACGGTCAATCGCCACATTTATCCCGATACGCGCGACTTACCTTTTAATCAATGCTATGACACAGTATCTATGCATTCGAGGTGTTCATCTGCTCTCTGCGAAGTCATCCTCACTAACCGTTACTGTCATCCTAAATATTCGGAAGCTCGTATCCCTTCTTCTCTCCATTTACATGTTTGGAAATACTCTCTCCCCAGGCGTGCTTATTGGGGCATTGTTCGTTTTCATAGGTGGTGCCTTGTATGGATTTGAGGGAGCGCGGCCTAGGATGAAGTCTGCCAAAAGAGTATAGGGCTCGTTCCATAACATGTTATAATCATTACCCTCTTTGCGGCAATCTTTGACAACAGAGGTGTTTTCGGCTGAGAAGGGTAGAGACAGAAGTATATTAGAGGCAACTTCCAGAGGTTTCACTAATGTTGCCAATGCACAATCCAGAACTGGTATTAGCTTGGCTCCGAGAATTTAGAGCTACCGGCTCTTGCACAATGGCCTTATTTCTTGGTGTTCACATGAGGCTATTGTGATTTATCATGGCTCATGTAGTAAGCCAAAGTCTAGTATATAGTTACAAAACTAAACAGGGTCTTCTCAACCTTTATCAAAACTGATGGCCAAACTTCGATATCTTGTATGAAAACATGATCCGAAAAAAACCCAATCTGGCCCTTGTTCATGCCTGCAATACACTGAACTTACAAAACTTCGCCAACAATCTTCGCTGCTTCCTTGTATGTATCAAGCAGTCTTTCACACTTCTCTCTCTCTGCCTTGATACCATCATCCTCGTAAAGAAGCTCCGCGAAAAGGTCTTCTTTATAAAGCTCGCTGACGAGTCTATTTTGCACGACGTCTTTGCTGTGATTGACAAGGAGGTGCATGATAGCCTTAGGAACTTGGTCGGCAATAGTTTCCCTCACAATATTAAAATAAGAGGAAATTAACCGGCTAATCAACTCTGTTTCCACCATTTCACGGTCGGAGAGGACCGTCTCAGAATCCTCGTTGGGCTACAATAACAAGTCAGTTTGATGTTTTAAGCTATCAGAGCAGAATGGAGGTAAAATAAACTTACGGCGGCACCGACGTCGCCGGTATATTCTACAGGAGCCGCATACTCCTCGGATGCTATGACAGGGGAACGCATATCCGTCCTGCGAACGCTGTGGCTGATGTTTGCTTCGTTGGGGTTGGTATATTGACGGTTCTGGCTCGAGAGCTGAGGCAACGAGTTGGCAGGTTGCGGGCCATCTTTGCCGAAAAAATAGTTGAGGAAAGAATCACGCGTGGTGTTGGCTGTTCCAAAAGCCGCTTGGGAATTCGCATGAGCACCGTTAAGTGTTGCGGTCACACCACCTTCTTGTCCTTTACCAAACTGAGGTGACATGCTCCTGGCACCCTTCGCAGGTTGACTCCTGACAGGGACGTTGTGTAACCGGGATTCTGACTGTTGTTCGTCTTCATCTTCGGGGGATGCAGGTGAATTTCCATTCAATCCCCCAAGCTCTTTCAGCCGTCTTTTCTCCCGCTTTCTCCGGTCATCAGCTAATGCTGCCCGTCTTTCCTGTTCCTGTTTGTTTTGAATGACAGATGACATAGCTGCTGCTGCACCAAGGAAATTTGGATGATTTGTATTGATATAGGCTCTTTGAATGGAAATGAGAGATTCAACGTATGCTGAGCAGGGACCCAAGCGCTCACGAAGAAGATCTGACACCACCTCTATCAGTTTTGCCTGGAGCCGTGGGAAGCGGAGAAGTTCCTGAGAACCACAGGTGTGACAAATCTTTATGAGCTCCTCATAGACTAGTTCAACACACCTCTGACTAGGAGCTTCCAGCATTTTTATCTGAGGCTTGACAAGCAGGTCAAAAGCCAATTCTGGAACGAAGAGGCTTGGACGCGGACCAGTCGAGTTCCGGATAGCGGTCCTAATATCCGTAACGGTCAAGTTATGCGTAGGATCAATCGTTTCCAGGGAATTGCCGAAAACGGAGTTAAAGATATAATATATTCTCGCCCCTCCACAAAGCTCTTTGGTGGATATTTCAGAAGATGTTCCGTCAATGGAAGATATGAAGGAAGATGCAAAGCGTGTCATGAGTTGCAGAATTAAAGATCCACGATGCTCCTTCCCGCTAAACTGCTTGTTGCCATAGCTTGCAAGTTCTTGCTGCGTTTGACCCATGAGTGTGTTGAGGCGCGCTTTAATATCGGGTAGCCGATCTCGGATATGAGACATTAAGGTTGTATTCAGTGTCTTCGCAAGAAACTGGGTACCGCACCTATTCGCCATGTTCCGATAGGCTGGATGATGTCTGAAGAAGTCGACTTCAGCATGCAAAGCATCGGATAATGACTTTCCAGACTGGATATCTTGTTGCGATCGATTGACAACACCAATGAATCCCAGCTTCAGAGGGTAAACTCGTCCAGAAAGGATATCCATAGCATTTGTGCCATGATCCATGAGATCTAGCTTAGTTAGAACTCCAATCGTTCTTCGGCCCATTGCATCCACTTGACGAGCGAGCTTCAGGGCTTCGGAATTGACAAGATCAACGTTGGCAGGAGAAACTGCTAAGATGATACTGTTCGGCTTCGCTATATATTCGAGTATTAGGGCCCGAGTCTGCTTTTCAATATCGGACGGTTGGTCCCCAATCGGCACTTTCGTCAACCCTGGCAAGTCAACCATAGTAAGATTGAGTACATGGGGTGAAAATATCTTGAGATTGATGGGTTGTCTGTTGATTCCTTTATTGCTCCCGGCTATCCTTGCAGTTTCCGCTTCGATCTCCTGCTTTACCAAAGCAAAGTCTTCGAATTTGCGGCCGGGAAGATGATGAAACTCTGCCCATTCATACTGCCCCGCTACACTTGCGGCTGTGTGAGGTATATGGATTTCATCACCTTCAGGCCTGTCGTGTCGTTCACTTGGAATATTTATGAGTTGTAAGATCAATGGGCGTCTTGTGACTATACCACTTCCTCTCGGTAAGAAGTCTCTGCCAACGATGTTCTCTAGTACGGACGATTTGCCGGATGACTGAGACCCCACGACAACCTGCGCAGCTGATTAGACCGTAGACATTGACGGGGGCATGTCGGGCGAATTTTCTTAGATGAACTTACAATCTGCGGCAGGTCAAGGGAGTCATTCCCAATCGTATTGAAAACGAGATCTTGGAGCTTGTTAACAGTCACAAGCAAATCTTCACTAAGGGCCGTCATCCTTAAATAGCGTCTAACAATCCAGTCCCCCGGTGTTCTGCTAGTTGTAGAGACACAAAAAAAAAACTGCGGGAAAAGAATAGTAACCCGTTAGATAGAACGTGTATGTCTTGTTGAAATCAACAAAGATTGAGTGGGCCCACCTTCGGTTAATGTATTGAGGAAGAAGTATCACAGTTTCTAATCCATGCAGCGCCCTTTATCCTCTATCGTACTTTCCAGAGACGACTGCTACGGACTTACTCCATGTGTTAAGAGCACGGGATCATGTGATTCTTACTAAGGAATTGCGGCCCCGACACTGACCGTCCGTCCGTCCGACTCGCCCTCTCAACCTAGCCTCCCAAGCGCGTACAGCTACATATCTAATAGTGTTTATTGTAGACTGTAAATAGTATGACATGTATATCACTTCGTTGAAGAGGAAGAGGGGGAAAAAAGAGACAATTACTATTATCTTGTTCTAAGATAATATCAATTAAAGATAAATTTAGAAAGGAGCTCATCAAATTTCCTACATTATAGCCAGTTTCAGACAAGAGTAAACACGTGCATGCTGAGTTAGTTACAAAACGTCACGACCGAGTACAAACCCTGTTCAAACGAGTACAGCTATCCATTCACGGGCATACACAAGTTCTTGGCCTTCTGCTTCACATGTCTTCATGAGCGGCTGATAGATATAAGGGGTTATTTTGCGCCGTTTTTTTGTACAAACTATTGGCCATCGTGCTGCACATTTTGGTCAATTTGCGAGTTGTACATAGTTTGCTGGGAAAAGTCCCTTCTTTCCAAGGTATTCACCAAGCCACCAATCGTCGTCGGGAAATTCCTGAAAAACGTGGGTAATGGCCCAGATGGTTAGCGGTGACGTATAAAATGCAAGCAAAAAGAGATAAAAAATAAAAGGAAAGAGAAGAAAATAGACTAGGTAAAAGGATTGAAGTGGAAAAGACAATCGAATATTTATTGGCGCTTAAAAGGGGAAGGGGGAAAGGCAGGACCAAGGAGCACAAGCTGTGACTTACAACATTCGTTATCTCAGCCCCCTCCGGAAAGCTGAGTTCATTGTCTTCTGCGGCTTCGTAGTCGTACAACGCCGTCGCAGTCGACTCATTGACTGGAGCCGGAGCCGGAGCCGGGGCCGGAGATTCAATGACCCTCGTAACAGGCACTGGGGAATTGATTTCGGCCTTATTGTCCTTGTCGTCCGACACGTCCTGAGTCTGGTGATCATTTGCAACGACCTCGACATAATTACTTGGGAAGAGACCTCTATCCCCCTGAGCATTGGACCCCAGCCACCAGTCTTGATCGACCATTTCGATGTTAGTCACATACTCGCCTTCCCTGAGTTCTATCTCGTTATCTTCCGCTTTCTCATAGTCATATTGCACAATAGCTTGGATTTCCTTCTCCTGAAGTTGATTGCTAATAGTAGCTTCGGCGGTTGCGCGTCCAATGTCGTGTTTAACATCTTCAACGTCCTCTTCTTTTGGTACTACCTGTTGGAGGCTCTCAAGGGGAATAACCTGTGGTGGGGAGCGTTGTTCATCATGAACATCAGTAAGCCCATTCCCAACCGGAACAGCAACACGTATGGGCGAAGTCTCGCGGGCAGGCGTCGGTGGGGTTGGAGACCGAGGCTGTTGCGGCGGGGTGGGAAGTGATTGATGAGCCAGAGACTCGTGAGAAGATCCCAAGTCCAGAAGGCCAGCCTTGGGACTAGCCTCTGGTGCAGCATGGCCATTGTCCAGAACAGTATCTTGTACTAGGGGGGAATCTGAAGAAAACTCTTGGAAGGATTGATCCCTAATAGCACTGTCATTTTGTGAATTCCCGGTATCCGATTGAGGCGACCCAATTGAGACAGGATCCGATGCCCGATTCGTCTGAGAAACGTCACTGCTGAATGACTTGCCAGTATGTGTCGTCTGAACCGGAGCCCAGGTTTTGCCGTTGTATGAACTCTTCCAGTCCCCTTTCTCGCTCTCTTGGCCTTGGGCAATCGTATCGGTGTTAGATGAAGGTGACAATATAGAAATGGTATCCTGCCCTCGTTCTCTTGCTTTCCGCTCTGCCCAAAGCTGCGCAGGTGTCTTCCCACCCTCGTCAGCAAATGTGCGGCTTGCACTCCCAATTTGGGCTGGAGCGGGATTCAGCTTTGAAGTCGGAACACTAGGCAGGGGTGGCTTTGTCCCCGCGAACACCGAATTACCACCGAACTTGTTTGATATCTTCGGCTTCGGTAAGCTCGTCAGACGCTCTGGGTTGCCAGGAGAGGTTATATGCTTGATTTGCTCTTGGGAGTAAGTAGTACCACGATCATTGCTCACCGAAGAACCACTGAGATTCTGTGCTTTGGAACGAATTGCAGCGATGTCGACTTTCCCGACAGGTTCATACGCGCCTCTCACAGGCTCAGGCCGATCATCGCGAATATTGCCCGCTTCATGTGCCTGTTTCCTTATTGCTGCAATATCTACCTTCCCAACAGGTTGGTAGCCACCCTTAACAATATCACCACGATCCTCGGGGGTATGGTCGACACCAGTGTTTGCCGTAACGTTTGATTCCGACCTAAGTTTCTGAATATTCACCTTCGTAGGTTTATAGGCTGGCTGGACTTTTTCTAGCTCTGTCCTGGTAACTGGTGGTGCATCGGGGCCCCACCCATCGTTGTCACCATCTTTCTGGATCCGCCGCTCTGGACTTGTTGCTCCTGCGCTGGTATCAATGCCAGCGGTTCGACTAGGTGTGAAAACAGGCTTCGTGGATACTGGTGGTTTAGGTGTCAGAGAAGATTGTGAAGTTGTGCCTGAAGTGTACTTGGCGCCAGATGCATCGCCGACTTTCTGTATGATTCCCTCGGCCGTTAGGTCTCCCTCTGAGCGTGCAGTTATTTGCACGTGATATCCCTATTAGACTTGTGAGTTAGACATGCTGTATGCACATGTTCAGGTGCTAACTAACATGCAGGAACTTCGAGACAGCGGACAGGTGACTGGTAAAATATCCCTTTGTCCGCTCCGGGACGCCCTCCCCGCACCAGGCGATGAGAACATTCTTTGGGAGCCCAGTATTGGGGTCTACAACCTTGATATAAGCGAACTGTATTTTCCCTTCGGAAAATTCATCGATAAGATCCACCAATTCGCCGGCTTTGAGACATGTGGTTAGTGATGATGAGTGGCATTTTATGAGAGAGCAACAGACCTCCGGTGTCATGAACCTTCAAGATGCTCTCCTTGTTGCCACTATCTTTCTGGAATGCATTTACCAGAGGGGTAGAAACGGAGAAGATTGCCCATTGCCCATAAGTAGGGGAACCGGTACCAGCACTCGGAAAAGACGAGTTGATCACATTTTGATAGCTCTTTGATATAGAAGGTCCATTAGCTGATAAATTTAGGGACGCCATTCTTATCAGCTTGTTTATCACGAAAGCAACTTTTGTGACGCGGGTGCAAAATACTATAATAGGGTATTTTCTGTTAGATGCTATGTGAAAAGAAGCGGTAGAACACGTACCGCTGCTATAAAATAGCTGGCTTGGATAGTGATACCTTTCTTGAATAAAGTCTGACTGTGTTTATTTGAAAGACGACAGTATAGTGTTGGTACTTCAGTAGAATCAGGGGTGGTTGTGTCTGCCTAGGGGATGTGTCCAGACTAGCAGGATACGTCACACTCCACGGATTGCCGGAATTCGGAACAACCGTGAGGCGGTGCACTACTCTTTTAGTACTAGTGTCTACTAGCTCAGGGCCGTGGACGACTTGCGGCCGCCCACAGCCCAAGGCATTATAAAGCGGTGAGAGCTAGTAGAATAAACTAGGTCGCAGGCCACGACCTACGGTCTCGCACACAGCTCAAGGCATTCCGAAGCGCATTTTCTTACTAAAGCAGGCAACAAATCTCTATAAATTACATGAATAATGTGCAAGTTCTGCAAGTTATACAACTTTGGGCCTCACGCAGGGCCAGACTCTTATATAGAGACACGCGGGGCCTCACGCAGGGCCTCACGCAGGGCTAGCAGCGGACGATGTAATAGTAATACAAAGTTGAAGCTACTCAGAAAGGCGAGTAGAAAGAGGGGGGAAAACAAAGTCACGTTACTAGTGTAAAATAAAAGCTAATAAGAAGCTGAATTTATGAATTTTTTGGACCAATGAGAAGCGAACGGGCTAGCAACAGACCTAGTAGGAGCAAACCTAGAGTTACTCAGTGCTAGCGCGCTTCGTAAATAACGTTACCCATAAAAAATAAGAACTAATCGGAAGGCCTGAATATAACCTTTATTGACTAATAATAAGAAGTATAACTAGGGGCTGGAAACAGGCCTAGCAGGACTGAACCTAGACTTGCTCAGCGCTAGCGCGCTTGACAAACAAAATTGGGATATCAACCTGTGTACGCCGTACGGAGTGCTGCATACTAAAAGATAATAAATAATACACGTGGTTACAGCTCGGCTAGACTCGTTTTTTAGGTCTGATGACTTGAAACTGTTGATTACACAAAAATACAGCCCTGTGATTGTCAAGGTGCGGGCAGGCAGGGGTGGTAGGATAGCGGGTTCTGGCGGGCGGGCAGGGTTCGGATAATAATAATGACTAGGATTCTAACTGGATGCTGAGCTGGTTACTGGTCAAGCTATATATAGATGGATAGACAAGATGTAGCTTGAGGCTACGGACAGGATTCAGGGGACAGATAGCTTTTAACTATAATAGTGGTCACGTGTTAGGTGGTAAGACTCAGTAGTATTTCTTTCTTCCTGGTTTAGAAGATTATACTGTAATAATACTTTTTTTTCTCTTTAAGCTAAGCTCCTGTAAGGCGAAGGTCGGGATTTATATGTCACGGTGCCTGCCTGCCTGCCTGCCTTGTGAAAGGAGATCACGTGATCTCGGACCTAGCCACCTAGTCACCTCCTCCTCGCGTAGTTAGCTAGGCAACATATACACAATATTATCAATATTACTGTCACAGGTTATGAGCCCTCATAGTAATGAATTATTAAATACTTATTTTTCTTATTATTTTTTTATTATTTTTATATATTATTTATTAAATAGCATTCTCCTTAAGGCTTTTTACGCCTTAAATTGCTACTATATATAGTTTCGCGGGTAAGAAAGCCTCCATAATAATCTACTTAACTTAGTATCTAGACTTAGTATCTACTAACTAATTAAATCTTTTACCACGTGAGTGACGTGGCTGAATGCTTATAATAATACTATTTAAAGATCTATTCAATATTAATGTTTCTAAAGTTATTTCTAAGTTTAAAGACTAGGCTAACTGGTTATTATAGTAAAGAAATTTATAAAACTATTTATACTCGTGTAATCCAGACATATGGAAGCTACTCTAAAATAAATATATTTTTTTAAAAGAACTAGTTCTTTATTCTGAGAATAAAGATAAAAATATATATATATTAACTATCTATACTAGTAATGGTAGTACTCTACCTACTTAACAAGAACTAGAATATAGTATTAAATAAGTTAAATAATATAATTATACTTTACTTACTATATATAACTCCGACTGTAGGAAGTGGAAGTAGTTAAATTATTTTATATTTATAATTTTTAATATTATATGTGAAGCTAGTCCCGTAGTATATTTCTAGAATTATAACTCTATACTAGAAGTGTATATTTTTCTCTAAGAAATATATAAAATTTTTAATTTTACTATGATTATCTATTTATATAATAAATAGGTATTTATTTACTATAATAATATAAATAATTAAGAAATTTTTTTTATATACTACGCGGACGCCTTTAATAAGCTTTATAATATTAAAATTATTAATAATTATACTAAATTTCTATAATTTTTTATAGTAATTTAGGATATACTTACCTTATAGTTATTTATTATAAATTAGTATATAATATTAATAAAAGATATAATCTTATTATATATATATATTTAATTTATATAGTTTAAATATATATATAAGAATCAGTTCTCTTAGCTAACTATATATATAGTTAATAATAAATCTTAGAATAATATCAAGAATACTAATAATAATATTTAAAATAGTAATTATAGTAGTTATAGCTATAGATATAAATATAATTATAAATATAATAATATCCATAATTATAGTAAAGATTAAATAAATATCTCTATATAATATAAAAGAGAATAACTTAATACTGCTAATAAAAATACTATATAATATATTTTCTATAAATACTATAAAAATTACTTTCTAAGTAAGTACTTATTAAATCTAAATAAGAAAATAACTATAAATATTTAAATTAATATAATTATTATATCTACTTTATTTATACTACTATTAGAAACACTATTAGCTAATATAATTAATATTAATTTTAATTTTCTTAATACTTATACTATATTAGTTTACTTTAATATTATTATTATAACTTAAGAAAATTAATATTTAAATTACTTACATAATTAGATACTTAATTCTAGAACTATTAAAATAATAATTTATTTAAAATATTATTTTATATTTTTTATTTCCTACATATATATAACTAAAATTACTACTAATGAGATCTTTCAGACTATTAGTTATAATATTATTTTAATTAAATTAGTGGATAAGCAGAATAAATTTTATAGATTTTTAAAGATTAATTATATTTAGTACGCGCTAGTATTTTTATATAATCTTATTTTATATAAATAACTAGTATACTAGAGTATTTATATATATATTAAAATTAAAAAGACCACTAGTTTTATTTAATATAGTAAGTAAATTAGCTTTACTATTATTAAAGATATTTAATATTTTTTATATATAACCAGTACTATAAACTGTAAGATAATTTAAAATCTATATTTTTATAATATTTTAATATATTTATTATTCTCTAATTTTATTATTAATATTATTAAAAAAATAATTTTTTTATTAATTTTAATTTATTTTACGTACTACTGTACGGCTCATATCTCTAAATAAAAAATTTATAATTCTATTAAATATATTATTAACTTTGATATTAAAAAAGATATTTTATTAATATCTTATAAGTCTTATCTCTATAAAAAGAATTAAATATTACTTATCTTCTATATTAAATCTTATAATCTTAATCTATATATTAGAGATCTTATTTATATAGATATCTATAGACTGTTATTTATATATAATTAAATTAATATAGATTATTTTATTATTTTTACTAATTATATTTTTTAATATTATTAGGTGTTCTGGTTCAAGAAATATAATAAAATATATAATAAATTTATTATTTTATAGAATTATCTTAAATACCAGCTAAACATCAATGTTAAATATATTTATAATAATAATATATTTAAATATTAACTACTTATAGCCTACTATCAAGAATAAAATATTATTTAAAATTTTATTCTATATTATTACTCAAATCTTAATTTTATTACTGAGATTAAGAACTATTATCTAGTTAAATCTTATATATTAATTATAGTGGATAGCTAGTTACCTTATTTCCTATAAGATTATATTATTCTTATAGTTAATTATATATAAAATAGACTTATATATAGTACTATTAGAAAGACTCCCTATAAAATCCTATACAGAGTATAATTAAATATTTTATAATAAAAAACCCTTAGCTACTACTGCTAGTATCTTACTTTTAAAAAAATTTATAATAAATTTAAGAATTATATATAAGAAAATTATTTTATTAAATACTCTAAATTAGTTTACAAGATCTATAATATTTAAACTTGTTAAATTATATATACTTATAATATTATTTTTAATAAAAAACCTATTTTATAATTATTATTAATAATATTTATATATAATTTTAATTCCGCATGTTATAGTAAAATTAATATAGAAACTTTAGTCTAGAAAGATCCTTATTATTAATTATTATTTAATATATCTTCTTAATATTAGTAGTTTATTTTTATTTTTTTTTTAATTATTTTATTATAGATGAGTAGGATAGCAGTAAAGAGCTAGACTAGCTATTAAAATATAAATAAACTAATATACTTCTACTTTTATTTATATTTAATAATATTATCTGTAACGCTACACCTAAATTAATAATTATTATTAAAAATAATAAATCTAGAGACTAACTAGCTATTACAGATCTTTTAATTATTAATATCTTCTATATAGAACTTACTATTTCGAATATAAAACCATCACTAGTGATTAAATAATTTCTATATTATTTTATATATATTTATAAGCTTTTACGCGCCCTTCTCAAGTCTTTAAAATTATATATTATTAATATAAATAATGATTTAGATATACATATTAATATTTTTTATAAATTATTTATTAATAACTATCTTATTAGTACTTTATTTTTAGAAATTATAATTATATAGCGTCCAACTAACCTGCAGACTAGGGAAGGTATTTTTATTAAAAAATTAATATTTTAAAATATTAGTTATATCTCTATTTTATATACTAATACTATAGTTTATACTAAAATATCTAAATAACACGAAGCAATGTATCGCGAGATATAAAAATAAATTAAATAAAATATTTTTTATATAGTTCTATATTCTTATAATATGTGTTTTTTTCTACTTAAATAAATATTTAAAATTAAATATAATAATATTTATAAGATCTATCTTATTATTAAAGACTTCCGGC